GGAATAACCTCACCACTTGGCCTTCCATCATACATGTCATCTCTTTCATCTGTACCACACCGACATGCATTTATTCGTGCAAGGTTCAATGTCTTTCCATCGAACCTGCTGAGCCACAGATTTTCCAAGGGTTTGGTGTCTCCGCTATGCGTGTGTGACGGGAAAACTGTTGATTCTCTCTCACATATAATGTTCAACTGTCCCCTACATAGCATAGCCAGGACTAAATTCCTGGGCCCTGCTTTACTGCGCTTGGTTGGCAGGCCTGCTGAGTCACATGCCGCACTACTTTTGCAGGATACAGATCCTTCTGTAACTCTGCAGGTGGCGAGATTCCTGAATGCAGTTATCTCACACACAAAAACCACCAAAAACAACAACATCAAAAACTAATCGGACAGTTTTGAAGAGAGTGCATGTCGGATCTCGTCTTCAGTTCTCCTTTTCTGGGATCCGTCCCTTGGAGCTCTCCGGGCCCCAAGCTGTTATCTGGCTCTGCTCAATGACCCACCCCTGCATCATGGTGTTCACCTTCTGGTGCCGAATATATTAGTCTTTATGCCTCTGTGCTTTTATGTTTGTACATACTTTATGGGCTAATAGCCGTAAATAAATAAATAAATAAAAGAGCTGGTTGCACTGCCCTAAATCTACCTCTGGTGGCAACAAGAGAATGGACCTTTTCAGTTGTTACTTCATGCTTATGGAATGTTCTCACCAGGAAGGCGTGTATGGCACTAGCTTTATCTAGTTTTTGGTACTTTTGTTGCTACCTGGGCTTTTGGCCCTCAACTTGATGGCATTTTAGCCTCTTTTAGCAAGGTGAGAACTGTAGGCCTGCCTTTTATCTGTATTGCTGTGTTTAAATGGATCTTAATTGCTTTTAACGTAAGTTGCTATGTGAGAAAAGTGACTAACAAATACAATAATAATAATAATTTGTGGTTGTTGTTGTTGTATTTTGGGTAGCTCAGTGCAGCTACCCAAAATTTCTATTCTATGCAGTGTCAAGACCCACACCTATTTAGCTTGAACAAAGCTGTAGTATTTGGTACTCCCGGGCTATTAATTAAATGCTGTTAAAGTGAGACAGAGAAATCTTTATTAACCTATGTTTCCCAACTTCGACTCACTTCTTGATTGCTTAGCCTAGGTCCACCTCATTCAGTGTAGTTCTTGGCAATTTATTCCCAGGGTTTTTACTTTTCATGCCCCTTGGGTGTGAGCAGTGCTGTTTTTTCTAGAAACTGAGTTCCGGCTGGGGGGAAAAGCCCTGGGTGTGAGTCTGGAAGTTTTAAGGCCATACAGAATATTCCCCTTCCCCATACAGTATATCCAATCCATAACCTTATCTGAAGGCAAGAGCCCTGGTTTGGATACAATCTTTGACACCAGCTTGTTTGAAAGTCTTCCAGTTGCACTGACATCTCTCCTTCATCATCAGCTTGTTCAAATGGCATCTTGTCATTTTGGAGGATGACTCTTTCATACATTTATTTTTAGTGATTTACACCTCTGTCCTAAACACAGCACTCGGATAGACTGGTGCATTGATTTCAGCGGCACTTAATGCTATGCAATGTGTTCAGGATCAGGGTGTTAATCTGTTTTTGGAACTAGATGTGGCAGATAGAATATCCCTCATATCATTCTTTACGCAGAAGTCTTATTTTTAGCTTCGGAGAATGGTGTCTGTTTATTCACCAGCAGGTTCATTAATAGCACCGTATTTTTCCTGTTCCTCCCTCCCCTCCTTTTAAAGATGCATTTCCCAGAAGAGTCAACAGTAACTGCATCACATGGAAAGTTCTTTCTTTCTTTCTTTCTTTCTTTCTTTCTTTCTTTCTTTCTCTCTCTCTCTCTCTCTCTCTCTCTCTCTCTCTTTTTCTCTCCCTGTTTTCTTTTATTTGATTGGATGCTATATTAAAAAAATACTTGTTTCCACTGTAGAGCAGGCAAAAAATAATAATATTTTAAACGAAAACACTACAGATCAGCTTTTGGACAACTGACGGGAGATTATGAGACAGGTCCAAAAAAAAGGGGGGGAAAAGGTGAGAGCACAAATACAGTGGTACCTCGGGTTAAGTACTTAATTCGTTCCGGAGGTCCGTTCTTAACCTGAAACTGTTCTTAACCTGAAGCACCACTTTAGCTAATGCGGCCTCCTGCTGCTGCTGCGCCGCCGGAGCACAATTTCTGTTCTCATCCTGAAGCAAAGTTCTTAACCTGAAGCACTATTTCTGGGTTAGCAGAGTCTGTAACCTGAAGCATATGTAACCTAAAGCGTATGTAACCCGAGGTACCACTATACTAGGGAATTCTGATTGATGGAGGAAGCGCTTGAGCAAGAAGCCATATTATCTCCTACCTCCATAAGACAAGAAGTCTCCCCTTTCCTTAGTTGCAGGGATGTTTATAGGAATTAATGGTAAATCTTCCCAGTGTGGTAGTTTGCATAGCAGATGTTTAGCAAACTGGAGCAATAAATAGAGGCAGTATAAGAGTGTGTGTGTGTGTGTGTGTGTGTGTGTGTGTTCTCTTGAAAAAAACTAAGCTACCTGCTAGCTTCGGCACAGGGCTGGGTTGATATAGCTTCCTTGCTTTGGAGTTCACTGTCAGATAAGTGGGATAGGATTTCAGCCTGAAATCTCGATAAAAAAATATTTAGGAGAAAGTAACAGCTGCAAAGATAGGGAACCTCTTTCCAGAGCTACACTTCTGCTGAAAGTCTCACTACAACTCAGTTAGTTACTCTCCTTAGTGGGCATACTCTTACATTGGAACAGTTCTTTTTTCTGGGGGTATGCAGGGGTACGCATACCCTTAAACATTTTGTACTTTTGTCCATTTACTGTATTTATTTTCCCTGATTTGAACTATAAAATGGTGGTTTTCTTGAGGCAAAATGAGAGTACCCCTAAACATTCTTTTAAAGAAAAAAAGCACTGCATAAGAATATAGGTAGTTGCATTTTACTGAGTCAGACCATCGGTCTAGCTAGCTCAGTATTGCGAACAATGCCTGGCACCAGCTCTCCAGGGTTTCAGACTGGGATTCTCTACTTGCCTTATCTGGAGATGCTAGGAATTGTAACTGAGACCTTCTGCATGCCCTTACCTTCTGTGGTTCACACCTCTGATCAGGTTCTGCCCATTAGGAAATGGGAATCTGGCAGTGAATGATGCATTGCAAATGTTATAGAGGCCCTTTCTCCAGTTGCTTTGACACAGTTGTAAATGAACCTGTTCTTAGTCTATGCTGTAGCCTCCTATAGCAGAGGAGGCTATAGCAAAACTGTAGTGAGAATGCACAGACACTCAAGCTTTCAGTCTACAATGGTACTTCGGAAGTTTAACGGAACCCATTCGACTTCCAAAACGTTCGGAAACCAAGGCACAGCTTCCGATTGGTTGCAGGAAGCTCCTGCAGCCAATCAGAAGCCGCATCAGATGTTCGGGTTCCAAAGAACATTCGCAAACCGGAACACTCACTTCCGGGTTTGCAGCGTTTGGGAGCCAAAACGTTCAACTCGCAAGGCGTTTGGGATCCAGGGTACAACTGTATGAAGTTCTGCATATTACTCGGTCTTTATTTCCCACCCCTATTTCAGGTACATGCAACACCCCACCCCCTTAGTGATAGCGAAGAATTACAGGTGTGGCTGCTTTGAAATGCAGTAGATAAACTTATTTGGCAGCATCAACACATGACAAATGGAGTGCCCATTCCTCCTTTCCCCCTCCCCTCCCCAATGCCAATCTAGTATGGTGGATTTGTTTCTGTCAAAATAAAATACATAATCCTTGCTCAAAATATTATGAAATATGATGTTTTTTCATAATATTGCATTTACATAGAAATACCTTTTCCCCAGAAGGGAAATAAATCACAAAACACTTACCTGTGTGCAAACACAAAAGTTTATAATGGAGCCAAATGGTTTGCAGGCAGTGTCTATGGGGACCTCTCCAGAAATGCACTGGGGGTGGTGGATGGAGAAGTCCTAGCTAATGCAAGAAGTTTAGAGGAAGCTATAGTATTGCACAGTTTAAATGGCTTTTCTCACCTGGTGTTCTTGAGTGCTAGTATTAGGATTCCATGGATTTTTCCGTTATGTTGTTGGCCACTTACAACACTGGGACAGAACAAAGGGAAAGGAAAGACAGCAGAAAGCACAAGGGCACATTAGAGATTTGATTGCAGCCAGCATTATCTTCTTCTTCTTCTTCCTCTTCTTCTTCTTCTTCTTCTTCTGGCAGTCAGGAAGGGCAGAGCAGGGCAAGGCAAAAGGGATGTTTTCATCCTTTGTTTTCATAATAATAATAATAATAATAATAATAATAATAATAATAATTTTTATTTATACCCCGCCCTCCCCAGCCAAGGCCGGGCTCAGGGCGGCTAACAAGCAATAATAAAAACAAGTTGAATGAATACAACTTAAAAACAAGATTAAAATACAACATTAAAATATTGAAACATTAAAATATTAAAATGCAGCCTCATCACAGGAGGAGAAGGAAAAGAAAGAGAGGGAGGGAATCAAATTGGCTCCAAGCCAAAGGCCAGGCGGAACAACTCTGTCTTACAGGCCCTGCAGAAAGAAATCAGATCCTGCAGAGCCCTGGTCTCATGAGGAAGAGCGTTCCACCAGTGTTGAAAAGGCCCTGGCTCTGGTTGAAGCTAATCTAACTTCCTTAGGGCCCGGGACCACTAGGGTGTTGCTATTTATGGACCTTGAGGCTCTCCGTGGGGCATACCGGGAGAGGCTGTCCCGTAGGTACGAGGGTCCTAGGCCGTGAAGGGCTTTAAAGGTCAAAACCAGCACCTTAAATCTGACCCTGTACTCCACCGGGAGCCAGTGGAGTAATAAGAAATTTGGCATTTCATTCTGCAAGCCACCATTTACATCCAATTTTTAACTGGCCAAATCTTGATTCAGGTAGGTAGCCATGTTGGTCTGACGCAGTCGAAATAAATAAAAAAAATTAAGAAATTGTCCAGTAGCACCTTAGAGACCAACTAAGTTTTTCTGCACGCACACAAAAGCGTATACCCAGAACAAACTTAGTTGGTCTCTACGGTGTTACTGGACAATTATTTTTTTATTTATTTGGCCAAATCTTACTACTGAGGCTAGAACTTCCCTTGTTTTCAGTCACACATGGCATTAGGTTGGTCCTGGGGATGAGAGAGAGCCAATGGCAGATTCACGGTTCAGCATCCTAATAAATCAATGCAGGAAGCAAATGAAACGGAATGCAGATGACCTGTACAACATGATATAATAGTTTATGCATTTAAATCTGCATTAAACTTCTGCCCATGCCCCCTCTCTTCCAGTGAAGAGATTTCCAATAGCCACCTTTTTAATGGCAGGAGCTAAAATGCGACCGGTCTGAAAGATCTATCTTATGTTTCACAACACTGATTTAAATGGTCTGGTAGCTCACACAGAATAGATAACATGGTATTTGAGGATTTGTTGCCTTTTTGAAATAGGCAGGGATGAGCTTCTCTATCAGGATTGCATCAACAATATCTGTTCCATTAAACAAACACATTACACAGGAGCGCATGCCTTGTCTGCCTGAGGAAACCTGAACAAACAGATAAGAATTGGCTTTGACAGCCTTTTGTTGGTGGTCAGAGGCAGCACCTGGTGCACAGCTTTCAGCAGTACAGTAGTATGTCACTAGCCAAGCAATGCTGCTTTATAACAGGACTCGCTCTCTGTACGTTTCACCCTTGAGATATCTCTTTTATAATACAAAGTGTTTTACACGTACAAGTCAGAACTTGCAGTAATAGTTGGCACTCTTCTGTTTCCCTGTTGCTTTAGGTACGTGTGTGCATTCTTGTTTAACAAGTCTGGAACTATGACACTCCCGCTACATGTTTCAGTGCAGCCCATGTAAAAACAAAAACAAAAAACCCTGCATGTAGAAAGTTAGCAGGGAAAGGAGATGGCAGATTCCAATGATATACTAGCTTTCCATGGGCAGGGAATGTGTTCACGTGGTGAAGCATTCAGATCACGCAGCCCAAGGGCTGTAATAATTCTTAAAGAACAACAAAACCCTGTGCTTTTGAAATGTGTGACATGGCAGTTTCCACTCAAAGAGCTCATTTTTAAAATAGGAAAATTCCTTTTTTTAAACAACAACATCACATCATTGGCAGCAATGGTTCTAATTCAACAGAAGCTTCAGAGAAGAGTTATTTAAGGTTAGTTGCTGTAACCACCATCTCCATTTGGCCATCTCCATTCATCAAGCGATGTTTTCACCAAAGTGCTGTTATGATCAAGTCATCTGAAGGTTACTAGACCTTGAAAAACTAACAAAGTTGATGTTTTTAAAGAAGACAAAAACTGGAAAATTTGATGCACAGCTCTACTCATGAAGAATTTGGCATTTCAGGTTTGCTTGTTGTTCACAAGGAACATCCTTTAAGTTCTCAGGGCCTATAGGTAAGAAATTTTATCCAGTATTGGCTTATTCAAGGTGGGACACCTGATTGGGAAACCCTGTGGAACAGTCTGGAGTCTGCAGTAAGGTGGGGTGTCAGGGGGGGGGGGAAATCAAGTGCCTCTCTTTACATAGGTGGAAATGCTTTCCCTAGCACAAAGCCACCATTGGATAAAACTCAATGTTTTAAAGGGCCAAAAAAAAAGAAGGCTGGAGAAATCTGTAGCAGTTATCAAGATGGTTGTGTAAACAGTTCCAACAACTTGTTATTGTTATATCTCTGATGAGGTTCTCCAAGAAGCCGAAAAACCGATGGAGTTTGAAAACGAAGAAGAAACCCGGTTCAGGAGATTTTAGAAAGAAAAACAACAAGAGTTTATTATGGCACCTTCAAGTCTAGAGGTTCATTTAGGCATAGGTAGAAAAGGTAAATGGTAAATGACCCCTGGACGGTTAAGTCCAGTCAAAGGCAACTATGGGGTGCGGTGCTCACCTTTCTTTCAGGCCAAGGGAGCCGGTGTTTGTCCAGACAGCTTTCTGGGTCATGTGGCTAGCATGACTAAATTGCTTCTGGCGCAACGGAAGCACCGTAACGGAAACCAGAGTGCACGGAAACGCCATTTACCTTCTTGCCGCAGCGGTACCTATTTATCTACTTGCACTGGTATGCTTTTGAACTGCTAGGTTGGCAGAAGCTGGGACAGAGTAACAGGAGCTCACCCTGTCATGGGGATTCGAATTGCCGACCTTCCGATCAGCAAGCCCAAGAGGCTCAGTGGTTTAGACCACAGCACCACCCGCGTCATTTAAGCATAAACTGTTAGGAACTAGAGTCTATTTGCATCTCATGGTACATGTCCACAAAATGATATGCCATGATAAGTCTTTTAGTCTTTAAGGTGGTATGGGTCTATTTAGTGCATTTGCTGGACCTCTCTGGAAGAAGAAAAGTGTTACTTTTGAAGATTATCCTTAAATAGAGAAGGCTGGTGGAAAAGGTGGTTCGGATTCAGAAACTGGGAACAGCGAAGACTGTTTTTGAAGCCATTGACACTGAAGGCAATGCATTTTTTAAAAATGCTAGAATAATAACTGCAAGACGACCTGTTCATTGCTTGATCATTAATGAAATAAGGCCTCAGGAAGTAGCAGCTGGGGCTATGAGTCAGATGAGAACCAAGCAGACCTATGGCAGAGCTTGGTGTCTATCAGAGAAGGCGTCAGTGACCGTGGAGACAAGACAGGAATCTTTCCCCAAGTTGGTTCCAAGGAGAGAGGGCGAGGGGGGAAATGAAAGAAGCAGAGTGCCAGAGGCTCTGCCTCTCTTCTTTCTCTCTCTTTGGCTGACAGGTTGGTGGAATCTCACCTAGAAAGCTGAATTAGAGAGGGAGGGACTTGCTTCTCAACCAGGCAGGTGGTACTGGCTTTCAGTTGCAGAGAGAGAAGGAGGCAAGGGGATGGGAGAGCAGCTGGCTGAGACTGGCTTGCAGAGTTTGGAAAACATTTTGCTTCCAAGCTGTTCCATATGAAAACTGGATGAGGACTGGGAAGGGCAGCAGAGGAGGAGAGCCATCCAGTCCATCGATAAATCTTTGGTGCACAATTTCTTAATTTTATTGAGCCCAACATGTTTTGAACTGTGTTAAGGGCCCTGCTGAACAACCTGTTTCAGTCTTGGGCCTATTTCCCCTTTTATAAATACTTTTTAGCAAACTTGAGAGTAAGCCTCAAGAACTCGTATATGGAATAAAAATGGACAAGCACCTCAAGTGCCATTGTTTACAAATGGCTCAGTTTTCTAGCCAGGCTGAGAAGCAGCTGCTTAAAGTGATGGCAAGGTTAAGGGCTGCGCTTGGCAGCTTGTGTGGCAGGGAAGGTCACCTTGAAAATATTATTGTTATCATGGAGCCGGCACCCAATATACTTTGCATGAACATTACACAACTAAGGTGCACATCTTCTGTGACATCGCTGGTGCAAATCCTATTGCATTAATAATCTGAGTACTGTGGCCATTCAGTAAGCTGGAGTTGGCAAGTAGTGGTACTGTTAAATATATAGTAGATTGTGTGTTTTTTAATATGTAATTGACTCAGGGGCGGACTTTGGCAATCCTTCATAATACGGTGCCCCATGTGAGGCCAAAATCTGGCACCCCCAAATGGATCTTCTCAGTTATGCATCGCCTCAATTTTTCACCCCCTCAGCTTGGCACGCTGTGCAGGGGAACTACCTACACTGCCCTAAATCTGGTGCTAATTGACTCTTACTTCTAAGCCACCTTGGAAGGATTTCTATCCTGAAAGGTGGGGTATATTTATTTCATTGGAAATTTTAAAAAAGATATGTAGGGGACTTGTTCACACATGCTAATACACAGTTTTGGCTTGCAGTGTATTGGGTGGAGCTAAACCCAGACTTGCATTTCATGTGACCTCCTATGGATGAATCAGGCTTCAGCAAGCATATGGCAGAGTGAATAATCTCTTCTAGGTAAGAAGCATTTCTTGGGCAGGAAAATCACTCTTTGTCTACTCGGTTGTCTCCATAACAACAGAGAGTCTTAACAACAAAAGAATAGCCACTGAGGCTGTCACCTAAAAATCTCATGTTCAAGTTATTGTTGATAGCAACACAACAGATGCCAGGACAAGAGGTTACTAGCAGACAATAATAGGCACTACACCTATCCCTGAAGTATTTCATGTGATGCTTTTAAAGTAGAAAACATACCAGAGAGTAAGGCAGATGCAATCGTCGTCATTACATAAATTGCACATGATAGTGTGTTTTTTTGGTTTCGCAAGAAAATGCTGTTTAACTTCCGTAATGGAAAAAATTGAAAAGCACTTGCTGCAAATGTTGCATTCCTCTTTAGGGTAAGTACATCCAGGTCTTGAACAGTGAGACTAGAAATCATTAAACATATCTGATCATTCATATATGCAATACATATATGCAATACATATGGCCACGAGAAATGGGTACCTTAAAAGGGTGACATTTTTATTTTATTTAAAAAAACAAATCCATCTGCAACTAACCTTAATGCCAAGATGCCCACATTTATCTTTGCTCTGTGCACTTCAGCCTGTACAAAAGCACTAGGCAAAACTGCCAGCAATGAATGGAACTTTGGGGGGGGGGGATTCATAGTGCTAATCCATTAGCATTGGACAGCAGCATTATATGTGATTCTTTTCTTGAAAAGAGCTTTCCCTGAAACTCGAAAGCACACATAATAGAGCAGTCATCTGCATAATAGCTAAATTTCCTAGAGTCTTTCTGTTAGGGCCAAACTACACAAGGCAATGCAAAACGCAGCCATGGGGTTTTCCATTTTGGACTATGATGATGGTATTGAGAGGTATTCGCCTCCTGTGCCATTTTCCCAATGAACACGCCCCCTACCTCCAGAGCTGGCTCTTTGTACATCAGGAGATGGTACATTTACAGTGCTTCACACACATGCAATGGGAGCTATTTCTTCTAAGAAAGAGAAAAAACAAGGGATGGTTACTGGGAGAGGGAGGGAGGCATAACCTTCAACATTTCTCTGATGCAAATAGAGACATCCTGTTCCATAATAATAATTCTACTATTTATATCCCACCCATCTGACTGGCCCTGAGTAAGCATGGTTAAGTTTCTGCTTCATGGCTCTCCTTGGACACACACACACACACACACGGTTTTTTAAAGCAAGCCTCTGCATCTATGTAGTCATTTCAAGCCCAGTGCATCTGTCTGCCATGCAGTCTCCAGCTGACCCTGACGTAATATGTGAGGCATGTTACTCATTTCAGTTCATGTGAAGGAGAGTGGATATTATTTAGGAAAGTCTCGCCCTCCAAGAGTAATTTTTCCACTACAGCTGTACACATGGACGGTGCACCCAAACCCACACTACCTGTGCCTTTGACCTTACTTCTGGCTGCTTCTGTATTGTATTCATCTTTGTCTTTTGGATGAATGCAGTGGTGGAGATTTTCAAGACGTCTCTAAACTAAAGGTGTCTCTGGCAGTTGGTGCATTGTGTTTCATATTGTCCGATTCCATCTGGGATGACTTAAAACACCTTAGCAAATACTTGAAGTTCTGAAAAATGGTGCCAGTGGTGAGCCTGTTCTTTCACTATTTTATCTAAGTGTGGTGTTCACGTTTGTTTTCCAGTTGTTGCTTGTGAATGGCTTCAAGATGTTTTGCATAGTCCAGGGGAAATAGTTATAGCAGATGGCTTTAAATTATGACAGCCTCTGAGTTTGCCGCAATTGTTTCATCAAACTAACTACAGTCATACCTCGGGATGAATACGCTTCGGGTTAGGCAAATTCGGGTTGCGCTCCACGGCGACCCAGAAGTAACGGAGCACATTACTTCTGGGTTTTGCCTTGCGCATGCGCAGACCGTCAAAATGACGTCACGCGCATGCACAGAAGCGCTGAAACGTGACCTGCGTGTGTGCAGACTTGTGGACACGGGTTACGTTCACTTCAGGATGCAAACGGGGCTCCGGAATGGATCCCGGTCGCATCCCAAGCTACCACTGTATTAAATATTGTCCATGGAATGGGAGGGGGCAGCGTTAATTAATACTGTCAATCCAGTCTCACGCATTGTTTCTTTTACATAAAGGTAAAGTTATCCCTGACCGTTAGGTTCAGTCGCGGATGACTCTGGGGTTGTGTGCTCATCTCGCTCTGTAGGCCGAGGGAGCCGGCGTTTGTCCACAGACAACTTCTGGGTCATGTGGCCAGCATGACTAAGCTGCTTCTGGCGAACCAGAGCAGCACACGGAAACACCGTTTACCTTCCTGCTAGAGTGGTACCTATTTATTTACTTGCACTTTGATGTGCTTTTGAACGGCTAGGTGGGCAGGAGCTGGGACCGAACAACGGGAGCTTGCTCCGTTGCAGGGATTCAAACTGCCAACCTTCTGATCAGCAAGCCCTAGACTCTGTGGTTTAGTTAAATATAGTGATTCGGCAAAAGGGAGTGTAGATGATACCATTGCATGTATGTGAGGGTTGCCTTACCTCCCTCCACCCAACCAACCACCCATATGTAAAATACAACATCAGTTCTCTGTGGAACTATGTATGTATGTACGTACGTATACACACATATGCATACGCGCAAGCAGTGATTAGAGCATGGAAGAGTCTGTTTTCTCCAGCGAGAAAACTTTATAAAACTATTCCTTTGATTGCATTTTAAAAGTCATTTTGTGATCCACTGCAGCAAGAAATTAAACTTTATCCACATCAGTAATTCTTTTACAGTTATTTCACAAGGCCAGAATCCTTAGCACATGTATTTAGAAGCAAAACAAGAAAAATCGCTTCCTATTAGGTGTGGCTAAGACCAGAGGAAAGCTATGCATAACATCCCCGATATAGTGGTACCTTGGTTTACAACCATAATCTGTTCCAGAGGTCCGTTTGTAAACCAAAACAGGTTGTAACCCAAGGCATGCTTCACCAATGGGCCTCCCAAAAAAAATTGTTCATAATCCCCGCAAAAATGGGTTGTAATTTGAAAAAAGGTTGCAAACCGGGACACGTACCTTTGGGTTTGATGTGTTTGTAATCCAAAATGTATGCAAACCAAGATGTATGCAAACCAAGGTACCACTGTATACCACTGTACCTCCTATTTTGTAACTTCAGAGCACTCTTACAGGTAGAGGGGCCAGATGCTAAAGACGACAAAGCCCCTGCACCTTTATTTAGTGCTGTGCCCCCACCCCACAAAATCCTCTTTTCTGGAAAAAAAAACATTTTCAACCATTCTCTGTCTTGAAAAAAAGAAGTTGGTTCAAAAATTATCAGAGGGCAGAGAAACGTTTGGTGAAATTCCTCTGGGTGGGGTACAGGATTGTTGATGTGGCAAGGGGCACCTTGTGCTTGCCCTTTCATTCTGCAAATCATGCACTCTGAAACCTTCCTGCATGCTAGTACTTTGAATAATGTCCAGAGGAAAATATCACAAGGTAACGCCTTCCCAGAAAGGTTCTTTCAGATCAGAAAGTGGGAGCAGCTGGTAAGACTGCAAATTGCTGTGAAATGTTTACTGGAAAGAAAACAAAACATACATACCACCTCACAGTGATGATAAAGTTAACTCAAAGCCCCACACTAGGAATGGGGGAAAAAATTGATTCCATTCCCATTTAGATGTGAGTTCACCTAATTTGCACTTTCGGAAACAAGGTGTAAACTGAAACACAGCTGTCCTTCAAAATTCACACCTCTCTGAATTTTGCAGTGCCATTCTCCAACTAAGTAACATGTACAATAATGCATATAATCAGGTGAAGAGTCCACAAAAATGCATCTATTAGTGAAAGTAACATGCAAAAATGCATTGTTTTGGGGAAATTGTTTTGTAAAATATGCATATATTAAGCAACACCGCATATAAGCTTATACATTATACAAATTCACACTAAAATGCTGGCAAATTTCCATGACTTTTTTTTTTAATGCATCTTGCCATGGAAATGTGGAGAACTGGATTTAAGACTGGAAAAACAAGAAACAGTGAAGGAAAATTGACAATTCCCTCATTCCGCCCCACATCCACCAATGTTCTAAAGATGTTTTCAAATGTCCTGACAGTGAGGCAGAAAAACAGAAGTCTTTTCCACAGAAAAATAAACGTTTCACAAAACTGAAGGACCAGTTTCAGCACAGTGCCACCTTAAATAGTTCTGGAGAACATATAATTCTAGCAGGTATAGCTTGGAGGACAAATGCCTTATTAATTTATCCCTATCATTTTTATCTTTTTCATATTTAATTTACAACTGAAAATGACGCTGAAATCTTTTGAAATACATCTTTAAATACTGTGTTTCACAAACAAGATAATGTACTTGGATTTAAAGAGCTCTAGTTCCAATAAAACCCATGGAATTAAATTAAGTTAAAAGCAATTATTGTGTACTGTACGTTTCCGCAGGTCCCCCCCCCCTTGTATCCAAGTACACATAAATGGAAAGGAGTGAAATTGTACTGGTTCAGTTGAAGTAATCTGTGGATTAGATAGACTTTCCCTTTGTTGATTTGCTGCTTCACTCAAGCTATATGAAAGCATGCTAAGTAATTCTACAGGGTATTTGACTCCATAGAGCATATGGTGACACCCCACTGCTATTATAATGGAAATATTAATCAAATTCTCCACCATTTTTTTTCTCATATAGCTTGATTATAAATCTCCTTTTAAATTGCATTCCATTATTCTCAGTTCCTTTCTTTATCTTCCTTCTTTATAATCTTGGGAAGGAAGCAAACCTCTTTATTGATTTTATCATCGTCCTCAGTTCATGATCACTTACTCAGGGTATGCATATTTTAGCCTTCCCTCATCAGTCATAACATTCAACATGCTAGACATCTTATCTTTCTTTCATTTCTTTCCTTATCGTTAGTTTCTTGTAATTAGATGCTTGGTACCTAATAATAATAATAATAATAATAATAATAATAATACTGTATAGGGTTCTGTATAGGGTTGCCATACATCTGCAATTTCCCCTCACCGGCCCTCATTAACAGCATCTGGGCAGAAATCGCTGACATGTCCGGGAAAATCTGGATGAATGGCAGACCATACAAAACCAAAAAAGTTCAACAACTTTGGCCAAAAAGGAAGGAAGAAGAGACAAGCTCAACAACTTTTGTGTCTGGATTTTCACTTTTTGAAATATGGCAACCCTAATACTGTATGAGGAAGCAGTTCATGTTTGCCAAGTCTGTGACATGTACATAGTGATATTTGTGTAGTATTTGATCTGTCCCGAGGCTAGATAGAGCCAAGTAAACTGAATTTTGTTCACAGTCTTGAGAAATGGATACTGAGGACTACTTCAAGAGTTAGGCATTGTCTATGTGAGAAGTGTATTTGTGCAAGAAAACAAAAGTTAAATCCACATATTGATTATATTGTGTGATGATTGCTACCACATCTATTTCATGTCAGCCAAGACCAATTAAAGCGTGGAATTGGTTGTGACTATCTACACATATCTAACGTGTGATTTTTCTATGTCAAAGTCTAGAAGTTAAATAAAAGAGTGATTGTCATGGACTGGCTGGATGCAGAGGGGTGGTGGGAGGCAGCAGCTGGGGACCCCCCAAGGGAAGAAGGCTCAGAGCCAGGGGATTAATGGTGGGTGGTCGGGGGAGATTAGGGAGCAGACTGAGAGGAGGAGGTGTCAGAAGCTGAAGAGGTAACAGGATTTAGTGAGCAGGAAGAGTCTGGCAGAGAGAAGTCCAGAATCAGAGGCAGAAGCAGGAGCTGGAGGAAAGGGGAGCCAAGAGGCAGAGAAGAGGCAGGCTACCCCTACCCCTGGTTTCACAAAACCACAAAAGGTATGAAGAGGGCAGAGCAAAGCCAGACAAGGCATCACAGTCTCAGATTCCTTGGATCAGGGGTCAGCAAACTTTTTCAGCAGGGGGCCAGTCCACTGTCCCTCAGACCTTGTGCGGCGGTGGACTATATTTTGGGGGGAAAATATGAACGAATTTCTATGCCCCACAAATAACCCAGAGATGCATTTTAAATAAAAGCACACATTCTGCTCATGTAAAAACACCAGGCAGGCCCCACAAATAACCCAGAGATGCATTTTAAATAAAAGGACACATACTACACATTTCACACAAGGTAGTGAAAACACACTGTTTCCTGGACCATCCGCAGGCCGGATTTAGAAGGCAGTTGGGCTGGATCCAGGCCCCCAGGCCTTAGTTTGCCTACTCATGGCTTGGATGAAGGAGACTTAGAGAGTGGTGCCTCATTGGGGCAAGATCTACTGGGAAGAGTTACTTTGCTCACTAGGCTTGAGTTCAGTGATACCTTGTGAGTTATTTCTGACCTGCTCCCAACACTTGCCCCTACAGTGATGTTTGAAGTAGCCCTTAATCTGTAGATACCTATTTATAGGTTTACCTGCATATTTATGCTGACACTTTCACAACCTCAGTTTGTAACACTGGCCGATATCCCTGAGCAAGTATACAGTGCTCCACATTTGTTTTGTGACAGTGTTTGATGCAGTCTAATAGCATTTCATGAAGCTCATATTCAAAAACCATGTGCCGATATTAATAAAGAAATAAAAATCCATAAATGGTAAACTTGTCCCGACTCTACCACACAGTGGTGACAAAAATAAAAATCAGTCTAAACTGTGGCTCCAGTCTGCATTGAAATGTTTGTGCATAAACCCCCACTTTAGATTGGACAGAACTTGCCACTGTGTAACTGGGCTAGGATTACAACCCTTTTGTCAGTGTTCCTCAAATTTCTATTCATATCATTCTCAGAAATGGATATTAAAAAGCTATTCATGGTCAAAATGAATGCACCACTGAAATATTTTTGCCTATCAGTATTCCATTACTGGGAGATACTTCAATTATTAATCAGTGGCAAATTATGACTTTGAACTTGGACTAAATAAGCTCCCCTTTTAATTTAAAGTGTTTAGTGGCACTCCCATGATATTTCCCATAGAGTCTGTGTTGCTGCATTGTTGTCTACATGAGGAGTCAAATCATAAAGGTGTCATTAAATATTGCTTTGTGCTATTGACTCTTTAATAAGTCACACAATAAAGAATGCCCACTTCAACAATGAAATGAGGGGGTGTTACAGCAGCTAAAAGCTTTTAAAATTAAAATCTACTGCAGTGGTATTACATAAATTTAAAGTGCCCATAATCTAGGTTTTAAAATGTTCATAAATAAAGGCTGTTAACATTTATGTTGTTGGCTATCTTCCTAGTAAACGAAAGGCATATTGATCCACTGGGTATTGTCAGTCCCATTAGCTTCGTGATACGATGTTATCAATATTTCACGTGGAATATTTATTTGTCACAATTCATCAACAAACAACTGTTGGCTAAGCGTATTTTAATGGGCTAGTTGCAGAATGAAAACCAAGGTAGCTGTAATTACTACAACAAGCACATTTCCCTTCAGCTTCTGCTAACCTGGTGCCTCCAGATGTTTCACCCTACAGCAGCCATCAGCACTACCCCAAAACCTCTGGAGGGCACCAGGCCAGGGCTGTTTTACTTTCAGGGTACCGTTTCCTTTAAAAAAAAGGAGCAGTCAAATTTCACCTTGCAGGAAAGTTTCTTCACTTTCATCCTCAGTGGATGTGAGTCAGGCTGGAGCTGCTACTGGAAATAAGAGGTCTGCATCTCCTCCTGCTGCTCCTCCTCCTGCTCCTCCTCCTCACTTTCCCAAATAATGCATAATAAAATAATCTGCATCGTATGATGTCATTGGGATGCGGGTGGCGCTGTGGGTTAAACCACTGAGCCTAGGACTTGCCGTTCAGAAGGTCGGCGGTTCAAATCCCCGCGACAGGGTGCGCTCCTGTTGCTCGGTCCCTGCTCCTGCCAACCTAGCAGTTCGAAAGCATGTCAAAGTGCAAGTAGATAAATAGGTACCGCTCTGGCGGGAAGGTAAACGGCGTTTCTGTGTGCTGCTCTGGTTCGCCAGATGCAGCTTAGTCATGCTGGCCACATGACCTGGAAGCTGTACACCGGCTCCCTCGCCCAATAAAGCGAGATGAGTCGGCCACGACTGGACCTAATGGTCAGGGGTCCCTTTACCTTTACCTATGATGTCATTACGTTCCCAAATTAATGGACTGCCACTTGTGGGCTGAGGAAACCATGAAGACCATGACATTGTGTCACATCACATTGCCTGTTGTAACAACACATTATCAGGGATAAATGAGGGTGAAACACAAAGTTGTTTTTAGTAACATTCACGCATCCCTGGTAATGCGTAGTTACTGCCTCATTGAAGTAAGGATTCCCATATTATATAGCATTCAAAAGAAGAAGAAGAGTTTGGATATGATATCCCGCTTTATCACTACCCAAAGGAATCTCAAAGCGGCTAACATCCTCCTTTCCCTTCCTCCCCCACAACAAACACTCTGTGAGGTGAGTGGGGCTGAGAGACTTCAGAGAAGTGTGACTAGCCCATGATCACCCAGCAGCTGCATGTGGAGGAGCAGGGAAGCGAACACGGTTCACCAGATTACGAGTCTATCGCTCTTAACCACTACACCACACTGTGTATAATGTGTTGTGTGCCCAAATCAGCAGCCTTTTAACTGTGTTTATGTTAATGTTGGTCTCTCCCCCTGCCATATCTTTGGGGTTGTTTTTTTCAGGGGAGGGGTATGCTATAGGCCTGTCAGAAACACTAACATTTATAAATATACCGCCTCCCTTGCCTCACTGAATATTCATGTTGTTTTCATGCTATTTGGTGGCCTTTTGGTCCCCTGGCTGGTGCTTCTTCTCAGAATAATATTTTCTTTTTTCTTTTCTTTTTTAAATTTTATTTGCATTCTTACAATTTCAAGAACCACATTCACATTGAAATCATTCGTACATATCTTACTTTATAATGATGTAATCATTTACGACTTCCATTCTTCCCCTTCGCTGGTTCCTTTGATTTCCCCACCATTCCTGCATATATATGCATTTAGTTCTCTATCCCCTTTATTATTCCTTTATTTTATATTATACTGTTGAATTTACCTTAATCCTGCTAACGTTTTCACGTGTTTACAATTATTTTCCAGATAACTCCACAAAGTTTTTCCATTCCTCTTTATATATTTGATCCTCTTGTTCTCTTATTTTACTTGTTAAACCTGCTAACTCTGCATATTCTATCACTTTTTAATTTCCAATCCTCCTTGTTAGGGACCTCACTCACCCAGAATAATAGTTTCTCCTCCTTCGCCTTTGCTGACTGTAGCTTTCACTGCTTGGTTGTGGCAATTCATGTGGTTTTGTTTACAAGTGTTCGCTATGTCATTGCATCAGATATATCATTATGGCAATGTGGCAAACATACGCACAGCCATTCAGAATGGCAGTGAGTGCAAGTGAGACTGAGGTTTAGTGAGGGCAGAAAAATGACGAGGAAAGCAGCACTGGAGATTAAGCCACATCCAGCAAGTCAAAAAGAAGCTCTCATTCATTAATGCAAATATAGTTGCATCAGCTAAAAACAGAAAACTGTTCAACACAAAAACAAACAAGCAACTAAGTCATTTCAGCTCTCCCTGAAGCGCCATAATGCATCTCCCTGAGTATGTTTCTCAGTATAATGTAGTTGTAAAAGACTCCCAGACCTTTCAGTCATGAGTACTTTAGGAAACAAAAACAAAGGGGTCGTTTGGGTTTCTTGTCTGGTTATATTGCCCATTAATCTTCATCCTACTTAGCACCTGATCTCTCCAGTAAATTTATAGACAGCAAGACTCTAATGAGCTCTTCACAAGTTTACAACTATGCTTAATGCTTCTTGAGCATGTGCCCCGTGCAGTAATGGAGTAAACTTAGGTGCGCTGTTGCAGGATTCATGAAAACTCTTTTCCCTATTCCGTATCTACATACTATATTCTTATTTAACCGATCTGTTTCTATGCTACCTTTCATGTAAACATCACAAGGTACATTAAAATAGCATTAAGTCTTACTTGCAGAATAAAATAGCAAGCCAACAGTAGTCCAAAACAAGCATGTTACTGTCAACTAGCATGACAATGTCGCAAAGGACAAAGAGAAAGCATTTCAACAGATGTTAGTATGCCATCGTTGTCAGCACCAGCCTTAATTTAGAAGGGAGGTTATTTCAAGGAAAAGATGCCACAGCCCCAAAGGCCCTCCCTCTGGTTGCTGCCAAGCAGATCCCACCTACCAGGGCCACTAGAGCAAGTTCATCCACACACACTCCCCACCAGAAAATCAAAAATATTCTTGCACAAACATGAGTTGCCAAATGCCATTGCCTTGACTTGCTGCTGCTGCTGCTGCTGCTGCTTATATAGTTATGGCTTTACCAACAACTCTTTAGAACAATGCAATGAAATGACACCATCTTTTGCAGAGCTGCGATTTCAATGGATTGTTCTAGAAGTTGTTAAGTGGTTTTTTTAATAAAACAAACAAACAAAACAAAACATGAAGGGGAATTTCCAGCAGCTTGCACCTGTGTGAAGAAACAAAACATAAAGAAATCTTACAGTGTCTGGCTTTTAGCTTATATTTGGTCTGGTGATGTCATCAAGTAGGCTGTCCTCTTTCTGGAATCAAGTTGCAAACCTTCTCCTCAACTGTAATTAGAGCTAAGCAGCGGTGTCAGGGAGCAGGATTTGTTCAGGCTTATCGCTTGCCTGCTGTCTCTTAGCACCAAACATCACAAAAGCACCGTGGTGAAATGAAGGAATTATTTATGTCTAGATATGTACTTTCACATCTAGTGCCTAAATGCTGTCATGGGCTATAATCTTATAACCAAGGTAAGCATTAACGGGTCTCTATAGCACACAGATTATAGCACTTTTTTGCCATTTTAGAACATTGCAATGATGTGTCAAAGGAAATAATTTGGGCGATGGGGAGGGAAACACCCAGGGACTGGGATACAGCTGTAGTTTTCTGAATACCAGTCAGCAAACAGATACAGGTAGGTAAATAATACCTGATGCAATAGCATGGGAGTCGACTGTGCTTCAGAAGTGGCAATAGCTGTAGGAGAGGAAGGCAGAATCTGATCAGTCTAACTGAAGCATTTCTTGATTCTTGTCTCCAAAGTTCTTTGATTCAGTTGAAAGGAAAGCTATTAAACTATATTAACACAATATAATTTAGTTCTGCTCGGGTTGCTGTCGTCTGCCACTCTACCACCACCTAGCAGCTTGTTAAAAATATGTAGTGCCTTCCTTTGTTTGTAGAGCCTCTTCTGAATTTGAGAAGCACTTGAGAATCCTGGATTGGCTCTCAGCATGGGGGCTCTTGGTTTCGTGTGGGAAATTTGGAGGCTGGTAAGATAAGGTGAGGCAAGTATATGCACTTTTTTGTCATGCTGGGTTGTAGGGAGAGGAGAGGTTATTGATGGTGCCTTGATTATTCATTTGCCAGAGTAACGATTAAGCATGCTTTCATCCATATGGTGTCATATGCTTAATCTGTTTCAAAAAGTACATACCTGAAGCCAGACAGAGAGTCTTGTCTGTCTACTGAAGAAGTCCATTAAGTACTGGAAATTTTACTTTCATTTTTCGCATATCAGTTTTAAACGCATGTTGATTAAGGCAAGGTGGATGGAGTTAACCTTTAGATTGCCAACATTTTACAGTGCCTGCTCATTTGCCCTTCAGCAACAGGCAGACACAATGGAATCTGCGCTGGCAAAACTTCTCACCTCCATTTTTTGCAGGCATGCAAAATATGGTGAGCTTTTCTTACCAGTTTTCTGTGTGTCACACTGATGTTAAAGGCACACACCTTAACCCTTAATTTGAAAAAAACAAACCCAAAAAATAGAAAAGGAGAAGGGACCATCTGTAAGCAAGTGTCAAGCTGGAGTTGGCAACCCAGAATGCTGTGGAGAATGGAAGCGCACCAGGTCCTGCCGATAAGCCTACATCTACCGCATATGTTAATATTGTTCTCACCATTTTGGAGGGGATGAATTTGCTGCACCCCTCCTCCCCTGGAAGAAGAAGAGAGGTGGTATCTCCCTAGGGGCGATTTCACCCGATGGGGAGAGGTGGTGACAGGCTATTTAAGCTTGCTCTGCCCAGCACCCTTTCCTTTATTCGGCACTCACTCTCCCACCCTTTTGCAGTGTGGACCTACAGGCTACTCATTTGTTTTCCATGGACTGAGTAGGATTTTTTTTTGGGGGGGGGGAGACCCTAATTGGCTCTGGGTCTTCTCTTTTTGCCTACTCCATACTGCTGGCTGATGTTTGTTGCAGTGCTGTTTCTTCTCTTTGGCTAATTGGTGCATAATCCAGGCAGGTGAGAGGGTTTCAGGAAGAATGGAACACTTAACTGAGTCAGGGTTGGGTTGTGGGTGTCCCTGAGTCACTGTTGTCGGGTATGTCCTGTGGGTGCTGGAGGTGCCCTTTGGCCTGAGGACACATTGGGGCAAATGTTGGCCAATGGGGCTACAGTGGGCCTGTTGGGCTCTTATACCCAAGGTCCACACAGTGGGGAGGAAGGAATCTTAGGAAGCCTTGCTGCATGCACACAGTGCTAACTTGCCCAGGCCACAGGGGTAAAAATTATCCCCATCTGTTAATGAACACCTGCCTGGACTTAAGTTGATTAGGTTACATTGGTTGAATCTGACTAGTTAATTTGTTCTGCAGATCCTCAAGTTGTTATAACCTATTCTTCCATATTTGAATGTCTTGACTCTTCTTCCTGGTGTGCTGGCAAATTGTGGTTGTCTTTCTAAAACATGTAGCAGCTCTGAATGGTGCCTGTTGTGTATATCTTGATATACAGAACTCCGTATATGGAGTGGGGAGTGGGATCTGAACATGCAAAGCTGCCTTAGTTAGACCATTGGTTCATGGCTAGGTAACTGATAGCAGCTGGCTTTCCCCAACTTTAGACAGAAGATCCAAACCTGCTGCCTAGATCCTTTAACTGGAGGTGCTTGCAACTGCCCCTGGAACTTTCTGCTTGCAAGGTTAATGGTGTTAATAGTGGTGCTAATGACTTCAGATATATGTGTGGCCTTACTGTGCATTTTCAGGGAGCAATCTGTGTGGGCTTCCTGCCTAGTTGAATAAATTGGCTTGTTTGCTTTAGAAGTCTGCAAAATCAGATTTTCAAAGAAACAAATGTGTCTGTGCTACTTCATTATAGGAGTAAATTATACTTGTACAGCAGCCATCATATATCTTCTAAAAATAGTGAGGACTGATTCTTAATTTATGTAATTGCTTAAGCTTTGACAAAGAGCCAATTCTAATAAGCACACATTTATATTATTAGCATGCTGGAGCTAGAAAGAGCTTCTTTTCCTTGTGATTATAAATATTGAAAAGGAAGTAAGTGCAACAGTGTCAGATGTCAAAACAGCCCATGTCAAAACGAAAGCCATATACGTGTAAGGAAATAAATGTGAAATATACTTTTAGCATCTGCTTGCACAAAACAATAATAAGTGACTGACAGCCACATTCAGTGAAATAACAGTTCTTGCTGCATTTGAAATGCTAGCTTCATGTTGGCCAAGAATTTCCTTGTTAGCTTCTTATACATACATATGTAGCATCAGTGAAAGATGAACAGAGTGTTTGAGAAAGCTTGAGAAAGTATTGAGAGGTGTGTGTTTCTGGATTTCTGGTTATATGTACTTCAAAATAGACCCAAGGAGGATTGGTAAAAAACAAAACAAAAAAACCTCTCTTCATTAGTAAAGCAGTGGTTGTGATCCAGAACTCTGAGGTGATAATAAGTGTCATGTTTCCTCTTGTCTATGAAAAGGCATGGAATCGTCTTTTTCAGACTGATGTTCTGACTGAAAAGCTGCTGTTTACAAGGAACTCAAATGATAAATTATGGGTGGGTGGCCATGTTGCACATAAGGTAAAGGTAAAGGGACCCCTGACCATTAGATCCAGTTGTGACGGACTCTGAGGTTGCGGCGCTCATCTCGCTTTATTGGCCGAGGGAGCCGGCGTACAGCTGGTCATGTGACCAGCATGACTAAGCCGCTTCTGGCGAACCAGAGCAGCACACGGAAACGCCGTTTACCTTCCCGCCAGAGCGGTACCTATTTATCTACTTGCACTTTGACATACTTTCAAACTGCTAGGTTGGCAGGAGCAGGGACCGAGCAACGGGAGCTCACCCTGTCGCGGGGATTCGAACCGCCGACCTTCTGATCGGCAAGTCCTAGGCTCTGTGGTTTAACCCACAGCACCATCCGCGTCCCATATGTTGCAACATAAGAAACAACAAAAGGAAAAAAGCTTTGTGGCACTTTAAAATATTGACAGCTTTATTGTGAAAACTTTTGCCACAGTGTCAAAAAAAAAGTTGCCATCTCTTAATAATCTCGGCTACAGATTAATTAAACCTATGTTCCTTGGATTTGGTAGTGTGGTACATTGTGAAGCGAGGGGGCCTACATTAAGCGTGTGAAGACTGTTTAAGCAAGTTGCTTGGTTTTGTTGACTGAATTCTTCAAGCAGTCATGTAGTAACGCTGAGGGGAACTGGTGTCAGGTTGAGGGAGTTTGGGAATGGGTAAAATAGGAACAAAGAAGTCAAAGTGAGAAAATGGCCTTCATTTTCTTTTAAAAATTTAAGGAAGGTCATGCTGGATCTCACTAGATTAGGCCACGTTTAACATCCTAATTTAGCATCACTGATTAGGTCAAGTTTAGCATCCTGCTTCCACCATAAACCAGTCAAATGCTTCCAGAAAGCTTACATGTTTGGCAGAAAGATAACTGCCTCCTCTATTGTTTGTCCCCCCCCTTCCCCTGCTCCTACCACCAGCCACTGGTACCCAATATGTACATTGCCACTAACCCAAGAAGCTTCACTTAGCTATCACAAATACTATCAACCCTACATGAATTAACCCTTTCTAAAGTCAGTGGCCATCTCCACATCTTGTAGCAGCAAATTCTACACTGGACTTCCTAGCAGTTACAGCTTGTACCAAGCAGAGGATGCTGCTACACCTGCCAAGCCAGAACTAGTTTGTCTCTACCTGGCTAATCACAGTGGGGTAGGCATAACCTAGAGTGATGTCATTAGTCAATTATTATTGTGGTAAAGAGTACTTCTTCAGCTCTCCTAAACCTTTGGCCCTTCAAATGTTGATTGATTCAGTTTTTTTAACAGTTCAGTATTTAAACTCATTCAGTACTATTCTCTATGGAAGGACAACGGTGGAAACAAAAATGAACTTTATTTGGCTTAAAAGAAAAATGCTTCCTTTGGTGCAGCGATACCTATATACTCATCCTTAAAATACAGTGGTACCTCGGGTTAAGAACTTAATTCGTTCCAGAGGTCCGTTCTTAACCTGAAACTGTTCTTAACCTGAAGCACCACTTTAGCTAATGGGGCCTCCTGCTGCCGCCACACCGCCGGAGTACGATTTCTGTTCTCATCCTGAAGCAAAGTTCTTAACCAGAGGTACTATTTCTGGGTTAGCGGAGTCTGTAACCTGAAGCGTATGTAACCCAAGGTACCACTGTAATAACCTGAGTTATGGTATAAGCATGTTTTGCAGGGCTTACAAGATTTTGATAGAGAATTAGTAAAGTCTACCCGGTACTGTAAATCTTTAAAGGGGGGTAGGGGTTGTATGTTGAATTTTGACATAACAATGTTGTTAAAGTTTTGCTTGGGGGTTTTTGGGTGGTTTTTTATTTTTTAAAGGAAAACAAAAACATTAATTTCCTGCTTACTCTCCAGTGCTGGTACTTGAGAGGTTTAAAGGGAGAGAATAATGTGAGTAAAATAATATGAAAGTGTATGGTGAGCCCATAACCTTAAAGAAATGCAACCAAACCTAGACCTTCATAGGGGGTACATTGCTTGAGTGCCTGTCTAGTGACCTGATATTTCCTTCTGAAATGGCAGGACTTAAAAAAAAAGAGAGAAGGGGGGTTATCGCTTTTTTCACGCACCTCTCTCCCAAGTTCTTGTAACTGAATTTCCCCCAAATTCAAGGTGTTGCTCATAAAGAAAATAAGGCTGCAATCCTAACCACATTTACTTTGGAGCAGTAGTGGAGCAACAAGGGGAATATTGCTTTGTTTCCCAGGCTTTGGAACACAGTGCTTCACTGCCACTCACCAGGAGAGAGAGGAGAAGGCCCAAGGCAGCACATTGTGGTTGCAGATGATTGTCTGATTGGGTCTGCCACTGTGCCCACACCTGTTGAGCTCCCAGCTGCCATGTCCCACCCCCCACCAGTAAGCAGAAGCTGGGAGAGCACTCGCACCCTGCTGGTCACTACTAATTTCAATAGGAGCTATTCTTGGTAGACAGGGCTAGAATTGCACTATTAACAGAAACAAACCGGACAACGACTCTGGGAACATATAGAAAACAGTGAGAAAGAATTCCGGAGACTTTATGGGTACTGTTTTCTTCTGACTCCAAGGTGCCTCTCCTTTGGGGAAAAATAAATTCCAAGGACAGCTGTAACAAGAGATTGCAGAATGAGAGATGGAAGTTTGACTGTGATTTAGTGTTTGAAGAAGGCTTTTCAATGCTTGGTTTATCCAAAATTTAGCACTTTTTAAGTTTTCCACTAGTTCAGTGGGAAAGTTTGTTGTGAGAAGTAATTCTCTTCATAAAGCATTTAGTTTTTACATTGTAATCAATAATGATGTTTTGTAAAGTGCCGTGCAATTGGCAGTGATCCTGACTTTGCTACCACTGCTGGGAGCATCCCTGCAATGGAACTTCCCTGAGGGGGCTGCTCTGGCCAGCAGAAGTGGGGAGGGAACTTTTACTGCTTCCCCCTGCAGCACCCAAAAAATCTAATGCCTTTCTGTTGTCAAAACCAATCCCGCATATAGTTATCCTTGTGCTGTTAGTTGAAGGATCAGGATACCCTTTTATCTTGTGAAGTAATGGAACTAACTGAATTGAAGCTTGTGAAAGTAATTTCAGGATCTTAAACCAAAGTTAAAGGATTTTTAATGGAAACAAACCTTCCTATTTTAAACATGACTATAATCATTCTGATACATTTTCATCATTTTCCATGGCATTTCATGCATTTTGTGCATTGAAGTCCAGAATCTGTTAGGGTCACCTTTCTTCCTTTAGATCTGCGTTGTAATGTGAGAGCTTTTAAAAGCAAGCAGATGTTTGATGTAATGTCTACGAGATAGCCCAGTTTTGAGCACATGGGTACAGAAGAATTAATGGGTGCTCAGATCTTTCCCATCTGCAACACCTTTTCCATTTCAGTTCAGTTGGTTTGGCTAGTTGGTTGCTAAGGCAACTTTCAATGAATGCCCAGAGTGGCTTGCAAAATTAAACTTATAATAAAGTAAATTGCCCACAATATAAAATAAGAGTTTAAAATTGGAAGAAATCAAATCAGACAAAACTCTTCATGAAAACCGATATGCAGAATATTAAAAAGCATGGGAAAATAAAAAGGTTTGTACCTGGCACCAAAATAACACCAAGGAAAGTAGGATCCACAGCTGGGGTGACACCACCAATTGGGCCCTTCGTCCTCCTGTTGGATAGCATAGCTCCATGTACACAAAGACCACAACCCTTTTCACACATACTTAGAAATAAGTCCCCAATAATTTTAATGGATAATTTTATTCCCAAGTAAATGTATACAGTATTGGATCGTAACATCTCTGTGCATGCCCATATGCAGAAAGCTCTTCCTTCCATTGAGCTGAATTTGAATGCATTCAAATCAAAGCACACATCAATCTATGAATTGTTTATGCATGCAGACGAGGCAGTTGTCACTAGGGATCATGAGGCTGGCAAATGCTAGAATCCAGTGGCGTAGCGTGGCGGGTGCAGGGGGGGCCGGCCGCACCGGGCGCAACATCTGGGGGTTAGGGTTAGGGGGCGCAAATCCACGGGTTAGGGGGTGCAAATTACTTGCCTTGCCCCGGGTCCTGACAACCCACGCTACGCCCCTGCTAGAATCCCTAGCTGTGGTTTGCCTGGCCTCACTGCCATTGTGACAAACCACAGTTTACTGTGATATTTGAGCAGAGCCTTTGTGATAGAACAATTATTCGTTTTTTTTTAAATGATATTTATTGAAAAAAGAGGTTTTTTAAAATTACAAAGAAAAAAGACAAAACAGAAAAATAAAAAAAATAAAACCATCATTTTCAAATTCTCCACTTTCATTACCTTCTTTCTGTGACCTCCTCCTCCTCCCTTTTCTTGTATCTTGATTAATAGTTGTCACAGCAAATCCTTTCCATAATTCATAGTATTCTGTCATTACATTACCTTACTCTATTTTCATCTTATCTTATAAAAAACCTTAAAGCTTAAAACTTAAATCTTATTTTTACCAACTTCTCATAACCATTACCTTTTTACCTAATTCTTTAAACATTTTTACAAGAGCCAAGTAATTTCATTTCAACATTTTTCTAACATTCATCAATTTTATAAAACAATCCTAATGATAAAAAAAAAGAAATAAGAACAATCCAATCTTCTTCCAGCATCCCTTCCTCCTGGTCCCGGGTTTGTCAGTCCTTTTTATCCCATTAGTCTGGCACATTAACCTGGTGATCTTATATCCGAGGCCTTCAAGTCTCTTCCATGTCCCTTCCGCAGCTCTTCTTCATATTTTCCTTTCACTCGTGGGAACTCCAGCTTAGTAGTGTTTTTGACCCTTTTCAACAAATCAGCCCCTTTCCCATAGTCCAGATTAGACTCCATGTGGTATTTTAAGACATGTTTCAAATTCCCTCCAAAATTGAGAGCCCCCACAGCTCCAAACATCTGACGGCCCATTGCCAGACTCGGAAAGTCCAAACATCTCTGCATAGGGGGGTCAGTCCAACCCCCCATTTCCAAATCAATCCAAACTTTATCTTTCCAAATCTGGTTTTTTCCAAGTTCATTTGTCAGATCCAAAGGCTCATTTTCCTGCAGGGCCAAAAGTTCCTCCCTTTCTGGCGCCCAAGATTCAGCAACATCCTCTTCTCTCAACTGTTCTGTCATGGCACACTCCTGTTTAAGTTCCTGGGTGGGCTCCATATAGTTTCCCACTACCTGTTCAAATGTTCTGGCCGCATTAGTCATCAAATCCGTCTTCTGGCTTAACTGATCCAATAGGGCATTTATTTTACAGAAAGCACCCAACAGTGCTTCTGAAAACATTGTCCTGCAAGGTCACAAGTCCTTTCCCACGGTTGTAATCTGTGGCAGCTGCAAGCTCCCTAGAATTAGTTACAATTTCATAGTCCCCCTCTAGGGGGAAAACTTCTGGTTGTTCTTTCTTTTAAGGACAATAGCAACAAAGTTTCTTTTTTAAAAGATATTTTGTCAATATTTGTTCCTTTAAAATGCGAAAGGAAACAGTGGAATCACAATGTTACTCTTCTTTTAACTATCTGTCAAAAACATTTGTCTCTGGTCAATGAGCTTCAAACGTCAATTCTGACACCCCGCTCCAGGATCAGGACGGTGGAAAGTTACTTTACTTTAAACTCACTTCTGCAGGTTTAAACAGTCCAAAAAAAAATCCCCCTTCTTCTCCTGCTACCAAAGGGGGGGTTCAACGATTTTAAATGGTGAAAACCAATCCTTTGAAAGTGATTTTCTAAGCTCTAGTTTACGTTGTCTTTGCTTTCTTCTGACTACAAGGAAACGGAAGGCTGACTTCCTGTTTAGATCTTCCCGTTTCAGTACCAAATTAAGGTAAATTTTTAAGTCCAATTCCTTTCTAATCGCCAGTTCTTATTTGAAGTCCAATTGTTCAATGTTTAAGTACTCACGGGTGATTATTTTAGATGCCAAATTGTCCCAGGAAAAAGGCAGCGCTCTCCGGCAACGGCTATGCAGCTTCGCTCCACGGACAAAGCAATTGACTCTCAGCACCGCGCCACTTCCCCTCTTCGCCCGGAGCCCGTTAGTGGGTTCCTTTGCGGGTTGGGGGCGCTAAGGGTGCCCGCCGAGTCCCACGGTCACAGGCTTCATCCGCCTGTGATTTCTAAAAGGGTCCCCGCTTCGCCGCAGCAGAAAAGACCCGTTTCGCGCGGAGCTGGTCCCTCCTGTTCAGAGGGAGTCCGCCGTTGCCGATGGCGCCACCCCGGAAGTCGATAGCACAATTATTCAAAGTGGGGGGGGGCGGTCTGGATATATGAGCACCCCTGTTTGAATTATAATAGTTTCAGTCTGAGGTGGGCACAGATTGGGCTTTGAACTTGCTCGGACTTGATTTGGGATCACACCACATCAATAGCTCAGCGGCAGAGAGCACTTTGCATGCAGCAGGTGCCAGATTCAATCCTAGGCTTCCCCAGGTTGAACTCTGAAACCCATTGCTGGCCAGTGCAGTGGACTGAGCTAGCTTGGCAAATGGTCGGACTCACTGGAACACAACTTCCAAGCATTTTGATGATTGCACGCCTGTGCCAAATCCAATGCAACCTTATGAGCTTAGGAGCCTTGATGTGAACAAAGGGCTTATGGTAACAGAGGTAACTGTTCCGTTTATTTAAATGGACGCAACCAAGTCACGTGTACAGCTCTTTGAGTAAAGAGAATTGCTGATCCATTTGAGTGAGTGGGTCATTCGGACACACAAGTGGTCTGTTGATAAGCGGATGGCTTTTTTTCCCCCCTCCTCATGCAACACTGCTTTTCTTCTACAGCCTTTCAGAATTGCATACAGAGCTCTGGGCAAAGGGCGATAACATTTTGGCAAAACCTATTGGTTCTTTTGCCTTGGATTTTGTTTGTAGGAGGCATTGCTGAAATAGGCAAAGAAGGAAAATAAGCACCGAGGAAACTAATGCAGCAAAATAAATCCATGGCGTGTTTTAACTTAAAAGACTCTTCAATCCAGGTAATTTGATGCCTAAGACAAAAAGTGAGAAATGTGCATGTAAACAATCTTCTTTCTATAAAATAACTTGCAAGCTTAAAAATTGCTTTAAAGTGGTGGGGAGGGAATGACTGATGGAAGTATAGTCAGGATTCCAGTGGTGTTTGTTCCCTGGACCGAGGTTTTACAAGCACCCATTACTGGAGCTCCCTGTACCCTGTGAAAAACCATTCCTGAACTCAGGAATGGCCTTTGATGTACCACAAGGACAAAATAGGACACAGGTTGCCATAACAGTTGCATGTGCAAGTTTACAAGTACAAATGCAAAATTATAAATAATTGTTATAATTTAAATAGAAACACCATGGCAGGGGAGACTTTCCAGGTCATCAGTACGCCTGCTCAGTCTGCTGCCCAGGTGTCAGTAGTTGGGGTGGGGACTTCAAAGCCATTCCCTGTTCTCTCTGCTTATGGTTCTTTATCTTTAAACTGGGCTTGGACTGGAGAGCCCTTCAAACACAGTGTCATCCTCTGTAAAATAGGGCACATTGCCATCTTTAAATCTGTTCTTCTTTTGTGTGCACAGTCCTCTTTAGATTCCTAAATTTATAGGAAAATGTCAGCAATATATCAGTCATTGCTACAGAATACTATACAGAATAGCTATTCTGTAGTTTGGAGTAGTGTGTGTCTGGCCTGTTGGAATTTTGTAATGTTGTGTTTATTAAGCTGTCTTGTAATACTGTGTTTGGTATGCTGTATTGAACTTTATAGAAAACGGAATGCAAATCTTGCAAATGAATATTTGCGTGCCCAAGGTTGACTAACAGTTTGAAACCGTCTGTATTTTACACACTAAATTGTCCTTATCATTAAAATGCTAATTAAATTGTAAACATCTGTTACATTCAGAGTTATAATGAAAATTGGCAGCTACATCTTTCTTGTGTCGGTGTTCTTGCTAGCTTAAGTCCAATTTGCATACAAATTTGATTGGGCATTGGTGTAAATGTCCCTGACCTTTAGAGGAAACGTTGGCGGGATTCTGTGTTTGATGTGATAGTTCTTGATGGAAGTGAATATAGCTGGCCCCTCTGGTTATCTTTAACCTGCTAGTATTGTCAGAAATGTTTAGGGAGAGAGGAGCAAACACTTGCTTGACAGTGGCCTCAGAGTAGAAAGAAAGGGTGGGGTGTTAATATATTTTGCAAGTACTTCTCTCATTCTAAGGCTGCAAATCTGTGCACATGTCTCCCAAGAGTAAGCAGTACTGAACACTGTGATTTATTCTAATGATCCTAAGCATGCATAGGAACACACTCTTGATTATTTAATCCGTGGCTGTCACCCACCTCCTGCATTTTTCACCCTTGCTCGTTACATTTTTTTGGTATGTTCTTGAATACAAAATTAGTAGTTTAGCTTGGATTTCTACAACTGCAGTGAAGTTGCTAGGAGACAGCTCTAGAGCTCTATGAAGCTCTTAGTGGTAAAAATGGTTAAACATACTACAGTCCTATACACCAGTAGTGGAACCTTCAGACTCTTATTTTCCATCAGCCTTAGCCAGCTTGGCCAGTGGCTGGGAATGAGAGGGCCACAGGTTCCCCACCCTGCTGTGCATTCCTGCTGAGTTCAATTGGAATAACCCCCAGATATGCTAAATAGAAAGGGACGCGGGTGGCGCTGTGGGTTAAACCACAGAGCCTAGGACTTGCCAATCAGAAGGTTGGCAGTTCGAATCCCCGCAACGGGGTGAGTTCCCGTTGCTCGGTCCCTGCTCCTGCCAACCTAGCAGTTCAAAAGCACGTCAAAGTGCAAGTAGATAAATAGGTACCGCTCCTGCAGGAAGGTAAATGGTGTTTCCATGCACTGCTCTGGATCGCCAGAAGCGGCTTAGTCATGCTGGCCACATGACCCGGAAGCCCCTTCGGCCAATATAGCGAAATGAGCGCCACAACCCCAGAGTTGGTCACGACTGGACCTAATGGTCAGGGGTCCCCTTTACCCTTACCTTTTATGCTAAATAGAATTGTAATCCAAAACATTGGGAGGAGGGAGGTACCAGGTTTGCATAGACTTTAGTCTAAAGCCATGACTTTAGTGATTAGGAATCCCTTGTGGTGGACCTCAGGCTCTTGCTCCCCATTTCCTCTTCTCATGAGAGGAGGAGACCAAATACTTTTTTTAAAGAAAAGAACAAGCTGCAGTTCATCATTTAAAAAACAACAACCTTTCCTTAGAACAAACCACTGTTCCCCAAGTTCCTACAAAATGTTCTAGTTCACACGTAAAGCTAAACCATGGTTTACATTAGTGACTCCTCCACTCCCATCTTCTCCTCTCATATGGCCAGGAGAATGGCGTCTGTGCTTTCCAAGAACTTCAGCTTATAATGATATCATTACATATCATTACACACAAACCAGGAGTCCTGGTTTAAAACAAGCCAGCTTCATAAGTAATGTTTTAAAGTTAGCTTGCTTAGAAACAAGTAAGAGCTGTTCGACAGTGGAATTTGCTGCCAAGGAGTGTGGTGGAGTCTCCTTCTTTGGAGGTCTTTAAGCAGAGGCTTGACAACCATATGTCAGGAGTGCTCTGATGGTGTTTCCTGCTTGGCAGGGGGTTGGACTCGATGGCCCTTGTGGTCTCTTCCAACTCTATGATTCTATGATTCTAACTGACCAGAGGGTATTTTTTTTTAACAATGATCCTTGGTTTCAACATCATGCTAGGCTAAGATTCTTGCAAAGCAAAACTGTATTCTGCAGAAGCCCTCCTCTTGGTCACATGCGGGGGAAAGGACAGGAGAGTACACAAGCCTGAGATTTCACTCATGAAGGCTCATCTGCGCTAAACCATTATATGCAAATATTACCAAAAGTGGAAACTTCAATTTTCTTCCTCTCATGCGTGAAGAAGGAGAAGGGAGGATAAGATGCACATACATGTCTGTGGCTCTCTATAGTACATTCTCAATGACCTCTAAACCATAGTTTGGGATAACCTAAGAACTGTGACAGAATGCTGTTGGAACTGTATTCCAGCAGTGGGTTGGGCAAACCCCAAAGTGGGTGAGTACAGATACCCACACCTCAAACATACATGTAATCACACAAACATAGACATGCCATATCTTCTCCCTACTCAGCTGATCTGTGTAGGAACAGGTGGGTTGTTTTCATTCAGATTGGAGCATGCTGGCTAGAGAAGTTCAACACGCCCCCCCCCCCAAGATGTAAATGAAAATTGCATCCTCTCTGCTTCTCAGCCGATTGGTCTAGATCAACTGAGGAGTTGCAACGCACCCAGGGTGGAGATGAAAACTGCCTGTTGCTTCAGCCAAAGTGACAGCTGTCAGTTTTCTTCCCAGCCGCAGCATGAGGAGGTCAAAGCCTCCCCATGCAGCACTCTGCAATCACGATGAAAACTGGACCACCTCTGCGCCTTAGTTGGATCTATACTGTTCAGCTAAGAAGTGGGGAGGGTACTGCTTCCATCCCAGTGCTGGAATGAGAGAAGCCTGGCAGGCTGGAGTGGGGTCCACATCCCTAGTTTATTTGTTTCTTTATGGTCCTTGCCTATATCTTCTCGCCCGGCATGACCTTGAAAGCAGGTCGTTTTAAAATATGTATATAAGAATAAGATGGACAAAAACCATAAAGCTGAGCCAATGAGCCAGTATTTCTTCTCATGTCAGTCTTACCTAGAGCCTGTGCAGACAGAATTGCTGGCTCCCTCTGAATACTGGCAGCTACAAGAGATCAAGAAACGGCGACAGGAATGCAAACTCTCAAGGAGCGACCTAAGTGCTGCTTCAGGACACATTGGCACCAATGTCGACTGCGCCTGACGCTTTTTAGGGTTCCCATTTAGCCATCATTTGAAGCTGTGGTTGTGTGTTTGACCCTTGGACTCTTCTCTGGCTTCCGTGAGAAGGCCTACTCAATGTGTGCACAATTCCCAAGCTGTGTGCCAAGGCACACACACTGAAGTTTAAGGGTGGGGAGTGTGCTGTGGCTGTCAGATATTCAGGGATCACAGCATCATGCCCTGTACCCTATTATGTATCATTTTTTTGTTTTGTGGGAAGCTTTTCATTTTGAATGCTGATGGCTTCAGGCTAAATGCTTTTGGGTATTAAGTGCTCCCTATTTGCTCAAGTGGTGATGAGTCATGGGGAAATGCTAACTCCCTTGAGGTTAGAAAGCAATGGGTACCTACAAATGCAAATTGTAAGGGTGCTTAAAAGGTAAAGGTAAAGGACCCCTGACAGTTAAGTCCAGTTGCAGATGACTCTAGGGTTGCGGCGCTCATCTCGCTTTACAGGCTGAGGGAGCTGGTGTTTGTCCGCCAACAGTTTTTCCAGATCATGTGGCCAATATGACTAAGCCACTTCTGGTGAAACCAGAGCAGTGCACAGAAATGCCATTTACCTTCCCGCCGGAGTGGTACCTATTTATCTACTTGCACTTTTGGGCGTGCTTTTGAACTGCTAGGTTGGCAGGAGTTGGGACCGAGCAACGGAAGCTCATCCCGTTGCGGGGATTCGAATCGCCAACCTTCTGATCGGCAAGCCCAAGAGGCTCAGTGGTTTAGACCACAGCGTCACCTGCATGCTTACATACCAGCAAAATTCAGGTTGCACAACTAAAGTTAATTTGATACTCTTGTGTAGCAAACTTGCTCCCTTCTCAGTGTCGCTCCCTTCTCATTCCCATGCCATGGCCACTGCTGTTGTGCTACCTGCCTTCGCTTTTGTTCCTCTACCCAGCTCTGACTTCATGCAATTCCAGGATTGTGACGCAGCACTGCAAATCCTCTAGTTGGGGCTGTGCAATGACATTCTATTATACAGAGCGATAAACAATTGATGAGCATCAGAGTGTACTGACAGACTTCAATTTGACAATAACTGTAACATCCAATTGAAGGAAAGATACGTAATTAAATATAACATGTGGATGTTGTACTGGACTTATGGTTAATTACTCAGAGCGAGCTGTTAAAGCTTTAGACATTCTCCTCCAGTTTTCTTTTCCTGCTTTCCCCCCCACGTGCAGATTTACAGAGGATGGTATTTGCATGTTAGAGTGCCTTTAGCAGTATTTTTTTGTATTTATGAATACACTTGAATAAGCTCCTGACTTACAGATAATTAAGCACAACTGTCAACGTGCTTCTCAGGGCTTATGCAAACTACAGGCACAGACTTACTTAGAAGATTTTAAAGAAAGTTTTGCATTCAGTAAACAATGGGGGAGGAAAGTTGGGTTGTATTTTTTGCACATTATCTGTCAGGATAAATTCCTCATAAAGTAGAAACACAGCCAGCCGGGTAGGGACATTAACAACAGTTTGTGATTATTCAGTTTGTCAGCCACGTCTCATGCTATATAGTTTTCAAAATGCTAGTAATCTCAGTGCCTATAAATAAGTGCAAACATGAGGCCTGAATGACAACACAAACAACAAGGACCAAGGTAAGTTGCACAAAAGACAAAAGGTGAGATGGCTCAGCTTTAAGCAAGTCCTTGTTAAGCCATGTTGACCAGGTACTCAACAGAGTACACAGCATGAGAGGAAGAATGAAGGGAGTTTATTTGACAGGTATGACCATTTATCTAGTGAGTGAGGTTTAAAAGAGCACTCACCAGGGCATATAAAAGTGCACTTAAGAGGAGCCCCGCAGGACTAGACCTAAGGTCCATCAAGTCCACTATTCTTCTCCCACAACCAATTTCCTATAGCCCTGGAAGTAAAACAAAACTCAGCTAAATTGGCAAAGAAAAAGTGATTGATATGTGATATAACATGGTGCCACCAGAGGGCGCTGTGGAGTCCCATTTTTCTCTACCTGTTTTTCCCCTGTTTAAATTTACAACGCATTTAACTGAAACGCTTCTTTGACGTGTCTCGACCCAGCCTTAGTGGTGATTGATTGATTGAGATGAGATGAGATGCCAAATCAAGTAATATAATGCTCCAGCATACACAGAACCGAAACAGCAAGAGATCTGTGGGGACCTGGCCTTCCCCTTGTTGCTGCTTTGGTGAAAGTTTTATTCTGTGAACCGCTCTTGAGATCTTGTGATGAAGGGTACATAAAGTTAATAAACGAATAAAACTCATGGAAGCATTAATATATTAGTATGTGTCAGAAATAATATCTCCAGGGCATACTCTCCAACATTTCTCCAATGAAACAGGGATGTCCTGTTCCATTATTATTATTATTATTATTATTATTATTATTATTATTTATATCACTTATATCCCACCCATCTAACTGGTTGCCCCAGCCACTCTGGGCAGATTCCAACATATATAAAAACATAATACAACATTAAATGTTAAAAATAGTTCCCTATACAGGACTGCTTTCATACGTTTACTAAAGGTTGTATAACTGGTTATCTCCTTGGCTTGGGGGTTGCATAACTCTGTACCTTCCAGTATTACTCCGATGAAGATAGGGACATCCTAAGGAAAAGCAGGACATTCCGGGATCAAATCAGAAACCAGGACGGCTTCTATAAATCCAGGACTGCCCCTGGAAAATAGGGACACTTGGAAGGTCTGCCAGGGGGATGGCTGTTTCCATCAAATCACCTTGTGCTATTTAATCCCTTGGAATGTAAGATGTGGATGAGGCAGTGAAAGATTCTGAGGCCAGGTATGGAGCATAGGTGAGTATTCAACAGCCCTTTGGGATCCTATGAATAAAGCAGGGATCGCTAACCCTTTTAGACTAATGGGCACATTTGGATTTTTGAGCAAGGGAGGGAAAGGGTACCCATTCTGAGCACTTCAGGACCAAGGGAGTGGCGGTGGTGAACTTTGTGGGCTCCAGGAGAAGATCTGAAGAGCACCAGTGCACTCATGGGTGCCATGTCAGCAACTGCTGGCATAGAGTTATTGAGGCAAGTATCGCAGTGGAGACATCTATCCGCCATCACTATCAGAATGGAATAATAAGTGATTTGTACGAAGGAGAATCTCTGCTTTGGCTTTGTAATGTGTGCAACTTTTATAAAATGGTGCTGATGTATCTTTAAGGAACAACTTTTTTGTCCTGTGTAGCCTGTAGAATATGAGCTGTGTGTGTGCAGCTAGCAAAGAGCAGCAAGTCTGCTTGTTTTGTGTGCTCCTCCTGTTTCTTCTTAAACATTTGGCCTTTAGCCTTCAAATAAAGTCAGTTGATGCCATATAATATATTTGGTGTGTAGCCTGTACTTAACAGGCTTGACAAGTCATGGTCAGGTAAGTTGCACGTACAGAGGGCACAATTTTTAATATTTTTCTGGAGAGCCAAAATGCTTGAGGCTATGATTGGGCTCTTCGTTTTATCTTCGTGCTTTGAAACAATCTGTTGGAAGGTGGAGGAAGACACCCGTTTGATGGAAACGTAAATTTGAAGAGCTTTTGTGGCTGGCAGTTTTGAGGAAGGTAGATCAGTTGACCGAAAACTCAAGGAGGTTTGGCATAATGAGAAACGGCAGTATATTACTTCCTTATTAAAACAAGAATTATAGAAAAACATAGGGAGAAGCATCCAGTAAAGGATTACTGGATGAGACTGATGGGAGTTGAGGTTGTTTTGATGAGCTAAGTGGGAAAGATAATGAACTGGGTGGTTTGAACTGAAAAAGCAGATGGATTATGAAGCTGTCTCATTGCTTGTCAAACTAATATAATTGATTCATAGACAGAGGTTGTAAGGGACTATGGATTTGGTAGATAGTTCATTGGAGTGGGATAATTTATAGTAGTGCATTCTTTAAGCCAGTGTGGTGTAGTGGTTAAGAGCGGTAGTCTCGTAATCTGGGGAACCGGGTTCGTGTCTCCGCTCCTCCACATGCAGCTGCTGGGTGACCTTGGGCCAGTCACACTTCTTTGAAGTCTCTCAGCCCCACTCACCTCACAGAGTGTTTGTTGTGGGGGAGAAAGGGAAAGGAGAATGTTAGCCGCTTTGAGACTCCTTGGGGTAGTGATAAAGCGGGATATCAAATCCAAACTCTTCTTATGTAGTTATGACAGTGCTGTGATAAATATAAATAATTGTAATAAAACCTATTTTTCATATGCCTGGTTTTAATAATTAGCAAAATCCTCAGTTGAATGTGCAATTAATTTGCATCATCTAAAAATCATGTGACCCACATACAATGTAGAACATCGTGCAACATGTACTTCTTAAGGACCTTTTTATGAACTGAAACTTCTAGCTTTGGTTGCTGGGGCAAAGTTTCTCAGTTTTGCAGACTCCAAACAGTTCTGATAATGTAAAAGTCCATTTTGTTCTTTATGAGGACAAATTGCATTCATTCTTACCACCAAATGGTGATGTTTAGGTTCAAACAGAATTCACCAGTAAGGATTGGGGGCAGGGGCATGTTTTAATGCCTACAGTGTGGATTAAAGTGTGTGGGGAGTTTTAATTAAATAAATCCTTTTTTTTGAAATATTTTTCTCTCTGCAGGCAGCACGTGCCACACAACTACGCTCCCTACCCTTGTCCGCACGCCTACGCTCATGATGCAGCCCTCGCTGGATATCAAACCATTTATGTCCTTCCCAGTGGATGGCAGTCCTGCTGTCGGACTTTTCCCAAATTTCAATACCGTGAGTAACCAATGTTGCAATTCCCCACCCATCCACCCAACTGCCCTTGCTTTTTTGCTTTCTTTGCTCCCTACAGTGAAGCACATCACATGTTGCTTGTTGCCGATGGAGTCATAAATGTTAGAAAAAGGTAGACTGGCGCTATGATCCCAGGAGCAGCAGAGACTGGTGAGGCCATGGTGGAGCACTATTCCTCTCCTGGCTTTCCAATATGGTGGGTCTCTGGAGCTTACTGAGAGAGCAGAGAGACAGGAAGCTTGGCAGGGTGGTGTGGTGCAGTGGGACCGATCCGATGCTGCACCGTGCCAAACTCCTAACTCCCCGCTCCCACTTGGCAAGTCTCAGTTGCTCATCGTTTTGGAGCACCGGGGTGCCTCCTCACCAGCCACTACCGCCCAGAAATCTTTGTCCCAGTGCTTAATGAATCATTTGACCTTTGTGAATGCTTGCCGCCTGTACAACTTGCTTCGTAAACTTTGGCTTGTGAGCGCAGCTTCTTGTGGAAATATTGAGAGGTAGGATGAAAAATAAGCGTTATATTCACCCTTGTTAATTTTGATACACCTAATCTCTCCTCTATTCACCCTGATCCCTGTCTGAAACTTTCTACAGAGACTGGTGGATTATTTCCTCCCTGGGAAGCCATTAAAGAGATATTTAAACTCCCCCTCCCTTTTGCACTGAGCTTATGAGACTTGATCAGTGAAACTGCAGGCAATGTTTGCCTTCCCTTAGGATACAGCTTTGCTCACTGTGCTAGGGCAGCCTTCCTCTCCCTGATGCCCCGATGATGCTTTAGAGACCCCCTCTCACCACTCCTGACTATTGGCCATGGTGGCTGGGGGCCAATGGTCCAAGAAATCTGGAGGGTTAGGAAGAGGTTAGGAAGGCTGCAGTTGTGTCATATTGGGGCTGTGCACCTGGTTTTCTGCACCTGTGTTCTGTTTGTGGCACGTTGGTGATTTGGTGTGTGTAACTCGAGGTTGGGAGAAACAATGAATACACAGCTCTCCCTTGGAGAATGGAAATTGGTTTGGAAATTGCATGTAACTCTACAACTCTCTGGTTTTGTATCTAGGAAACTGGAGAAGTTATTGTAGTATACCTGCCTCTATATTATGTTCCTAATAACTGTTCAGTCAGTCCGGTTGCATAAGGCTTAGTGCTAAATCTTGCAAAATTGCACATTTCAGAGTTAGCAAGCAATATTTCCACATTAATGTTACTCCTTTTTGTTTTGTTTTTTGTTTTGTTTTGAGAATATAGTAGAAAGAAAAAGATAAAGGCAAGCAAATAATAATAATAATAAATAATAGAACAGTATTGACATTAACAATAAGAATATTCTCTTAGTTCTGACCTAAATGTGTAAATTAGCATAAGCAGTCCAAATGTCCAAATGAAATATATAATTACAAGCCATGTAATTTAAAATGGGCAGTGAGATCTTCATTGGGTGTTAGGTAGTTGATGTTTGTCTTTCCAGCCTTGCAGAGTAATCCTCTTAGCCACCGTGGTCCATCTGTTAGTCCTTACACACAGGAATATAATAGGAATATTTGTGAGTGTTCACAAATACAAATGATCTCTCCAAAACAAAGTTAGTATGAGCAGTTATTTTTATACTGTAAACCACCCTATGATCCTCAGATGAAGCATTGTATATAAAATAGATAGATAGAGAATTTATTACGGTCAAAGACCCGCTCGCATAACACAATAAAAACAGTGTTCATAAAGATAAAATATACAATCAGAGCAGATTGTAGCAATAGCTCATGAGTTAAAATTGAGATATATACATACACCCGTACAACTGAGATTTGGGCTACCATAAAAATTGACCCTGAGGCACCCCAAAGGGCAACTTCAGCATTTCCCTAGTAAGCTGTTTTATTCTAGAGGATGATCTGTGCCTTCAAATCTGGGAGCAGAATCTGGCTACCAGCCAGGTCGTCTTGTGTTCTTTGCCTAAGAGGAGAGAATTAAGTTTAGACTTGTCTGAAAGATCGGTGAGCTTCTTCAGCAAAGGATCAATGGTGTCTCTACAAATCTCAACATAAAAAGGACATCTAAAAAATATATGTTCGTGGCTTTCCTATTTCCCCTAATGGGCAGGCGCAAAGTCTCTGTGCGTACGGGACTCTTCTAGAGGAGCCTTCCAGAACCGGTGAGGGCAAGGCTGAGCTTCTAGCAAGAGTGAAAGCCCTTCTTGCGTTTCTGGATGCGAGGAAATAGAGATATATTGCTGGAGCAGCTACATATCTCCCGTTTTCTATAAATAAATAAATAAATTCTAACCCGAGGGCCTCAGTTCAGCTTCAGCCTTTGTCAGAGCAAGTTGCTCGCTAGGAGCTCTTGCTGGTAAAGCGGCAACCAGCCTGCCTTGGCCCCTTGCTGTCTGAGCTCTTTGGGACCACAATGGGATCATTAAGCATTTAAATGCTTGAGCTACCAGTGCAGTGTCATGAAACATATTTACATCATTACTGCACTGGTCTTGCACAGGCCTCAGTGTGCACTAGTTCTCTTCCCTTGACAAAACGTGCCATGTTTGTTTATCTATAGAGCTTCATTCAAGCTTCTGTTACTCAACCTGAAGTGCCTGCATTCTCCCATTCCTTCTGAACTGGTTTTTTCCCCCCTCCTCCTTTGCCTTCTCTGCCACCTTATTCTCTTTGCTCACCACCAGTCTTCATTTTAAGTTCAGGAGTTTCCGCTTTCATCTCCTGCCTTTGTGCCTTTTCCTTTGCTGCACCTCATCTTTTGAATCCGCCCTCCCCAACCCACAGTGTGTGCATTGTTTCATCCATCTCCATCTCCATGAAGTGTTGAAATATTATCTTGGCTCAGGCCATCCTTCCCCCATAGGATTTGCTTCTTCTGCCCCTTGCATTTCCCGACCCCTTATTTATCATGTATTTCATCTTAGGCTGACTGTTGGGAACCGTCTCTTTCTAATCTCTGTAAAGTACCTAGCCTGTGGGTTGGACCTTAATAATTTAATATTAGGATGCCAAACTGATGAAAAAAACTCTCCGCTTAATCCCTGCATTAAGTTGTGGGTTGTGTATACAGTATACAGCACTGGTTTTGAAGGATAGCACTTCGCCTCCCCCCTATAATTTAGTAAATGGCATAACCCACCCACCCCCAAAAAGAGGTAGAGGGGTTTCTTAGCTAATTTTTTTGGGGGGGAGGGGGAGATAAGCTTCAAAAAGTCATATGTCACTCCTAACCTTCATTTTTATAATTCCTTTTCTTGATGCTCTCAAAATAGTTCCCAAATAGATTCCAACAGAATTTTCCTATAAGCTTATATTGCATACCATTTAAAACCAATAACTTGCATGTTTGCAAAGCCAGCATTGCCCTGTTGAGGTTATTCAGCAGGGACCCATTGTGTAAATAACAAGCTCATTGGGAAGAAGAGTGACTCGAGTCATTTTGTGGATCATGCCGTCCAGTGCGTACATACAGTTTGCTCATGCATAATAGTTACAAGATATGCAAAGCATTATATAATAATTGTAATTTCAAGGGTGGGGAGGAACCTCTATTATCAGCACCGCCAGACACTGGGGGTTGAACCAACGCCAGCTGTTGCTTTTCATTCTTCCCCTTTCTGTCTCTCTCCCTCTCAGAAGTTTCCCCTATTACTTGTAAATAAATTCTGCTGACAGACTTTGTGTTTCAGAACAAAGTATTAGAGAAAGATGATAGAATAGCATTTGCAGTCTTGAAAACAAGAATAAGTAATACCTTTAAATATTAATGTATTCATTTCAAAGCAGCCGAATCTGAGAATCTGATAATAAGTATGTGGCACATATTTATTTAAATGTGGGTGACAGTCTGGGAGGTGTCGCTTTGCCTCTCTTTCCTACATCAAATATATATATATATTGCTGGATTTTGTCACACATGGGCAGTGTCATGTTATAAGTGGCAGTGCTGTAGGCTGAAAAACAGGTCATGAGCCCTTGATAGTTACTTGATAGGAGTAGTCACAGTGCATGGCCCCAGGCAAAACTATGGGCAAATAGAAGCTTTTGCTTATTTATTTGCAAAAATGTATATACTGCCAGCGCTAAGAAAAAAATACATAATGGCAGTGAACAGCATAAGATCAGCAATAAAATTATATTAATGAAACAAGTACAAAATATATAACATTATAGAAACTAGCATTGCCACCAAACCTTGAATCTCCTTCCTTGGAATCCTGGTGGTTCATAGTAGCTCAGTTTTGAGATGAGCATTACAGCCCCCAAAGATCTTATCTGGCTTGGACTTTAACCTAAGATGGAGAAGAACTTAAGTCATTTCTCACCCACGCACGTAGATAGATAGATAAATAGATAGATAATTTATTACGGTCGGATACCAGCTTATAAAACACACTTGGGCGTACAATCCCAGAAGGAAAACAAACATTTAAAACAATGTACAACAATAAATTTAAAATTTATAAATGGGATAAGCGTATAGACACTTAAAACTATAAGATAAGCTACCGCAAAGAGATGACCCAGAGTCACCCATGGAACCGAGTTTGGGGATTTTCTTAACGAACTAGTTTGGGTTGGGGGATGGTCTGCGCCTACAGATCTGTACACAGAATCTGGCGACCATCCAGGTCGTCTTATGATCTTTGCCTAACAGGAGAAGGTCAAATTTTTGCTTTTCCGGGAGGTCAGCGAGCCTCACCAGCAGGGGATCAATGGTCTCACTACGTGCCTCTTCATAAAAGGGACATCTAAAGAATAAGTGCTCTGGGCTTCCTATATCCCCCAATGATCAGGCACAAAGTCTCTGAGCATATGGGACTTTTTTAAAGGATCCTTCCAGGACCGGCGAGGGCAGAGCCGTACCCATGCACTTATTCACCTTCCTTCTCCATCAGCAGTGATATAATGAAGGAAAGAGAGGGAGGTTTCTCTCTCCTTTGCCACGCTACTGTGGGTACAAGCTAGGCTTCAAGAGTACACAAAAAAAGGAGGATGTGGTACTCAGACAGATGTTTCAATTCCTCCACTGCTGTGTCAACAAGCCAGGTAAGCAGCAGGGTGAGAGGAGAAGGACCAATAGTTGGGTGGGGAGGAGGAGGCTCAGAGGCTTGCTGAGGAGGTGAGGTTGGAATGGCAAGACCCATCTCACACCAGATGACATCAACAGGTTTGACAGGGTCCAATTTCGCTTGGAATAAGCCAAACTGTTTACTAAGTTTTGGGGTAAATAGATTGGTTTTGAAAACCAATTGTCAGGCTCGACTAGGGGAATTCCTCCCATCACTATCCAAAACCCCAGCAAAAGAGCTTAGGATTCATTGTCAGGCAGCTCACTTGGTTTCTAGGAGTGCATGTTCAGGAAGCTGTCCCTTCAGTACCATTCCTGATTTATTTATTTTTTTAATATCTTCTTGTCATGTGAAATAGTTGCACTCTTCACGCTAAACCCAGTCCCAGCAGTACTGGGGTTCAGGTTTGGTCAAACACTGTGAGGCAAGGCTTAATTGGTGTGCTGGGCTCAGGTTGGAGACTCAGTGAAAGAAGAGCTCAAATGTTGAGAAGTCATCCTCAAAAGGAGGTTTCGATAGGTGCTGCAGCTCTGAATAGTAGCCAACACTGCCTTCTGTGCCTTCTTCATTTATTGGAGTCCAGCCTCCTTTCATAGTTTTTGGCTCACAGAGCTGGGGAAGGTTCCACGAGGGCTTTGAGCTGGAGTCACTAGGGCAGTGTGACCTCCTTAGGCACAGCAGGCTCCTCTTATGCTTGTGCTTCTGTTCCCTGGGAACAGATTCTACTCCTGATACTTGGCCTCATTCTCCAAAGGGGTGTGCATCTCCAACCTCGGGGCCAAGACAGTCCTACTGATAAAGAATTCCTGAGCGAAATAAGTTCCAGCTACTTTGTATACCGTAGATGCCACAGGTACAATGCAGTCAGGCTAATTCCCTCTTTAACCTTTTGCCTCTAAACCGTGTCAGAAGCAGCTCAAGAGAAGGAGAGACTGCCAACCACATAGTACAACAGCCTCCTGTCAGAAAAGGGAGATACTTTTCACGGTACGCTCAGTGCTCACCCAAAACCCTCATGATTTAGCAGACATGGGCTTTGCAAGTTACAGTGGTACCTCGGGTTACAGACGCCTTAGGTTACAGACGCTTCAGGTTACAGACTCTGCTAACCCAGAAATAGTACCTTGGGTTAAGAACTTTGCTTCAGGATGAGAACAGAAATCACGCAGCAGCGGCACAATGGCAGCGGGAGGCCCCATTAGCTAAAGTGGTGCCTCAGGTTAAGAACAGTTTCAGATTAAGAACGGACCTCCAGAACGAATTAAGTTCTTAACCTGAGGTACCACTGTATATTTTCTTCTGGCTCTTCATCTACTTAGAATTCTGTATGGTGTCTTGTGTGAATATTGTGCACACATCACCAGTTATAAGCATTTTTTAATCAGTATTGCAACATGCTCCCCACCTCTAGAATGAGGATTTGGTACCAACAATAAGGACTTGCAGACATTTACAAGGGAAGGTTCTGAACAAGTACAAATTTTGAAGAGCAGAACTCAACAAAGTTGGATTTAATAGTATTACCTCTACTTATAAAATGAAATATATGAAACCATAAAGGTTTCTGAAAACGAGCTGTTAGCAGTTACCAGGCACCATGTTATATTGTGCAGCAAACAACCATCTTCCTACTTCCTCTGATCTACACTATTTATTTATAGCTTTATGGATTGAAAGCCCCTTGTCTTTAATCTCCTCTGTTTATGATTTAGGCCTGTTTTCTTTGTCTTCAAGGAGCTGTCTGTCATTGATCCTCCTCCAAAATTAACTTTTAACATATGGGGTTGTTGTTTTTTTAAAAAAAGATGTTGGTTAATGGCTTTTGCTGATGAAATGTTAATAATTGACTTTAGCAGAAGGATGTACTAATTCACATAGTGCTTTCGACAGGGCCAACTTTGTACTTTGGAGTCTTGATACCTTTATGCTTAATATTTTGTATCTTGATTTTTTACAACCTTTTTCCCTCTAGCTATTTTATTTTGGGAGACATAGCAAAATTAGCAGTATAAGCTGTTAGGCCATGGAAAGCAGGCACTTGCAGCTTTTTAGCTTAACAGTCTTCATCGTCGATCTGAGATTCCTGGTCTGCAATATGCTTTCATTCTGCTGAGTATAAAAACAGGATGAAGTTCCCCCTTCACACTTTATTGAAAAACCCATGTTAGATCCACCAAATGGGGAAACAGATCTGATTGCAGGTCTTCTGTAATCAGTATATGGGTCACTAATTCTGTGATTTCTTTAACTAATTTTGAAGCTCCAGCCAGGTCGCAAATTTTATCTTCGGTTCGCAGCAGAAGTAAAAAAGAGCTAGGCAAGGAGTGAGAAGGAAGCAGATCAGGACAGAGGCAGCCCTACTGTTAGGTCATTATAGACAACAAATTGCCAATTGTTTTATTTATTATTACGTTTCACCACCCACAAGAGTGACATTTGGATTTTCTGCCTTAGGCACCAAATTGTGTTGGCCCTTGTGTGTAAGGAAGGAAGCTATACCCTCAGGCCACTGCAGATCCTATCCAATTCCATCTGTGATTTCTGACTTTTTATGTCTACTACCTGCATATTTTCTGAACTTTCTCTACAACTCAAATGGATATAAACTGTAGGACTTAGCAAAAATGCCTTCCCAAATTGGTGGTCCCACTTGCAGGTGGTAAATTTGGGAGAACCACTTCAGAGGTTGGGGGCAGGGGAGAGACAGTGAAATGATATGCCAGCTTTACAGGTGGGTACTTACTTGGCAGAGCAATGGCCCTCCCCACCCCTTAAAAAATGGTTTGTAGTGGCAGCTGCCTCCCATTGACCACCCTGAGAATGATGCTATATCATTCCATGGTCAATATGAGTGTTTGTGGGAGTCAGCTTGATAGTTCAGTTGGTTAGAGCATGGTGCTGATAACGTCAAGGTTGCAGGTTCGATTCTTGTATGGGGCAGCTGCATATTCCTGAATTGCAGGGAGTTGGACTAGGAGTTGGTCCCTTCAAACTCTATAGTTCTATGATGCTATCTCCTACCTGGTCCTCTTAAAGTAAGGATACCAAGAATTGAAGCAGGGACCTTCTATATGCAAAGAATGGACTGTACAGCTGATCTATGGCTTCTTCCGTAGAAGAAGCTTCTTACATCTTCAGAGCAAAGACATGCTGAAAGAAAGAAAGAGAGAAAGAGAGAAAGAGAGAAAGAAAGAAAGAAAGAAAGAAAGAAAGAAAGAAAGAAAGAAAGAAAGAAAACCTCATCCAGTATTAGGGAATCGGGATGCATTGAGCATCAGAGTGGTGGCATCACACTACATAGTATATTTGCATAGGAATGGATAACACCTTGTGCTCTCTGTTATCCCATAGCTGTGAGGGAATGAGCTTTATGTTTACCTGGCACCCTCACCATTTGCATTCTTTTGTTACTGCCCAAACTGGGTTTGTCACTTTCAGACAAAAGGGGATGAGCTTTAGACACAGCAGGAGAAAGGATAGTGAGGTGGGGGTAGATGCACATTCTAATTTCTTTTCTGAAAGACCACAGTTGAAGAATATAATTATTTGCTCACTTGGCAACTTATACACTGCAGGTACTCCTCTCATTCAGACAAGTTTCTGCTAGTCTGCATCCATATTTCCTTGTTCTGCTCTGCTCGTGAGAGACAGAGCTGTGGCAGGCTTGTCCTTTTTCCTATAAAGTGGGTTACAGGCGTGTTTATGGATAAACTATGGGGGGATAAAACTGAAAGATGGACAAAAGGCAGAGGGGATAGAAAAAACCTTAAATACTTCCAGTTGTTTCTCGAACTGAATCCATAGATATGGGGTGCTTCAGTGCTTTGTTTCCTCCAGGGGGTACTCAGGGGTATGCAGTGCCGGCACCTCTTGTTGTTAAAAAGTGTGGCGCTTACTGTAACAACGTCATGGTGAGTACCAGCACCCATTTTTCAAGGAGGAAAAAGCACTAGGGTGCTGACACATGGCATGGCAGCTTACCATGGATATCGTGCAGCTCATGCAAACAAGATTTTACATGATATCATAAAATGCCATCTCACCTCATACAAACACACACACAGTTTAATGCAAATTTACAATTTCTGGGTTGTTACTTTTAACTTGCTGGATTGTCTGCATTACTGGTAAATCCAGATTAAATGGCAAAATAATATGGGTCCACACTTTGTTGAGGATGATGTCGTGCAGGTGCCCAAGATATTTCAGCACCTGAGGTGAACCCCAAAATGGGCTTCCTCTCCGCCAGGGAAGAAGGGAGTGAGGGAGGAACTACATCAGGAACAAGGGGCGAGGAAGAAAGATTGACATCAGGATATCCTGCCGCCTGAGGTGATCACCTTGCCTCATGGGTGGGTCAGCCCTGACAATCTTACATGAATAGGGAGCACTGAGTCCCCAATAGCCTTGTGAAAGTGCCCTCAGTGCTGTGAGGCCCTATCTTTCATTCCCAGATTTAAAGAGGTAAATTCCTAGGTTCTAAATAGCATATGGAGAAAATGCATTTATCTGCGCGCGCTCTCTCTCTCTGTCTAATTCCTTGTCTGATGCTGTGTGGAGATAATCAGAGCCACAGCAATTCATGGTATCGGATAGCTGCAATGCAGGCGTTAGTTTCCCTCCTAAATCATTGAATTCCTTTTTTTGAAAAAAATGTGTTTGTGATGAAAGTTATAAGAAATCCCATTTGGTTTTTTAAAAATAGAGGTTGTTGTGTTGAATTCTCCTGCTTTACTGTGCAGGTTGGAGGCAAATAGTTGGAAGATCCCAGTGGCTTAGAGCTAGTTTATCTGTCCTAGGGCCCTTTAAATTTCCAGAAAAGCAGCCAAGAAACAGAAACAAGGGGTCTTGTTTCATAGATAGATTTTTGTCATCCCTCAGCCCCCAGGAATAGGTACATGATAGTATACACTCACCATACTAAAAAAAAAAAGTTGTTAATCTGTGCCCCATAAAACTCCAAGAGCACACATGTTCAACCAGTTCTCAAAAATATTTGATAAAGTACTTAAAATAAAGATTGGTTTTTATGTTTATTTTGTGATTTTACATAGGCCTAGTTCAGACACAGTGTGAAACTATAGTTTAGTGCAGGGTTTCCCAAACTTGGGTCTCCAGTTGTTTTTTGGACTACAATTCCCATCATCCCTAGCTATCAGGACCAGTGGTCAGGGACAATGGGAACTGCAGTCCACAAACAGCTGGAGACCCAAGTTTGAGAAACAGGTTTAGTGTTATGTGCATGAGCAGCAGATTTATACACTTGCTCACTCATTCCTCCATTCTCCTCCTCCAGTGTGGCCATCAGGAGAATACTGAAATAATCTGCTCCCCATTTAAAACTAACTATAGTTTCTTGTTATGTCAGAAGTGAGAGAACCATGGTTAGTTTATACTGTTGTTTCAGGGCCAGCCCACCCATGAGGCACATACCTCAGGAGGCAAGACCCACAGGAGCAGCAATGTAGAGCTTTATTTCCACCCTGTTCCTGATGTAGAACTTCACTCACCCCTTCTTCCCAGGCAAGGAGGGGGGCACCATTTTGTGGTTCACCTCAGGTGCCAAAATGTATTGGGCCAGCCCTGTGTGGTTTGCTAACAATCCAGCATGGTTTGATCCTGACCTATTTGAACAAACCATGACTTATATTGACCATAGTGTGCACGAGTTCAGCTATAACTAGGAGCAACACTCCTTAGTAACAGCAACCCATTTTTCTTCGTGTAATGAAAAACTGAAGCTGCTGCTGTCTCTCAGTTATTAACCATTATTGTTTAGTGTTATGTTCACTAACAGCAGTGAGCCTTGAGCTTGCGTTCTCCCTCCTCCCCTCTCTTCCTCCAGCACAGCCTTAAGGAGGAGATCAGAAGTTTCCACTCTTAAGCTAAACAGTTTAATGGTTATTTAGGTGTGTTGTTTCCAGAACTCCTAGGCAGAATGTAGTGTGGTAGTCTTATAGCTAGTAAAAAGCTCCTGAAGTGAGTTATATCATCGTGATCTTCTATCAGCCACCAGCTGCTGTAGGAGCCTGAATCCTTTGAGCTGAGCTATTGAAACACCGATCTTAAATTATTTCAGGAAGTGAGTTCCTAAAATCACACACAAACAGAGTCTTCTTTAAAGGTTTGGTACATAGAGATTGCCAGCAATATCTTTTAGAGCACTCTGATTTTTGAGCTAAAAAATGTCCGGTTGCATTCAGATGATGCTGTGATCCTTAGTAATCTAGTAGCAACAGAAGCCCTGAGATTTCAAAATAAGTATCTATTTGGGACTGTTTAGAGATAGAGGATTTGACCCATTCAGTGGGTTGTATGAGACTAACCTTCACCTCTGCCTATTTGGTAACTTAGTACTGATGAGAACAGGCCTTTTCTGTGGTGGCTCCCCATTTGTGGAATGCTCTCCCCAGGGAGGCTCGCTTGGCACCTCCATTACATATACAATCAAACCTCGTTTTGCAGACGGGATCCGTTCCGGAGACCTGTCCGCAAGCTGAAAATGATACACGTCAAAGTGCCGCATCTGTGCACACGCGCAGCACAATTTAGCATGCACGAGCGGCAAACACAGAAGTAACCCATTCTGGTACTTCCGGGTTTGCCACAGACATTCACTGAAGCGGGCGCAAGCGGAGGCGGACGCAGAATGAGGTTTGACTGTATTTAGATACAGTGGTACCTCGGGTTCCATATGCTTCAGGTTACATACGTTTCAGGTTACAGACTCTGCTAACCCAGAAATAGTACCTCGGGTTAAGAACTTTGCTTCAGGATGAGAACAGAAATCACACGGGAGGCCCCATTAGCTAAAGCAGCGGGAGGCCCCATTAGCTAAAGTGGTACCTCAGGTTAAGAACAGTTTCAGGTTAAGAACGGACCTCCGGAACGAATTAAGTACGTAACCAGAGGTACCACTGCACCAGGCGAAAACACTCTTCTTCTCCTAGACCTTTGGCCAGTTAAACAATCTATGGCCTTTTAAACTAGGGACCAGTATTTTTTTGTTTGTTATTACGTCGTGCATTTTTGTGTTTTCATACTGTAAACAGCCCTGTTGTCCTTAATTTGATTTATTAATAATGGAATGAAGCTGCAGAAGCAGTAGCTTGTTCATGAAAGTTGGGCTGAGCAGAGGTTGCGTGAGGAACCAAGCAGGGGCAGAGGAAGGGGGTGCGGTGGATGCAGTCCGCCCCGGGTCACCACTGAGGGGGGTGACTAAATGCCGGGCAGCACTCACCGCGGGGCCTGCAGCTCACCTGAGCCCCGCATCTCTCTGTGCTGCCCAGACGGTCCACCCGCTGCCTCCACCCAGCTGTAGGGCGGCTGAGTGCAGGCAGACTCTGGAGGCCCCGCAGTGCCCTCTCCTCACCCCTGGACACGCCACCCTAGGCATCCGAGTGGCTCTTCCGCCGCTGAGCAGGGGTGTTCACTTTTGCCCCTATTTGAGTTCTGGATGACATCCCCAATCACCTGGACAAGAGAGGGAAGCTTTGCTTAAGATGCCATGCAGTCCCATGCAGTTTTGCACAGGTTGACCCAACCTGATGCCTCTCTCTTGGGCAGAAGTGATGCTCAGTAGAAGTTGGCTCCTGTGCCACTTCTGGCTGGGAAGATGAGGAAGAAAAGGTTGTTGTGGTGAAATCCTTGAAGCTGAAGATAGACATGAGTCTCAGTAAGATCAGTTCTGTTCTTCAAGCATGTGTGATAAAGTAGTTTTCTATTACATAGCATGTTTTTGTTAATTGTACGCTATATCTGCAGTTGTAAGTCTTACAGAGGTATTTTGATGCAGAGGTGTGTGAAATAAATTAATACTAAAAATAAGAAAGAGAGTTCTTGTTTGTGTAAGGATGCAAAACTAATATCTGTACTCATGTGAAGATGAACAGATAACTTCAGGCTTTGAAGTGGCTCTGTACTGTTGATGAATTTATAGAAGAAAGAAGGTGGAATTGCTGGAATATGTTCCAGGGTATTAGTTTAAATCAAGGCAATTTAAATCACCAAGAGAAAAGACTAATTTAAATAACTGATATAAATCAAGTTTCCCATTACTACTTTTCTTATTTCCTAGGCAGAAGCGCTCAATAATTTGTTGGTAGAAGCATAAAAAACATGATCATTTGCAACCAAAAAGAGCACTCAGATTCCTAGAACTGTAACCCAAAAGCACACATGGGGGACCTCTAGATCAGGCTTCCTCAACCTCAGCCCTCCAGGTGTTTTGAGACTACAATTCCCATCATCCCTCACCACTGGTCCTGCTAGCTAGGGATCATAGGAGTTGTAGGCCAAAAACAGCTGGAGGGCCGAGGTTGAGGAAGCCTCCTCTAGATGTTGTTGACAACTCCCATCAGCTCCAGCCAGCTTGGTTAATAGACAGGGGTAATGGGACTTGTGGTCCAGCAACATCTGGAGGGCCAGAGGTTCCCCATCCCTGCTTCAAACATTTGCTCAAGCAATCCGTGTTGTTGTTGTTTTGCACAGCATTATTCTATGTTCTTTATCCAGCCACCCTTAAATTCTTCACAAATCAATGGTGGTCATGGGGGGACAAAACAATTGGGCCCAATCCCTTCATAAGGTGCAGGTTGATGCAGTGGTCAGGCCTGGATCCAGCAGATTCTGGGCCAACTCAGTCATGCTGCCTTCATGCTCTCAAGGTGCCTCATTTTGGGACCTTCCACTGACAGAGAATTTGCCACCTGCCCACAACTTCAGCAGCTGGCAAGAGGCTGACTCAGTCAGCAGAACTGAACAAAGACACCTCTGCTCAAGCATCTGACATCCCCCATCCATCATAGGGTTGGATTTATCTGCCCATCAGAAATAATTTAAGTCCCATTGAGTTAAGCATGACTACCTTCCATTGGATTAGGAGAAAAGAAGATTTTAAACAGATAAAATGACACTTATTTGTTTTTTATGTGTGTACATGCAAGGACACTAAATGAGACCTCTTAGTTGAAGAATGCACCCAGAGTGTTACAGAATCAACTAAGAAGGGCTAGTAGTTACTAGGCATATTGAAATTGTCCCTAAGATGGGAAGTGTATGTCTGTGTTGCTTCTACAAACGTTTATATCAGGAGAACTGAGCAAATTACAGAGCTCTGAAGCTTTAAGAATATAAGATTTAAACTGAGGTAACCGGACAGGCTGGAAAAGAGCCTGGTAAAGTACAAAATGATGTCTTATAGAGAAAAGAAGTGGTTCCCAACATCTGTAACGATCGTAGTCTATGTAGAATCAAATCCATGTTCATAAACACACCAGACGATATGGCAAGTCATGGACAGTATTTATAACACTTGATCTCAAACGGCACACAGTTCATTCTTTACCTTAAAGAACTGGCAAAGCCATTGATCCAGATTTAAGAGAATATAAACAACAGCTTGCATTTTAAATGTTTGCATTATATTCAAACTTTATTTTAAACTCTTATTATTAAACTATATGTGAAATTTAGAAAACACTAAAAATCTATACATTCATTTTTTAATTTCCATTTTCATATTTAAAAATCGTTCATTTCCACTCACCTTTTAGTGTCTCATCAAATTTAAGAAGCAAAAAGGTGGGGAAATATAATGTGGGGAAATATTGCATAGTAATCCATGTTAACCAGGGCAAGTGACTCACATGAATAGGGATTATTTTCCTTTGTATGGTGCAGAAGAGAACAAGTTGTTTCTGATTCTTGATGTACTACTTATACAGTCCAACAGGTTTGCCTGTCCCTGTTTCAAGCAACTGTTTACAAAAGAGATTAAACGGAGAATACACCTGGAACTTGCCTGCACCACTAACCATGTTAGTTATATGTTTTGCCCATAGCATCTCTCCAAAACACAGCGAATACTGGGTTAAACGCTTGTCAGTTTCTTTTCAGCTAAATAGACCACAATTATTAGTACCTGACAAGCTACATAGTTTCTCTGAGAAGCAAGCAGCAACTAACCACCAACAAATTATGCCAGTTACTCATCATGGCATGTTTAATTTTATTTAGCAATCCAAGATCGGTTTAAAAACACAGCACTAACCTTCTGGCAGACAGGTACTATTTTGCTATTCAAACATGCTGTAATCCACCCTGCTTTCTGACATATTTAAAGAGTATTAATTGTTAATGCTGAGCCTTCTTGAATTCTGTTCTGGAAGCAGGCTGCATTCGGTCCTCCAGTTTGGGAAAGAACATCAGTTTGCTCCCACAGGAGTACTGATCTTAGCCTCGGGAGACTCTGCCAGCCGTATTGTTTGTGTGAGTTTCTCCTGGTTGCCGCTTGCTGTTGGAGACGAGGATTTTCATCACAGCCTGTGTTGCATTGTAGTGTTGCCTTTTTAATTTTAACTACCAACTGCCTGGTGTTACCGCTGCGGATTATTATCTGGAAATCTCTGGAGGAGCACTGCTGGGTCTTCAAACAGCTCTACAGACGATAGTGTTTCTTTCTGCCTTTCCTCTTTACTGGTGCCAGCTACTTCTGATGGTTCAGGTACTTTGCATTACTGCAGTATTTTGTGATTAACAGCTGTGGTAATTAGCAGACTGATTATTTATTTATTTATTTATTTATAAAACCCTAAAAGACACCATGGTACATTTAAAAAGCTACCTGCTGATAAGAGAATTTGCTGCATAGGTGCAGAAGGATGTGTGCATCACCTGTGTACTTAACGATATTACATGCTAACAGAAGCAATAGCAAATGGTGAAAATAATACTGTGGTACATCTTGGAGCAGGAATTGGATATTATTAGTTAAGAAATGTCTTGGGCATTTGCATGTGTAAATTTAATAACTTGCCTTAGGGCATTTAATGTGTACAGTGATTTTGTAAGCGTCTGGCTTCAATAGAATCTGTTGCTCTGAAGAGCGATATTAAATTTCCGGGTGAATTGTTTGAAGGTGTAGCTGTTCTCGTGCGGTTGGAATAGAAACGGGAAGGGTTTCATTCCATGTGCAAGAAGTTTTATTACAATTAGTGATTTAGCCCTTGTTACCTGACTACATGTTGTTAATAAAATATATTTAATAAAATATATGTAATCCTGTTTTGGGGATCCGCCAGCTGCGGGGCTTTGTGATTTGGCCAATGCCTTGCTACACCAGCAGAGCATAGGGTACACCATCACTGTGACAGGTGTGCTGGCAAAGCACTTTGGATACACCAGTGGAACTCTCCGCTACTAGAGGTGTTCCACCAGTGAAGATATGCTGGCATAATGGCTTAAATTGGGCATAATGGTGGGCTGGATGTGGGTGGCACATGGGAAGAGCCATTTTAAAAGAACTGTACCATTAAAAAAAAAAGTAGCCACCATGTCAGTTTACCATCCCAGCCACATCACTCTGACAGAGCTGAGCATTGGATACCGTGGCCATTCCACCAGTGTTATGGCAGCATATTTACAGTTCCGGGGTAATATGGGTATAGAATTGCTTAGCCCATAACAAAAGCAAAACAGAATTATCCAAATGGTCCTGAATGAACACATTTTAGCTGTGAAATCCCCTTTTATCTGCCATTTGGAAGCTAATTAGTCTCAGTCATAAACTGGCTGAACACGTGGTGTTATGCAAAACAGCCTCATGTGCCTGTGTTCTAGTTCGGTGCAAATGTGTATGGAAGTGATTTGCATCGGCTTCGTTGATTGCCTGGTTTGTGTGATTTAAGCAGGTGGGGGGGGGACCTTCTCCTGCTGCACTTCAGGTGCACAGTTTTCCTAGCGCAAGGCAGAATCCAGACAAAATTAAGCACTAGTAGTTGACCCATGTGGGTGAGGTATGTGCTTAAACTTGCCCAATTAAAATCATTAAGATTATTATTTTTAATGCTTTACTTTGGCTCCATCATACCCACAGTGATCATTTCTGTGTGAGAAAAAATGTAGTATGTGATGCAGCTCATAAACAAAGCCACTTACCCATGGGGGCTGGTTATTTCCATAGCCCGTGTTCTCTGATAACTATCTGAAGGACCATATCTCTTTACATGAGACTGCCTGAGCTTTGAGATCTTTTGGGGAGGCATTTCTCTCTGCCCCTCCACGTTTGAAGGCACATCTGGTAAGGACAGAAAAGAGGGCCTTCTCGGTGGCTGCTCCAAGATAGCAGAACTCGCTTCCACAGGATGCTAGGCTAGCTCTCTGTTTGCTTTCCTTTTTTGCCAGCAGCAAATTCTTTTTTGTTCTTACAGACTTTTTTGGCCACTAACTGGCCGTTGTGAAAGAGTCTTTTAAGTATTGTATTGTGTGTCTGTGCTTTCGAATAGTGGGGTTACTTACTTGATTATTTTTTAAAAAAAATACTTATATTTATTGTGTGTTTTAGTTGTATCTATTTTAATTTCTGCTGGGAGAAAGGCAGGATAAAATTTAAATAAATATGTTATGTATTTCGTTTAAGGTAAGAGTGGGGGACCTGAACTCAAACTCCCATCAGCTTGCAGGCAGCATGGCTAATTTTTGGAGTCTCAGATTCCCCTTATTCCTGGTTTAAGATATCACTCCTCAAATTTGCCACGGGGTGTTAGAAAGGGATTCACTCAATGCACCTGTGAGCAATACCAGAACATCTGCTGTTTTCCATGGAGAACCATGGGACTGCTAGTCTCAGGCCAATGAGTACCTGTGGCTATTTAGAAAGACAGCTGTTCAATTAGGAAAGACAGGCCATTACTATGGAAAGTTCAGGGGAAGGGTGAGCTGTAAGCATCTAAATGATCTCAGGAAATTTGGAGATATTGTCAGAAGACCACCTGATAAAACCTCCTGGCACACCTGGTTTAATGCATTCCAGTGGTTTTAATCATATGGAGACAGTGCTGTATAAGCAACAATTTGGAGTTGTCCCTGAAAGACAACTATTTTGATGGTACCTAATAAATCCATTGGTTTATTATGGCCATTTGGAAGGAACCAATTGTCTACAATGGGTTTTTGGTGTAATTTGTGTTTCAGCCCAGTGTTTTATGGTGTTTCTTTGCTCAGTTTCGCTTTTCATTCTTGTGTTGGTAGTTTTACATTTGTTGAGGTGGAAGCCAAAAGAGGCTGCCTGCTCTGGGTCCAATAAAGTTCCTGTTGTCTTATGGTGAGATGGATTTATGGAAGTATAATCTAACATAAGAACATGCAATGATTGTGATTAATAGAGCAGTTGGGAAGGGAATGAGGAAGACCTGAGTTGGGTAAACAGCCTTTTACAGTGCCATGCCAGGCTTGCACTGGGATGGCAAAAGTGAAGCCAAAACAGCTTTTCCTTTACTTTTTCCCTTTTCAGTTTGTTACCGCCCTCCAAAAAAAACATCCCATCCATCATTTCCAGTGAAAGGAAATGCCTGCATCAGCTCCAGGGTTGGAATGTGTAGGGTTTAAAGATAGGCTTTGGGATGGGGAAGTTTCTGCAGCAGTAAAAATAGACCTTTTGGGGAGTCAGATCACCCTCTCCAAGGGCTGGCTGTCTCCCCACCCAGCCTTTCTCAACCTGTGGGTCCCTAGATGTTGTTGAACTACAATTCCCATCACCCCTAGCTAGCAAGGCCAGAGCTCAGGGATGATGGGAGTTGTAGTCCAACAACATCTGGGGACCCACAGGTTGAGAACCGCTGCCAGAAGACCCAAAACATCTCAGTGTCTTCCCATGGACCATAGATTGCAGCCAGAGAAAGTAAGCTAGAAATCAATTTTCAAACCACAACCACAAACTGTGCATTAAAAATCATGTAAGAAAGATGAAAATCAATTAACCATGGTGGAAAGATTAATTGCCTGCATAGATAGGCTTGGCGGAACAGAAAAGTTTTCATTTAAAAGTTGAAATAGTTGAATTACTATCAATGTTATACCTCTCACTAATGCAAAACAAGTCTTAAAAGTCATTGTCTGAATAATCTTTAGAATTGCATCACTTGTTGATTCTATAATAGAGGACATAGGGGAATACGAGTCATTTTTTCCTGGTATGATAAAAGTCTAAAGATGCCTGCTTTGAACAAACACTCTTACCAAAGATGAGTTTCCCAATTTATTTTTTGTGCAAGAGAAAATGAGAACACTTTTGCATTTCCTCTAGGATCAAGAGTGGAGCAATTTATCTCCAAGGAAAGATTAAAGCATTTAGAGTTTTTTTAGCTTTGGAAGAAAAAAAAGACTTACCATGGCTTATAAAATTAAGGTTGGTTTAGAGAGGATGGATAGAAAGGTCTCTCTCTTTCTCTCGTGAAATGAAACTCAGGCTCACCCACTGAAATTGGTTGGCACTAGATTCAGACAAAAGAAAGAACTGTTTCACACAACTCAAATTAGCTTATAGACTTCACTACCACCAGGCAAGGTTATGTGGTCTTTTACATTAATCCCACCTTTGTTTTTATTGGTTCCGCCCACCCCTCAGTTTGAAAAACAGCCTTTCACATTCCACAGGGGTTTTTTTGCCAGACAGTTCTCATCTTAAATTTCAGGCTTCCAGGTCAGTTTAGCAAGACTGGTTTGGCAACAAATGCAAGCTAAAGAGGTCCTACGTGTATTAAGCATAAAAATTCTCCTCTTCCTTCTCTCTTTTAAAAGGTGGTTTTAATTTTCTCTTTTCCAAGAGAGCAAAGAAACCGAAGTCCCTTTGCAGTGGTCAGCATTTGGCATTCTACAATATTTGTCCATTTTACGAACTGCTTCCCATAGTCACTTATAATTGTTCATTTGTTTCTGTTCGATTTGGAATGCTGTTCGCTCCTCTTAAGAGCAAAGATTTTTTTCCGGGAACGGGTCTAACTTTCAGCTTTTCATTTTCTTTGCTGCACTTCGTGTGAAACTGTAACTTGGATATTTTATTTTATTTTTTATCTGCTCTCTTCAGATGGATCCGGTGCAAAAAGCAGTCATAAACCACACATTTGGTGTGTCGCTCCCCACAAAGAAGAAACAAGTCATTTCTTGTAATGTCTGTCAACTTCGCTTTAACTCTGACGTGAGTATCATCAGCTCTGTGTGTCTTCTTTCATACTGCTGCTTCCATGTGCTTGGAATAATTTTTTTAACATGTTCATCATACCAGTATGTGGGGGGGGGGGGGCGGGATCTGACCGCTCTGAAGTGGATCTTTGAATTTATTCAACTGCTTGATGTGATGCCTTCTAGTATCTGCTAGTTGTTAGATTTATCAGATTGCATGGGCAGGTTAACGTTTCATGTTTAATAAGCAGGGACGCGCAAAGGCAGTGTGCATTTTCCCTGCTATTTTCATCCTATACGACGAGCCTGTAGCCAAAACTGTTTTGGTGAGGGGCAGGGGAATCATTGCAGAGCAGATAGAACATAAATACAGGTAGACTTGAAAGTTTAATGTCATTCTGCTGTATTAAATATTGATAAAATATACTTTTATGAACTTTAAAAATAAGGGCTTGCCAGTTTCCCTACCGCCTCTGTATTCCTCGGTGAGCGAGACTGGAAGGTGGGAGCAGACCGGTTTGCCTTTTAAGTGAGTGATTAGGCAATATTCTGCCCACATGCTTTCCTTCATAGGTTAGGAAAGGATATTTTGTTTACAGGAACCTATAGCTTCAGGGAAGAAGTCTGGCATGTCTCTAAGAAGGCTAGTCCCTTACAGTGCGCATGCACAGCCCTTCCTACAACTCGTATCGGCTAACATCCCTTTTCAACTAACCTCAAAGGAAGGTAAACTATCTAAAAGTGGGTTAGTGAGCATTGGGTGGGGATGTGGTTACAGGGGCGAACGAAGGCCTCGTGACACGCGGGGCAGGGCGTCGCTACGTAGGGCGCCGTTTGTAGCAACACCGCACATGCGCTATACATAGCGGTTTGGCGGCGGTGGCACTCCAGCGCCGGACGGACGGTGCCGGGAGCCTCTGCTCGTGGCTGCAGCTGCAAATGGAGGTTCCTCTATATGCGGCTGTAGCGGCGATGGAGGGATCCCACCGCCATCCGTACAGCGCTCAAGCAGTGCCAGTGGCAAACCGCTATATACAGTGCAAGTGCAGCATCGTTACGTACAGCACATGCGTGTGACGCTGCACATGCACTGTCCATAGCAGTTTGCTGCCGACACCAGGCTCCTCTGCTCAGAGCTGAAGCCGTGAACGGAGGATTCTCCACATGCGGCTGTGGCGGCGCAATGGCTGCTCACACCGCTGCGAGCCCCCATGGGGTGCCTTCTTGTCACCCCCCCCCCCGAGACATGGCATTGCCCTCCTATTGTGACACCACTGTGGTTGTGGGGGGTGTTCCTGTTCTGCGTTCTAGGCCAGCCACACCTAGAGCCAGTGTGGTGTAGTGGTTAAGAGCGGTGGACTCGTAATCTGGTGAACCTGGTTCATGTCTCCGCTCCTCCACATGCAGCTGCTGGGTGACCTTGTTGTTGTTTTTTAAATGATATTTATTAAAGTTTCAAAAAAAGGTTACATAGACAAGAAAAAAAAAGAAAAAAATTAGAAAAAATAAAAAATACAAGAAAAATAAGAGACACTTAAAAACAAATCAATCTTTCCATGCCTTACATTTCATTTCCTTGTTTCCCTGACCTCTTCACACCTCCCTTTTTTGTATTCCAATTCAGTTAGTTAATTCAGCAATTTCTTTCCCTCTTTGTTTTTATCTTAATCCTTTAACTTAATATATTATAACTTTGGATTCTCACCTGTTAACAATCCATTTTTACATACACCTTTATAACATTGCTGCTAAAACCACTTAACTTCATTCTGACATCATTCTAACATTCATTAATTTTGCAATATTTCTGTAAATAGTCTTCTTTCTTCCAATCTTCTTCCACCGACTCTTCTCCCTGGTCTTGGATTCTGCCAGTCATTTCCGCCAGTTCCATGTAGTCCACAGCTGCTGGGTGACCTTGGGCTAGTTACACTTCTCTGAAGTCTCTCAGCTCATAGAGTTTTTGTTGTGGGGGAGGAAGGGAAAGGAGAATGTTAGCCGCTTTGAGACTCCTTCAGGTAGTGATAAAGCGGGATATCAAATCCAAACTACTTCTTCTTCTTCTTCTTCTTCTTCTTCTTCTTCTTCTTCTTCTTCTTCTTCTTCTTCCAGAATGCTCTGTTTCATTTGCCCTCCCTCCTGGTGTTCTGTTCTCCCCCGAGTCGCATGCCTTTGGCTGCGTAAGGGCAGACCATTGGGCCAGGGAACAACCCCTAGTGGTGCAGCAGTAAAACTGCTAGCACATTTGTAAAAGCTAAGCAGGGCCCGGTATGGTTTCCAATTGGATGGGAAACCGCATGTTGAGATACCTGCACTGCAGGGGGTTGGACTAGAGGAGCCTTGTGGTCCCTTCCAACTTTACAATTCTCTGATTCTTATGAGTTTGCTGTTAGTACGTTGAATATTTGTTCTGAATAGGGACAGATGCACATATGTGCTGGTGTGCTGCCATGCCTTTGGTATTTTACTTGACTGTTGGAAATAATAATGAAAATAATAATAATGGAAATAATTGATGATGATGGAAATAACAATAATAATACAGACTTGGGCTTAATATGAGCAGGGCTGGACAAACGCTGGAGACATTTGAGAGCCTGTGAGTGTCTGTGGAATAGTTTACCCCTCACCAGTGGATAACCTAAGCAGGCATCACGCATCTGGGATTAGGGAGCAGAGCCTCCTGGCTAGAAGACATGGATTTTAGGCAGAGCTAAAACTTGAAGGCAGTGCTTCTGTTTTAAGGACTTCTAGGTTTGTCCTCAGTTTTTTGAACAGTTTTTTGTGTTTATATAGGAGGCTCAAAACATTTCACTAGAACAACTCAAAACAATCCAAAAGAATTAGGGGGCAGAGATAATTACAATCCCTTTTCAACAGACATCATTAGTTTTCTTTGTGATGAATTATAACCTTATTTTCTTTGTTCGTATAAATACAACCTGGGCAGTGTGATCCTATGCATAAAATCAGAAGTAAATGTCAGATTGTGTTCAGTGTGTCTTGAAATTGTATGTAAGATTGCAGCTTCAAAGTACTCTACCAAATAATTTCAGTCAATATGCATGTAATGCACGCACACGCACACATCGTGGTGACTTCAGTTTCTGTGAAGGTTCTGTGTAAGAGAACCCAGATCAAACAATCGATCCTCCTCAAATAGTCCTCCTTTCAAAAAGCACATGAAATGAATGCCAATTATAAGTTTACATCTGATTAACATTTCCCTTCAGTAGTTAACCTCAAGGCAACTAATTATCATGTGCAACACATTTAAAACATTATTACGCATATTACTGAAGATTGCTGTTGATGCTGCTTTGCTGTCATTATAGCACAGGCATGACATATAACATAAAGAGCAAGCGTGTGACATTTTGAAATCAAAGGGCTTGCAACGTTCGCTTTAGCTTATTTATTTGTTAGCTTAGTTTCCAATCTTCCGTCCAGTTTGCAGAAAGTAGTTTGAGCCTCACAACAACCCTGCAGAGTAAGTGGGGTTTAAGAGAGGGTGACTTTCCAGTCTGCTTGTGAGCGTCAGACCTCAGCAGGAATTTCAACATGTCCATGCCTGAGCCTCACATCGTTGCTCAAGGCTAGCAGCCAATGTGCAGCAGACTATATAGTGCACTCCACCAGGTGTTTGTTGGACTACAGCTCCCAATATCCTTGACCATTGGCCATGCTGGCTGGAGCCGATAAGAGTCCACAACAAGGGGCATCTTGGAATCGTAGAGTTGGCAGGGACCCCAGGGGTTATTTAGTCCAACCTGCTGCAATGCACACTGGTTATTTCTCTTCTAGCCGTTTATACACACTGGCTGCTTCTTATAACTGCCTTTCCAAACACTTCAGCAAGAACAGCCGCTACGTCATGTTAAAGTCCCGAATTCTTTACAATGCTGTTCAGGAACTGCATGTGGCTTTTCTCTCATTTACCTTCTTTGCTGCCGCGGGGCTGGCTCAACAATTCACCTCGAAGAAAGCATGCTAAAGATGTGGTTTATCACGTTTGGCAGCTCTGTTCTCTGAGGCCATTTAATAGTCTTCCCACTCCAAGCCAAGTTCAGAACCAGCTCAGGCTATATTAATCTCCTCTGCCTTTCTTCTAATTGTGTCCTTTAAACTCCCTGCCCACCACTCCCACTGGTAGTTTCTTGTTAATCTATTTATTATAACTGTCTTTAACTTTTGGCTTTTGGAAAAGAGAGCAGAAAACACCAACCCCCAATTTTTGGTTCTTCAACGAAGCGTGATACTTCTTTCCTTGCCGATAAGTGACGTATCTACCAGCTTCATGCTCTTTGTATGATCCAGGACTTTCCCAGTTCAAATCATGGCTCTGCCATGAATGCATTAGATTTTAAGTAAGGCATTCTCTCTTTGAGTCTCTCATTGCTCAGTATTATTTCTGCAAGCACCAGGACACAATTCCCTTTGCATCCTTATTCTCTCCTTTTCACCTGTGAGGTCAAGGACTCCCTCTTCTGGACTTCTGTCACACTGCACCATGATAAACCACTTTGTGCATGCTGAGATGCATGACTTTTTACTGAGTGAGTTTTGGTGCTGATAACTTTATAATACTGCTTGTAACTCGAATGGCTTGTGATAAGACGATATGTGGGTTCATGTCTCTAATGAACCCACCTTTATGATGGCTTCAACTGTACCTGACTACCTGACTTGCAAGTTTTCCCCTCTTGGAATTCTCTAAATACCTGCCCACCTTTCTGGGTTTTCTTTTTTGAATCAAAACACTCCCATTTACTCATCCACTGATGCAGATTTATGGAACTCTTAGAGAAGATGGAAATGGAAATCATTCAGCCTTAACTCGCTATTCCAAAAGAGCTCTTAATTCACTCAGCTGCTAACCTCTTTGTTTCTTTGAGACTTTGTGAGCAGTTTCCTCTAGAAAGATCAGTGCACAAAGATTAGGGGCAATTGTCAGTAATTTCAGCCATGCTGTCATGTCTTTGGGGGGGGGGCGGAGTGTGGAAATAACACTATTATTAATATATTAAGAGGTGTGAGAGGGCTGTCCCTACCATTAGGGAGAGTAATAGATTGTGGGTGTCACGAAAGGCAGCATACTATTTAGTGATTTAATTAATTATTGCTGCATTTTTACTACTGTAGAGAGATGCTTGTGGGATTTTCCACATCGGTTGCCAGAAAAAATGCTTAGCACCATGCGCCTTGACTTGGAGAAAGGGGTGCCATTTGCTACTCCACCTGAAACGGCAAATTCTGTTTGGCCAGCCCAGACGATACCATGTACAATGGAAGTTCAGGAAAGGAGAAGACTTTGTCGTTTAGTCATGTCCGACACTTCGTGACCCCATGGACCAGAGTACGCCAGGCACTCCTATCTTCCACTGCCTCCCGCAGTTTGATCAGACTAATGTTGGTAGCTTCAAGAACACTGTCCAACCATCTCGTCCTCTGTCATCCCCTTCTCCTTGAGGATAAGACTGGATATGCTTATTCATGTCCCAAGAGTGTGTGATACTGGGAAGAATTATGCTGTATAAGCAATTGTAGGCACAGAGGTTGCTACTTCTCAAATAGCCATTTACAGAATGGCTTTCAACAAAAGATCCAAAACCCTTTAGGATAAAACAAACATCAAGGTGAAAAGTCCTCCTTTTTCTTACTTTCACATACAATTCTTTCAACCGCATACACATAAACATAAAATCAGGCCATGAGGTTTCACTTATAACCTAGGCACACAAACCCTACTTGCTAGTACATCTGCTTGTGGAGACTTCCAGGAATGGAACCAGGAATTTTGCTATTTGCCATATGCACACATGAAAGTTCAGATTTTAGAACTAGTTAAAAGTTACACAGGTGTTCATTTTTTTAAAAAAAAAATGCAATTTGCACTGATCGTTAATACTTCAATAAATGCCTGTATATTGGTTTTGTGTATTCTCTCTCAAGCATACCTTATTTTAGTATGCCGCTTTGAAAAGTAAACGTTCCCGTTCTTATTTGTATCACTTACAGCTGATTGAATTGATTTGGTGTCGGTTACCCTTAAACCAAGTCTTTCGAACGTGGATAAACAAATGCAGGGATATCCTTCGGCCTGCTCAAGTTTCTGTTTCTTTGCATATCGCAGATCTGCAGTTCTAAAACTACAGTGGCACCAAGTGCTCAAGGCTGCTTGTTTCTACGGTGCAGTTGTGCCACTAGAGTCCATTGTGGTCTGGATTAAGGATATAAATCTGTGCTTTGTCAAGAAAGGATCACATGTAAACATGTAGACACTGTGAGGTACTGGAGAAATGCATGGGATAAGCTTGTCTGCTTCAGACTGAAGGTGAGGGCCCACATTATGGAGTGCTCTTACACACGGGGGGGGGGGGGGACAAAAGCATAGAAAACTAGTTTTAACTAGCAAACACTGCTACCCTTGCTTGCATGCTCCCCAAAGATTGCCAAACGAAGCCTCCTTTTTGTGGAGTATGAAAACGATACTTCCTTTCAGCTCTGCTGTTGGAGGCACAAGAACCTTTCCATTAAAATGTGGCCACAGCCCATCATGTTTCTGGGATTCCTTCACTTAGCTTCAGGCTCTACAGCCCCAGTGCCTCTGTCTTTCTATTCAGTTGCCCTGACAACATTTCTTCTTCTTTTTCTTTGGCGATCACTCTTAGCCAAGTAAGATTGTCTTCCATGAACACAGTCTTAACAGTGAGTCCATAAGTGACTGTGGAGGCCAATTCTGAGTTGACGCGTCTTTCCACAGTGGAGACATAGGTTTCCAGGCGGGAGTTGATCACGGTGAGGGTTTGCCAAACGTGCCTTCCTCTTAGCACGTTTCTCCTTTTCACCCTGAGTTCATGCTTCTTGAAAGTCCATGACAGCTTTGGTGAAGGATGTTCTCCAGTTGGAGCGCTCGTAGGCCAGTTTTTACCAGTTATCAGTGCTTATGCATTTTTTTAAAGATTTCTTTGAGAGTGTCTTTAAACCACTTTCGTTGTCCACTGGTATTTTGCTTTCCATTCTTAAGTTGGGAATAGAGTAGTTGCTTTGGAAGATGATAATCAGGCATCCGAACAACATAACCAGTCCAACGAAGTTGGTGTTGAAGAGTCATTGCTTCAACACTGGTGATCTTTGCTTCTTCCAGTACACTGGCATTATTTCACCTATCTACCCAAGTGAAGTGTAATTTTTTTTGGAGAAACCGTTGATGGAATCTTTTGAGGAGTTGGAGGTGGCGTTTATAAGTGATCCATGTTTCACATGCATACAGTAAAGTTGGTAGTACAATAGCTTTGTAATCAAGTATTTTGGTTTCCCTGCAAATGTCCCGGTCCTCAAACACTCTGTGCGTCAATCGGCAGAAAGCTGCGCTCACAGAGCTCAGGCGATGCTGGATTTTGGCATCAATGTTGGCCCTTATGGAAATATAACTGCCCAGGTAGGAAAAGTGATCAATATTTTCCAACATTACACCATTAAGTTGGATTTGTGGCGCTGTATAGGGGTTGTTTTGTGCTTGTTGGTGCAGCACTTTGGCTTTTTGGATATTGAGCGATAAGCCATGCTTTGTCGAGTCCTTTATCTGCTAAGCTGCTATGAATGTTTGCGAAGACTTCTTGACATCACTGCAGTAAGCCATTGGTTCAAAGAGGCTTGTATTAATACTCAGGGAGCAAGGCCAAAATTTAACCCTTTGTATAAGTGGATTTGAGAAGGAGTCCCTTTTTTGGAGAGCATTACAATCAAACCTCAACTCCTGAACAGCTCCATTTTCAAACGATTCGGCTCCCAAACACCGAAAACCCGGAAGTAAATGCTCCAGTTTTTGAAGGTTTTTCGGAAGCCAAACGTCTGACGTGGCTTCTGCTTGAGTGCAGGAAGCTCTTACAACCAATCGGAAGCCGCACCTTGGTTGTCAAACCTTTTGGAAGCCAAACCGGCTTCCGGAACGGATTACGTTCAACAACCGAGGTTTGACTGTATTTATTTGCTTGCTACATTAATATCCTACCATTCCTCCAAGGAGCTCAAGGTGGCATACATGGTTCTCTCCCTTCCCATTTTATCCTCATCACAACCCTCATAAGAAAGGTTAGACTGAGAGACAGCAACATCCCCTAGATCAATGGCTGAGTGAGGATTTGAACCCTCATCTCCCAGATCCTAGTTTTGACACTGAAACCACTTTGTGTGGTGTTCTCTCAGATACACCACTGGAGACAAGAGGTCAGTTTCCTTCAACATCATGTTGTTTCATTTACTTAACTCTTGGTGGGATAGTTTTGACCTGGATTTTTTTCAGCTGAAGCTCACCGGAGCTCAGTTCCAGCCCTTCTCATGTAGGCGCCATTGCCATTATAAGAGAACAAGGGAGAAGTTCGTGGTGAGCTCATCTCTTTTTCTAGAAAAATAGCACTGGTCTTGTTCTGTATTAGCTGCCTCACATTCAACTCTCACCTGTAGTCTGCACCTTCTGACTTGAACCTTCCATAGAGCTTCCGTTCAAAACATAGCAAGCCTCTTAAACATCACACTAGCTTTCACACCAAGTTTGCCTTTTGCTTCTCTCCAGTTTTGGGATAATTATGACATTTGTATTCATAGATAACAGCCAATTAATTAAACAGTGTATTTGGTCTTTTGGTGTTTCAATTGACTTTTTTTCCCTAAACAGTGGCAGCAACATCAAAGCCTTTTTTCTATCCTTTTCCCTTTCTGTGTTAAGTAACAGAGCGGGTCAACAGTAACAGAGCACGGAGAAAAGAATCCCAAATAGCTCAGTTTCAAGAGTGTACAGCTTTACCACCATCTGCCATGTGACAGCTATCCTCTACGGCAGCTGTTCCGTCTTAGGCAGAATGTCCCTGAAACAGCTCTATAATGTCAAGTATCTAAAATACAGCTTTTCCAATCTGCAAATCCTGCTGTGGATCTCTATGCATACATCCACCAAGTTGATAGCTGGCATTGTTGGCACGGAAAATGAAGACAGGGAGGCCGTGATTCACTGCCCCTTCCTGCCCACTCCTAAACACTTGAGGGGTAAACTGAAAGCCTACACCACCCCACTATCTGTTAGTAAATGCACAAGATCCAGGAAATGGAACTATGCTGAAATACTTAAGTGGTACGTCTGGCCAGATCCAGGTAGCTTATTATTGTTATTGTTTCAACATCTATGGACCTGGAGTTTTACAAAGGTCCCTGCACGAAGAGATATTACAATCCAAATATACACACAATCTAAAATGGAACACAAGAAAGGAAACGAGAGCAGGGTTGATAGGAGCCAGAGCTCAACAACATCTGGAGGAAAACAGGTTCTCCATTCCTACAATAGTGGGGGGGGACACTTTAAAAGACGTAATGATGATGAAGTAGCCTTATTTTTTGAGAACTGACAAAGTGGTCTTAAATGCTGAAGTGGAAACACCCCAAAGAAAATACTGAAACATGAATTAGGATTATAAAAACAACCCCATAATGGTAGGGTTGATAGGGACCAAGGGTCATCTTGCAATGCAGGTATCACAGCTAAAGAATTCCATACAGGTGGCCCCCCAACCTCTTCTTAAAAACCTCGAATGATGGAGAGTCCACCAGCTCATTCTGCTGTAGAACAGTCTTTTACTGTCATGTTTAGTCGGAATCTCCTTTCTTGTGATTTGAATCCATTGGTTCGGTAACCAGTAACTTCTGCAAATTTCCAGCCGCCATTGTTATTTTATGCATGCTCCTGGCCTGTACTTTTTCTAAAGGCGAGGACCACATTTGAAAACAGATGAATTGCTAGCGGATACAAAAGATGTAGAAGGAATCAATAACATCAAGTGGAAATCCACCAAAAAAAGTATAGCTGGAATTTTTGTCAAGCATTCCCCACCCCTGTCTAAATAAGACTATTTATATTGATTCTTTAAGTTTGGAGGGTATTGAAGCAGATAGGTGGTAATTAAAAGCATAAATCTCAGGGAGCCTGTGAAGGTAATTCTCTTCTTTGCAGACAGAACTGACAAAATGATGAACACTTCAGCTCCAACATGACAGAAATATTACATGATTACAGGCTGCTGGGGCATAATGTGCAGAAAGTTCTCTTCAACAGAGGCTATTTAACAAAGCTTTTAACAAAAGTTCTTAGTTTTCCATTTGAATCAATTTAATGGTTATTAGTAAAGGGTTGATCTATGTTTCTCCTGTCTCTGTGTCATTTTCAGTGATACCCTGTTTTGCATTAATTTTTTTAAAAATAAACGAAATGCAAAAAGCACTGATAATTTGAGGAGGAGAGGAAACTGTTGCATTTTGGAATATTGTAAGGAAAGCTTTGCATTAGTTTCACTTGGTCAGTGGGTGGGTCTGTCTATCTATCTATCTATCTATCTATCTATCCATCATCTTCAGATGGCAATTCAAAGCAGGTCCTGCCTTGGTAACAACACTCAGTCCTACTTTTCCTTAGTAAGCTTAGTAAGGCCTTCTTGGTAGTGGCACCCACCATGTGGAACGTCCACCCATCAGATGTCAAGGAAATAAACAACTTTCTGACTTTTAGAAGACAACTGAAGGCAGCCCTTTTTAGGGAAGTTTTTAATGTTTTATGTTTAATGTTGGGAGCTGCCCAGGGTGACTGGGAGAACCCAGCTGGATGGGCAGCGTATAAGTAATAAGTTGTTGTTGTTGTTGTTGTTGTTGTTGTTGTTGTTGTTGTTGTAGTATTTAAATGCAGAAAAATGTGGGCCAGGCAACCATCTTAACTTGCTCCTGGATGTAATCAGGAGAACGAAATGTACATAAACAAACTAGCAGCTTTGGTAGTTCCAAAAACAGAGTTTTGCGCTGTTAAAATTATAGTAGTCACATGAGACAGACTCACGATATTCACAGTTTGTTTCTGTTCATGGACCACTATTGCTGGATTGATCTGAATATGTTTAGGACGCTGGTGTGAAAGATTTATGAAACAGAGTCAAAGTTTCAGTCTCTTTTTTACATTTTCAAAGTTAGCTTTGGCAAGAGTGAAATACTCTCCCATTCCATAGCTTTCAGTAATGTGTGGTCTTTAGAAGTAAATAAAAGTGCTATTATAATGCAAGAGAATGATTGATTCACACATACAACTGTAATAAAACACTTGAGGAAGCTTGTGATTTTTAAAATTTATTTTTAACACTGTTTGATATTTAGTGCTCACAGTGTTGGGGGTTTCAGTAAGCAATCTCTAAGCTTTGTGTAGACTACAGGTATCATAAACTAAAGGTTAACAAGATTTCAAAAAGCCCTGCTATTATCTTTGGAATTGTTACTTTTTTATTCGTTTTACTTTTTCATGCATTTGATTGTTACTTTTTCATTTCCATTTCTGGAACTGTGAGGAATTTCATACACTGTATGTGTAGAATGCACACCTAGGGCTGGTCATGCTTTTAGTTGATATGGACTAATCTGTTAACAAGTTTGTTTTCAAGGATTTGGCCTCAGAGTAGTGAATTTGACTCAGTTTTTTTCATCCCCATAACTATATATTCCAATTTACTGTACATGCTCCTTATGTTTAGCATTAATGTGAATGTATACATTTTTAGCAGCGTCTAACGATGAGAAGTTTCTCTGAGCAATTAGTCTTTAGTTATATAATTATTTATATAATTAACTCAAAGAACCAGTATATCACAAACGCAGCATAAAGAATGACAAACAGCACAATCCTTTGTCACAAACATAAAATCAAAGGCAGTGCTTCATTCTTAATATTATCCTTTGGTGTTGTTCTGTTCCAGGATTGAATGAAAGAGTTCCACTGCTCATCTGACTGGATTTCTCCTAGCCATAGTGATTTAAAATAAGTTACCATATCTTTCCGTCTATAAGATGCCCCTATGCATAAGACGCCCCCTATTTTGGGGGACTCAGATTTAAGGGGGAGTCACTATCCATGTATAAGGCGCCCCATAATTTTTGACATTATTTTTAAGGGGAAAAACCTAGTCTTATATACACGGGAAAATACGGTAATTTGCTTATCAGTGTAATATTCCTGAGTGGTTGCTATAATGCTGCAATTTAAAAGACATTACCAATACTTTGGAAGTATTGTAATGATTTTTAGAAAAACTGGAAAAGGAACTCTACCTTATTTATTAGACCAGTTAAACATTTGCTAATAGGAACTTTATATGCCATTTCAGATAAGCCTCAAATGAGCCCAAATCCAGCGAGAAATTTACTGGAGATCTGTTAATGGAGATCAATTGGTGTGGATTAATGTTCTCCAGCTCTCACTCTCTCTTTTTTGCAAATTGGTACTCAATCTATACGCCTGTATTACATATTTGTACTTTCTGTTTCATAGCTATCCATCCTAACTAATCACTTGCAGCAATGGCTCCATCCCTGGATTTTGTAATCTGTGGGTTGTCTCTTTAACATTATTTCTCCAGACTCTAGTTTTAAGTAAAGTTGTGAAGCTAGGAGATTTTCATTTCTCCATACAGAACATCTTCAAAAGAAATAGCTGCTGTTCATTAAGACCAAATCTAAAATATTTACACATATGAGAATAGACTTCTTCCCCCAAATCATAACACTTTCATGCCTTGTTCCCCACCCCCATCCCCGCCACCTCATCCAGAAGTTTTGAGTGCATCTAAAAGGCCAGATTAATCAAAGGAATAACAGGTATATATTTTATGGAGCTTATATTTGAAGAGCAGTGGGTGGCAACTGGCTAATTTGCATGCCATTACCCAACCTGGTTACAACCAAGGAAGGCAAGCACCAGGCTCCATACATATAATTTTTATAATTATGATTCTATATTTTAAATGAGTGGAAATAAAAGTCCAACTTAGTGCAATGTATCATTATGAAGCAGGCCGTCTCTAACGTTAGTCGAGTGAGACACACAGCTTATTTAGACGGGTATGACTCAAGGTACTGCTGGTGGTGTTTACTGCCTTGGTTAAATTAAAATGCTGCCCATTCCCATGTGTTGTTGTAATAATAATAATAATAATAATAATAATAATAATAATAATAATATTTATATACCTCCCATCTGACTGGGTTGCTCCAGCCATTCTAGGGCGGCTCCCCACAAAATATTAAAAACACAATAAAACATCAGGCATTAAAAACTTCCCTGAACAGGGCTGCCTTCAGATGTCTTCTAAAAGTCAAATAGTTGTTTATCTGTTTGACATCTGATGGGAAGGCATTTCACGGGGTGGATGCCACTACCAAGAAGGCACTCTGCCTGGTTCTCTGTAACTTCACTTCTCATAGTGAGGGAACTGCCAGAAGGCCCTCGGAACTGGACCTCAGATCCAGGCTGGACAACGGGGGTACAGTTGCTCCTTCAGATGGACAGAACTGAGGCTGTTTAGGGCTTTAAAGGTCAACACCAACACACTGAATTGTGCTTGGAAACATACTGGGAGCCAGTGTAGATCAATATAACAACAGCACCTTAAACACGCAAGAGTTAACCGGGATGACTGTTCTTTTATTTTCATTTTAAAAAAATGTCTGTCACTTCTCTGTTTCCTTTCCTTCACAACTATGACTTTGCCCTCAGGCAGCTGGTAGAGATGGGGGGGTGTGCTCTCAATCCTGTCCCTTGGAACGGAGGGAATATCAAAACTGCCAAGGAGCTGCTAACCTGCTTCTGTACCTGCCTCCTCCAGAAATGAAGATGGCAGCTTCCTTGCTCTCTGCAAGGCACTTTTGTAGCTGAGGCAGGCACCTCGGGGATTGTGGCGCCTCAGGTAGTTTCCTAGTTTGGTTCTACGATGTTTCTGTTGAGCCACATAAAGCTAATATTTCACTGTAGTGACCAATACAGTAAGAAACTAGGAAGCAGTCCTATACTAAGCTAAGCCTGTTGGTCCAACCAGCTGGCTTTTGTCTATTATTTATTTATTCATTAAATTTGTATACAGTGGAACCTTGGTTTTTGAGTGTCTCAGAAGCCGAACGCCGAAAACCCAGAACTGAATGCTTCTGTTTTCAAACGCACCTCGGAAGTCGAACGGCTTCCGAGGTGCGTTTCTCCATTTTCTCAATGGATTTTGCTGACCCCCCCCCCCCCCCGTTGCACCTCGGGTTAGCAAATGTTTCGGAAGTCGAACAGTCTTCCAGAATGGATTACGTTCAACAACCGAGGTACCATTGTACCACTCTTCATTTATAGATCTCAGGGCGGTTCATAACAGGTCTATGCTAGGGGTTCCCAAACTGTGGTACTTGGACACATGTGTTTCATTCAAGTGGTCCATGGCATGTCCACGTTAAAGATTCATACCCAATCCACAAACACACTAGACAGAGAGGTATCTGATGTGTGGCCTTTGTACATGCAGAAAAGGAAAAAATCCTAATATGAAGCAGACCCCAAAAATAGATTACAGAGTTCCTGAATACATTCAAGTAGTAAGACATTACAGACCACATGTTACAGAGGAGCAGTAACTAAAAAACTTTCAGGCAAAGGGTCCCATGTTGGGCAGGCGTCTGAAAGCAGTGAGGGGCTGGATGGGAGCCAATAAACTGAAGCTGAATTCTGGTAAAATGCAAGCACTGTGGATGCAAGTTCCTGTGTGGACAACCTGTTCTGTCAGAGGTTGCAGTCCCCTGAAGGAGCAGGATTGTAGTCTTGGGAACACTCCTGGATTCCATTTTGCCACTGGCATACCAAGTGCTTTCTGTGGCTGGAAATGCTGAGGCCCCACACAGGCCAGCTACAGCCTTCTCTGGAATGGGATAGCCTGGTCCCAGTTGTTCATGCTAGATTACTGCAATGCACTCTATGGAGGCCTGTACTTGAAGATAATACAAAAGCTGCAGCTAATGCAGCTGCTAGGTTGAGTGCGCAGCCCAATTGTTGCAGGAAAGCCTGCCCTATCTCACGAGTGAACACAGAATCACATGAAAAAGGGAGTCCAAAGTTTATTTCTGAGCAGAAGTTTGATCCAGTGGGATTGCTTCACAAAGACCGGGCCCAGAACATTGGAGCACACGCCTTTTCATATAGTTTATATGCATTCCAATACATTTCAAATCCTCCATCCAATCAGAATGCTTAGTTCCCCTCTCCCTGTTTTCTTATAAGGCACATAAGTACAGTCATACCTCGGGTTAAAGTTGGTTCAGGTTGAGCGTTTTCGGGTTGCGCTCCGTGGCGACCCGGAAGTAACGGAATGCGTTACTTCCGGATTCGCCGCATGCGCAGACGCTGAAAATGACGTCACGCACATGCGCAGAAGCAGCGAATCGTGACCCGCAAACGCAGGTTGCGTTCGCTTCAGGGTGCGAATGGGGCTCCCGAACAGATCCTGTTCGCATCCAGAGGTACAGACAATGCTGCCTCTCTGTGATTGGTCTGATTTTACCGCAGTGTTGAGGATGTGTACTGTTTCCTTATGTATAAGTTTCCTTGTGATTGGCTAGAGTTTGCCACAAAGCTGAGCATGCTCAGAACGCCAAAACCTTATTTGGTGTGTGTAATTCCCTGTAATGCATTACATCACAATGGTACCATGTGCCACAGGTCCTGAAAGTTCTGCACTGACTGCCAGTGAGCTACTGAACCCAGTTCAGGCAGTTGGTGTAAACAGTTTGCTTAAGTATCTAAAAGACCACCTCATCCAGTAACAACAATCTGAGACCTTAGAATCAGTAGGAGAGGCTCTGCTGGTACTGCTGCCATGTGGTGCTGCCCAGTTAATGCCCTGTCAAGTAAGGTGCATTTGTCTCACTCTTTATTAAGATGGGAGGAGGAATTTAAAGACATACCTGATGGCTGAAATATACTGTTTCTGGCAACCTTGAAACTGCTAGATGTGAGGTTATTAGACTGTTTTTAAATGTTTCTAGATATTCTTAAATGTTTTTAAATATTGTGTTTTTATTTTTTATCGTATTGTTTAGCTTTGGTGTTTGTTGCCCTGGGCCACTTTGGGAGGAAGGAAGAGTTGGAAAATAAACGATCTTGTTTTGCAGCCATCCTTAACTATGATTTAGGTATTCAAACATAATGCTTAGCCATGGTTTGTGAAAACAAACAACAGTTGGTCCTTATGTTGGTCCATAGGGAGATTATGTTTTGGTTTCTTCAGTACACACAAAAACCAGCAAACTAAAATTGCGTCCTACAATACAAACGCATTCAAATCAAACAATATACAAGGTGGGTCATGAAATGCGGGGGGGGGGGGAGTGGGTCAAATTATTTTTCATTACATCTGCTCCTCTTTTCATAATTGCAGTGTTGTTGTGCCTGTTGTCATTGTATCTGGCAGGGCAGCTCTGTTGGCTGGCGACAGAAAAGCAAACAAGAATATTGTCTGAAATATACATGGCTCTAGTTCTGCTGTGATGCAGGATAATCCTTGAGTGCAATGAGAATACTGCTGAATTACATCACCACACGAAGTAATGAGTTGCCTTACGCTTATTCTCTTACCATCTGGCTCCTTCATTGATGCAAGCCAGTAAGGGGAAAGGGTATATAATTTTGTCAAGATCAGGTAACAGAAAGCTACAATTAAAGTTCACAGCACTTCATGCATCCATATTAAAACATTAAAAGAATTCCCAAACTTCTATTACAAATCATGTAATTTTAACAATCCAGAGCTAAGAAAGAAATATGTACATAAAGAGAATTCAAAGTAATGTCTTGTGCCTGCCTCGAGCCATTAAAAGCATCTGAAAATATGTTCTCAGAAGGTTCTCAGTAGTGAGTTTCCTTATGCTCCTTTCACATAATCCCTAATTCAAATTACTAAGTAGGAAATAACTGAGAGCAAAACGCTGAAATTTTATTTGCTGTTCATTTCTTAGTATACTGTACTTTTGTTTTGCTTCTCTCTTGTTAAATTTGCAAATCAAAAAATGGCTTTAAAAATTATCCCCCCAAAAATATAATTACAGTCATATGGACTATTTCAGGGGTTCCCAGATTGTGGTCTGTGAGCATCATTCAAGTGCTTGTGGATCAATGGTTGAAGGGAGAAGATGGTGCATCCATCTCTTTAAATATGTATATTAAATTTTAATTACATTTTAGTGCACCTTTAATTTCTTATATTGTGTTTTATTGTATTCTATAGAATTCAGTTTGTAATGCAACAAAATAAAATATCTATGAAATTAGAAAGCAATTAAAATACAATTAAAATCATGCAGCATTTAGCACAGTGCATTACACTTGCTCAACAGACTGATGATGATGATGTGGTCCTCCAAGACCCTTGACAATTTTTAAGTGCTCCATGGGAGGGGGCGTGTGGGAAACACTGGACTATCTTCCTTTTTCTTGAGCTTCCTGCTTAGACAAAGCATCACATTCAAACATATGTTCTAGAGATGGAATGTGGGGTTTCAAGGTAGATGACTGCTTGTACAACGCTCAGAGACAACCATCAATACAGTGAAACACTGAAATGAATATAGGCCCTGTTTTTGCATCAATATCTCTGTTGAACCTGCTGAATTAGGACAAATGTTCTTCTAAGATGCTGAAACATTACAGTGCCTTTGTGTCGTCACTCCACAGTGTGGCACAACCTTATGGATTTCATTTTGTAGGTAGGTTCAGCCCAAACATTAGGCAGAGTGAGGCAGATGTGGCTGGGAGGGAAGGGGGAGTTTGCAGGGATTGGTGACAAGTTGTGTGCCTAACAGTCTAACTGTGCCATCAAAGATAGCTTACTTTCCTCAGGTGTGGTGGAGGACATTGTCCTATCATTGGTGTTTAAATACAAATCATCTGCAAGACCAGTTGGCTTTAGTACATGGAATGGGAAGGTGTAATGTTTTCACCTCGGGAAACAAAATGTCTTGGTCTGGCCCTGTTTGCAGGAGCCACCTGTTGAAAGTCCCATCGAAAGGTTGTGAGATGGTGTATCTCTGCGGACTGTAAATTTAGAAAGTAGCAGACCCAAAGCTTTGTGTTTTTTATATTGTGATTTTATGTTGTGAACCGCCCTGAGATCTACGGGTATAGGGCAGAAGAAGAAGAAGAAGAAGAAGAAGAAGAAGAAGAAGAAGAAGATGCTTACAAAGACAACCAAAGGCTGGTGAATTTAAAATAGTACACACACCAAACTGCTTCCCAGTTCTACTTCCCATAATGCTCTTGAGCCCTAGGACAAATTTTGGAGTGGACTCCTGCATTGCAGGGGGTTGGACTAGATGGTGCTCAAGGTTCCTTCCAACGCTACAATTTTATGATTATATAATCCTGTAGTTGCTGAGGCTACTTTGAGATAATGGTAACCTTTGGAGAACTGAAACCATCCTAGGTAAAAAGCAGTGCTTTGTAGGTTGTGCTGCAATATATTTTCCAATGAAAATCAGTCTATATGACAGTAGCTGGAGTTAGTTCTGCATGCCCCAGTACATTTGAAAACCTGTGTATAGCCTTTTAAAAATATGACTGAGATATTTGTTGCGGGAAACACAACATATAAAAAGATCTTCTGTTAACCCATCATTGAATTAATGCTATCTTCACTCGTAGTGGGGATTTCAGATTTAAAAGATTTTGTTCATGTGTTGTTGTTTTTTTTCTTTCCATTGAAGTATCTCACTTGGGTGTTCATTGGTTAAGTGTTTGATATATTTCATAACTGAGTTTATAACTAGTTTAATATATGTCTGGGCTTTGTTTGTTTTCAACAGGTTTCATGTACAGTAGATGAGGAATGAAGTGAATCAAAGCCAGTAGTAGGTTATCACTGATATTGCAGGCATCCCCATTGCCAATATCAGCCTTTCTCTTCAGTACGCCTCTGTCTATCATGTCGTAGTCTTTTGTTTTTTGCCTTGGGCCTTTTCAGCAGCACAAGCTATGCAGTAAACATAGTTACAGTCCAAAAAATTAAAGGGACACTATCTATTTGAAAGTTGCGTAGCCATTTGAAAGCTTAACAAACAGTCATGGTAGTTTAAAGGTCTATTGACCCCAGAAAATATCTGCTTCTCAATTTCCATGGGCCTTGGCCTCACATGCTGCTTCAGCCCTTGGAAACTAGGTCATGTAAACCACGCGCAAGTCAACCCGAGCTTCTTGGAGACCTGGAAGAATAAATAAGTATGTGTAAATAAATTAAAAATACTTACGTAATAAGAACAGCAGCTGAGATGGTGGCTCAAGCTCTCCCAACCCTTCCCTTGTCCATTTCCTCACAAGTAATGAGTGAACCAAGAGAAACTGCATTTGTTTGAATATGAGAGATCCCCGACCCTTTGACAAAGAAGCTGGAGAAAACAGGAGAGAGAAAAGAAATGGGGGACAGCGCCGAATCTTAACCACTAGACCACCAAGCATTTGGATCATTTCCCTCCAAAAGAATTGATAATATCAATATTTAATGGTTTCATCAAGGTATCTTCCAAACATTTAAAATAAAATCACCTTTTTCAAAAAAGAAAGAGGGTTATACAGTGGTGCCTCGCAAGACGAAATTAATCCGTTCTGCAAGTCTCTTCGTCTAGCGGTTTTTTCGTCTTGCGAAGCAACCCGATTAGCGGATTAGCGCTATTAGCGGTTTAGCGGCTTAGCAGCTATTAAAGGCTTAGTGGCTTAGCGGCTAAAAAGCTCTTAGCAGCTTAGCGGCTTAGAAAAAGGGGTGGGGAGTGAAAAAAAATCGCAACACTCGCAAGACGTTTTCGTCTTGCGAAGCAAGCCCATAGGGAAATTCGTCTTGCGAAGCAGCTCAAAAACGGAAAACCCTTTCGTCTAGCGGGTTTTCCGTCTTGTGAGGCATTCGTCTTGCGGGGCACCACTGTATTTCCTTCTATCCTCCCAGGTAGATTTAGCTTCTGGAAATGAAATACAGTCATACCTTGGGATAAATACGCTTCAGGATAAATATTTTCGGGTTGCACTCCGCAGCGGCCCGGAAGTAACAGAGCTCATTACTTCCGTGTTTTGCCGCTCGCGCATGCACAGTCAAAATGACGTCACGTGCATGCGCGGAAACGGCGACCCACGAACACGCAGATGTGCAGTCGCGTCTTAAGTTCCGTTCAGGATGCGAACAAGGCTCTGGAACGGATCCCGTTCGCGTCCCAAAGTACCACTGTAGCTTCAGAGCAGGCCCCATCTGTTGACACAGTTTTCATATATAGCGAGAGGCAGGACACACTGCATGTCTTAAGCTCAACAATTGTTTATTTAAACCTGCAGAACACAACGTAACTGAATAATGTACGGGTTACTGATTGCCTTCTTGACCAGAACTGCCTAGGACTTTTAATAACTTAGTGCAGGGGTGGGGAAACTCTGACACACTGACCAGAGTTGGCCCACCAGGGGTTCAAATTTGGTCTCTAAGGCTGTTTTCTCCAAACCACCCCTCCTCACCCCACCCTTCGACATCATATATGATGATAGATTGTCTAGCATCATACATGGTGAAAGGCAGTACAGCTGAAGCCTCCTAGGTCACCTGCACAGATCACACACCTGATACCTGCAGAAAGCAGGCCTTAGCTGTGTGGGATGCTTTGAAGTTCCAATCAAAGCTCCTAATCATCTGACACCAAGTGATTGACAGGTGGGCAGCCCCACCCACTTGTCCAATCTACAGCCACCAAAATGGTTCCCTGCCTCTGACTTAGTGGACCTAACCTCTCCCTCAGGCTTTGCATCCAAAAGTTAAAGCATTATTTCCTGTTCCTCTCACATCCTAGTCCGAGCCATTCTGGGCTTCATCTTAAAGAATCAGTATAAATATTCTGTACATAGAGCACATGGTTTGTTTTTCTATAGCTTCTAGAAAACTAAAAGCAGCTCCAAAATAGATAGCGGTGCTCAGAAATGCAATGTGAGGAATACAGAAAACACTTTGTACAGTTTACTTCAAATACCTCCCTACCGAAAGAAAAAATAAATATTTTTTTAAATAAAATTGTAAAGGATGGTGACGGTGCAAAACCTCCATCAACCTTTTTAATAGCAACCCACCATACAGCAACTTGTTAATATTTAATAAAAGCATATATCTCAAACAAAATGACCAATTCAAAAGGTGAATTGTTGTTTTTAATTGGTTTAACTTTAAATGGAGCAGTGTCTCTTTAAGTACTGTACATGTAAAAGTAATGATTATTCAATTAACAGTACAATCCTAAGTTTGCTTACTTGGAAATATATCCTGTTGAACTCAGCGGGACTTACTTCAAAGTAAACATGTTTAAGATTGGGCTGCCAATTAATCAGATTCCCTCTTTGTGTGGTGCCTAATAATAATGAAAAGGATGTATACTTTTGCAAGCAGTCATCCTTAGCATTTCTGCTATAAATATTATAGCCAGTATTTTAACAATTTATCCTAAGTTTCTAGATATCCCCCTCCCCATGCTAACTCTTTTCTTTTCTTTTTTTAAAAAAAGTTTCTGCACAGTCCCCTACCAAAAAGTACAATATAGAAATACAGTACGTTTTATTCCTTTTCCAGTTGGAAAAGTTGGTGTTTTGCATCACATGCACCTTAAGCCTATCTGCTGGGTCTTAATGGCTGTTTTTCCTAGTGCGAATCCATGAGGGCTGTGTTGCTGAACACAGATGTACTTGTGTGTTTTCCCTTCCGTTCCATCTGTTCCTACCCATCACTTACACCCAAGTGACGAGGCTTTGTTATTACACAATGTCCCTAGGTGACTTTTCAATGGCACCTAGTTTCACTGAGACTAATACAGTTGTCCTTCCTATAGCAACAAGGATTTAACAACACCCAGAGGGTTTGGAACCCAGCAGAGGTGTTGAGGAAAGTTTGTGCACTTGGTTTTATGGCTTGTTTTCACTTTTAACACAATGAGCAAAAGTGCAATCTTCCTAATCCATGTCGGCCACGGTATTCTTAACAGTACCACCTGCATGATACAAGAAATGTCCCTTGCATTGTATTTCTATATGTGAGATGCCAAGTTGTGGCCATATCTCTGTGCCCTTTATGAAAAGCATGATTTCTTGTTCGCCCCACCTCTAAACATGTCAGGTGGGAGCATTTTGTTGTTGCTGCTGTTAAAATGAGTGGAGTTTATTCCCAATCAATGTGCCTATGGATGGGGGTGTCCTGTGTGTTAGTTTTTATTGCACTTATAATATTAACTTAAATAGTTAATATGTACACTTCAATAATGGCACAGGCATGTCCATGTTCTGTTATTTAAGTTAAGTAAACATTGGGTTTAAATATGTATCAGGAAATGTTTTTAGCTCTCTGACCTCAGTCAAAAATATTTCAGGAACGAATTTGTTATGATAATGCTGTAGTCGATGGATAAATTTCCTATCATATTAACAATGTCTAGGACATTTAATACTGAAAATATCTGGTTTCCCCACCTACCCTTTAATGCCATTATAGGTTTCGCTTTGTTTCTTAAGAAATGCAGCAAGAAAACCCAGCAGATGCCACTGTGCACCTCTGGAAAACAAAATGCACAAAAGCAACCTTATAAAGTTAGCAGCTTGAATCCAATGCATGTCTTTTATACATGTGGAAGTAAGCCACATTGCACATTAAGTTCAGTTTGGCTTACCACCATATAAGTTGGCATTGGATTGAAGCTGAATACAAATGTTCAAAGATTGTAAAACACACCCAATAAATATATACAGCAGCCATCCCTCTAAAGTGGCCTGGCTTTCAAAAAAACACATCCTGTGAGAGGTTGAGTTATGGTATAGTATGGTGCAATCCCATACATGCCTGCTTAGAAGTAAATCATATTGAGTTCAATGAGATTTACTCCCAGGTAAGTGTCCGTAGGATTGCAACCTGGCCTGTATAATTTTGCCAGCAAATATGCCTTTTTCCTTAGTATTATGAAAGAACCATACCTTTTAAATTTGAATTTTATATGCTCCAAAATCTATAGCATTGCTATATTTTGAGAAATAAGGGGTTGGAGTGATATCCAACTAAGTTGTACCCAGAGCAAACCCACTTAATGGATCTACTCTGAGTATGACTAATAACCCAATTATTTTATGCCTTTAAGACTATAGCAATATTTCCCCCATTAATAGCAAGATTTCCCCCATTAATTGCCTGATTAAATAATGAAATGATGCTCCCCGGAATGAAGGTTTGTGAGGAAACAAATCTGTTTCTACCGTTAAAACAAATGCGGGAGCTCAGTGTGTGTTCATCAGCACTCTCATGCCCATGAGAAATTGATGAATCACATGGTCTGTCTTAGTAAACCCCAACACACCTGCTGGCATTGTAGTGATGTAACTATTCGTAGCCTTATGTTGGTACAGGCCTACACAGCTTGCCAGCTCCCAAAATGAATGAAATCTACCAACCGTATAAGGTGGCTCAATGGAGGTTCCATAAAACCTCCTGTTGTTGTTTTTCTGCAAGCCCGGGAGTGCAGAACCGTAGGAAGGAAAGGTGAGTTCCATGCACATAGAAGGACATAATATGTGGCTGGCCAAGTGCATCCACATTGATAGGCCTGCAAGCTGTACTAGGGTACACAGAAGATAAAGGCTTCTGATGCACAACAAGTATATGCATTATATGCACTTATGTGCAGTGATTTCTGTAGACTTTGGTACTTCTCTCTGTTTAGGACTGCAGCCTTAGCAATCAGACTAATATGCATTTTCTAAATTGGATATATTTACCTCCAAGCAACAGCTTAAGACTTCAGATAGAATTCTACTAAGAGATTAGTAAAGAGGATGGTCCTCTTTTTGTATGCCATAAAAAAAAAAATGTTCTGCATTTAAAAAAAAAATCTCTGTTAATATTTATCTCCTGAATACATTAAAAAAGTGAGCTCAATAATATAAAGTGCTACAAAAACTTGTCAGGCAAAGAAATGTGGTGCCTATTATTGAAAGTTGTATAACTTTTTATCTCTCTCTCTCTACATTGTCATCCATCAAGTGATATGAAGTGCAAAGTGTGAGCCTGATTTGTTCTCCTTTGTAGAGCCAGGCCGAGGCCCACTACAAAGGAAGTAAACATGCCAAGAAGGTCAAAGCACTAGAAGCAACGAAAAATAGACCAAAAGCTGGTGCTTCCAAGGACAGCGCAAAGGCTAATGCGAACTGCTCTGCTACACCAGTCCCAGCCAGCATCTCTGACAAATCAGGTCAATTTTCATTCTATACATTCTTTGCTTCTTCTTCTTTTGCGTGAGATTCTGAATGCATGCTTCCTATCCATTACAGTGTTGATAAATACTTTGTGATGAGAAGAACAAAACCGATGGACAGTGTTCATACATTAGCACGGCAGCTTTTAGATCTCCAATGTAACTTCTTCTCCACACATGCTTGTCGCGTGTCCCCTAAATCTATTCTGGGGGTTCCTTCAGCCTCCCTGGAGCACTTTTAGAGAGCATGTGAGGGTCATTACACTAGTGTAACTGTTCAACTGGATACAGCCCTTGTTTTCTTCAAACCACACAGATGGAATATAAGATTCAATATACGTTTTGCAGCTTAATCCAAATCTCCGATTGCAAAAACAAAAAGCAAAACCAAACCACTCCCCCCCCCCCGGCATATTTCATCCTCCTGTGTAAAGTCGGAGAGTTCTACTTAGACCATATGATGATCATTATCAGAATCACCATTCTTAGTGCTGCCACCAAGGATTCAGTGTGTATTTCAATATGACGAGAAATATCGTTACAAAGCTGTCTTTTCTGAAAACGGAAACAGATCAGTTAAAACAGCGGGTCACATTCCCTGTACAGTTTGACCAGCATATCCATTGTCCAGCTGAACGCAGCCATTTAGGTTGTGGATGAGGACAAGCAAAGATGAAATTGCCCAGTAGAGATGTGGCAATAGTGCTACTTCCCTGTCTACATTAAAATCTACCATCAAAACGGTGGGTTTCAATTGAGTGCAGGAGGTGAGATGGTGTGACAGTCCTGCCTTTGGGGTATGAACAAGGGAGAAAACAGTGCTTCCAAGTGGCATCAAACAAATCCTGCTTTGCTGTCTATGAGCTTTCATTTGTCTGTGGCTCCATGCTCTGAGCCTGTTAACACTGTCAGTTATATTGAGATGGAGATGATAACCTTAGTCACTTGTGTTTGTAAGAGAAAATCATTTTTATCAAAAGTGATGTGAAGTGGAGAAATAGAGCCATCGGATAGCTTCTTGACTGTCTTGTTTTCATCCTGGGATAAATGTGGCATAGCCAACCGAGGTATGCAAAGATGGATGAAGTTATCTACATTTGTAGTGAATTATCTACGGTAACAACTTGCAGAGAGTCATCTAGCTTCCTGGAGGTAAATGCCAGCTCTTTGATACGGTAACCAGAAGAAGAAAAATACATGCTGGTTGTGATCTAAAGACATGAACACTCAACAGTGGGCTGCTCATGGCACTGCTGCAAGCAATTAAAACTTCATCTGCTTGCGAACCAATTGATGGCCAGTGTTGTGAAACCTAATGAGCTGCTTCCCTTTCTCCTGATAGTAGGGAAAGGTGGTACGAAATTGAGCACCCCCTTGCTCCACAGCTGCCAAATAGGTGATCAGAGCTGAGAGGGCTGCTAATTTCAACTGATGCTTAAAGACACACACACACACAGAGAGAGAGAGAGAGAGAGAGAGAGAGAGAGCCCTGAGTACTGGATACAGGGATTTAGTACCACGGTTCATAAACACAGCATCCTTCTAGAGGTGTGGTTCCTCATCCAGCGTGGGATACGTATATGTGTGGAATGGATTGCTTTCACACATATGCCGCTGTCACTGGATAAGTGTGCATGCCCCAGAGTGGCTCAGAATAATGAGCAAGAGGGCTGGGGGTCGGGGCTGGGGGTCTTGCCTATGTAGCCAGTGCCCCGGGACACTCTGGTGTTTATTCACAATAATAAGCCTGCAGCAAATAACCTCTGACTCTTCCACAGATATTTGGAAGCAAATAGCCATGTAAACAAGCCCATAGGTGCTCCCTATAGCACATTTCTCAAGCTCTTGCTTGGTAATGTTGACAGCAAAATCTAGTGGGAAGCCGTGCTCTGGTCTTTCTGCATAAACCAGTAAACCTTGGTAAACCTCATGAATAGTCCTGAAACATTACAGTCCCTTATAGAGTAGACCATAGAGGCATCATTAGTTCCACATGCAGTGGAACGAAACAGGCTGCTATTTCTTTTTGAATCATATTAAGTAGATGTTATGAAATATATTCCTACCCCACACAACCCTTACTTTTATTTATAAATGCCAGCTTACATGTGGACCCTGAGAAGAAATGTTTTGCACTTCACAAATTGTGCTTTGGATAGTAGGGTCGTGGGTTGGGACTCAGGACCAGCAACTGAGTTACAGCTGCCCATCACTGAAAATGGTTAAAATATGGTTAAAAACTGGGACTCAGGCTACATGATTGAGCTAAGGGGTGGTCTGAAGTCTGCAAAGGTTGACGTCCACTGCAAGGTCTTATTTATATTTATCTATTGCTCTTCTCTCTCTCCCTTGAGAACTCTGTGACTTAGCTTAATGTTAGGACTCTTCTACACAGCTGCAATTATAACGTTATAAGTGCATTAAAAAAATGTGACACCAGATGGCAATGTAGAGCTCAATGGCAAATTGCGCACATATATACACACACACACACACACACACACACACACACACATATATAATAGCGGGGGGTTTTCATAGCATTTTCATAGCGTTTTTTATATCTGTGTAGATCCAGCCTTAGAGTTAGTGACTAGCCCAATTGGTTCAGGGATGATGTACAATTGATCATGTACCAAATGGAAACTTGCAACTTGGAAAGACAACCACATGGGACCACCTACCCATGAAGTGGAGATGGTTTTAAGAAAGTATCTTCAGCCACACTTGCTCAGAAATTCAAAGCAGCCATCTTTGCCCATCCCCCCAATTCAATGTCCCTGGCAGCCTTAGGAACTGGAGGCTGATGGAAGGAAGCAAAAGTGGTAGCTCCAAGAATTAGTAATTCAGTTTTTATTTATACCCCACAAAACCAATCTTAGCTGTGTGAATATGATAAAAAATAACTCCTACAATAAAGACACATAACACATGTGCACACACATTCACATATTCTCTCCAGGCAGAATAAACTGAATTAAATAGTCAAGATACTCAGCTTCGTGAGCTACTGAACAAGATGAGTGCCCCAGCTACTCAAAACTGCACCTGTTTACTTATCAAATGAAAATAAGGATCCTTTGATCACACATTCTAAATCAAAACAAATATACTTCAGAGTTGGAGGGTCACAAATTTGAATTCCACATTTTTGTATCTTCCTTTTGTGATATAAAGCATAAGAAAATAAATGCAAATGTGTTGGGGTTTTTTTACATAAAAGAGAGCAATATATGCTTCTCAGAATATAAATGTAGGGCCTATTGCTCCCTTTGAGCCTCTCTTGCCTATGATCTTGTCTCAGCAATGTCAACTTGGGCTTAGTTGTGAGATTTCAATATTTAGTCCTAACAGTTCTTTTTCTAGGACTCTGCAATATTTTTTATGCTGTTGGCACCCGTCTGTCTCAAGGGACAATGGACTGCTTCTCTGGAGGTGAAGACAAACCTCTGTGTTAGCAGCACTGAAGTTTTAATTAATTTAATAAATTTTATATTTATGTCTTGCGGTCTGGGGCTGCCCAGATGACAAGACTCCCCTCTCAGCATCGCTGATATGGTATAAAGCAGAGCAATACATTTGGCACCAGCTGAGCTGCAGGAGTTGCCAGGAGGAGGCGTACAAAGCACCATCCAGCCACCTTAGGGATTCTATTCTGGATTTCTGTAGGGTTTAGTCCTTAGCCTGTTCTTATCCCAAATATATTCCACTAGGGAGCAGAGGTGTAGGACCAGAGCTTTCCTTCTCCTAGATGGGCTACCTTCCCAAGTTGAGGAGCCCCATCCTCACCTCACCTCCCTCTACGATAAGTGCAGAGACCGCCTTCTTGACCATGGGACCCACTATTGGTTTTGTCCACTGAATCTTCCGGAGCCTGTCTTCGCATGCAAGGGAAGTCCCTAACTCACCAAGGGTTTGAGACCCATCAGCTACCCTCACCTGGCATAGCTGGCCAGTTGAAGCTGTTCCCAGGGTGTGGCCACTGTCGCATCCTGACAACTTCTAGGAGCCACAGGTGGAGCTGAGAGCAGGGTGGGGACCAAAGGTGAACGGATTACCCCAGAAAGTGTCCCCCACCAGAGGTGTTAAAGGTAAAGGGACCCCTGACCATTAGGTCCAGTCGTGGCTGACTCTGGGGTTGTGGCGCTCATCTCGCTTTATTGGCTGAGGGAGCCAGCGTACAGCTTCCGGGTTATGTGGCCAGCATGACTAAGCCACTTCTGGCGACCCAAAGCAGCGCACGGAAATCACGTTTACCTTCCCGCCAGAGCGGTACCTATTTATCTATTTACACTTTGACGTGCTTTCGAACTGCTAGGTTGGCAGGAGCAGGGACCGAGCAACAGGAGCTCACCCCATCGCGGGGATTCGAACCACCGACCTTCTGATCGGCAAGCCCTAGGCTCTGTGGTTTAACCCACAGTGCCACCTGCGTCCCACCAGAGGTATTACACCTCCCCTAATACCCCATACAGTTTCAGTTTCAGATTATTTCCTTGGCTACTAATGCTGTGGAGCACTCAGTGGTGTAGCGTGGGGGGTGCAGGGGGGGCCGGCCGTACCGGGCGCAACATCTGGGGGGGGCGCTCACACTCGCAGCTCTCTGCCCCTACTAAAATCCACGGGTTAGGGGGCGCAAATTACTTGCCTTGCCCCGGGTGCTGACAACCCACGCTACGCCACTGGGAGCACTCATTCTAATTTGTTGAGAAAATGTATTTAACCATCTGGAAAATGGGTTGACGGTCCTTGCTTTTATATTCACTATTGAAAAAAGAGGTCCATTCCACCATGGCACAGAAAGTCGGGTTGGTGTGTACAGATATTATTATTATTATTATTATTATTATTATTATTTAAAAAAGCTTTTAAAAGTAGGACATTGCAGGAGTCCCTGTTCTCATGTTGAAGGGAAGCATCTCCTGTTCTGAGCACCAGCTCCCAGTTCTTTGCCGGGCAACCAGCACTTCTGCATGAGAATCAGCAAGGGGCAGATGCCACTTTTTCCTTCCCTCAAAAGGACACAGGGCATTGAATGAGCAGACCAAAAGGGAAAGCAGCTTTCATCCCAAAGCATAACTGACAATTTAAGAGATTAACATTGGACTTTCTGCTCTCAGAATTTCGATTCCACGCTTTCATTCCAGATTTTATCTGTCCACCTGTCTTTCCCTCTCTCTCACACACACCTTACATATACTCCCTTTAATTTGCATCACCTCGGAAAATAAGAGCTCCTGTGGTTCCACAGGCATTTCACAATACAGTGGTACCTCGGTTTAAGAACAGTCTGGTTTAAGAACGATTTGGTTTATGAACGCCGCAAAACCGGAAATAGTGTCCCGGTTTGAGAACTTTACCTCAGTCTAAGAATGGAATCTGAACAGTGGAAGGGCACCGGCAGCGGGAGGCCTCATTAGGGAAAGCGCGCCTCGGTTTAAGAACGGACTTCCAGAACGGATTAAGTTTGTAAACGGAGGTACCACTGTAGTTGGAAAAATGATCTGGATAAATTATTAAGCGGCAACTTTGATAAACCGTTCAGCATCTCTCCCCCCACCCCGCCAATCTTTTAGATTGTATGTGATTATTCTCAGGATTATTCTCATATTTTAGGATAAGCTGCTAGATTTGCAATCCCCACGGTGGTTGCCTTGATCTCTGTTTGCCCCTTCATCCGCTGAAAAGAAGATTGGTACCTCTGACCAGTTCTTCTTCCCAGGCCCCTCTCCCCCAACTGTACATGCATTAGTCACTGTTTGAGCCTCCGACTGAGCACTATCAGAATATGACCTCCACCTTTAAAATTGTGGCAGGTATAAACAATCCTTAATTGTACAATTTATTCGAATTTCAGAATTGGCTTGCATCAGCTTGAGATGGTTGAGAAGTGAATAGAAAGACGTTGTACGGAAAGAGTTAAGAGGTGTTCTGCTCCAAGCTGATTTGCATGCAGGTCTACAGGGTTATTTTATTTTCTGCACCATCCCATGGTTCTTTTTTCCCCTCCCCCCCCTTAAGCCTCATTTCTCAATAGAATGCACAACCGTTTAGGAAGTTGGTACTCTGAGTGACACCCATTAGTTTCTCATTATTCAGAAAATGGGGCAGTAAAGCAGAAAAAGAATTGTTCTAAAACTCCTTATCAAATCTGCCTAACTTTGTCTTAATGAATGTCAAGGAGTAATGTGGTGCAGTGTTTTTGTTTGTGCATGTGTGTTTAATGATAATGAAATTTAGGACAGCAAGCCTTTACAATTGAAATAAAAAATATCACCTTGAACAACTTTTTAATTACCCTTTCTTATACCATTTATGGTATATGTTATTAACCCTGCCCTTCAAATAAACAATAATAATTTTGCAAATGAGTGATCCTGAACCTTAAAAACATTTGGTTGGGGTAGGGAGCCTTCTAAACTAGAACAGTTCCTTCCTTAGTATTCAGACGGTTGGTCCACAACCCAGTCTTCTATGACTGTCAGCTAATTGACTACTTTTCCAAAGTTTCAGTTGCCTTATTTTGTGTGGGAGAAAGAAATGCATTTTGAACAGGTAGAAAAAAAGAAACGTCAATTTAAATTTTGTTTCAGATATGCCAGGTATCTAAAGTGTCAACGCCAAACCTTTTACTGAAAGTTACTGACAGAATTCTTTCTGTATGTTAAATATATAAATTCCACTCTCTGTCTGGAATTATTTATTTGATTTGATTAGCCTTCCACAGCACCCCAAAGGCTTGTGGGGAATAAAAATAGGTAAAAGTCATACAGCTCCTTAAAGTGATTTTAAAAACCACCCCTGTTAAGTTGTTCAGTACATAACAACCCCCATTGTACCCTTTCCCAGAGCATCAATAACTAACAGATTAAAAAACAAACAAAAACCAACCACCGCTTAAAGACCCTCAAATTGAGGCCTAAGTCTTACATTATGGTTTTAATTCGACTTCTACATCATTCTGGAAATGTGAAAAGGTATCATTTATGTTTATATATGTATGGTGATAGGGTCATAGCAAAGTATCACATTTAACATCATCTTGTCTTGCCGCTAATGACCATGTGCACTGTTCTTAATTTTTAATTTCTTATAACTCAAAAGTATTCAACATCAATAAAATGCCATAGATTTTAATTTTTATGCTGTCATTTTTATTTTTATTAACTATTTAGGAGTTCTTTACACATTCAGTAGAGAAGGGTGAAGGGGTGCAGGCAGAGGGGAGCCTTAAACGGCTCAGGACCGCAATACCTCATGGACTGACTTTCTCCATATGAACCTACCCTGACCCTGATAGCATCTCCTGAGGCCCTTCTTCATGCGCCTCCTCCACATGAGGTCCGGAGGGTGGCAACATGAGAACGGGTCTTCTCTGTGGTGGCTCCCCATTTGTGGAATGTTCTCTCCAGGGAAGTTCGCCTGGCACCTTCATTATATATTTTTAGGCACTAGGCAAAAACGTTTCTCTTCCACCGGGCCTTGGGCTGATTAATATCCTACAGCCTTTTAAATGTGTCTGTGGGAAGGGGGGGGTATTGTTTTGATATTTTGTTTTAATTATTTGTTTTTATTCTGTGAACCGCCCTGAGATCTTATGATCAAGGCCGGTATATAAATCTAATAAATAATATAAAGAAATAAGGGTTGGTAGGGGAATTTTACAGTTTATCAAAATATGATGGCCTGCATCTCACTTTCGTACAAAAAAGCACAGCATAAACGTAGTAGTATACACAAGCAAACTATTAATAAATGCATGAAAACTACTTCAAGACAATGCGTCCGATAACATAAGAGACAACAGCTTTTGCCATATTCAGCCTAAAGTTATACTTAATTAGAGAGATTTTTTCTCAAGACTTCAGCATAAATGGAGTTATTATTTAAAAATAAATAAATAAATGAGAACGAGAAAGGAGTTTACATATATGCCCTTTGCAGGCAAAAGTACATTCAACGTTTGAAAAAATTATCACAAAACAAGTATTTCCTCTGTTCATTGCTTAAGGAATACAAGAACAGTGTCAGACCGGAGGACACAAAATATTTCCCATGTCCATTTGTGACCAGATCGTTTTGTTTGCTTTGTAACACAAAAAAAAACCCCTTAATAAAAACTTAAAACTAAAAAAAAACTCCTTCCCTCCTCAGAAGTGCTGTTGTTACCATAGCATTAGGATTCCCAGAACTGTCAAAGCTTTTCTGCAACAGCTTGTTCAAATTTCGAAACAAGAACAAAGGGAGAATACAGTGCACTCTTGAGAAATATATTCCAGTAGGTGCTGTCTGCAGGTGTTTTAGAAGTCTGTACCTCTTTTATGCGAATGGCAAAACTAATGAAAGGCATGCTCCTATGCTTTGCTGAGCTGTCAGAGGAAGTAGTGAGGATGAGGTGGATTGCAGCCTGCTGCGGAAACATGTCAGGATCGCGAGCCCAGGGTGACAGGGTGTCAAAGCTAACTGGGGACAACTTTCCTAGTCACCACTCATTTCCCCCTGAACGATGCTATAGAAGTGGTAAACAGTCGTGTTGTTAAAATACTCCCCTGCACAGATAAATAAGATGCGCTGCTGCTTCCGTTTTTTACAACCTTGCATCTCCTACACGGCCATGCTCTTGAATGTGCCAGATTAGGAAAGCAGGAAAGAAAGTTCTCCAATTTTTTAAAAAAGCCGAGTATTACGTAGTAGGTGCCTGATTGTGTTCACTTCTTTGTTTAAATTACATTAGAGGTGTCATGATTGCTTTGTCAAACTCTGTCTGACAACATGATAATAAATTGATTCATCCCTTGCAAGTTTCCTGTCAGTGGGTTACACTCATTGTATATAACATGGCTTTAAAAAAAAGAAAAACAGAACTATTCGTTTATATACTGCCATCAATGTGCACAGCATTTCGTAATGAAACATACGACAACAGCAACAAACAACCCCCACTTTGAGGAGCTCCCTATCTAATAATTAACACAAGGAGTGGAAACAGAAGGAGGGGAGGAAAATGTAAGGGAAATTATGCTGAAGAACTAAATAAAAGGTTTAAATTAGGGTGGCTCACCTGGGCCCTCTAGCGGTTGTTGGCTTGTGACTCCCATCAGCAAACCCCTCCAGCCAGCACGACCAATTGTCAGAGATCAGCAAACATTTTCAGCAGGGGGCCGGTCCACTGTCCCTCAGATCTTGTGGGAGGCCGGACTATATATTGGAGGGGGGGGGGATGAACAAATTTCTATGCCCCACAAATAACCCAGAGATGCATTTTAAATAAAGGGACACATTCTACTCATGTAAAAACACGCTGATTCCAGGACCGTCCACAGGCCGGATTTAGAAGGCGATTGGGCCGGATCTAGCCCCCGGGACTTAGTTTGCCTATCCATGGTTTAAATCAGGGGTCAGCAAACTTTTTCAGCAGGTGGCCGGTCCACTGCTCCTCAGAGCCAGTGTGGTGTAGTGGTTAAGAGCAGTAGACTCGTAATCTGGTGAACTGGGTTCGCGTCTCCGCTCCTCCACATGCAGCTGCTGGGTGACCTTGGGCCAGTCACACTTCTCTGAAGTCTCTCAGCCTCACTCACCTCACAGAGTGTTTATTGTGGGGGAGGAAGGGAAAGGAGATTGTTAGCCGCTTTGAGACTCCTTCGGGTAGTGATAAAGCGGGATATCAAATCCAAACTCTTCTTCTTCTTCTTCTTCTTCTTCTTCTTCTTCTTCTTCTTCAGAACTTGGGGGGCGGGGCGGACTATATTTTGAAGGGGGGGGGGAACAAATTCCTATGCCCCATAAATAAACCAGAGATGCATTTTAAATAAAAGCACACATTCTGCTCGTATAAAAACACACTGATTCCCCGACCATCTGCGGGCCAGATTTAGAAGGCGATTGGGCCGGATCCTGCCCCAGGTCCTTAGGTTGCCTACCCATGGTTTAAATGCTTGTGAAGACCCTTTATTGGGTGGCATCCTCTCTCTCCTCCTGCCACTCTCCAACACACTCTCTTCTTCACTCTCCAATCCTGAAGCTTCTCCTGCTTCTATTGTCTCTCACCCAGTTCACAGATTCCTTCTCCCAAGCCAGTCTCCAACCCCCTTTCTCCTAGTGCCCACTCATCAGAATCCGGCCACAGGATTTTTTGGGGTAACAAAAGTACATACAGCATCTCTGCTTTCAGTTCATATAGACCTTTTAACAGATCAATGTGAGTCACTAATGTGATGGCCAGTGTGAGGTTGGGGGAGAAGAGTGGTGGAAATTGGAGGAGAGAGAAAACGGTGAGTGGTTGTAAACTTTCATTCTCTTACATCTGTTTGTGCAAAGTTTTTGTGTCAGCATCGTGTGTGTGGGTAGGTTCTTTCTCCATTCATTTATTAGTTTTCATTGGCGGTGAGAGAGATTGGGGGGGCCCCAGGGAATGGTTGGTTGCCTTCAGTTGACTGCAGTGATCATTGTTTATTCCACATCTCTGCAGCAATTTAAAAATTCAAATCATGAAAATTCATCCGTATTTTAGGGTCCTAAAAAACACCTTTTTGTATGCAGTTTTGTATTTTTTTGCAAGCAACTTCCTCTAATATAATGCATTTCCCCCACTAATATTTATATTTTTATGTGCACCTTCCCCTAATTCTTGTAAACGCTGTTTGCCTGGAAAACTACATCACTTGCAGATTCCAGCAGAAGAGCTGCGTTACAGATCACATGTTGCTTCAGAAAATTCAGTTTGGGTCGATTGGCCTTTAAGTGTGAACCGAACTGAATTTCTCTGAGATAGTGCCCTAAGACTCTGGTCGTGTCTGTTCCTCGTAGCATCATCTGGATTACAGGACAACCTGGCAGCCTAATATTCTTTCTCTCTCTCTCTCTTTCAGAAGATAAGGCAAACCTGACAGTGAATGGCTCTAGTCAGCTTCCAAATGCTGAAGTGGTCTCTTTTATACCTGAGCCTGGAGCTACAGCAGTGCTTGTCACTTCCGCAGCGGTAGCAACAACATCTACACCCTCGTCATCAACTTCTTCCAAGAGCACAAATGGGACTACTAATGCCATTTCTGAATCAGAAGAGGAGAAAGCCAAAAAACTGCTTTACTGCTCATTATGCAAAGTGGCTGTGAACTCCCTATCACAGCTAGAAGCACATAACACAGGTGAGTATCTGCCAGAAATAACTAAATGCATCATTGAGGGGGGGGGGAAGGCCTGAAAGAAGTTAATATAATTGGCATTTAGACATAGTGGTGTATGTAATAATTCTTTGCCTCTCCTTTATTTATTTTTTAAAGGAGAGGGTGTTTTATGTAAAATATACGGTGGCAATTACTAGATTCCTGTCTGCAGACAACACGGGATGCATAAATTCTGTTCTTTATTAAAGCTCTGAATCATCTGATTATACAGAAATAGGCATCTACTGCATGCTTAGCGCTGCCATTTCCTGTGAATGCGCTTGTTGCCCAGACTGATGGTTTCGCCCAACTTCCTGGGATCTGTATTTCGCCCTCTTACTCCAGGAAATGCTATTGCAGAACAAAAAAATCAGAAGGCAGTTTTCACGATTTCACATTTCAAGGAGAACCTCTGAGGGCCACCTCACATGCATACCCTCCAACATTTCTCCGATGAAAATAGGGACGTCCTATTCCATTATTCTTATTACCATTACCATTACCATTGTTTAATTTATAGCGCTCCCATCTGACTGGGTTGCCCCAGCCACTCTGGGCAGCTTCCAACCTATATTAAAACATAACAAAACATCAAACATTTAAAAACTTCCCTATGCAGGGCTGCCTTCAGATGTCTTCTAAAGGTTGTAGAGTTGCTTATCTCCTTGGCTCGGGGGTTACATAACTCCATACCCTCCAACATTTCCCCAATGAAAATAGGGACGTCCTAAGGACGTGAGTGGCGCTGTGGGTTAAACCACTGAGCCTAGGACTTCCCAATCAGAAGGTCGGCAGTTCAAATCCTCGTGACGGGGTGAGCTCCCGTTGCTCAGTCCCTGCTCCTGCCAACCTAGCAGTTCGAAAGCACATCAAAGTGCAAGTAGATAAATAGGTACCGCTCTGGTGGGAAGGTAAACGGCCTTTCTGTGCGCTGCTCTGGTTCACCAGAAGCGGCTTAGTCATGCTGGCCACATGACCCAGAAGCTGTAAGCTGGCTCCCTCAGCCAATAAAGCGAGATGAGCGCCCAACCCCAGAGTCAGCCACGACTGGACCTAATGGTCAGGGGTCTCTTTACCTTTAAGGAAAAGCAGAACATTCCAGGATCAAATCAGAAACCGGGATGGCTTCTGTTAAATTTGGGACTGTTCCTGGAAAATAGAAACACTTAGAAGGTCTGCATATGGTAACTGCTGAAAAGGCCTTTCCTGATGTTCTCAGTGACCAGGGTAACACTGGTCAGCTGCTGCTTATTCAGTGTGTCTCTCCATTCCTGTGTAGGACCTACACGCCTTTTGTCCTGGTGCAAGGACTATCCAGTGCTGGCACAGGAAGGGCTCTGTAAGAGACATTTTAAAAATAAATAATTAAGCCTTCAGAAATTCTCCCCATCTGAATTTGTCCAAGGGTTTTGGAGTTTCAAATTAGCCCTGTCTCCAAAGCCAAACCAATGTAATGGAAACCCTCCATCACTCATTTTTATTATTTCTTTATTTTATACATGGCACCGTGCATGTTCAGTTTGCCTCAGCTTTTAGTTCCTTTGTGTCTTTTGAGAGCCAGTGTGGTGCAGTGCTCGAGAGGGTCTTACTTTGGATTGTGGAGACTCCGATTCAAATCTTCACCCAACCATGGAGATGGCTGAACGATGTTGAGTCAGTCACTATCTCTTTGCCTTGCCTAACTGGCAAGTTTGGTGTGAGGACAGAGGGGCCTTGGTGGAAAGGCAGTATATAAATCTAATAAATAAAATAATTTCCCCCCTCTCCAAATTTACCGTGTGCCTTTGCATCACTGGTAGACACAATTGCACCAAGACTCCTTTCTTGAAGTGAAGGCCCAAGACAGGTGTTGATCATCATGTGAGCTGCGCACAGGTGGTCTGAAGCGAGCTGCTGCCATTCCTGTGGAGCCTCCTTTTATTGTGACAAATATGCAAGCTAGGCAGGTACATTTTTGGGCTGTGACCTTTACACATCTTCCGTCCTGAAATCATGGGGTGGTACAAAGCTATTTTGGCACCTGTTCCACAGCGTCATTTTCCCCTTGCACAGTGTATGACGAATGGAGACAAAAGGTCTCAGGGAAAAACTTATAGACAGGACACCGCTAACTTCTGAGACCGCAAAAGGTCCGACATAGGTGGAACGATGTACCAGACAGCTGTGGCTTGTCTGGGGGGGGGGGTTTCCCTGCACCCCAAGGTCACGCGTGCAGGCAGACTGTGGCTGCCTGCTGGCGGGGAAGTGTGCTCCCTCCGGACCCCACTCCCCACTCCACGATATCCCTACACTTTCTGTGGAGTATTTTCCCTATGTGAATATTTTGATTATTTGTATTGATAAAATATGGCCAAAAAAGCCCACCATCCGATCGTGATGTGATTGTAAAGTGTTTGTATTTTCTCCAAGGGACATGAGAACATGTATGAATAAGTAAAGCACTTCATAAATAATATTGATGTAAGCATACGTCTTAAATCTGCTTCCCCTCCCCAGTATTTTAACTAGGTGTAAGTATGTTATTGTGGCAGAAGCCTTTGTGAGCTAATATCACTCATGCATAAGAAAAAGTAATGCATGAGTGGTATTAAGTAGATGAAATGAACCAGGTAACTGAAAGAATATAGATTTTAAAAACCTACTATTGCTTCTGTGGGAGAATTTAATTATGCCTGTGAATCTCATACCTCAAAGTGTTTATGTGCCTTTGATTTTTTCTTTCTTTAAAAAAAGACCAATAACAAGAAGCCATATTTTCCTTCTGTTTCCCTCATGATGGTAACAAACTGCAGAACAAAAGTCCTGTGTGCCTTTTTTCATGCAGTCCTTACTTATTTTCTGGTGAATAGAAGCTGCTTGCATAACTTGAAAGTTGTTGGAACCCTAGAAACACGATTGGTGTTTCCCAGACACAGAATTGCTGGTTGAGAGTAAAGTGGACTGCAACAGGAGAATTAATGGCCAGGGAGTGGGTGGGTGGTTTTTTCCTTGTGCACCAGTTCTCTGCCACATCTCCCCAGAGAAACTTCCTTCCTCCATAAAGCTTATTTCCAGTCATTGAGCCAAATGTGGGGTGAATGGGGGAAAATGGAGATAGCTCAGTTGGTAGAGCATGAGACTATTAATCTCAGGGTCGTGGGTTTCAGCCCCACATTGGGCAAAAGATTCCTGCATTGCAGTGGGTTGGACTTAGATGACCCCGTGTCCCTTCCAACCATTCTATGAATCTATAAAATGGAAGGTCACGGGAGAATCAAATGATGGGAGGAAATGGTCCAGCACCTACACATCTGCCTACTGATTCCCCTTTGCCCCCTACATTAAGCACTTTGAGTCAAACTCAGGAGGACTGGGTTTTCCAACCCTCATGTAGTTCTGTCCTTCGTTTCTGGTTTTCTCATGAAATTCCATTGTTAGGTGAACAAGCTGAAAAGCTTTCACTTCAGCAAAACAGATAGGTGATCTGTTTTGCTGAATTGAAAGCTTTTCAGCTTTCTTGTGCTTTCATTTGTAGTACTGGGTGAACATTATTTTCCAGCACTTCTCCTTTGTGCTGAAATGAAAAACTATTTTTTAAGATGGCAAAAATGACTTACAGATCAAAAGGAAGTAATTGTGAGGAAAACTCTATTTCCTGGGGGAAAATATTTTCCTCCTCCTATGCCAAGGATTCTAAAGTGGTGGATTCTGGAAGACTCTTTTAGAAGGTCACAAAGATCTATATAGTTGGAACTATGGATTATGTGGCAAAAGAGGATTTATCTTAATCAGTGTCTGTAATGATAGGTGGTTCCTGAACAATCTCACAGTTCTGCAAAGGGTTTCTCATTGAGAAGCATTTGAAAACTTAACTTCACAGAACAGGGATGGGAAACACGAGTCTTCTAGATGGACTTCCATCATCCCTTACCATTGGCCATTTTGACCTGGGCTGATAAGAGCCCAGCATCATCACAAGTTCCCTACACATGGCGAACAAAAAGGCTTAGTATAATGTTTGGAAGGTTGCAATGGCCAAGAATATAACTGGTAAACCTTGTGCCAGGAAGGCAAAGAAGCAGTCGAACTTCTCTATTCTACCTGGTGGATCTTGATTTCTTACATTTCAGAAAACAACCTACACGATTCCTTACACAAGCCAAGGAGAGAGATATGGACTTCTTGATTAAAAGAATGGATTAAATACATAAATGCAGTTATACTTACCTGTATATAATGTAGTCATCTCCATACTGGCTTTCCATGTTGACGTGTTAAGTTTTCGTTGTTTTATTCTCTCCTGGGTTGGGTGGGTGGGGTGTTGTTTTGTTACTGCTTGTAAGAAAATATTGTTCACTTGCAAAAACCCAAGGAAAAAAGCCTTTGGGCAGGTAACAAAAAAAGCAAAGCCCTTCCTTCATATTTACCCTATGTGTAAATATGGAAAGTGATGGAAATGGTATTACGGCTGAAAATGTTTAATTGGTCATTTAAGGGAGAAACAATCTCTGATGCTTTTGCAATGTGGCTCATCAGGTTCCAAGCACAAGACAATGGTTGAGGCTCGGAATGGTGCCGGTCCAATTAAGTCTTACCCTAGACCAGGATCCAGGCTGAAGGCTCAGAATGTCACTATGGGCTCAGGACTGCAGAACAAAACATTTCATTGTGAGATCTGTGACGTCCATGTCAACTCAGAAATCCAACTTAAGCAGGTATGGCGACATCATCAGGAATCACTGGGTTTGCATAGCGCATGCCACATTCATAGATCACGAGAGTCCTTTGTTTCGTATCACACGCTTGTCGGATTAAGTGGCTAATTTTAATTTGGCAGACCAAATTCCACTTTCCAGATGTTAGCAAAGGAATCCAGCTGCCTTGTGCAAAAATAGGGTACCAGATCCTGAATCTCAGGTTTAGCTTTTAAATTGGCAGATATGTAAACCTCATAGGTGCTCAAGAACAAGTCTGAAAATATTTAGGCAGGATTTGCCAATGGCTGAGAGCCACTTCCTCTGCTGATGAGAACAGCGTGTGTACAGGCTAGGATGATTCCAGTCAGCCACTGTGTGCCGGCATGGTACTGGCTGCAGCACTTGCAGCCTCCCAGTGCTTAAATATATAGGGATGAGAATTCCCTTCTTTCCTGGATCATTACCATCCATCTGCTGCTGGCAATTTCACATGGTAAGACTAGTGCTGTCGTCCAGCACCTTCTCCTCTTGCTCTCTTGATGCACAATCTATCGCTTTGATTTTATTGTCTCCTAATGAAAATCTGAGTATACACAGATTTTAAGTAATAAGTTTGGGAGTTTTTTTAAATGTACCTGATTTGTACAATCATAATATCTAAATGTTCCGGTTGCATGGTTTTACAGGGGTTTTACTACTGAAATCTAAATCTTCTGCTGGAGCTCTATGCAGTTTATTTTCTTGGAGTAAGTTCACAGATTTGCACAATAACTGCAGCAGGTGATATACAGTGTTAGTCAAACCCAACTGAAATCATTGGACTCGTGTAACTGAAGTCCCCTGATTCCTTTGAGTTTGCTCCAATTATGGCTAACATTAGATATCATCCAGTTTTAGGCAATGACTTTTAAACTGAACATTTTTTGTTTTGTTTTACATTTCCAGCACATTTCCAGCAGAAGACACAAGGACAGAGTTGCAGGGAAGCCTACAAAACCGAAATATAGCCCTTATAACAAACTACAACGTAGTCCAAGTATTCTAGCAGTAAGTGTTGCCTGATCGTAGCATTATATTTTTCCATAACTGGGGGATTCCAAGTGCATTCAAGTTTAGGTGTATGTCAAATGTGAATCTGCCAGTCCACACACAAAGGAAGTTAGCTGCTGCTGGAGGGGAGGAATAAACCATCTGAAATGGAACGAGTAGTGTGTCTTATTTTTCTTTTTAGAAATGCACTCCATCTCTTTTAAAGGCCAAAGCAGTGCACGTTAGGGGAATACATTTCTGCCTTTAAGCAAGCCTTTTTGCAATGTCCCGTTCTTCTCATGGTTCCAACTGAAGGCAACAGCAGGCAATACTTAAATTGAACCCTAGAGGGCAGAACAGACTCCACTGCATTTCTCTTGATTGTTTCTCACCTTCCTCTTGCCCATTCCAACGGCAGCTATTAAAAATACTGTGGTGCTACGGAATAGTTCCAAGTCCTCAAAAAAACAGAGCTTATCTTGCAATGTAGAAATCCTTCCCCACATAATTTCTCTTTCGTGGGCACTCATGTGCAGGATACAGTGTTGGAAGATTCTGTGACCATCTCTGTGTTAGGGAAGATATCTAGAAGAGGCTCTCAAGGGCTGCTAGCCATGATGGCTATGCTCTGCCTTAAGGGTCGGATGCAGTGATGCTTCTAGATACCAGTTGCTGGAAAGCACAGGAAGGGAGAGTTTGCTTGGGTCTTGCGTGGCCAGAAGGCTGGAGCAGCTGGGCCACTTCCCTGATCCGGCAGACTCTTCTTATGTCCTTACGATGGGTGTGAGCCTCCTACAGAAAGAGGCTCCCCGCTGAAGTCGGCGACCATTATTTTTAACGAACCTGGAGTGCATCCACGGTGCGCTGCAAGCCAAGGATGCCTAAGGAACGTATATTCTCAGTTTTAAAGTGCAGCACGTTCCAAATGACCTTTAGAAGCAAGCAAGCAAGCAAACAAACAAACACTAATATCCTTGCATAATTATAAAGAATAAAATTAAAATGCTTCAGGCTATATCCACTTATTAGTTTCACGGTAGGGGAGCTGAAGCAGGTGCGTGCTGGAGCACAAGACCCAGTTAAGTGTTTAATTTGTATCTGTAAGCAGGCAGTGAGCTCTCAGGACCAACTTCATACATTGCTGCTTGTACAATGTTTTCAGGACTTTTGACCATCACTGTTGTCTCTGAAAGTATAGGGTCCATGAAGCTGACTACCTCAAGAGGTGCTATCAGGCGACTCTGCATACACGTCTTTCTCAGTTAATAAAGTGCATTAACCACTTGTGCATGCTAATTTTAGCTGTATCAGGGACTGTCGGGGGGAAATCACCTGCTGACTCCTATCCACAAATAGAAGCGAAAACGAAGAAAATAAACCAGTAATGGTAGGCTGTCAGTGCCCTTTAGAAAAATAATCACATTAACCTTGGCAAGAAACATTTTAGTGGGTCAATTCTGCTAATCCATATAATGCGCAGCGATATTGACATTCGGTAGAAGGTTAACCTTAATGCAAATAGCTAATTGCAGTCTGCTTTACAGTGTTATGGTATCACTTGGATGTTTTTAACCTCCTGGGCAGAAAATTTAAAAAAGGAGGAGGTGGAATTTTAAGGACTTACTCGTTTGCTTAGGTATTTATACCCCACTTTTCCAGGCAAAATCCTCCAGAAAACAGCTTACAACATGATCAGTGCAGCACAATGTGTGTGTATATATATATATATATATATATATATATATATATATATATATATAGAACCTGCTAAAAATAACATTAACATATGCAAACCCAATAAAGATAAAACACTGAACAAATAGTAATGTTTAAAGCATGTATAAGCATTAGCAATTGAAACAGAAAAAAGTCAGTAAAGTAACTGAAGAAAAGGAAGGGCCAAATGTACATCCCATAGGAGGGAGTTCAGCACTGATGGGGTCACTATGGAAAAGGCCCTGCTGTCTCTCGTACTTACTAATGTAGCTGAGCTTGTAAGGAGGGCAAGGGAACCCCTTGGTTGTCACAAGCTGCTGAACTGGAACTTACAAACCATCTTCAAAGGGTGCTCCACATTTGGTGCATTGCACTTGTCTAGTCTGCATGTAAGCAGGTAACAAGTAACCATGGCAAGGTCTGCTTTTCTTTCCTAGGTAGGGGCAGAACAGGTAAACTAGCCCAAGCTGATAAAAGGCCCTCATTGCTGCTGGTCTTCGCTGTGGAGGTTGGGGGCATTTATTTGTTTTGCCCCCCCCCCCCATTTTATATTGTGAACTGCCCTAAAATCTTCGCATAAAGGGCGATTTAAAAATTTAATAATAAATAATAATAATAATAATAATTAGTGCTTTTTTCAGCTGGAGCACGCCAGAGCACAGTTCGGGCACCTCTCCCCTCCTGCTTCTTGCGTTTACATACCTCTGAGAAGCCAGACACAAACATTTCATGTCAAAACAGAAGCTGGCCTGCATATTTGAGTCTATACTTCTTCTTTTTTTAGATCTATGACTCCACTTAGCTCCTAGCCGCTCCTAGCTATAATTGGTCAAGCTATAGGGCGGGGCCAATTTGTATTTCCTTTTCATCAATCTGACTCCTGTGTAGTGGCAGCGGGCTTTAAGCTTTCCAGCCAGGCCTCTGCCGTTGCATGTGTGTGCATTTGTGCAAGGGCCCTTCCTAGCTGCCCTAGCCAACTGCCTGAGTCTAAGAGAACGAGGGAGGTGAGGGAGTATTTATTAGACCTGCACCAGAACCAGGGGCGACCCCCAAACCAGCTAGGGAGACTGCTTGCCATAGTTTTCATCACGTCCGCAGGTGGTGAACGTGGCTGTTGTCAAACCTGTTCAGGGCTGCCTCGAGTCTCCCAGAGATTGACTGTAACAACTTCTTGTTGAGTTCTGCACTTACTGTTCTTGAAAAAACAGCACTGGTTGTTGTTGTTGTTGTTGTTGTTGTTGTTGTTGTTGTGTGGATTCCCCCCTCCTTTTTGGTGGGTCTCATAAATGGGTGAAATTACCATTTAATGTTTTTCGCCCCTTCTTCCTGTAGGCAAAACTTGCATTCCAGAAAGATATGATTAAGCCATTGGCCCCTGCGTTCCTTTCGTCTCCTCTTGCTGCTGCCGCTGCCGCTGCAGTATCTACTGCTTTGACTCTTCCTCCACGTCCTTCAGCGGCTTTGTTCCAGACACCTGCAATACCCACGGCTCTCCTAAGGGCAGGGCACGGCCCCATCCGAGCTACTCCCACATCTATCCTGTTTGCACCCTACTGATGGTTGAATCAACAGCATCTCATTGCTACGGCCATTTGGAAGAGAGACAGGAGGAAGCAAATAAAGATTCCGTATTTTTCCAGTGACTGCGTTTTTAAGGCACTAACGCTTGAAAGCGGGTTGTGGGACTCTGCATCGACGGGTATTGCAATCTAGACAACAGAGGCTTGTTGTTGTTTCGGAGTTGGTTTGGTTTGATTGTTTCAACGAACACAACTTGGATCGATGGTTTACGAAACGTTTAATTGTGCACAAAATATAGCGAGGGTTCATCTGCTTTTTAACTTAGACACACGACATGCATTAAAAAACAAAGAACATGGGATATTTTCCTGTCTGACTTGAAAACTAGGATCTTCCTCACTGCAGCAAAAACTAGGTGAAACAAATGCTTGAATTGCTGACGACAGCTCGAGAACAGATTGCAACTTATTTCCTATGTGCTTCTGTTGCTAGGGATTGTGTGTTGTTTTTGGGCTCCGTGCTAGTGTATTTTGTGTAGTACCCAGGTTTTACCTCTCCTTCGATTTTAAAGCATTTTAGTTGCCGTGTAAATGTTTGGAAGCAGAGCAGCCCTGGAGCTTTTTCTTTTAAAGAATTTAATGTATGTCTTTAATTTAACATTTTATTTAGAGAGATCCAGAATAAGAAAGCCATATATGAGATCGTTAAGATTGTGACTCATTTACTATTTTCATTTAACTTATTTTGCTTTGGTTCCCACACCCCTCCCACTGGTGTTGCTAAACAACCGTTTCAAAAGAGAGTTTCCTAATTTATATGTTTACCACATTTTGCGCTTGTTGAGGCAGCGGACCAGTGTATTTATTCATAAATATATTTGCCATTTCTAAACTTCTTTCCTATATGATGACGCTACATAGAGTTGTGGCTCCCAATGCAATAATGTACAGAAAATAAGATATTTATAAAATTAAGTGTCTCTTCTCTTAATATATTGCTGTTCTGGCCCTTTTCTTCCCTTGGGTTCCCCCACTTCATTTTATAAAGGTGATCCGGATACCGAAGACACACCAGGTGTCGTTTGGGACAACAAGGATAATCTCCAAAAACATCTTTACCTGCAGTCTGTAAAGAGTAAAATATATGTGTATTTTTTAAAGAAGGCACGTTTTTAATAAAACAACATGGAAAAATAGCAAACTGTTTATTAATGAGCAAAAGAATTCGCGTGGAACCTTTAAATGAGACCTCTGTTTGAAAACAGCATCATTACGGCACAGCACACTAGGAAGTTACCAAACGGCGGCGCAGTCACTTGATTACACCGTCATTGTTAATGAATGACTGAAATTATGAATACATGGATATAATGTACTTTGCATATCACTGTGGAATGCTTAATGTCTTGCTGTGCTGTGTTTTTAATTTGGTGAAAGCAATAATGGAAAACCGTATGAGATACACCTACCTAAGGCTGCGGTTCTGTGGTCCTTGGGAGGGCATTCCAGGAGCCCATAGGACAGATCGGGTCTCCCTCCCTGACGTTGGAGAAGAAGATCCAATGTCAGGTCCTCCCTGTCACCACAGGATCATTCAACCGGAGCACCTACATCAGTATGGGAAAAAGAGCTGTGTTGGGGGAGCAGCAGCAAGCAGGGTTATAAATGTATATGTGCTGAGAGTCACCTCTAATTTTCTCCCTCCCTTTTTCTTCCCACTGTTTCCAACGGGAGGGCAAAGTTTTTTAGAAGATGGTGATGATGATCTAAGAACCTGGAAATGGATGGAACAATGCAGAGCATTCTTTTACCTGCACTTGAGCTTGGCATGGCATAGGACAGGCACAGGCAAACTCCGGCCCTCCAGATGTTTGGGACTACAATTCCCATCATCCCTGACCACTGGTCCTGTTAGCTAGGGATGATGGGAATTGTAGTCCCAAACATCTGGAGGGCTGGAGTTTGCCTGTGTCTGGCATAGGATAAGGTGGTTGAAGCACCTTTGGATGCCCTGAGCACCTTTCAACATCCCTGCACAAAACACTTCTTAAATGAACTCCAGCAGTCTGGTGCCATTATAGTTCAAGTGGAGCTGTCTTTTTGATACATGGCTCACTGGCCCAGAAACATTCGCCATATGGCATCGTTGAATCACACTGCTTAATTTGTAGCATAGTAATGCCACTAAAAAACAACAACAACCTGGAATTAATTTTGGATAGCCAGGTGAAGCTAGTGAACTTTGGGATGAATGGCCTGTGTTGTACACCCTCATATGTTTGAAAATTTCTAAATCACATTTGCTGCTGGGATTTTAGAAGGGACTGTACCTTAGCTACAACACATGGTCCATAAGAGTTTGAAGGCTGGTGTGTGTAGAAAATGTGTGAAAGGATGTGGAGTTATTTCTGTTCAAGCAGGGGGATCTGTTTTGGCATTATAAGTTTTAAAACACTGAATGGAAACTTTTGCCTAATGAAGTTTTGGAGCAAGATGATCTGCAACTGGTAAATGCCCATGTTTTAGTTCCTTCAAAAAGATATTCTGCTGTGGGTTATGGACAGTGCGTATTAGCCATTTGGAAAAAGAGATCCATTATCTCAGCAATGGATGTGCTGACATTTGTTTATTTACACAAGCTATCTGGTGCCCATAACTTCTTGCTAGTCCTTTTCAACAGGAAGTAGCCACATTTTAGAGGGAGATCTCAGCATGGTTTCCAGGTGGAAAAGAAGCCTGGGACCTTAGAGTGAAGGGCAGGTAATTAATAATGATAATAAATTATTGTTTATCCCAATTTTTTGTTAGGACAAGGGTTGCAGGTGTTTAGCCTGAAAACAGCATGGAGAGAACCAGAACATAAACTCTAATATATTACAGCATGGAGAGAACCAGAACATAAACTCTAATATATTACATTGGCCCATCTCTGACCATTGTTCGAAACTTCCATTGTTCTAGGCGCATTTTGTGACAGGGAATTTCATTAGCACAAGTACTTTCTGAGTTCTGGGCTCAGTACTGTGCCTGAGAATTCAGATTAAAACTGCAGAGTGGAGGGAAAGGAGGACCTTTTTCTGCCGTGCCACTTCCAGCTACTCTGAAGACGAGAATATTAGGGGAGTGGCCAGGGGAAGGACTAGACCATGTGAAAAATGAGCATAATAATTCAGCTGCAATTCATTTTCACCTTGATATTCTTGTTATTTAAAAAATGAACCTAGACATTCCATTGTTGCGCCCATAACCTAGGTTTAAGGTGCCTTTTAGCTCCTAGCTATCATATCTGTTTCTAACACTATCTCTGACCCAGAAGGCTCATTGAAGAAGACTGTACTTCTGGTGCTGTGTAAAGTTGTCTCAAAATAATAATTGGTCTCCCTTTGCACTTATATAGACAGTTTTAAGAAACAAATAATACCTTGTGTCAAGTGTCATTCCCCAAAGTGCACCTGAAATTTTAGCCACCTTGCCCAACCGCTGCGGCTTCAGAAGCATGAACAGCAGATCCGGAACCTTCCGAAGGGTTTCAGATTCAACTGCATTCAAAAGATTCAGAATTACATTCAACTTCTCGAGCGTCTCTGCAAAATGACTAGCCTTTCAGGAAATTTGGGAGTACACAGGGTAATTGTGATTTGATAATTGAAAAATTCAACATGATGTGAAGTAGCAGAGTAGCTTAGAGCCAAAAAGGCTAATAACTCTTCTGGGTAACTGAATAGATTATTTTAATATCAAAATGAATAACATGTTTACATGCTCATGTTCATACAAGCATGGGTCCAATCTCACTTAGTTTCCACTTCACTCTTTACCTCAGCAAAGAGCTGTTTCTTTATTCTTTATAAAGAAATCTCCTGGGCAGAATTCTCCCTATTTGCATTATAGGGATCACCCTCTGTCTGACTTATTCCAGAGATACAACTGTCTTTTACAATGTCCTGTATTCTCCTCACAGACACACCACGGAGATTCAGTAACAGCTGGACAGACAAACTCACTAACTGTCAAAAAATACCTCACAATCGCATGAGAGGTGTTCCTTAAAGAAACCCCTCCCCCTTTTAAAATACATAGAGCTACACAAATAAATATTCCCATTTCAGGACAATTAAACATCTAATATCCTTAACAGTAATGGCTTCTGCTCTTTATCCCACAAACCTAGTGTCCTGTGATGCCGCCCTGTCTTTTCTGTGAACCACCCTAAGACCTCCAGATATAGGGCGGTATGTAAATAATAATAATAATAATTTGGATGTGACCCTGGTGGCTTGAATTTTGCCTCACCTTTGCTTCTGACACATTTAGGGCAAATGATGTATGGTGCTGAGAAGTATTGCAAAGAAAGTTGCCCTTTTACAAATCTTGGGTCCAGTCACCTGAAAATAATGCTTTGACATTTTTTGTTTTGTCTGCTTTATGACAGAGCTGTTAATATTATTGACTGAATTTGTTTTTATGGATTCTGTAATTTTTGATTCTGAACTTTGTTCTTCCCCCCCCCCCATATATTTTTAATTAATTCTTTTTTTTATTTCATGGTCCCCTTCTTTGGGAATGAAATAGTCAGTGAGTGGTGGATGGGTGGTTGTTCTCTCTCTCTCTCTCTCTCTCTCTCTCTCTCTCTCTGTGTGTGTGTGTGTGTACACACACTTGTGCGTTTGTATTGCTTCGTTCCAGAGACGCCATCTTCGCAGGCTGATTGAGGGGACCCAACACAACGCCCAGAGGTCACATTTGTGATGTCTCAGGGAGCCAGGGGTCAGAGCTGAACACCCTCTGAACATTGAGGGGGTCCAGACCCCTAAAAATATATGGGGGGAGAGGGAGAAACTGCCTCAGGTCCTAGAAGCTGGCGTGCATGCTTCATTTTTATATTTAAGAAGCAATTAAGCAAACAAGCACACACATAACACAGAGAAAGAAATCTACAGGAAATTTACCTTTGACTTTCAGAGGTGACAAGTTGTTCCTCAATGAATTATTCACAGGGAGAAAGAAGACTGGAGGCAAGCAATGCCACGTCTCTGTGGCACAAGTTCAGATTTCATTAGCTAACTTCTTTTCACCTGTGACAGTCCCCAGTCTGTAAATCTCCATGCCTGATGTAAATAGGATGCCATTATGCTCCGCTCCCCTTGCTTGTCTTCACGCTATGGAGGAGGGGAAAACAGACTTCCTTGCTTCCTTCCTTCCCTTCTTTCCCTTCTTTCTTTCATTTAATCTTTCTGCCAAGCTGAGCTTCTGAACTGCCAGCTTTGGCATTAGAATCATAAATCAACTTCAGCAATTACTCCCTGAAAATGATTTAATGCAAGCTGTACAAAACTGATTAATGATACTTACGACCCAGAATGTGTGTGGGGCTTGGGGGGTGGGGGGAGGCGTGTTAGCACAGTGCATTGAGCGATATGTAATCTTCAAAAAGTTGATGGCAAATCAAATCCTTCCTGATGAGTGCCTGAAAATGAATTTTGACAACAACAACAAAACTTCTGTTGTCCCATTCCTCTTACAGTATTATTATCATCAGTCTGTTTTTATATTCTCCACACCTGAACAGATTCATATTGCAGGTAAAGAATAACATGGCTGAGTGAGTCCTTGCAGATGAGGCTAACCCAAAATGGAGGCAGAACATCGCCATTGCGGCTCGGAGCCTTTGAATACCCTTTGTTGTTGTTTAGTTGTTTAGTCGTGTCCGAGTCTTCGTGACCCCATGGACCAGAGCACGCCAGGCACTCCTGTCTTCCACTGCCTCCCGCAGTTTGCTCAAACTCATGCTGGTAGCTTCGAGAACACTGTCCAACTATCTCATCGTCTGTTGTCCCCTTCTCCTTGTGCCCTCCATCTTTCCCAACATCAGGGTCTTTTCCAGGAAGTCTTCTCTTCTCATCAGGTGGCCAAAGTATTGGAGCCTCAGCTTCAGGATCTGTCCTTCCAGTGAGCACTCAGGGCTGATTTCCTGAAGAATGGATAGGTTTGGTTGAATTCTCTTTTGCAGCCATCCAAGTTAGTGGCCAGCACCGTCCTTCCTTGTTGAGGAAGAGAAGTGGTGGTTTAGTGTATAGCTGGCAAAACATCATGAAATGGCATCTGCTATTCCAGCAAATGCGGTTTAATTATGTGGGCTCATCTATTTCAGCAAAGGAGGTTTAAAACATCGGGCTTGTCAGGTTCAGGAAATTGTGACAGGGAGTTGTGTAGAACAACTGCACTCGTAAATCACCTCAATGTATGGCTCATAAAGTGCAGTAGCAAGAGGGCTTAGAAAACTGGAAGGGGCAAAGGAGGATTGGCGATTTGGGAATCACCAGGCACGCCTACTGTATCAAAAACCGATGGTAATGGAGGTGTGCCCTATCTCAGGTTGCATACACACCCTACATTTAAAGCAGATCTGTCCCTCCCTGCAAAAGAAAATCATAGGAATTGTAGTTTACCCCTCACAGATTTAGCAAACTATAGTGTCTAGGAATCTTTTTGGAAAGAAAATGTGTTTTAAATGTGCTTTTGACGCATGGTGCTTATGCAGCCTCAGTGAAATAGCACCAGGGAAATGATTTCTCTTCTCCAGAGGACTTCAGAAGCAGGTAGAAGAGGCCTCTCAAGACTTTTATCAACAAAGCTGATCTCTTTTGCAGCATCTTATAGTGGTAGTTTATCAGCAGCCAAACCTTCTGTAAATTACCAGAGTTCTTTAAAGTACACACAGATTTTATTTTATTTTAAAAAAGAGGACCTTTAGGGGAGGTCGATAGGAGCACAGCGAAGAGGAAAGGTAATTTCTCTTTCTTTTTTGAGGAAATAGGAAGGATAAAAATAAAATGAAGAAGATGACACTTGCATGCAAGAAGAAAGATTACGCTCCTGCGTCAAAGGAGCTGCCTGAATATTTTTCTCTTATCACAACTGAGTGAGGAGATTAAAATGATCGAATGCTTGCAGCTCCATATTTCTAACACAAATAGTTTACAATTTCCCCCTCATTTCCCTGAGCTTGTCTGCATATTTCTCCCACTCTTTGTGCTGAACTGTCTTTCACCCTGTAACTTTTTCTGATTCATTTATCTGAAGCAAGGGAGAAGGTATTTGGGGAAGGTGTTATCTTTCGTTTGCACATGATTGAAACCAGAGGACCTTCTCACATTGTTAGAACGCGGGGGGGGGGCATTGCTATAAACCCCTCCCTTGAACAGCAACCTGGGCTTCTGAGCCAGACAGAGATTGGGGCTGGCCAGTTCCATCAGGCCAGCAGCACCAGAGGAAGAAACCAACCTGAGCTCCAGCATCTTGACCAGGTCAGATCTTGAGCCCATGAATCAGATGGCCTCAAATCAGAACTTCTGTAGTCCGTACCCGCAGAGCATTGTGGAACCAGCACCACTTCTGCTCCAGGGACCCACATTTCCCTTAGGAAGGGTCATAGCTTAGTGGTGGAACATATGCTTTGCATGCAGAAGGTTCCAGGTTCAAACCCCAGCATATCCAGTTGGAATGGAAATATCCCTTATCATGGGCCCAGGAGTCAGCTTCACCTGCTGAACAGCAGCCTGAAGGGGGAGATGGTGGAGTGACTCCACCTGCAGCTGATCAGCCTTCAAGGACACAAAAGAGAAGGCACTGATGAGAACCAGCTGGCTTCAGCTTTCTTCAGCAGAGCTTCCAGAAGCAGTCAGATACTGGTAACAATCCCTGTAGTTCCTGGCCCTACCTTGCTGCTTGTCTTGATCCTTGATCCCATGATCATCGGATTCCCTGACCCCTGGACTGTCTGACCATGTCTGTTTGTCCAATCCCAGGACTGGACCTGACTTTGGATACTGACTCTACCTCCAGGTAAGTACACCTCAGAGACTCTACTGGTTGGCTGGTCTCCCACTCCACTGAGCTCTGCATGTTGTTGCTCAGCAATGAGACTACGACACTTCTCTAAAGCCCTTGAAAGCTGCTGCCAGTCAATGCAGACATCAGCTGGATGATCAAAGGGTCTGACTTAGCTTATGGCAGCTTCTTATGGTCTGTGTCAGTATACTACTAATACTACTACTAATAATAATAATAAATTTTATTTATACCCCACCCTCCCCAGCCAGAGCCGGGCTCAGGGCGGCTAACACCAATAAAATCACAATAAATACATAATAGGGGAAAAAGAGAGGGGGGAACCAATTTAAAATACAGGTTAAAATGCAATTTAAAATGCAGCCTCATTTTAAAGTAGCCGATAAATCAAGACCATAAGGGGAGGGAAACATAAGGGTCAGACAGAGTCCAAACCAAAGGCCAGGCGGAACAGCTCTGTCTTGCAGGCCCTGCGGAAAAATGTCAAGTCCTGCAGGGCCCTAGTCTCATGTGACAGAGCATTCCACCAAGTCGGGTCCAGTGCTGAAAGGCCCTGGTCCTAGCTGAAACCAATCCAACCTCCTTGAGGCTTGGGACCTCCAAAGTGTTGTTATTTGTGGACCTTAAGGTCCTCCGCGGGGCATACCAGGAGAGGTACGAGGGACCTAGGCGGCATAGGGCTTTAAAGGTCAAAACCAGCACCTTAAACCTGACCCTGTACTTCACCGGGAGCCAGTGCAGTTGGTAAAGCACTGGATGAATGTGATCCCGCGGCAAGGACCCCGTAAGGAGCCTCGCCACGGCATTCTGCCCCCGCTGGAGTTTCTGGGTCAGCTTCAAGGGCAGCCAGGGCAGTTACAATAATCAAGCCTGGAGGTGACCGTTGCATGGATCACTGTGGCCAGATCAGGGCGAGAAAGGTAAGGGACAATAAAAGGAAGAAGCCTGGTGGGAATCTTTGGAGGAGAATTAGGCTCCAAGCCTGCCCTCAAAAAAATGGTGCAGCCTGAAAGGGACTATCTGGACTTGGGGAGCTGAAAGGCTTCAGTCAAGTCCCAGACTGAGGGCTCATCTATGCTTTGCTTCTCTCACACCTAGAAAGCATGGGTGTGAGTCGTTTTCTGCTCTTCCTGTGCTTTCTAGGCATGAGTGGGTCCACATGTTTTTTTCCATTTGCCCTGCTGCTTTCCCTGGGAAAACACACTCTTCAGTGCTGAATCAGAGCAAATGTCGATCCATGGAAAACCTAATTGACATTTGCTCCGATTCAGTGGTAAAGAGCAGATTTTCCTGGGGGGAAGTTGCAGGACAAGCGGAAGTGTGGATAAGCCCATAGTCAAAGCAAGTTGCTCACCTGGAGCTTTCCACGGTGCTGCAACAAGCAGCCCGGCTTGCTCCGTTGTGCCCTGGTGGTCTCCTAGTTCTGGAGATTCACATTAGGAAGCCTCCTTCATTGTAGAAATAGATGAGTCAGTCACAATGAAAGTTCCTCCCCCTGCCCTATTGCAAATAAGCATTGCACTCCAACACGAGAGGTGAACAGCATGCATTACTGATGGAGAGGCACATGAGATCACAATTATTATGCTCCCGTTCAAGGGGCTACATGTGTCCTTTAATAGGGAGCCACATCTGAAGTTACAGGTTGTAGGTGACTGGTTGCTGCACCTTAATTGGGACCATTATTATTGGCCGTGATTGGTCCACATTCAAGCTTCACTACCGTTATACTTCATTTGTTTTGTATGTGGTGACCCATTACAGTTTTAAGCTGCGATTCTATCAAGTTCTTGTACATTGCCACTAAAGTCTGAATGTCCTGGGTCAACATATCAGCTTGTCTTTAGAAGTAGCCTCTGACCACTCTTCTAGGATACTATGTATATTGCTGTCTATTCACATCCACTGGTGGACATATATTTTAAGTTATTTATGAAGGAAAATCACATATAATTACATATAGCAGAGAATGATTGGGGGAAAAACTTGGGTGGGGGAAGAGAGATGCTGTAGAATTGATTTAGCACCTTTGACAAGTAGCCAAGAAAATGGGCTCTAAAACCAGTCACAAATCTTCACACCATTGCTGTGAAAAACCACAGTTTTGTTCCAATATTCTCAGTGCTGAACCTCAATAACATCAAATGGACTTGCTAAAAATTTGAAATGTGTGTTGCTGCATCTCTCTCTCTCTCCTTTTTGTAAGACACACATTCATAGAAGGCACTTAGGCTAATTCCCCACTTTGCAACTCTGATGCCTGTCGATGGGACAGTTGGCTTCAGTAGTTTTCATTAACAGCAAAACCAGACAATTAGCTGAGGTAATCCCTTTTTCTCAGTTCCTTAGTCAATATATTCTACATGCCCAATACTTCTAAAAATCAAACATTTAATAACACAGTGCTAGCATCAAAGCAAAGACATTACAGGGGTCTCATTTCCTTTCCATTATCTGCACTGGGTATTTAACCACTTCCCATTCCTAGTGTTCCAGCATAAGCAACCTGCTAGGTCTATGGTTATTGTTAGCAGACATCCCCCTCAAAGGAATCACGGCTAAGTCCCTGTTAGAAATAGGCTTTGCAGAAGTTGATACACTACCAGCCACAAACACCTCATATTCCCTAGAGTGCCGGGACACGGATGGGTGCTTCCAGATGGCCATTCACACTATATCTAGGGTGCTCTGGGTGGTGACTGGCTTATGAAGAAATTAGTTTTTCTGCATCTACATATTTTTCTAGGAGCCCCTTGTTTCCAAACAAGTTTTTTAAGCTGAACTGAATCCACTCAAACAGACTCCTGCCTTTCCACTCCAAGCAACGGTCAGGTTCAGAGAGAAGCAGCAAGGTAGTATCTGGATGATCAGAGGCCATGACACAGTTCCAAGATCAGCTGAAGGTCAGGGTCCCAAGTAGACTGGAAACATGGTTAGCCAAGGCAGCTATTCCCTATAAAAAGTTGCTCAGACTGAGGAGCTGGGTCTGGAGCCAGGGCTATATAGGGCAAGGCAGGTCTGGATTGTGTTGAAGGGTTGGTGGGGTAGACTTCAGCTCTCCATATGCTGTTGGACTACATCGCCCATCATTCCTGAACATTAGGGTTGTCATACGCCCTCTTTTTCCAGGACATGTCCTCATTTTCATGGGTAGAGTCATCATAGCGAACCATAGTTAAAACTAGAAGTTGGGGAATGTGTCCTCTTTTTCTGCTCTACAAAATATGGCAACCCTAGCATGCTGGCTAGGGTTGATAGCAATTGCAGACTATAACTTCTGGAGGACAACAAATTGTGGAGGGTTGCTCAAGACCAGCTCTCTATTGTGAACCCTTCCATTGGTCACTAACGAAATTATTAGGCTGACTCCAAAGGCTGGGTCCTTCTGCATGTGACTAATGATTACTATAAGACACTGGTCACATACAGACGAAGTCAACCTTTAGATCTAACCCATTTTAAAATAGAGGGGATGGGGAATGCTACCTTATGAAGGACAAGCAATTTTCAGTTTAAATTGTCATTATGTCTTTATTGTCCAAAAAGCTGTCTCATTAGTCAATGCAAGGGAATTAAAAGCCCTTGCCAAGGATTTGGGAGGTGATGAAGGAATGTTTATACCAGACAGAAGAGTCAAACTTTTTATGGGATTCGCCAGGCTTGGAGCACCTGAAGACTATGCCAAAACTAAACTCTTTTGAAAGTGAATAGAGATTTGTGATAAGCAATCTTTGCTTCTCATTTGAAAAAACATAATAATGTAATATACAGCTCATAACTAGGTTAAAGCCCTTAATCAGAATCTGCTTTTCTCAAAGTTCCTGGTTGTTTGATTTTTGGGAAGGAATTGAAGGAGTGTGATATAGTGGATAGAGTGTTGGATCAGGAAGAATTGTGTTGAGAGCACACTCAAGGACCTTGGGGCTTGCTGCCATCTCTCCCCCCAACCCCCAGACAAGGTCATTTGAAGACAAAATAGGATAACTCCAATGTAAACTGCCCTTGGCTCTCTGAAGAAAGAGAGGAATACAAAATGTGGCAATAAAAAACTGGCCGTCTGTTCCATTATTTTTTTTTGCCATAAGTCCACAATGACTTTCCTACAACTAGCCTTCACAGGACTAGATTTCTCATTTGCCAGACAAATGTATTGTTAAATGCTCATAGGATACATGTTCTGGACACTTCCACACCAGCAATGGGCTTGGATCTGAAGGCCTTCTGCTCACACAACGGGAAGCCACCTCCCCCTTCTGTCCACAGACCCCAGCATTGTATCCAATGCCATTCCCAAACACCTCCTTCAGGCTTTTCAGATGGGCCAGGTGGCTCCAGTGGAGATGGAGAGATGGGAAGAATGCATTCCATGACCAGTTTTTTGCTTGGGGTTTTAGGAGGTAAACCTGTGTGTGCCCCCCCACAATAAAATTCCATAGATGCTCCTTGTTGTCATGCAAAAATACTAAAGTGGCTCTGGGTATAATGTAACATGCAAAACTTGAATCATGTGGCCTGCATTCTGTGTCTACGCATTCAGTGGGAGGCTATTCTGCATGCAGATTAGCTGTTGCAACAAATTCTGCATAAGGATTGGCTATGTGTGAAAAGCTGTAGCTCAGGGTTAGAGCATCTGTTTTCCGTGCAGAAGGTCCCAGGTTCAGTTCCCAATAGCTCCAGATAGGCCAGCCCTGTTTGAAACCTTGGAGAGATACTACCAGTTAGAGTTAGCAGTGCTGATCTAGATGGACCAGTGTATCTGACTCAGTGTAGGGCAGCTCCCTAAGATCCTATGCTATTGCAGGAAAACACTTGCATTCAGCTGCCCCTTCTCTCCTGTGCTGGGTCTAGAGACCCATGAAAGCCGTAACAAGTTGCAAAGTTTGTGTATCGCTCTCTGTACATTCTCTATTGCCCGCCTTCCACCGATCGTCAGTTTGGCTGGGAAAACAGTGCAAAAATAGCAGAACCAGCAAGAGCAAAACAACATAAAATAGCCAAATATTTGCTCAATCAAGAAACAGCGGATAGTAGAATAGGCTGGGAGGGGGGAAACTTGGGACAATCGCCAAAATGTATAGTACGATTCACATAACATGAATATGCCCCCAGAATAAGCAATAGCTCAAAGGTGTTTTTTCAGCTGTTTTGCCTGCTTTTTACGAGTGCACGTTTTGAGTGGGAGTAGTGGATAAGCCCAGTACAAAACTGCCTCTTGAAAAGAAAAGAAAAGAAAAGTCTACAGAGGCTTCTTCAGTAAATTCAGAGTGGTTGCCATTTCTAAGACTCAAGAAATCAATGCCTGTATGCACGTAAGGTACAATTAGGATTGCTGCATACTGCACACCAGAATATCAGCAAGACCGAAAAGTCACATTCCTTCACTGTTTACCTTTGCAGGTCAATGATGTTATATTTATGGTGTTGCCTTAAAAGGCAGGGCAACTTCCGCTCAAGGCAGGATACACAATTATGCAGCCCAGAGGACAGGTAAGACAGACTTATGGGAAGAGGAGAATTCACCTTTCTTTAGCCTTTGGGCAGAGCTGGGAACAGCTCTATAGCTCCGAATATAGTTGGATCAATGTTTTGCTTAACAAGAGAAATGGAAAGATAACCTGATCCAGCACCTGGTACAACTAGGAAAAATGGTTTTCTGCAGCAGTCTTTTTGATATAAAACAGAAAGCTATTATATGTTATCTTTTAAAAAAATCTAATAGGAATGTTACACTGAGTGTACAGTGGGCTGGATGCAGAGTTAACCATGCATAGAGTAAGCCCATTGAAAGCAAATCCCATTGATTTTAATGGGGGTTCTCTATGCATTACTAACTCTGCATCCAGCTCAGTAGTTCTAATATATTAGAAATATATTTGATCTAATATATTAGAAATGTATGGAGGAAGACTTCATTTTACCCTGCAGCTATGGTCACTGTGAAGGACTGATTTCCTCAGCCAAGGGGAAATGGTTCACAAATAACCATTTTGTATTTTCACATTCTTACTATTCGTTATTATTTAGCCCTTACTGACCATCTTGTATAAACTCCATTGTGTTTGCATATCAGGCAAAGGAAAGCAAGTGGCGTAGGATGAGACAGCAAAATGATAATGCAACTATATTGAGGTAGTACAGAGCTATTTTTCTAGGAAAAAAAGGTGCTGGAGCTCACCCTTGTTCTCTTATAATGGCAGTGGTGCCTACCTGAGAAGTACCAGAACTGAGTTCTAATGAGTTCCAGCTAAAAAACACACCCTGAGGTATGATATAATAAACCTATTCTGTATTCAGAGAATCCTTTGACACTGCGACAACAAAAAGGAACAAAAATGTGAATTTTAAATGCATAGTATATTTGTGAGTTTTGGGGTTGTGTGCACACACCAACCTAGTGCTCCGACATGACCTGGGGAGCACCTGACCTGGCCCCAAAATATTGATGAAAATGCTCTACCTCCACACAAAAAATGGGTGATGTCACACCAAAGTTACATTCAGTCCACCATCTTGATTCAAAATGGTTCCTGGTGTCCAAACATCAACAAAAACTGCCACCCCCGTCCTGAGAACCCTCATGCTGAGTTTTGCAACAAGAGATGTCCAAGCCCAGTGCTTTTTTTCTGGGGGGATGCAGGGGGACGCATACCCCTAAACATTTTGTGAATCTTTATACTTTTGTCCATTTATTGTATTTATTTTCCCCGATTTGAACTATAAAATGGTGGTTTTCTTGAGTCGAAATGAGAGTACTCCCAAACATTTTTTTTAGAAGAAAGCACTGTCCAAACCTATAGAAAACAAGCATATGAGCAGACAGACAAACCACTATCCAAAATATATAGTAGATAAACAAATACATGACCCATAGCATACATATCTTAGGAAAAGAATGGTGCTGAAAAATTCAGTTTGGGTTCATGTCAGTGTTCAGGACAAATGTTAAGTTGTAGAAAAGGAAAATGTGTGAGCTAATGAGGAATGGAAATTCGAATATATTTCCCAGTTGATTTGCCACAGTTTGATGCAGTTCCATAGCTGTTCCCCATTCAATCTATATTTGACAATACTGCTTCATGTGAGCACTGTTGATATAGCAGAATGGAGAAAGGTAGATTTCCAATCCCTGCTAATGTTTTCCCCCCCTTCAGAAAATGTAATATTTATTTATTTATCATAGCCGTGTAAATAAAATGCTCTCATTTCATAATAACTTTGCCACAAGGAATGCAACATTTAAAGAGAAAAGGAGCATTAATTCTAACCGAATGACTTCTTGATTTTTGTACTGGAGTCTGGAACTGAAAATTAGAAGGACTTTGAACACTCCATACATGTCTAGGAACACATTTATTATGTAAATTGGAATTCTGAATAAAAAATAGATGGGGGACCGAATAACCATGTTAGACATTGTGGTCGAGGGCCTTTTTCAACTTAAGACATTGTTTGTTGGCTTATTTATTTATTGGGGGGAATTAGAGTGCCTTTAAGAGCAAACCACCCTTACTGGAACTCCTCAACATCTAGAATTTTAAAACTGTTGAGCTACAGAATGGTGTGATAATAATGCACTTTTGACAAGGTACCTCACCAAAGGCTCGTGAGTAGACTTAGTTGTGAAAGGAGAGGTCTTCTTGTGGATCAGGTATTAGTTAAGAAGCAGAAAGTAGGAATAAATGGACAGTTCTCCAAAGGGAGAGTTGTGGAAAATGGAGGTCCCCAAGGATCAGTACTAAGACCTGTGCTTTTTGATTTGCTCATAAACAATCTAAAGTTCAAGTTGAGCAGATAGTTGGCATAAATTGTGGTTCTGGCCATGAGGGGTGTTGTCACTCATTCTCTTTTGTGTATAGTTTGCTATCAACCCTGTGTCCCGAGCTGCTTGGGAATTCTAAGAGACTAAAATATATTTGAGGTTTGAAATCAGTGGTAAAAGATCAGTGCAGTTTTAGAAGGTTCAGTCTGACATTTTGATTCAAAATGGAATGCAGTTGTATCCAAATGTAGACATAAGCCCTGCTTCTCAATCTCAGGAAACATCACCCAAAATTTGGTGCCAATATCTTAAGAGGTGTTCAAATAAATAGCGAACAAGCAACTTTCCATAATATATAGTAGACAGATAACCATTGATCAAGTAATGCTGATGCTATTTCAGCACACATGGGTTTGTCTATTGACTTAAAATGATCAGGCCACTAAATGAAATGTGTTTGAACTGAATCGCAAGGCACTTTATAAATGTCAGCCTGCAAAAGGGGGGTTGATGTCTGTGTATTTTTCAGTTAGATACCACACTGTGTGGTGTAAGGTTAGGTTGGATGCAGAGAGATTATTAATTATGCTTTGGACTCCTTCAATGAATCTCTGAATGGATAGCATTTGATAAATAAAATACTGGATTGGGCATCCTTCAGGAGCAAAATTGGCTTACTAGATGCCCCTTTCTTTCAAGCTGACAAGTTACTAAAGGTCACTTATGTTTGCATAATAGAGAGTCTATTAAAATGGCATAGGAAGATTCCATACAGAGGAACAGCTGGAAATACACACAGTGAAGGCCATTTTAGGGTTAACAGAATCATAGAATTGTAGAGTAGGAAGCAACTACGAGGGTCCTCTGGTCCAACCCTCTGCAATGCAAGAATCTTAACTAAAATCATACATCCAACCTCTGCTTAAAAATCTCCTAGGAAGAAGCACCCATCACCTTTTGTGGGAGTCTGTTCTACTGTCAAACAACTCTTACTGTCAGAAAGTTCTTCCTGATGTTTAGTCAGAATCTCCTTGTAACATGAATCCATTGGTTCGCGCCCTAGCCTCCTGTTGCAGAAGGAGGCATCTTAGACAGGGCATCTTAGGTGAATCTCACCCATTATGTGACCTCCCAAACTGTTCATTGAGTTAGTCTGACATGTTTTAGGAAGCGAGCGATTGTAATGAATGTTGCTCCCAGGGCTTACAGCACGTCAGATCACCGGAGAGCTAGGTCTTTAAAAATGTTTTTCCCTATGTGGAAAAGCAAGGGGCGGGAGCATTCTTTCCTTCCTAGAAGGTCTGTCCTGATTAGCTGGCTGGCATCCACCAGTTCCATGACTGATGACAGAATAATGCTCCCCTGAATGTTCACACACCCTGGGCATTTCCCCCCAATTTAAATAAACCTGTTGATAATGTAACATAGTATTCCTGCTCCTGAATTCCTCTCCTTACCCACACAGCAGTGAGGTCATTTCTCCTGATTTTCTAAGCATGCTCACAGGCGAAAGCATGAATCACTTGGGACTAAGTCACTACCCAGAGACTCTGAACAGGCTGCCCACACAGAAAACCACCAATGGCTGTCATAAATCTCCCAAGATAATTTGGGGGGTTGTTGAGCAAAAATAGCTGCTTATGGTCACAGTCCCCATGGGCCGTTTCTGGTGGCAACAGAGTACAGATTCTGCCTCAGAGCTGCGTGAGTATGATAAGGAGATGAATCATTAAGCAGAATGAAGTCACAGCACCTAGACAACTATGAACATTGAGCAGTGTAGAAGCTCATGTTTTCTAAATGGAAATACTGTGAAATTATTAAGGTACAAAATAATTCATGCTTTCAAGCTACCGTTTCAAGGGAGTAATAATTGATGATACTCCGTTTGAATTATTTCTTCTGAAATGAGTACCAAACAGCCTGGTAGGTGCTTAGAAATGGCCAAAGCATTACAGAGCTTGGGGCACCTTGTGGGATGGATGGCAATCTGTAATGCAGAAAAATATGAAGAATGTGGCCCTGTAGCTGCTTTTTCACTCCAGCTTTCCACGCTGCTATAATTCATTCTTATCATCTACATTTCCACAGCGGCACACCTGCAAGATCATTTCACCCCCTTCATCGCCCGCCATGTATTACAGTCATTCTCCTGTCTTCACCACACTTAAACCTGAAGTTCAGAAATGATCCCAGGCTCATCCACACAACTACCTGAATCTGTGGGAGCTCGGTGTTTTTGGTTTCGTTTTAAGGTTGTGGTGTTGACATGGCACCAGATGAGCCAGTCATGTGACAGATGCTTCACAACCACTTGCAGCTGAGTGCTGTTTCCTGGGGTGCAGCCACTGTTGCATGATGATAGCTTCCTGGAGTCACAGGTGAGAGCTGAGTGCAGGGTGGGAACCAAAGGTGGACAAACTATCACAGAAGGAGCACAACATGTCTCCCTCTAGAGGTACTGTCCCTCCCATAACACCCCACATGAGTTTGTTTTGATTGTATCTGTTGCTGTTTTAATGTTTCCACTTTAGTGACAAGCCACCTACTCCATCCACCTTTGCCATTTGTGACCTCATTCACAGGTCATTTGAGTAGCACATTTGCTCATAGAGATGGCAACATTCCCTTTAGTGGCTTGTGGTCACCCATCCATCCATCCATCCATCCATCCGGGCCTATGCTGAGGAGGGCTGCACTGAGGAAGAATGGTGGGAGCCTCCCACACCCCCTGATCCTGAATCTTCCCAGGAGCCAGAGGACAGTATAGATTTGGAACAGTGGTTTGCAGAGGGGCACAGTTCAGAAGGCAGAAGTTGGGAAATACTGGATGGTGAACAGCTAGGAGAAGAAACACTAGAAGAGAAAGAGCTAACAGATTCACAGTCTCTGGACAGCATTCACTCCCCTTCCCCAAAGACACAAACAGCTCAGAAAGTGTTAGAACAGAAAGCACAGAGGGTACAAGCTCAGGTTACAAGATGTAGGAGTGACATATATTAATAGGGACAAAGCAGGGGAGTGAACCTTAACTGGGAGCACCACCATTTCTAGGAGATGTGTCCTTTGTTCTCTTGCTGATTATTAAAGAGTCTAACTGGTAAGACATTCCTTCCGTTTGATCTTATCATTCCTGGCCATAGGGTAGTAAGCCAATTCCCTGAAGCCTGGCTCCTTCCTTGCTTCTTACCTTCCTTCCCAGCCATTCCCTGGAAAGAACATTACACCGTCACATAATGGTTATTCCAAGGGTTACAAATTTCATTTAGATAGTCTGCAGAATGTATGTGGAGGAGGGGAGATGGCACATCCATCGCTTTGAATGTTCATATTGAACATTCTTTTTTTCCTAGCGGCTGCTAAGCAAGTTACTACCATCACTCCTGATCATGAAGAGTGTATGGGGGACAGTCCTTGTTCCAGAGGAGATGGTGGGAAGAAATTATTGCATTATAATGACAATCAAACTAGTAAGTAATCCCAACCATTTAATTTGCTGGCGGGACCATGGCTTGGATTCCGTGACTAAATTCCATTCATATGTTGATGCCCAATTTGCTTGCTTATTCTGGGATGTTGGGCACAATGCATAAACACATCATGTGTGGCAATTAGATAGAACCAGAGCTTGCAAGCAAGGGCTATAATCTTATCTCCAGCTTTATGTGTTCCGGCTTAGGCCTAAAGCTGACAAGGCTACATTATTAGCAGCCAAATTTCTGTTCGTTCGAACAAGAATCTGTGCAAAACCAGTTTTCCGATTCTCATTTAGTGGGGCGCTATTGGGCAGACCAAGCAAGACATGGGAATGTGCTCTTTCATGTTGTGCAATCTGACTCCTAAATTGATTAAAAAACAAACAAACTGCAGCACTTGAGGATTAGATTTTTCTAAGCTACACAAATACAAATATAACTTCCTACCTCATTACTGCGGTTATTGCTTCACTAATATCAAGGCTACATTGCATCCTAGACGTCAACAAATGGTAAATAATCTGATTCTAATAGCAAGAAGAAAAATCACAAAAAAGAGGAAAAGTTTGGAAAGCCCCCTGTCTGGCTAAAAAAGAATGTGTGCTGTGAAATTTAGTCACTTGAATCCATTTCATCACTAAAGGGGGAAGGCTATTAAGGTTAAGAAGTCAATATGAAATTCAGATTTTTTAAAGTATTATTTTGGAATAGACTCTAGATTCAAAATATTTCACTGGAATTAGTGGCATCTTGAATCTGATATAATATTCTATTATATTTATTGATCTAAAAACGTGAATAAAGTTTGTATTCAATAAGCTGATAATGGGCCAGACACTGTGTGTTTCTCTGGATTTTGGACATGACTTCCTTCACAGAAATAACTTTAGGAAGTGTTTCCGCTGTCCCTATATCATGGCATAATGAAAACTGGATATAAATTTGACCTTTGGAAATTAAGGGCTGGGGTTCAAGTGCAGAGGGATTAGACTACAAAACTTTTTTATGTTCAGTTTTGTCTTTCAGGTCCTTTGTTTTTGTTCTGCCTTGGCAAATAACGACCCCCCTTCTTTTATTGCCCCTTTTGAATTTCATCCCCCCCCCACCTTCTCCCAAAATAGCTTTGCAGAGAAAGGATTTCTATTTAAAGCCCAAACGTGCAGAGCGTGTTCAAAGTCTTTTGCCAAAGAGCACACCGGGACAACAGCCAGAAACCTGAATCCAAAACCAGATTAGGCTGGTGGGTTTTTGCTCTTCATGTGAATGAGAGATTAGAAAGCCTGCAAAGAGACTTTGCTTAAAAACTGAGAGAGGGGAGCGTGGGCTTCTGGTGCTAGGGAGTAATCTATATTGCAAGTTTCCTTTTAAACGTAGGATTAAAACAACGCAAAAGTAGATGGCTTCTAACAGCTTTCATCTTCCAGATGTGGGAACAAGATTGTTTAAAGAGCTGATCACTAAGGGCGACTCTCATTATCCCTGACCACTGGCCATGCTGGCGGTGGGTGGTGGAAGTTGAAATCCAACATCCTTGAGAGGACATCCTTTTGAATACCCACAGGTGCTTGTAAGAATCTACAGATGAGCCCAGGAAAATGAAGACAGCAGGTCTAAGTGGCACGTGGTATTATTACTGCAACTGTGGTCTCAAACAAATACTTTGAGGAAAACTTGTGTCCAGCTTGTGGAAAGATAAGAGAACTGGAGTCGTAAGTAAAACCTAGGCCAGAACTGTGTCAGGGTCCAGTTATGCTAAAACTGCTGGGGAAACATGAAGTGGACTTTTAAACAAACAGCGCTCATTTAGAGTCAAAGCTTTTTGTGCTGTTTTGTGGGGTTTTAATGTTCGTTCTATTACTTTATTGTGAGACTCATACCCGCCAACATTTCTCCAATGAAAAGAACATCCCATTTGATAATAATGATAATAATAATAATGATGATAATGATAATTTTATTATTTATACCCTGCCCATCTGACTGGGTTGCCCCAGCCACTCGAACATATATAAAAAATATAATAATACCAGTGTTTTTTTTCTAGAAAAAGAGGTGCCAGAACTCACCATGAACACCTCCCTCATTTGCTTAGAATGGCAATGGCACCCACCTGAGAGGTGCCGGAACTCAGTTCCTGTGAGTTCCCCCTGAAAAAAGCCTGAATAAAACATTAAACATTAAAAAACTTCCCTATACAGGTCTGCCTTCAGATGTCTGCTAAGGTTGTATAGTTATTTATCTCCTTGGCTCGAGGGTCACATAACTCCATACCCTTCAAAATTTCTCAGGTGAACAAAGGGACGTCCTAAGGAAAAGTGGGACATTCAGGGATCAAATCAGAAATTGGGATGGCTTCTGTAAATCCGAGACTGTTCCTGGAAAATAGGGACACTTGGGGGGTCTGGAGGCTCAGTTTCTTACACAGCTTGCCCTGAAGATACAAATTTTACAAATAACAGAAACAATTCTTGGACTTTGCATGCAGGCTTGGACTTCACATCCAGTTCAGTCCTATCAACTCTGACTAGCAGTGTTTATTTTAGACAGGGACCTCCTCCAGTCCTACTTGGAAATGCTGGGGCTTTCTCCAGCAGTGGTTGATGGTGTTTCCTCAATAACATATCCCAACATCACTCTTTTTACTGCTCCCTGTATGAAATTTCTGTCTGGCAAGGAGAGGAGGAAGAAGAACAAAAAGCACTTGTACTATTCAGAGAAGCTGGGCTGGCTGTCAGAACTGTCAGTTTGCTGACCTCCATTTTGTGTGGAAAGATGAACAAAAAAATAAATAGGGCAATGTACAGATTCTTTCCACCACGGACTCAGGACTAGACATCACATATATTAACTAGAAGCCAGGTACGAGTCTTGACATCACTTGAAGTGAGCTGCTCCAAGGATGAAATTGAAAATCTCTTACCTGAATCCTCACATATATTCCCTAAAAATTATTAATGGGAAACTATATTGGCTTTTATAGCAGAAGCCGTTTCATATTATAGTGTCAACATTTTGCAATTAAGTGCTCTGAATTATTAAAACATCTTATTACAGCAAATCACACCTCGGGTTTATGCCAGCTGCCCCTTTCTTTCTTTTTAATCAATGTGAATGAAATTAACTGCCTCTCCGTCAGTTTACATCATGGTGCTTAGCAAACCTGCACACCTCACCAAAGCCTGTTATGGCTGCCGTAAGTTGTCAAGTGTGTTGCCAGGTGCTTCAGTAGATAACTAGAAAGGGGGTATAACTGGTAGCTACCAATGGCCACTGTGTTAAGAGTGTCAGTGGGCTAATTCACAGTGAGTTGAAGTCAATGACCATCATTCAAGACGCCAGGAGACCGTCAACATCTTAAATAAAAAAATCACTCTTGGTTTAACTCAGCTATTTAATTAATGTGTTTCTCTGGAAGGGTTCCCAGTTTAAGACCAAGACTGACTTAAGTTTACAGTGCTCATGACACTATATCTTTAGCAGGAACTAAGATCACCAAAAGAGTAATGTCATTTACCGGATGGCCATTTGTCCTGATCCGCAGGCCCCATTTGAATTATAAAATAATTATTGTTGTGATTAAATTATATTTGTATACTGCCCTATACCCACAGGTCTCAGGGCGGCCACAACATAAAAACACAAAATACATAATAAAAATAAAAATAAAAATGGAAACAACCCAATAATTCACCAAAAAATCAAAACAAGTACATAATTAAAAACAAAACAGCGAAATGGTAACTCCCTCTTTCCAGACACATTTAAAAGGCTATAGGACTTGGGCATCTCCTCCTTTAACAACCAGGCCTGCCATCACATGAAAGAAATAATATCTGAATTGGAAGTCGTTCACGGGGCTGCAGTGCTTCCTGCAGTCACGATCACTCCCATAAATTTCTTCCAGGATTGGGGGAACTGTTGCAATCCCATCTATCAGCATGAACAAGCACATCTGGTTCCCATAAGACCATGTACCAGCGGTTGAGTGCACAACTTGGCACATGTACTAATGAAATTTGGCTGCGGCACCAGACTTGTCCACTGGAACTAAATCCACAGATTAATTACTGAAAACGAAAAAATGGTTCCACCAGAAATTCAGTCCTTTGATACCTGGTTTGAGAAAGCTGTATGCAATTCTTCAACTTTCTCATTTAGGCAGCATAAGCTGTCTTTCTCCCCCGCTCTTCTCTTATATATAGATAGGTGAATGTACGTGTGCATGCATCTGAAAAATGGTTTATATTTCTGCAATTTGAGATTGTAAGTAAACATCAGGTTATTTCTATTGCTCTTGGTTTGCACACACACAAAAGCCAGGGTCCCTTGAGAAAGATCATATGCGGTGATTTGTTCAGACATGAACAAATAAGATTATCTCAGGCTTTACAAATATGAAAATATCAAAGCAGGGGACAGCAGGCCTCAGTAAACAGAACTACACCCAGGAATGAAATGTTCTCTGGGGGTGTTTAGCCTTTGTCAAAGAAAAAGAAGAATATTCTTAAGCACAATTAAAAATGCCCACATCACTGTCCCAGGACTGTTGTTTTTAAGTCTTGGGGGTGGGTTGTTTTAAAGTTAGAAAATGCAATTAGTGTGAAAATAAATCTACACGCAACCACACGCACGCACACAAGATAGATATGGATGTTTCATATGGGTATTATTGCTTACCCTTATCCCCACTTTTCAGCTCTCATCTGATAGCTTTCTAATGGTTGTAGTTTTATCAAGGGCGGCAGAAGTCTCACAACTATATCTCTAAGGGATAGACTTATCTCTCTGGCTGACCAAAATGTGGTATAAAAAGAAAAATAACCTTACTTTGTAATGGGAACATATAGAAGAACATATATTCCAGCTGCAATCTTTCTGATTCATGTCAATTTTAATGAGCTTTCAAAACTTTTAAAAAATTAGTAAATGTGCATCTGAACCCATATTCTGATGTAGCAGCTTATAAGAACTCAAAGCTATTGCTTACGCCTTGCTAATGTTACAAGCACTCCTCTGCATGCAAAACATCTCAGGTTCAGCCTCTGGCGTCTTCATCGAGGACTCCACTCTGAACCTAGCATAAATCAGGAATGGAGAGCCTGCGACCCTCCAGATATTGTTGCTGTTGTTGTTAAATTAAATCTAATACTGATTTTCAGTTGTTACATTCAACCCAGTCATGGGCGTAGCCAAGGGGGGCAGGGAGGAGCAGCTGCTCCCCCCTAAATCAATAAAAATAAATAACAAAACAAAACTGAGGTTCTGCTCCCCCCCAACAAAAGGCCTGCCCACCCCAGACAAAAATCCTGGCTACGCCCATGAACCTAGTTGAAAGGAAACAATCCTGATTTTAGCATTGCATCTAAAAAGCAATCATTTATTATATGGCAAAACTGTGTGCTTAGAGCTGAATTTTCATTTTCATTTTTGCTAGGTTAATAGTCACCTAACCATAGTTGTTGTTGTTGTTGTTGTTGTTGTTGTTGTTCTTCTTCTTCTTCTTCTTCTTCTTCTTCTTCTTCTGTAATTGTTGTTGCTGTTTATTAAATGTGGTGTTGTTGTTTAGTTGTGTCCAACTCTTCGTGACCCCATGGACCAGAGCACGCCAGGCACTCCTGTCTTCCACTGCCTCCTGCAGTTTAGTCAAACTCATGCTGGTAGCTTCGAGAACACTGTCCAACCATCTCATTCTCTGTCGTCCCCTTCTCCTTGCGCCCTCCATCTTTCCCAACATCAGGGTCTTTTCCAGGGAGTCTTCTCTTCTCATGAGGTGGCCAGAGTATTGGAGCCTCAGCTTCACTATCTGTCCTTCCAGTGAGCACTCAGGGCTAATTTCCTTCAGAATGGATAGGTTTGATCTTCTTGCAGTCCCTGGGACTCTCAAGAGTCTCCTCCACCACCATAATTCAAAAGCATCAATTCTTTGGCGATCAGCCTTCTTTATGGTCCAGCTCTGACTTCCATACATCACTACTGGGAAAACCATAGCTTTAACTATATTGACATTTGTCGGCAAGGTGATGCCTCTGCTTTTTAAGATGCTGTCTAGGTTTGTCATTGCTTTTCTCCCAAGAAGCAGGCGTCTTTTAATTTTGAGACTGCTGTCACCATCTGCAGTGATCATGGAACCCAAGAAAATAAAATCTCTCACTGCCTCCATTTCTTCCCCTTCTATTTGCCAGGAGGCGATGGGTCCAGTGGCCATGATCTTTTTTTTCCTTTCCTTTTCTTTTTTGATGTTGAGCTTCAGACCATATTTTGTACTCTCCTCTTTCACCCTCATTAAAAGGTTGTTTAATTCCTCCTCACTTTCTGCCATCAAGGTTGTGTCATGTGCATATCTGGGGTTGTTGATATTTCTCCCGGCAATCTTAATTCCGGCTCGGGATTCATCCAGTCCAGCCTTTCGCATGATGAATTCTGCTTATAAGTTACGTAAATAAGCAGGGAGACAATATACAGCCTTGTCATACTCCTTTCCCAATTTTGAACCAATCAGTTGTTCCATATCCAGTTCTAGCTGTAGCTTCTTGTCCCACATAGAGATTTCTCAGGAGACAGATGAGGTGATCAGGCACTCCCATTTCTTTAAGAACTTGCCATAGTTTGCTGTGGTCGACACAGTCAAATGCTAGTCAATGAAGCAGAAGTAGATGTTTTTCTGGAACTCTCCATAATCCAGTGCATGTTTGCAATTTGGTCTCTGGTTCCTCTGCCCCTTCGAAATCCAGCTTACACTTCTGGGAGTTCTCGGTCCACATACTGCTTAAGCCTGCCCTGTTGAATTTTAAGCATAACCTTGCTTAATTAAATTAAATTAAAGTATTTTTCACTCTATAAGACGCACCAGACCATAAGACGCACCTAGTTTTTGGAGGAGGAAAACAAGAAAAAAAAATATTCTGAATCCCAGAAGCCAGAACAGCAAGAGGGATGGCTGCGCAGCGAAAGCAGCGATCCCTCTTGCTGTTCTGGCTTCTGGGATAGCTGCACAGCCTGCATTCGCTCCATAAGACGCACACACATTTCCCCTTACTTTTTAGGAGGGAAAAAGTGAGTGTTATAGAGCAAAAAATACGGTAAATTAAATTATTAAATGTGTTAGTCACTTCATCTTGCCCAGGGCAACCCAAAGTGACTTACAAAAAACCAAAAAACCTAGATACATTAAAACTGAGTAGGAAAAGAAATACATTAAAATCATCCCACCCACAGATAGTTAAAGGCCACCACTAGTTAAAAGGTCAAAGGCCTGATTAAAGAGGGAAATTTTGCCCTGGCAACTAAAGATATGCAATGAAGGCATCAGGCAAGCATTCCACAAATGGGGAGCCACTGCAGAAAAGGCCAGCTCTCGTGTTGCCACCCTCTGGACCTCTCATGGAGGAGGCACATGATGAAGGGCCTCAGATGATGATTGCAGGATCTGGGTCAGTTCATATGGGAGGAGGCAAAGTTTTACATGTCTAAACCAGCACTTTGAATTGGGCACTTTGAGTTGTGCCTTTAAAAATAAGATAAGAATTTTGTTGATGACACAGTATGCTAGAAGGAGACAAGGAGCGATATGGGGAGAATTTTGCCTTTGTGTGCTTAAAATGTAATACTCTGCCTGCGTAAGCTTGAAAAGGTCAGGACTTGATTTAATAAATTCATCTTTCAAGAATATAACATTCCTTCTTTAAAGTTTAACGTTAGCACTTACTGGGGGAATGGATGCATGGGGCATCGGTCATGAGCACTTTAACATGCAGGTCACAAATCAGGACACACAACACAGAGCCAGAGAAGAAAGTCCTACCTCATGGCATTTGTGTGATCTCTTCTGTTTGGTGAATTGGATGGTTCTTAATGGAAAGTAACAACTATGGAGCCTAGTAATCTTTTACCCACAAACTACAGTTCTCGGGATTCTTTAGGGAAGTCATGGCTATTAAAGTGGTATAGGAGTGCTTTGAATGTACAACCAATTTTGTGCTTTGTTGTACATTCTGCACAGTATGGAAGTTTAGTTATTTATTATTACATGTACCAGTATATTTACCCTGTCTTTCAAAGTGCTGAAGGTGATGGACACAATTCTTCCCCTTCCTGTTTTATCACCAAAACAACATTTCTCTGATGAAAATAGGGCTTTCCTATTCCATTATTATAATAATTTTATTATTTATATGCCACCTATCTGACTGGGTTGCCCCAGTCACTCCAGGCAACTTCCAACATATATAAACACATAATAAAACATTAAACATTTTTTAAAAATCCCTATACAGAGCTGCCTTCAGATGTCTCCTAAATGTTGTATTGTTACTGTACTTATCTCCTTGGCTCAGGGGGCCGTATAATTCCATGCCCTCCAACGTTTCTCCAATGAAAATAGAGGTGTCCTAAGGAACAGTGGGACATTCAGGGATCAAATCAGTAACTGGGGTGATTTCTGTAAATCTGGGACTGGAAAATAGAGACACTTGGAGGGTCTGCCAACCCTTTGAGGCAGATTAGGCTAAATCAGGTCCTCCCTTAAAGAGGTGAGACCTGGAAAACTGACACCCTGTGTTGTAGGTGGGTACAATTGGTCAGCCACAACACCCAATTGGTAGGTCCCTCGAAGCTGGGTGCAATCTGGCCAATGGGAGGCAGTCCAAACATGCATGTGACCCAGAGCTTCAGCGTGTGCATTCAGAACACCCGCCCACCTCTCCCTACTTTTAGGGCTTTGCACTTGACCTTGGTATGCTGTCGTGTGTCGTCTGTCATTGAGACAGAGGCACGGCAGGAATTTTCCCCATGGCTGATTGGCTGTTGCCATTTGGCTTTCGCCTGCCACGTAGCAAATTGTCACAACTTGTAAGGTTGCGGATAGGCTCTGGTTCAGGTGATAGGGATGGGAGAATGCTCTTGCCATCCCTATGTGAAGGGTATTCCATTAAAGGAATCCAGGGACTCAATGGTTTGGTCAACCCCTGAGAGGGGGTTGTGCCCATGCCTGAGTCCAGGGGGGCATTTGGATGGCGGAGATAGCCTGTTCCCGGCTTTCCGCTTATCCAGGTGTTCCCCTAGGCTGACCTATGCTGGTGCCCTGGGTCAGCGCTACCTGCATGGCAGGGAGCTAGTCAAACCAGAGCCTATGCAACCAGTCACTTTCTGTAATCAATAAAGTTGTGGCCGAAATTCTGCCAAAAACCAAACCAAAATTTGAGTCAGGTGTGAATTTATTTAGGGGGGAGGTTTCTGGGTCTGAACACGCAAAAGAGAGTGACTGATCCAAGGTCAGCTTCATGCCTGTGTAGGGATTTGAACCCTGATCTCCCACATCCTAGTACAACACTAACCACTACACCCCATTGGTCTGTTAGGGTCCCAGCTATAACATGTCATGACCCCTCCCAACTTGCTCTGGTGCTCAGCTCCGACCCTGTACACTCAAGAGAAACTGACATACCTAGTGGAGGCGTTGCTAGCAATCTGTAAACGAAAAAACAGCTACACAGGCAAAAGAGGTTCCATCAGTCTGTAGTGCATGTAAGCAGCTTGGCTTGTACGGTTATCACTCTTCCCAAGGACACTGGATTAATTGGACAGAGTTGAAAAAGACAAATTAGCCAAAACAGACTTTCAGCCGGCGTGCCATCTCCAGATATATATTACACCCTGTTGTTTACTTATAACATTATTACTTTCGATGCATCGATTCTTGGTTCCATACAGTGCCATTTTCATATCTGGGGGTCTCTTTGTTGCGCTGTTGCTTCAGTACAAGCAGCCAACTCCTGTGAGGCCCAGCCTTTTGAAAAGCTGTGGGGGAAAGGGGAATTTCTTTGCAGTTTTTAGACGCCTGTCATTTGGAGATGGTGATCTCAAAACGGTTTTGCTGAAATAAGTGTTGTCTGCATGGTTGATGATGTGTAGAAATAATAAATGTTCATCATCTGCTGTGGGGTTACCTGGAACAAGGGTCCTCTCTTAAAACAAAGGATCGCTGGCAACGCTGTAGAAATGCCTCTGACGTTTGGCTCCATATTCTTATGGCAAGGTCTGTGTTACTGAGATGTGATCACTCAAAGCAGGCTGTGACTCTGCTTCTGAGTCTGCCAACATTTGTATTGCACAACAAACCTAGACTTTGTACCAATTGACATCTTCAGAAGGCTGTGAAAAATAAATGGAGTGGCTCACACAGCATGTTTCGTGGGTGGTGCCTTGTGCAGGGAATTTCTTGCCCTGCGGTTTGCTGATAAGGGAGTCGTTTTAACCCATTGTTGCCAATTAGTTCCATTATCGTAGAATCATAAGATTGTTGAGTTGGAAGGGGACCCTAAAGATCCTCTAGTCCAATTCCCTACAATGCAGGAATAGGCAGCTGCCCCATGCGGGGATCAAACCAGCAACCTTGGTGTTACCCCAGCACCACTTTTTAACCAGCTGAGCTATTAGACAACAGCTATTGGTGAAATCTGCCATGCAAAGTCAATCCTTTTAGGGGCCGGACTACTTTAAGAGCTGTCTCACAGGTAGACATATAGCAGGCAAAGTTTTCTCCAGCACTCTGACTCTCTAGGTAGAGAAAAGCACCGCCTGTTTAATTTCTGCCTGTCGTGCAGGTGTTCATGGTGAAGCAAGCCCCGGCAGAGAAAAAGGAGGCACCAGGGTACATCATTCTAGCCATGGCAATTCTGCAACTCACATTCTTGGCAGCCAGGGTAATCTGGCTGCAGCGAGCAGCAAAGTTGTTTGGCAAAACAATAACTCAGCTGCAGATAATGGCCGAAATCCAACAGAGCCATTTATCCTTGGACAAGGGAACGGTGTGCACAGCTGGAGCTTTCTTTGTCGCTTTTCATCATGCCGTTCCCGGCAACCTCTGCAATTGCTGACCACGTGGTTAGAATACATCTCATGGTGACATACTGTGCTAGTGATAAACTTGGGCATTGTTAGAACCATATAATCTGCCCTAACCATACAGAAAAGTCTGTCATTGGAGTCTGCAATTTAGCCGATGTTAGGCTGCAATCCTATGGAAACTTAAGGTTCACACTGGAACATTCTTCTGAGTAAAGATGCAGAGGGTTGTACGGCATGTAATTCAAAACAAGCAAGGTGGCATATTTTTACTCTGGAATAGTTTTTCGTAGTGTACAAATGTGCAAGTTTCTGGGTTCTACAGAGCTCTGCATTGTTCTGCATTTTAAGCTATTTGACAGTGGAACGGTCTGCCTCGGGAGGTGGTGGACTCTCCTTCCTTGGAGGTTTTTAGGCAGAGGTTGGATCTCCAGAGATGGTTTTGGGAAAGTGTGACTGGTATTTCCACACTGGGCACCAACACAAGAGGGCACTGCAGGGTCCCTTACAACTCTACAATTCTATGATTCTATGAGATCTGTGTACAGTGATACTTAAGTTATGAACTTAATTCGTTCCAGAGGTCCGTTCTTAACCCGAAACTGTTCTTAACCTGAGGTGCGCTTTCACTAATGGGGCCTTCTGCTGCTGCCACTGCGCCGCTGGCACACGATTTCCATTCTCATCGTGGGGTAAAATTCTTAACCCGAGGTACTACTTCCGGGTTAGCAGAGTTTGTAACCCAAAGTGTTTGTAACCTGAGGCACCACTGTAACTCAAAAAGTTCAGAGACTCCAAAGAGATCAGATTAGTGGTGGTGTCCTGGAAAAAAAAGTGTGGGTTGCAGGCCAGATGGAAAGTGTGAATATTGGCTTTGGATCCCACTCTGCTACCATTGAGGCAATGCAAGTGAATGGGCCGCTGGATGGCCAGAGATGGTTTTTAAAGCAATAGAGAACACGAGTGTGCTTGCTCCCCCTTGTAAACATTTAGCCATGCAGAGAGAAGAACGAACACTCCTGAAATGCATTACTGCATGTAGTAATGTAACTGATATGATGCCCGTCAGGCACTGGAGGAATGTAAAATGTTGTTTCAGTAATGGAAAAGTGATGATGAAAAACTCCCTTTCCACTACGCACCTGCCTTTTCTGTGGATTTTGTCAATTGGGTTGTGTGAAATGTCACTGCACGGCAACTGCAGGCCACTGAAGAATTGTTTTATTCTGGTGAATCGTGAACCAAATTACTTCACAGATAGCACTTGAGATTTTTGTGTTTGGGCGGCATGTTGGCCCTGAGAGCCACTTACATTCTGAGATAAAAAGGGAAGGAAAGAAAAAAAAAAGAAAAAAGAAAAGAAAAGAAGAGCAGCTTGTTGTAAAGAGGGCACTACTCTTCTTTTTAAGGAGTGCTAAATTCTGTAGTTTAAATTATTTCTTGCTTTAGCTAGAGAAGGAGAGGTGTGGGAGAAAACCTTTGCATGGGGTACAGTTTAGACAGGCTTGTTATTCTGGCTGTGGGGATCAAGCTCAATGTGTTGTGCTTGTTTAAACCAGGGGTAACCAAAGAAATGCCCTTCAGATATTGCTGGACTTCAACTGCCATCAACCCCCATCATTCTGCCCGGTCACTGAGGTCCAGCACAGAGGGCCTTCTGGCAGTTCCCTCTCTGCGAGAAGCAAAGTTACAGGGAAAAAGGCATAGGGCCTTCTTAGTGGTGGCGGCTGCCCTGTGGAACACCCTTGCATTAGATGTCAAGGAAATAAACAACTACCTGACTTTTAGAAGACATCTGAAGGCAGCTCTGTTTAGGGAAGTTTTTAATGACTGATGTTTTAATGTATTTTTAATCTTTTTTGGGGGGGGGAGCCGCCCAGAGTGGCTGGGGAAACCCAGTCAGATAGGCGGGGTATAAATAAATATTTCCATCGTAGAAATGTTGGAGAGTATGTTGTTGTCGTTTTGTTTTTTTAACTGCTTTTAATTAGTTTATGTGTATGTCGCCTTGAGATTGTGGTTTAGAAGGCCATTAATAAATCTATTGAAGTATTTGCAGCTTTAATAGTAATACTGCTTTTGACTTATTTTACTGATTTAATATTTTAAAGGGTTAAAATGAATTGCGTATAGTCCTTTGCAGTCGTTTTGAGCCTCTTTGCATGCCCGGATTAGTTGATATGGTGGATTTTTAATAAATAAATTACCTACAAATAGACCACTCCCAAGAGGCATTGTGCTGACATGTAAATCTTTACTGAGGAATAAGGATAGGGAGTACAACTAGCCATAAAAGTTTAATGTCATAAAACATGATAGTGTGTCAGCACTGTGGAAAGATGCTCCGATAAAATATGCATAATGTGGGTGACAGCATATGCCTAAAGAAATGTTATGCTTTATTTGTGTTCTTTAAGGCTGGCTTGCATTTTCCAAGCCATTGGAGTGTCTAAACTGGCTGCCTTGGGTGAAAGTTAAGTTGCCACCAACAAAAAAAGTATGTATTGCCAGGAAAAGGTTGGTTTTTTTGCCATTCCTATCAAATCCTGAGCCCTCTGGTCTGCATGGTTATGAGGAGGGGGAACTGAATGAGATTCTGATCCTCTTATTTCTGGGGAAGGGCAGAGGTCAGAGATCTTGCCACACACTGATCAACCCTTCACTTTGCCTCTGTCATCGCTACTTAGTGCTCACATTGGAAAATGGGATAAGGCTCATCCTTCCTGACCATTGCTGACTGGGGATGGTGGGAGGTGGAATCCAACAACATCCAAAGGGTACCATATTGGCTACCTCAATATAATTGTTTCAGTTCCCTTGATTATTTTTCATTTTGAACCCTTGCTGCAGGGGTCCAGTTGCAGACATACTACTGAGGGAGTAAGCCTAAATGGATGCAATAGGGCTTACTTTCAAGTAAAAATGCAGAAGATCGCTCTGTTAATCAGCTTTTCCATCTTTCATCCCTTTTTTCCTGCCCTATTTCTCTGAATGCCTCCTTGACCAAAGATAATAACTATCTACATGGGCATTTCATGTATTAGTGATTTCCCACAAAGGCTGAAAATGCAAAGAATGTTTCAAAAAGAAGAGAAAACCACTCTGGCCTGTTTCTCAGCTTTGAGATAGAAAATTCTCAATAAAAACTCCCAAGCTACTTTAAATAATTTAAAAATAACTGGCGCTATCATCATCAGGCAGCCAGAGTAGAATGTTTTTAAGCCAGCCTTCCTCATGTCTCTGAAGAAATGGCTGTGATCATTTTTAACCTTTCATCAGGATAATTGCCAAAGAATTAACAATGATAAAATGATTACAGAGTGTGAGGCGTTAGAGTGATTAGCATGAAAGTGCATGGCACATTTGACTGAGATGTGACCTATATATCCTGCCTGCCGTGCGTCTGGCAAAGGCTGTGGCAGTGAAGTCAAAAAGCACCTGCATGTTTTGGTGGTGCTATATTTCTTACAAATGTTTCCCATAACTCCTGATGTTCCCAATGGGTTGTTCAGCTTTTCTTCTCTGTAAATCCTTTGAATATAGCACCGGGCTCATGATCCTTTCGAGCTGGGTTTATGAAGTGGTCCAGGACATTCCAGCAACAGGTAAAGGAAGGTGAGCAATAGTTAAGGAAGCTCCCTTTCCTTGCAGGGCCCAAGATGTTTTGCTGAATGAGGGAAAGGTCAAGATGAGACTTTCTTCCTCCTCCCACTTTCTACATACAGAAGTTAACTAGACTAACAGTGGAATCTTACTTTGGCCACGTTCTCACCATACTGCTTTGACAGACGTGGCTTCCCTCAAATAATCGAGGGGACTGTGATTTTTTTAAGGATGCTGAGAGTTGTTAGGAGATGCCCTCGTTTCCTCTCAAAGCTACAACTCCTCTGAGAAGAGGGATTGGATGCTAAATCACTCTGGAAACTCTAGCTCAGGATTCCTCAACCTCAGCCCTCCAGATGTTTTTGGCCTACAACTCCCATGATCCCTAGCTAGCAGGACCAGTGGTCAGGGATGATGGGAATTGTAGTCTCGAAACATCTGGAGGGCCGAGGTTGAGGGCCGAGGTTGAGGAAGCCTGCTCTAGCTCTTTGAGGGTGGTGCTGTGGGTTAAACAACAGAGCCTCGGACTTGCAGATCAGAAGGTCGGCGGTTCGAATCCCCGTGACGGGGTGAGCTCCCATTGCTCGGTCCCTGCTCCTGCCAACCTTGCAGTTCGAAAGCACGTCAAAGTGCAAGTAGATAAATAGGTACCGCTCTGGCGGGAAGGTAAACGGCATTTCCGTACGCCGCTCTGGTTCGCCAGAAGTGGCTTAGTTATGCTGGCCACGTGACCCAGAAGCTGTACGCCAGCTCCCTCGGCCAATAAAGCGAGATGAGCGTTGCAACCCCAGAGTCGGCCACGACTGGACCTAATGGTCAGGGGTCCCTTTACTTTTACCTTTAACAGTTCTCAGCATCTTTAACAAACTGCAGTTACCAGTATTCTTTAGGAGACGCCACAAGTGTTTAATAGTGCTTTAAAGGCATAGTGCAGCTGTGGCCCTTGACCCTGGAGATGGGGCAGAGTTGTTCACTTAACCTGAGGACAGCAAGCTAGCCTATAGGCTGCAGCCAGGTCAGATTGCTTGGCACACAAAATTTTGTCCTCCATCATCTCACATCCATCATCACCCTCCAGCCACTGCTACCTGAGTTGCCCCCTCTCTGCCCAATGGCTGACGGGCTTTCTTTCTAGGACTGTGTGCAATTTGATGAGTTTGTGGATTGTTAATAATAATATATAATAATAAAGGAAACTGTAGTCCTTTCACCGTGGGAATACCAAATATTTGGTTATGTGGACTGCTATGGCAGATGAAGGTGATTGACTACATGGAATTGGCGGAAATGACTGGCAGAATCCGAGACCAGGGAGAAGAGTTGGTGAAAGAAGACTGGAAGAAATTTAAAGACTATTTACAGAAATATTGCAAAATTAAGGAATCTTAGAAGGATGTTGGATAGAAACTAAGAGGTTTTTAGCTGTAATGCTTTAAGAGATATGAAAAAAAAAGGTTAACAATTGGGTAAAAGTTTAATGGTAAGGATTTGCTGAACTAACAAACTGAACTGGAATACAAAGAAGGGAGGTATGAGGAGGTTCGGGGAAATAAGTGTAAGGAAGATAGGCTATGGAAAATTAATGTGTTTTTAATTGTTTTATTTTGTATGTTTCTCTTTATACTTTTTTCTTTATTCTGTATTTTCATGTATTTTTTCAAACTTTAATAAATATTATTTAAAAAAAAAAGGTTATGTGGACTGCTAATGTATCTGATCTCATATTTACTGTTGCCATATGTGCAAATAGCTTTTTCACATTCCTGGTTATTTAAGCAACTGAAAGTCATTAGTATGAGTGAATGTTTTTGGAACAGCTAATTAACAAGAACACTGTGATTCAATAGAATAAAAAAAAACCCACGTATTAAAAAAAAGTGTTAGGCAAGTCATCCCTCTCCTCACAACGCCTCAGCAATGCAGATAGAAACTCCCTTAGCAAGCAAGGACATGTTACTCTTTATTATCTTTGAAAAGATGTTTATAGAACCTTAAAAAATGTCATTCGTAAATAACAACTGCTAGGAAAATAATTGCATGAGGTCCCATTCCATTACTGATAAGCAGAATTTGTTTACCCTAGTTATAATGTAAGCATAATCATCAGGTTTTATTAGGTTTTCTAGTCTCTCTTTTGCATGGTCTAATTTCATTACTTCTAAGTACACAATTCAATATGTATTAGAGTGGGTTTTGTTGTTTTTTACTTGAAAAATTAATGTATTAAAATAAGCTTGATAAAATCCAGATTCTAAGACAGACAAGTGTGTTCCGCACATATAATGTATTTGTCTACTTCTTGGACAAAATGCCTGTTGTTCTTTTTATATATTATTTACTTCTGGCTATATAACACCTCCCCTCAGCAAGAAAGGAAACAATTTGTTTTAAATAGCATAGAGGAGGCAAGGAAGCAAAATAAATAATAATAATGTGAAAGTTCGGCCATAACAGAAAAACTATCTGAATGAATCTTTGAAACTCAAATTAAAATTAAGCAAAATTGAAGGCCTGGTGCTCATTTCAATCTTTTATGTGCTTAGACCACCATAATGTGCCTTTTGCCTGTCATTTCCCTTGTGAAAAATGTCATGCCAACTCACCATCCCATGATGAGATCTGGACTTACCTTATCAGGGAGCTAGAGAGAAGAAAGGAGATAGGGAACCTTAACTGAGTGTGTTATATATCTAAACATATGCACATTTACCTGGTAAAACCAAAGCAATTTGATGAGACAGAACTTCAAATATTATACATGGCAGAATGAGATACAGGATTATGTGCATGAACCAAGAAACTCTCTCTCTCTCTCTATGTATATATATAAAATTGTGTGTGTGTGTGCGCGCGCACACACACACACACACACACACACACATAATGTGTAACTTAGGCAATAATTTTACATGGTTAATCATTCAGGAAGTTCACCTGTAAGAATTATTGCAAAAATAATTTAAAAATTTTATCCCTTCAGAGTTTCCCAGGCCACTTAACATACTTCTCAATTATAATGATGAAATAATTCATTTCACAGGTAAATGAATAAAACATTTACTTCTTGGGTCCTTAACACTCCACATGTTCTGCAGGGTAAGCATTGCTCAATAGCAAAGCATCCAAAAATATACTTCTCTTTTGCCAGTCCCTTTTCTGATTAAAATAAAATGAAGCTAAACTGAGGAGCAAGAACTTTTAAAACTGCCCGTGGCCTAATCCACAGAATGTCAAACTTTGGTTGGATCAGCTTCTGTATTAAAATAAAGCGGGGGGGGGGGGGACATTTTCTTATAGAGCGACGAGCTTTGAGTTGTCACCACTAAAAATAGCTTACATTTCTCATCTTTATATTCAGTGTGTGGGCTATAGGAATGTCTGATTAGCATTAGCTAGTACCCAACAACTTGGTCACTGCATGGAAAAATGAAAATCCAAGTCAGAAGGAAGTGATGGTTATATATAGCATATATTTAAGATCCATAACTAAATGTTCTCGAAAGTCCAAGTGGCAGGAGACAACCTGATATTAATAGGTCCACAAGAATCCTTCCTAATCCACTTTCACTTCTGCCCTTCACAAAACTAAAACAAACCTTTGCATCTGCTCTGCTCTGGTTTAAGATACAGCAAATCTGAAATTGATTATATATAATTAAGCATCCAGGCCATGATCACAACAACCACTTGACTCTTTCTTCGAGCAGATTCTGTTTTAATAACTGTATCTTTTATTAAATACCAGTAAACAGGGGCGGGGTGATCATACAGCCAGCCTGGATAAATATCAGCCTCTACTTTCCCTTCCCCTCCGTAAGAAATAACTCTCCGCCTTTCCCTTCCAGTCTCTTCAAGCCATGAAGGGTGGCATGTTGGGTGATGTAAAAAATGCTGTTGGCATTCATTGCCATTTGATAGTAGTACAACTTCAATCCTGTCCTGGGCTGGATCTAGAAACATTTTTTTAAAAGTATCAGGAAAACGCGTTGTAAACCTCATAATGGGAAATCACATTGCCGAAAGACGGAACTCTGGTGTCACATTTAAAACGCTTTAAAAAAAAATATGAATGTAGCTGATTTAAGAAGTGTCCTAATTCTTTACTTGTGCCTTTTTTTGCTCAATTTTCTGCCCATGTCTTAATTATTGATTAGTATTCTGCCTTATTTTCACTCCCGTGGCTGCGCTTTTTCCCCCCTCCGCCAGATTTCCCCCCCTGCTTTAATAATTTTTATATTTGTGGTTCTCCAAGTGTTTACTTAATTTAATATTAAGAACACGGACAGGCCTATTTTCTTAGTTAACTAACTGCATAGTGCAGAATTTCTATTTTATTATTAATAATGATGGTAGCACAGTAAGATGTGCTGAATATCTTTTTGTTGAATACTCTGAATGATCGAATAATCATGGTGGTTTGTTTTCTTCTAGGGTGGCGTGCACAGGTAACATAGGCCCATTTTTCTGCTGCGTGTGTGGTATGCAATGCTCTGGACTGGGCAAACTGGTTTGGGAATGGAGTGTAGCTGATGGACAGGTAGGGCTCTTTCAGGAGATCTGTTTGTTGAGCATTCATCCTGATTTGTTTGCACAAAGCTTATGTGGAGGTTTGATTATATCCAGTGTTTGAAGGAAGCTTTTGGGCATTTTCAGATGGCCTGTTTATTGAACGTTCATCCTGATTTACTTGCAGGCAGATTAGACGGCATTGACTGTCTAGGGCTCATCCACACTTTGGTTTGTCCTGTGATTTCTAGGCTGAGAGGTTTTTATTTTGTCCCCACTGCTCTCCCTGGGAAAACCCACTTTCCTAAACACACACACACACACACACACACACACACACACACACACTCATATATTTATAATAGATAAAATAGTAGCAAACTACCACTACTCCAGCTTTCAGTGACATGAAAACATGGCAGTGAAGAGATGGTTGTATAACAGCTGAGAACAACCTATTGGGGGGGAAGGGGGATGAGATAATAGCCATCCTTGTTTGCATAGAGAATTTCAAAAACACAGTTTTTCCCCTCAGGAATAAGTAATGGTTGACGCAAAAGCTGCCAATTGGTGTAAAAGCTTTATAACATCTCTAAAGCTGTTGTAGCTGTCATAATGCCTAGCTCATCATTTGGAACAGAACAGATTCTAGCCATTTTTTTATTTGTGATTGACATAGGGACAAAGAAATGTGTTGTTCCATGTCTATTTTTTATTATGGGACAGGGATACAAATAATAATAATCATTCTATGTGCTAATGTGATGAAAGGATTCACAAGAAAGACTCCAGATACAATTCTGGCTCTAAGAAATATAAGGGAACTTTGTGTTCTGATCTGGCAGAGGGTGGGAGGGTCATACCTCTACTTAGCCATATGAGAAAGTCAAATATATGACAGCCTCAGTTTCCCATCTGTACAGTCAGTGGGAGTGATTTAAAACAAGAATGCTGTAAAGACAAAACAAGGGTGTTTTTTAAAAAAATAAAATAAAATTGTACAAGCTAAAAGTGCTGTGTAAATGTTTAATAATGGACAAGATTCAAAATACCACGTAGGATCATGCAAGCTCAGTGGAAGGTTTAACCATTTTCTCTTTGAACAGCTGAATCCATGCCATATCACACACTGCTGTCCTTCGTTTTAATAGTGCTCTGCTATGTCATATCAGATAGTGTATTGCTATTGAAGAGAAACATTCAAAAACACTAGTTTCCACAATTCTTTTTTTGTGTGGCCTGAACACTCACAAACACTTTTGACAGGATAATCCTATGTACTTTATGTTTACATGAGGTTAATGGGGTTTACTCACAAGTTAATGCACACAGTATTTATTTTACTTCCTTATTGTAAGCCAGGCAACTCTTTGTTATGGAGTGACATACATATGTTATAAATATATTGGACTCCCCCCCCCTTCTCTCTCTGTGTGTATCTATCTATCTATCTATAATTAGCATAAGTCATAGAACATGAATCATTAAATTCCTTGCCTTTTAATAAACCATAAAGAGCTTGAGTTTGATTAGAGACTCATCCATCAGATACTTGATGGTTATTTGCATCTTGAAAGTGACAATAAAAGGATGAACGCTTGCTTTTTTTATTTGTGAAAATATTTTAGGGTGGCTTTGATTTTATTGCAGTCATGCTCCTGTAAACATCAATCTAACTGGCAGGGAAGCTTTAAAACAGAGGAAGGTCTTACAGAATATCCTAAAGGTGATTAAATTGTGGATTAATCTAATCGCCTTTGGAAGTTAGTCCACAGAGCAATCCTTCTCAATGAGAATGATTTATCTTTGGCTCTCACAAGCTTTTTAAGCGTTCATGTCCTGAAGGTACGTAGCTCTCTTGACATATCATTGTTAAGGAGCTGGAACTGGTGCAGGTGAAAACTCAGAAGACAGGAAAGCTCATTTTAACAAAAGAAGCTACGAAACAATGAATGTGGCTGAGGAAAAGGCCTCCTCCAACTGTAGAACCAAACCAAATCACCACAATGTTTTGAGGTCTGGGTTGCTTCACTTCAGACTTGGGGAGTGTCTTATGACAGAATGTTCATCGGGAAAACAAATTCCTGCAGATAATAAACTAGAATATGAAGAAGCTGTCTGCCTGCCTGACATGTTACATTTCTAAACACAGGGGACTACCGATAGATACTGTTTCGGTGCAATTCAGACACAGTTGAGAATAAGTCTCCACAATGAGTAGGCTGTTAAATTATTTGCTCTAAAGTAGCACTGGGAACACGAGTAACATTTTGCTGCATTGACAGGGAAGGAATATTTTCCTGACTGACTCTTTAGGGACACTCCACATACAGTGGATGCTCGGGTTACGAAAGTGATCCATGAGGGATGCATGTTCACAACCTGCAGTGGCGCATCTGTGCATGCACGGGTTGCGATTCGGTGCTTCTGCGCATGCGCAAAGCGCGATTTATCGCTTCTGCGCATGCACGACCGCCGAAACCCGGAAGTAACCCGTTCCAGTACTTCCGGGTTCCGGTGGTCTGCAACCCGAAAAAACGCAACCTGAAGCGTCTGTAACCCGAGGTATGACTGTATTATAAAGAAACTCCCCGCCTTTCCTGAGGCCACACCACCACGCATTGCTGTTATGTGGTGAATCAGCTGTGGTTGCCTGTTCTGTGGTGAAAAAGTCGTAAAGTTTCATAGGATGAAAACACTGGTGTGCTGCTGGGCAGAATCAGCATTACCGTGTATTACTTTAACTGCTTCACTACACCTTTCTTGAAGGAGAAAATAAAAGAATAAACAGCTACTTGGTGCTCAAAGGCTGTCCAAAGAAAACAGAAAGGGAACATGTAATAGGTGATAAATAAACCTGCCTAATACTACAAAGAGAGAAATTATGCCAAGAAAGAGCCTGATTCTTATGCAAAATAAGATAATCACTAAAGAGATTATTACTGAGGTAATCCACAAATGGCTGGAAACCAAATAAAATGTAAGGCTGAGCAGCTTGCACCTTCAGCCATTTACCTCACAGTGTGGTTATTGTGATAAAATGGTGGCAGGGAAGAGCCAAGTACACCACATTTGGATCTTTGGGATAGAAGAGGGATAGAAATGGCACACATGCATAAATGATTATTATTAAAATTAATTAGGCTTTTTGTCCCAAAGTGGCTTACAGCAGCCAACAGTGAAACAAACCAAAATATTTCGAATTGTGCTTGAAAACAGGCTGAGAGCCAGTGAAGATTGAATAAAACTGGATTAGCATTTCAAAAATTGGGCTCTGGTCAAGTAGTCTGGCAGCAGCCTCATTTACATCAGGTGAAGTTTCTGAGCACTTCCAAAGGCAGTCCAATGTAAAATGGTGTTGCAGAAATTTAGCCTGCTGAGTCACATTAGCCACATATGCCCTTCTGAAGAAGGGACACAGATATCTGGTCATTTATGAGCAAAGTTGGTTATTAAGGAGTACTTGCAACCTATGAACTTGAGTCTTCAAGAAAAATACTATCCTGTCCAAAAACATGGCACATCCTTCAGTTGGCTTTCCTACTGACCAAAAGCACCTCATCAAGTGTTTGACCCTTGAACATGTGGAATCTACATTTCTCCTGCACAACTTTGCATCTGATAGCTCTTACAAACCAAGGTGCGTGACAACTTACATTTTCTGAAATAAATGCAAAAAAAGGGTCCAGAAATTCTAAACAAAAATCTAAATGAATTGCATCTGTGGCACTAATATCACTTGATTCAGCCGTTGGGATAACACATGGGTAGGCAAACTAAGGTCTGGGGGCCGGATCTAGCCCATTCGCCTTCTAAATCTGGCCCGCGGACGGTCTGGGAATCAGCATGTTTTTACATGAGTAGAATGTGTCCTTTTATTTAAAATGCATCTCTGGGTTATTTGTGGGGCATAGAAATTTGTTCATTTCCCCCCTTCAAATTATAGTTTGGCCCCCCACCAGGTCTGAGGGACAGTGGACCAGCCCCCTGCTGAAAAAGTTTGCTGACCCCTGATACAGAATGCTCATGAACATTTCTGCTGCTCAAGGAACAAAGTTGCCGGAATGTTTGCAGTCTGTGAGAAACGGGAAATTGTCAGTTTAGCAGTAACACTGGCCAGAGGGCCAAGAATAGCTTTGGAAGGGCATCTTGTATTTTAAATCTGACCTTAAAAACACAGGGCTGTTTTCCCCCCTTGCTTCCAAAATATTGAGTTACATGCTGTATTGCACCTGTAGTTGCGTTTCTCCATTCTCTGCTAGTGGTCAAGAGAGTATCATCATGGGAGAGGTGTTTCTGGGACTAAGGTGAAACTGTTCCTTTGTTATTCCTGATATTGGATGCTGCATGTAGTTTAAGTAATCTTGTTTTGTTCATCGTATCGGAATGTGCCTTTTTTTTTTTTGGCACGTCATTATATTGCTGCTATTGTTTTTGCTTTGTTGTTATGAAATAAGTTTTGTTTGAAACTCTAGGGACCAACTTCTAGCGGCCGAGATCCCTTCATCGTCATCCCCCCAATAAAACATATGAGGGGTCCAGGGCCCCAAAAGTTGATGGGCATTGCCAGGGCCAGATTTGTTTGATGAGGTCCTAAGCTACTGAAGGTAATGGGGCACTTTATATGTCCAGCTGTCCTTTGTCAACAACATATTGTCACTGATTTTTTGTGCTGAATATATGCTATATGGTAATTTATAGACCTAATGGGTATTTTAAGCCATTTGCACATAACCAAACATGTATTTTATCAAAGTAATTGTTGAACTGAAATGCAATTAATTAGTTGTTTTTTATCTTATATTTTGGGAAATGTACATCCAGTTTTTTCCCCTTTAACTTTTTTGGGGGACCCCCAGGAGAGTGGAGCCCTGAGCTATAGCTTGTTTAGCTTATACGCAAATCCGGCACTGGCCGAATTGCCATTCAAACGCTGGGGGCTTACCTGTCCCTCCCCAATGCCTTGTTCCAAGTTGGCACCTCTGGCTTGAAATGCATCACCCGCTTTTCGTTGTAAACCGCTTTGAGCATGTTTTTTTAATTATTATTTTTTGTGCGGCAAAGCGGCATACCCAGAAAATGAATGGACGCGAAATCGCTCTTGGGAATGTGCAAATCGGTTTAAAACCAATACACGGCTGCTGGGGGGGAACGAAGAGGCAGCCTCGGCCGCCCCTTTTTCAAACCCTCCGAGTGTCCCTATTTTCCAGGAACAGCTGGGGATTTACAAACGGCGATTTGATCCCTGAAAGTCCCCCTTTTCCTTAGGAGAAATGTCCCGGGAGGGGTATGCCTCTCCCTTTCCCAGAGGGCTGGATATGTGGGGGGCGGGCAGCAGCGTGCCTTCTCCGCCCGCCCGCGCGAGCGAGCTTCTCCTCCGGGGAGGCTTGGCTGCTGCCTCGCTTTTCCTTCAGGGTGGGGCTTGTTATTGCGGTCTCTTGGCCGACCCTGCCTCACAGTAGCCGCTACGGCACCTCGCGAGGAGGCGGCGGCGGCGGCTGCAAGGGAGAGCAATGCACCTCGCCGTTTTGCCTTGACCCCGCGCTGAGGTTCCTCTCCGGGAAGCGAGCGCGCGCCGCCGAGGGTAGGTGGGCGGGCTCGGCTGTCTTGGCACCAAGCAGCACCCCCCCCCCGCTTTTGTCCGGCGGGGCAGCGCCGACAGGCCCGGGCAGAAGCAGCAGCAGCAGCGTGGCGGCGGCGGCGGCGGCCTCCTCCCTGGGCAATCCCGCCCCCTCCGCCTTTTCTCTGTTGTTTCGTCCCGCCTTTTTCCTCGCTCCAGCCCCGCGGCCGACCAGCCTTGCGCGCCCTAGCCGAGGCCCAGGTGAGTCCTTGCTCCGCCTGGCCAGGCGCTCCTCCTCGGCGGCTGCGGCGGAGAGGAGGGGCGGGGAAATTGAGCCGAGCAGGCCCAGCCTTGCGGCCTCGGCAGGCTTTTGTTTCTCCCTCCCCCCGCCTCGTGCGGGGCTGCTGCGGCTTCCCCTCCTCCCTGGAGCTGCGGAGGTAAAAGCGGTTCTTGGGGGTGGGGGGCTCGTGGGAAGGGTGGGCGGATGTGTGTGTGTTCAGGGCGTCTGTCCCCAAAATGCATGCCCCGTGGGACGGGGCGGGGGGCCGCATCCATCCCTCGGGAGTGTTCTTCCTTCCTTCCGTCCTTCCTTCCTTCTCTTTCCAAACGCTGCCTCCATTTTCCCACCCCAGGTTGACCATTTGTGCCCTGGGGTTTCTCTTTTCGTGGTGGCAGGCGAGGGTCCGCATGCAGCAGCGGCGGCGGGGCTTCTTGCTTCCTTCTTCAGCCCAGCCCAGCCTCCCCCCTCCTCAATTCCCCATCTCTCATGCACGCCGCTATGAATCAAAGCCCGTGTTTGAGATCAGAGCAACAGGTTTCTTCTTGCAACTTGCATCTATATCCATGTATATTATCCGTCCTATGAAGCGCGGCGGGACAGAGTCCGCCTCCCGCCTCCCCGCTGCTTTTCCATTGCTCCCAGGTCTCTCCTTCTGTATTTCCTTTCCCTTCCCTTTGTGTTGTCACTTTCCCAACCCTGCCTTGAGTGCAAGCGGGTGAGTGCCGAACGGCACCAGCCGATCTCTCTCTCTCTCTCTCGGCATGTTCTGCTTCTAAAAAAACCCAACACATTTCCTTCTTCCCTATCCAGACTTTAAGCTGGGTTGTGAAAAGAAACGAAAAAAACAAAACCAGAGGGAATAGGTTTTGAGAGAAAGAGAGCCTTGGTTCGGAGGGAGAGAAGCTTGCATCGTCGGTAGCCTGGAGGTGGCTTTTTAGGAGCCCTTCACTGTGACTTGCAACTGATAGTAAAAACATAACCCAGAGCACTATTCTCTGGCCATCTTGTGACTTATGGTGTAGTAGTCAGGGCTTTGTCATCCTTTTGGTTTTGCAGAAGAAATGCATGACTGGCACGGTTGATTCAGCACAGCATTCAGTGTTGCGGTTACTACTATATCCGTTGGTTTGGGAAAGGTCCATTATTTTTTACAGTTTTGTCTTCCCACTTATCCTACCTAGTGAAAAGGTGGCCGATTTAAAGCTCTTTGAACATGTATTGTGTGGCAAATTGAAAGACGAGAAAGGTGTATGTTTGTGTGTGCATATGTGTATTTCTTTAAAGATCTGGGATAACACCAGATCTTATGACTGTAATGATTAAAGCCAGGTCTGTGGTCCTTGTCAAGCAGCAAATTTGCCTGTCTCCTTACTCTAAGAACATGTAACGGAGCTTTGCAGTCAAATGAACATGTGAAAATGGTGGCTCTGCAGATACCTCCTCATATCAGCATTTGTGTTGTAATTTAGTGAGCATTGATTTTCTTCTCCCTTTGCTTGCTCCATAATTGTTGAGGTGAAACCAGTTACAACTACCTTGTTCTTTCATTGCCATGGTGAAGTTTTAGTTTTGCACTAAATAATTGAGTTTTCTAGTTTGCAGAGGGCATACATTGTAAGATGCATTGTAATGGATACATTATAAGAGGAAGGGTGACTGCAGGTTAAAACTGAGAAGCCATTTTCAAAGGCCTAATCCTGATGTTGCATTGGAGATCATACCATGTTTTTGCACTATCCACTCCCCACATATACATTGGTAAGGTTTGAAAGCATATAAAATTATGCAGACCATTATAAAAGTCCACATTGTGATTCCATGCCTTCAATATAACTACAGTGGTACCTTGGGTTAAGAACTTAATTCATTCTGGAGGTCTGTTCTTAACCTGAAACTGTTCTTAACTTGAAGCACCACTTTAGCTAATGGGGCCTCCCGCTGCCACTGCACCGCTGCTGCACGATTTCTGTTCTCATCCTGAAGCAAAGTTCTTAACCCGAGGTACTATTTCTGGGTTAGCGGAGTCTGTAACCTGAAGCGTCTGTAACCCGAGGTACCACTGTATGCCTGTAGGCCTTGGGATCTGGTCTGCACCACAATATTGGATCACATTCTTGGATAAATTCTGTGCTGACCCTGACCCTTTTAAGTGTTGAGAAAGGTAGGAAACGCTTCATGGAGAATTATGCTTTATTCAAACATTTAAATCAACAGAAATCTGAGCTTTTTCTTTTCCTGAAACTTTAGGTATGGATAATTCCTTATTGATTTTGTAGGCTGATATTTGCAGTGGTGCTCACTTCAGTTGCTTATTTGTAAATAGCTGGAGGGATCAGGATGACTCTTCAATGCTAGGTGACCAAAAGCGAATAATATTGTACATCTCAGTTTGCTGCTTCCAGAGATACCTTTTTTCAAGCCACCAACAGAGGAATTGGTCAGGAAAAGAAGTTATGAGCAGGCAGGGAATAGCAAATGACATAGGGAAGAAAACAGTTGTAAGTGTCAGATATGACAGAGTTGGAACAAAGAAGTGCCTCTGAGCAAGTTGTAGTAGTTTGTACCACTTCAACCTTTCTGAGCTGCTTTTTGGTGTGGGTGAGTATGACTTTTTGAGTGGGTGGGTGTTTCTTTGGTGAAGGCCAGTCTATTAGACTACTTTTGCATACTTCTTCAAGCTCGATAAGGTTAGGGGTGCAATCAAGAATCCTAAGAACATCAGGAGAAGCAAAATTAACAGTTGCTTTATCCATTCCTATGGATCTGGGAAGCAGCATTTCTGTAAGTACAAATTACCGTATTTTTCGCACTATAGGACGCACTTTTTCCCCTCCAAAAATGAAGGGGAAATGTGTGTGCGTCCTATGGTGCGAATGCAGGCTTTCACTGAAGCCTGGAGAGCGAGAGTGGTCGGTGCGCCCCGCCCCCTCTCGCCTCCAGGCTTCAGGAGAGCCCCAGCGCCAGCCCCACAAGGTCGGGGGACAGAGGAGGCGGAACGCCGCCATCCCGCTGTCTCCCGAAGTGGTTTGGAGGCTGACGGCGGGGAGACCCCGCCGCCGGCCCGCAAGCCCGGGGACAGCTGGGAGACGCAGCGCGTCTTCCTGCTGCCCCCGGACCTGATCTGAAGGCGGGCGGCGGGGAGAAGAGCGCTCTCCCGCTGCCTGCCCCGCAAGCTCCGGGACAGCTGGGAGGCGCAGCGCGTCTTCCCGCTGTCCCCGGACCTGATCTCAAGGCGGGCGGCGGGGAGAAGTGCGGGGCTCCCCGCTGCCTGCCCCCAAGCTCCGGGGACAGCTGGGAGACGCAGCGCGTCTTCCCGCTGTCCCCGGACCTGATCTCAAGGCGGGCGGCAGGGAGAAGAGCGCTCCCCGCTGCCTGCCCCCAAGCCCGGGGACAGCTGGGAGACGCAGCGCGTCTTCCTGCTGTCCCCGGACCTGATCTGAAGGCGGGCGGCGGGGAGAAGAGCGCTTCTCCCGCTGCCTGCCCCCAAGCTCCGGGGACAGCTGGGAGACGCAGCGCGTCTTCCCGCTGTCCCCGGACCTGATCTGAAGGCGGACGGCGGGGAGAAGAGCGCTTCTCCCGCTGCCTGCCCGCAAGCTCCGGGACAGCTGGGAGACGCAGCGCGCCTTCCTGCTGTCCCCGGACCTGATCTGAAGGCGGGCGGCGGGGAGAAGAGCGCTTCACCGCTGCCAGCCCCGCAAGCTCCGGGACAGCTGGGAGGCGCAGCGCGTCTTCCCGCTGTCCCCGGACTTGATATCAGGCGGGCGGCGGGGAGAAGAGCGCTCCCCGCTGCCTGCCCCAAGCTCCGGGGACAGCGGGAGACGCAGCGCGTCTTCCCGCTGTCCCCGGACCTGATCTGAAGGCGGACTGCGGGGAGAAGAGCGCTCTCCCCGCTGCCTGCCCCAGCTCCGGGACAGCTGGGAGACGCAGCGCGTCTTCCCGCTGTCCCCGGACCTGATCTGAAGGCGGACTGCGGGGAGAAGCACTCTTCTCCCCGCTGCCGGCCCCACAAGCGCCTGGGGGGGAAATAATTTTTTTCCCTTTATTTCCCCCCCAAAAAACTTGATGCGTCCTATGGGCCGGTGCGTCCTATGGTGCGAAAAATACGGTAGGCTTGAATCCAGGGACTAGAGCCCTCTGGGAGGAGAAACTAGAAGTATAGGTCAAACTGATGAATTTTCTGAACAGAAAATTATTATCCCTTGCCATTGTATTTTTCTGTAGCGTTTAACTTTTGTTGCATTTGGTAAGCTTTGGAGGTTTATACTTTGATACAAATCAGCCTTGCATTTAAGCACTTGCCTGGTAACTACTACAGACAACAAGGAATTCCATGCAGGCAGGTCCATGGAATTGTATGCAGGAGAAGGAGTTAGCTGGTGGAGGAGGAATAGAGCACTGTGTCCATCCTCTATGCCCAACATAGATACTGTGGGCTGCAAGAGGAAGAAAGCCCCTTCCTCCACACCCTGCACAAAAATGCAGTGGACTATTTATAGCCTAGTATAGAAGGCCTATTGGAGAATTGTACCTTCTCTTTTTTTTAAAAAAAAAAAAATCAGACTCGGTTGGGGAAAAATCATTATCGAATGTTATTCATTTAGCAGACAGACTTTTTAAATGCGTTGTGCTTCATATTCTATGCTGGAGAGCGTCCTAGCTTGAAACATGTATGGAATTACTTTCTATGAAAGGAATTTTGATTCTCATTTACTGAATTATTGTTATTGCTCCTATTTTACAGCTGTCTTCAAAGCTACCATCCTTTGTTGATAACTCCCCAACTATCCTCTTTCCTTCCTCCATAGTCTTAATGGCCTGATAATAATTTAGTGTGCTGGCCCAATTTTACTTAGGTTTGTGGGCCAGGTAAACATTGGAACCCGCATGATTGGAACCTTACAGGCTGATGTGTATTTACTGTGCCCTCTGTTGAGACTGCTATAGACACTTGAGTTGTCCTTCTCTAAGATGTTAGTATTTAAACCAGGGGTCAGCAAACTTTTTCAGCAGGGGGCCGGTCTACTGTCCCTCAGACCTTATGGGGGGCCAGACTATATTTTGAAAGGGAAAAAAAATGAACGAATTTCTATGCCCCACAAATAACTCAGAGATGCATTTTAAATAAAAGGACACATTCTACTCATGTAAAAGCACGCTGATTCCCGGATTGTCCGCAGGCCGGATTTAGAAGGAGATTGGGCCGTATCCAGCCCCTGGGCCTTAGTTTGCCTACCCATCATTTAAACCCATGATTGTATTCTGTTGTAAAAGTGGACTCCTTGCAACATTAACACATAAGGAGGTGCAAATGTGGCTGTAAGCAGTTGTTGTTTAGTCATTTAGTCGTGTCCGACTCTTTGTGACCCCATGGACCAGAGCACGCCAGGCACTTCTGTCTTCCACTGCCTCCCGCAGTTTGGTCAAACTCATGATGGTAGCTTCAAGAACACTATGCAACCATCTCGTCATCTGTCGTCCCCTTCTCCTTGCGCCCTCCATCCTTCCCAACATCAGGGTCTTTTCCAGGGAGTCTTCTCTTCTCATGAGGTGGCCAAAGTATTGGAGCCTCGGCTTCAGAATCTGTCCTTCCAGTGAGCACTCAGGGCTGATTTCCTTAAGAATGGATAGGTTTGATCTTCTTGCAGTCCATGGGACTCTCAAGAGTTTCCTCCAGCACTAGCATCCAGTTATTTCTGTAGTAAGAATTGGCGTGGTATCTTCAAGATTGGGACTAGAAAGCCACATGTAAATTCAAGTTCTGTATCTAGCCCTTAGCCACTAGTGAGTATAACTACTCTAAAAACCGTTTTTATTGTGTAGGGAAATGTCATGAGGGAATTGTGATGCCTGTGCACCTACTTGGTTTGCTGATACAATAGCAATCCGAAACCACTGATTTAAGAACGACATTGAAAGGGGTCTTTATTTAAGGCTCTACTGCTTAAATTTAAGACGTGTTTGAATGGAGTGCCATCTGTTGATTTGCGTCCTAGCGTGAACTTGGCTTGGAGGAAGAGTTCTGAAGTATTCACTTTCACTTCTGCTGAACTGCTTACCTTTTCCAAACCACGGACTGTAGTTTAACACTCACTATGGTTAGTTTCAGCCTAGCTGATTTGAAGCAGGTTTGCTTTGGCACTAACCATAAATAGTGTTAAACCATGATTCCTAGTTTAGATGTGTGCTTCCCCTTCCTTCTTCCTGCACGAGCAAGCCCAGGTTCATTCAGGTGGCATTAAATCATGGGTTAGCATGTTCACAAGTGGCCATTGAGTGAATACTTTGGGAAATGCCTTTTCGACAGTAACTGTTATAGTTTTCAATCTGCTGTGCAGCTTTCCCCACCAGTTCCTATCACTTGAAAATCTGGAAGCAATGCCTTACTCTGAAGTGTAAGAAAAGTTTCCAAACAAATCTGTACATCAAACTATGAGAAGAAAGCGTGGTTGTAAAATTCTAATTTAAATCCACAGGGCTTGAAAAACTGAATCAAATCTGAAAACGATTTTGTCAAGGGACATCAATGTTTCCGGATACCACAACAGACACAGTAAGTAAAACCATTCACATTTTGAAGCATTCTTTCGTTGTGTGGGATTGGCATGGGAGTATAGATATGTTCAAAATATCTAACTCAAATCATGCTACAGCAAGAGATGTATTTGTGTAATGTGATATCTTCTCAAATGATGACACAGACTCTCTCTCAGCTTAAAGCATTTGTTTATGCCAGCCAATGAAATTTACTAGTCTTGCATTGCCTTGTGTGTAACCCAAGTTCTTTAGTGAGAATTTTGTTGTGAACAGGTACCGTATTTTTCGCTCCATAGGACGCACTTTTTCCCCTCCAAAAATGAAGGGGAAATGTGTGTGCGTCCTATGGAGCGAATGCAGGCTTTCGCTGAAGCCTGGAGAGCGAGAGGCATCGGTGCGCACCGACCCTCTCGCTCTCCAGGCTTCAGGAAGCTATCCGCAAGCCTTGCAAGCCCGGTGGGAGTTCCCGGGGGCTCACAAGGCTTGCAGGCAGCAGCCTGCAGCCCCGGCGAGTGTCCGCAGCCTTGCGCGCCCGGCAGGAGGTCCCGCCGAGCGCGCAAGGCTTGGGGCTGCAGCTTGTCGCCCGAAGCACGGGAGCCCTCCGGAGGGCTCCCGTGCTTCGGGCGAGTGTCCGCAAGCCTTGCGCGCCCGGCAGGAGGTCCCGCCCGGCGCGCAAGGCTTGGGGCTGCAGCTTGTCGCCCGAAGCACGGGAGCCCTCCGGAGGGCTCCCCGTGCTCGGGCGAGTGTCCGCAGCCTTGCGCGCCCGGCAGGTGGTCCCGCCCGGCGCGCAAGGCTTGGGGCTGCAGCTGTCGCCCGAAGCACGGGGAGCCCTCCGGAGGGCTCCCGTGCTCGGGCGAGTGTCTGCAAGCCTTGCGCGCCCGGCAGGTGGTCCCGCCCGGCGCGCAAGGCTTGGGGCTGCAGCTTGTCGCCCGAAGCACGGGAGCCCTCCGGAGGGCTCCCGTGCTCGGGCGAGTGTCTGCAAGCCTTGCGCGCCCGGCAGGAGGTCCCGCCCGGCGCGCAAGGCTTGGGGCTGCAGCAGTCGCCGAAGCACGGGGAGCCCTCCGGAGGGCTCCCGTGCTTCGGGCGAGTGTCTGCAAGCCTTGCGCGCCCGGCAGGAGGTCCCGCCCGGCGCGCAAGGCTTGGGGCTGCAGCTTGTCGCCCGAAGCACGGGAGCCCTCCGGAGGGCTCCCGTGCTTCGGGCGAGTGTCTGCAAGCCTTGCGCGCCCGGCAGGAGGTCCCGCCCGGCGCGCAAGGCTTGGGGCTGCAGCTGTCGCCCGAAGCACGGGAGCCCTCCGGAGGGCTCCCCGTGCTTCGGGCGAGTGTCTGCAAGCCTTGCGCGCCCGGCAGGAGGTCCCGCCCGGCGCGCAAGGCTTGGGGCTGCAGCTGTCGCCCGAAGCACGGGAGCCCTCCGGAGGGCTCCCGTGCTTCGGGCGAGTGTCTGCAGCCTTGCGCGCCCGGCAGGAGGTCCCGCCCGGCGCGCAAGGCTTGGGGCTGCAGCTGTCGCTCGAAGCACGGGAGCCCTCCGGAGGGCTCCCGTGCTTCGGGCGAGTGTCTGCAAGCCTTGCGCGCCCGGCAGGAGGTCCCGCCCGGCGCGCAAGGCTTGGGGCTGCAGCTTGTCGCCCGAAGCACGGGAGCCCTCCGGAGGGCTCCCCGTGCTTCGGGCGAGTGTCTGCAAGCCTTGCGCGCCCGGCAGGAGGTCCCGCCCGGCGCGCAAGGCTTGGGGCTGCAGCTGTCGCCCGAAGCACGGGGAGCCCTCCGGAGGGCTCCCCGTGCTTCGGGCGAGTGTCTGCAAGCCTTGCGCGCCCGGCAGGAGGTCCCGCCGAGCGCGCAAGGCTTGGGGCGGCAGCCGCGGGGGGGAGGGGGGGGAATAATTTTTTTTATTCATTTCCCCCCCCAAAAAACGAGGTGCGTCCTATGGACCGGTGCGTCCTATAGAACGAAAAATACGGTATATTAATAACTGACACCACAATTGTATGTTTTAAGAAAGTCCCATTTTGTTCAGTATGGGTTACACTCAGTTTAGAGTGCATAGAATTGTGATGGAAAGTACTTAATGAAAATATGAGGCATTATGTAATGGGTTTGGAGTGTAAAGGCACACAGCTCATATTTGGCTTTTTTAATTCCTCAGGGGACATTTATTTTTCTTCCATCCTTCAGTACAGATGTGCTACTTTTATTTTTAAAAGGACCCTCTGTGAAGTAGCTTAGGCTTGCAGGTAATACCAAAATGGTGGATGAAGAAAAGCCTAGGTATAATGGATTGTGTTGCATACTCTATATTATGATTTAGGCCAGTGTTCCTTTTATGCTGAGAAGGAGTTCCTCAATGAGAAACTCAGTACAGTGGAACCTTGGTTCTCAAATGCCTTGGTACTCGAACATTTCGGCCCCCGAATACCAAAAACCTGGAAGTAAGTGTTCCGGTTTCTGAACATTTTTTGGAAGCTGAACATCCGATGCAATTTTCGGCGATTTCCTCTGGGGCGCCTGTGCCAATTGGAAGCTGCGCCTCGGTTTTTGAATGTTTCGGAAGTCGAATGGACTTCCGGAACAGATTATGTTCGAGAACCAAGGTACCACTGTAATTGTAAACAGGCCATACTGGGAATATGGTAGAATTACAGTCGTGGTTCACGTGGTGGCTTCCCCTAGAACCTTCTATAGTGTGCATGGTTTCTATGGCAGATATTTATTGGAAGATAAGTCAGTGTGAAATGTTTCCTGGCAACAGAAAATATGAAGACCACCTATTTACATAAAATAGCAATAAGAGTTGGAAAACCAGGCTGAGTGATCTGAGGCATTTACAGAGGATAGTATTGAGTGTGCATGTTTTTAACAGTCGTAATGCCTCAGGGATTTTAGAAGATGTCTGGTTTGGATGGACATGGGCAGATGTAGTCATGGATGCAGGAGAGCCAGTTGGCTTTGTTTACCAATGATGCGGTCCCAAGATTTCAAGCAAATAAGTGTTTGGAACATTGCGAAATACTGCATTGACAGATCACTGCAAAACACGAATGTTGGCTCACAGATATCTAATTCTAGTGCAGAAAAGTGTATGACAGTACAGTGGTACCTCAGGTCAAGTACTTAATTTGTTCTGGAGGTCCGTACTTAACCTGAAACTGTTCTTAACCTGAAGCACCACTAACCTGAAGCTAATGGGGCCTCCTGCTGCTGCCGTGCAATTTCTGTTCTCATCCTGAAGCAAAGGTCTTAACCCGAGGTAATATTTCTGGGTTAGCGGAGTCTGTAACCTGAAGCGTATGTAACCCGAGGTACCACTGTAGAAAGAAGAGAACTAGCATTTAATTTAGACTGTGAAGTTGTCTTCTGTAAAGAGATAAATAGGGGGTATTGTCTTCTGTTTTTAGGTGAGAAGATGAGTAACTACGATTCGGAAAAACAAGTTTGCGATACAGTGGTACCTCAGGTTATATACACTTCAGGTTACATACGCTTCAGGTTGCAGACTCCGCTAACCCAGAAATAGTGCTTCAGGTTAAGAACTTTGCTTCAGGATGAGAACAGAAATCGTGCTCTGGTGGCGCGGTGGCAGTAGGAGGCCCCATTAGCTAAAGTTGTGCTTCAGGTTAAGAACAGTTTCAGGTTAAGTACAGACCTCCGGAACAAATTAAGTACTTAATCTGAGGTACCACTGTACTTGCTCATAAATCCAGAGAGAGAGAAATTACAGTAATTAAGCTAAAAAGAGATGAAGGTATGATAGAGTGGATTAAACATCACTTGGAACAAACAGTTTGGAACAAGTGATACCCAGATTTAAAGGATTGTATCCCAATGCTGTGCCAATGGACTTCTGCTGATGCAACAGGACTCGTTGTTTTGGAGGGTCCCTCAACTCTCTGGATCTGGGGGCTGCAGAGAAGGAGAGGGGAGTTCCGTTGTGGAAGCAGAAGACTGCAGCGTAAGAGGAACTGCAGCACTGGATACAGTCCAAAGAAAGAGCTTTGGGATATTACCAGGGTTAGACATGAAGCAGCCCCATACTTCTTTGGTTCATCTGGCCCACTGTTTGTTTTGACTGGCAGTGGCTCTCCCAACATCTGCAGGTTGTACAAGGTACCACTGTATAAGAGAAAAACCAGCAACATACAAAACAAACAAACAAGCCATAGAACAAAAGCAGCACCCAAAGTTAATGCCCAGAATGTCAGCAGATCCGTTGAAAGGCTTGGGAAAATAGAAAGGCACCTGGTACCAAAAAGATGTGTGTGCCAAATGAACTTATGTACATCATCAATTGATGCTGCAACCATGAGGTGAATACAATGGTGCTGGTTCACATGAGGTCATTGCATTGTGTTTGCTATACAGTGCATGCTCTTGATTCATCTTTGCTATATAAGTTCAGTGTGATACTTTTCCTTCTTGTGGGAGTTTGTGTGCAAGGCATGTTGAGCAGTATAGAGAATAAAAGGGTCTGTTCTCATGAAAAATTAGTCAATTTGCGGTTGGTTCTTAGTTATGTGCCTAGGGATATGGAAAAGATTTAGAAAGTAAGTGAAAATTATGGATATATTCAGAATGGTGTTCTGATCCCAGTTACGGTATGGACTTCATTAGGCAAGTCTTTTATCCTAAAAATAAAAATGTCCAGGGTTCAAATTAATATGCTGGAAAAGTCAGCCTTCATTATTTCATAGGATTATATAAGTTTGGCTCCTAACTTTTGGTTCTGTGAATGGAAAGAACTGCTTACAGAAGAAGGTCTGTGCTCATGAAAGAAGAGTTGCCCTTGAAAGATTCCTTCCAGGAGTGCAAATCTTCTGTGAAGAGAGCGAAAAGTTAGGATCAAAGACATCAGGTTGGATCGAGACTTAGTTGTGCTTAGAGTAGACCCACTGAATTTAGGAGGGCTGAAGTTACTCATTTGCACCACTGATTTCAGTAGATCTGGATCCAATTATTGGTGTATACAGCAAAAGAAATGTAAAGTTTTACTTTGATCTGGAAGTGGTTTGAAATTTAATAAGCAGATAGTGGAAAATAAACATTTTAAGATGTCAGTGCATCTGTTGAATGTTTTGAAGTGGACAAACTTCAGATTTCACTAGGTTGATCTGTGCATCTATAATTATTGGCATTTTGTTCTCTTCCTGTTTACAAAGAACCAATGCACATATCATAAATTTCGTGCATGAACAGGAAGCTACCATTGAGAAATGAGCTTTTAAAAGTACAGACGGTCTCTCAGGGCACTAGCTGAATTGCTCTTGAATTATGCATACAAAGAAATGCAGTAATAGGTATCAAAACCCAGTGCTGTTTATACTTGCACTCGGCCTTCGTGCCAATCAGGAGAGTCAGATTTTCTTGTTCTGTTTCTGATTTTATCCTCTCTCCCAAGGATCAACATTTTACATATCCCTGTTGAGACTAATGTTGGCCCGTGTCAGAAACAGACTGCTGGACTTAGAGGAAACATCCATCTGATCCAGCGGGGGCAGTTCTTATGTTCGGGATTCAGCGTATAATCATTGGCTGCAAAAACAGCATTTCATATTGTTTCTGGAAACAGTTGCCTGAACCAGAGTTCTACATGATAAGGACATTCAGCTTCTAAGTGGGTATGAGTGTTAAAGCAAAGTTGGAGAACTTTTTTTCAGCCCAGGGGGCTTGTGAGCAACCATCCAGGAAACCAGAGGCAAAAGCGACTCAACATTTATATAGTAGGTTGAGTAGGAGAAAACAAGAGCTTTCTATACACATGGTCCCCACCCCTTTTCACATTTCTTCATTCAGGCAAGCAAGAGTCATCATCACTGCTCAATGACTCATTCTAGCCAGGCAAAAGCACTCAAGGGTGTTGGGTAGTGTTGGTTAGGAGCATGTCCTGGGGAATCTTAAGGGCCAAATAAAGGCCTAGGGGTCTGCATTTGGCTCCTGACCTGGGGTTCCCCAACCCAGTGTTAAGGGGTAAGGTAAGCATTAATTTTAGTGTGGGTATCTGATCTGCATGTGGAAGAGAATATGCATATGCCTTGGATCTCGGAACAGATTGTTTGGAACAGGACAGGTTTATATGCTTCATTGTACCTGGACAATTATTAGTTTTATAGAAGTATTTCTGAAGACTGTGTTCAAAGCCAGTGCACCCATGTTCATCTGTAGCAAATACAGTGGTGCCTCGCAAGACGAAAATAATCCGTTCCGCGAGTCTCTTCGTCTAGCGGTTTCTTCGTCTTGCGAAGCAACCCTATTAGCGGATTAGCGCTATTAGCGGTTTAGCGGCTTAGCAGCTATTAAAGGCTTAGTGGCTTAGCGGCTAAAAGGCTATTAGCAGCTTAGCGGCTTAGAAAAAGGGGGGGAGCGAAAAAAAATCGCAACACTCGCAAGACGTTTTCATCTTGCGAAGCAAGCCCATAGGGAATTTCGTCTTGCGAAGCAGCTCAAAAACGGAAAACCCTTTCGTCTAGCGGGTTTTCCGTCTTGCGAGGCATTCGTCTTGCGGGGCACCACTGTATTCATTTACTGTGTTTATATGACTGTGTATCAGCATACATTTTCTGAATGGCTTAAAAAGGTAAAGGGACCCCTGACCATTAGGCCCAGTTGTGGCCGACTCTGGGAGCGCTCATCTTGCTTTATTGGCCGAGGAAGCTGGCGTACAGCTTCCGGGTCATGTGGCCGGCATGACTAAGCCGCTTCTGGCGAACCAGAGCAGCGCACGGAAACGCCGTTTACCATCCCGCTGGAGCGGTACCTATTTATCTACTTGCACTTTGGCGTGCTTTTGAACTGCTAGGTTGGCAGGAGGTGGTACCGAGCCACGGGAGCTCACCCCATCGTGGGGATTCAAACCGCCGACCTTCTGATCAGCAAGTCCTAGGCTCTGTGATTTAATCCACAGCGCCACCCGCATCCCTTTCTGGATGACTTACACACAATAAAAATAAAATAAAATACAGTATTAAGATGCAATGCAACAATAAAACAATACAAATAGAAAAATAGAGCTGGGGAAAATCTCTTCCTTTCTGGCAGCATATTCCATGTTTTTACTGTTGTGGCTTTTTTTGGTGTTTTTTGTTTTTTTTTACAAATATATATCTTTCCCATTGTAACATGATTTCTTGCTGTCAGAAACCAAACTTGTTTATATTTTTGTCTTTCTCCATCAGTGTATGTGCTTAGGCTTTTATGCTATGTTTGCCATTCCCCCTATTCAGTCTTGTCCTCTGTTATTTCACCAGGACTTTGTGGCCTGCCTTAGTCACTTGGGTAGAAAGATGAAGGTTGAAGGTAGATAACCAAGTAGGGTGATCTGTGTTATTTTATCATGGCCTTTCATTTTCCCTTTCTTTAAGTACTTTTAAAAGACATAATGTCTTTTGTCTTTCAAGAACATAATGGAAGTAACACACAGTGGCTTCTTCAACAGTTAGGGCAGCAAAACAAGAACAGTCTTTGTGAAATATAGAGGATATCAGTGAATAAATATGCTTATGTAATGGGCATTTTGGCCGCTGATAGAAGAGCAAAAGCCACACAGGTATAAGGCAAGTATTATGTGTACTCAGCAGCGCTTAAAATGCCCTTAGCAAGTTCATTCTTATTGCTCAAACATGCATAAACCGAAAGGGATAAGGCAAGAGAGGACACTGTGGAAGGTAGGAGATGAAGACTGATAAAACAGCTGGGGGTTGGAATAAAATTCTTGCTCTCCAGCCTCTTTCCTGAAACACTGAAGCTCCAAATTTACACAAATAATGTATAAAAATGAATGTGATCATTATTTTGGCGTGTGCTTACTTGAATTTGGGGCAATATGGAGAAGCTAGGTAATCAAGATAGAATGGAGCACAGAACTGTCGTTTAGCAGCATAAAAAATGGAGAAAAAAATTGACTTCTTGCAAAAAAAATACTTGGAAATTTTAATTGGAGAGATTGGTTGGGTATTTAAGGAAGGCACGCTATAAATGTTAACATTGTTTGTTTGTTTGTTTGTTTGTTTGTTTATTATAAAAGTCTGAACTTCTTGCTAGGAAGCAAGCATAAATCTGTCACAATCTGACTGTTGAGCAGCTTTAGTGGAGCACAGTAATTGATTTCCCTTGACTTAGACCCTCTGACACCAACTTGTTGTGTTTCAGAACTCTGAAAGTTAACTGAAGGCAAGATGGATGCTACAGTGATATTACCTATTCTGAAGAAAAAGTTAGCCTTCCTTTCAGGTACAGTTTCCTTGTTTTTTATTCAGACTATTCTGTTTCATTGAGATGTGTTGTTACTTGATTCCTTCCCCATCCTTTCTGATAATGTGCCACAAATATATTGTGCAGCTCACCTATACTGAAGCTCAGGCTGTTAGTTATTGTGGATACTCGGAAAGTAAGTTTCTTTCTCCATCTTGGATGATTAATCGTCTGTATACAAGTTTTGCTTTGTTATTTTTCACTTTATGTATAACACTGATAAGTAATGTGAGATCAAGGATCTGCTTAGACCTGGCTGGTAATTAATTCTAAAAACACAGGAGGTTCCTGACATCTTTTTCTCCAGACACTGACCAGAATGAGATTTTCCCTCAGGCTAAACTACTTGGATGTCTTCTCTTATGATGTGTTTGACTTTTTAACTGCTTAACCTTTGAAATTATGCACTGAGAAGAGAGCTGACTTGGTAATTTGAAAAGCTGTGAATTTCTGGTTAGTACTTGATAAATTTCGTACTACTGAAATTAATGTTGGACCCTGGAGTGCTGGCTAGCTGCCTAACTATCTCGCTGGCTTTGTTGTAGAGAAGAATTGTTCCTGTAAAGCAGGTTTTTATTTGATAATTGAGACCTCGTTCATTCCTAATCATTCCTTTTGAGCACCCACAGAAAGCTTTCCTTTCTCCCTTAGAACAATATATATATATTATTAAACATTTTATGAAATATGATCTAGGTTTAGCATTTGTTACATTGTAGTCCTAGGGAAAAAACCCTCAAGGTTTGCATTATATCTGATTACTACTTCATTGCTAAATCAGCACATCATGAAACTCTGTCTAAGGGAATAACTCAACTACCATTTATACTTTTGTAGTCTTTAAGGCTATGGAAATGTGTAACTGGTCCCTAAGTGCTCATTAATAGTTGGAAAACTTACTGCATATTCAGAATTACTGCATATACTAAGAAGTTTCTCTTGCCTTCAAATGTCTTAGCAGGTAGTTATGTAGTTGATTATTCACCTTATAGGCTTAAGGATATGTTGCTGAAGAAAGAAGTTGACTGCATTAAATTCTCTCTCTCTCTCTCTCTCTCTCTCTCACACACACACACACACACACACGTGTGTGTGTGTGTGTGTATACATGTTTAATGGGGCCCAAGCATTGCCAGTCTCTATGAGCCAGCAGCACATTTTGAAATGTGTGGGTGCCAGTCACAACATGGCTGCTGTAACGGGTGTAATATAACAGCTTGGCTGCTGTAAGGGGCATGGTGTGAATGAATGAATGAATATAAGGTGGCAACAACCACACTCACTTCCTTGCACTCTCACAGCACACACCCCAGACACACATGCATCTCTCTCACAGACCACAAATACGCAGACCACACAGTCATACTCTTAGCTCAGTTGGTAGAGCATGAGACCCTTAATCACGTGGTGGCGAGTTCGAGCCTTGGGCAAAAGATTCCTGCATTGCATGGAGCCTTCATGGCCTCTTCCAACTATTCTGTGATTCCTCCTTGTTTCTGCCCAAGTGCATTTCTCTCACTCACAGAGCACCTGCCCCACAATTTGGAAAAGACCCTCCACAGGCAAAAGAAGTGCCTGCCATTTCTAAACAAAAATTCACAATGTTTACCAACCTAGTGCCAGATGGCACCATGATGCCCAAGGCTCCAAGGAAGGCCTTCCTGGGCACCCATGGGTGAATGGTTGGCAATCCCTGCCTTAAGAATTGTCAAGGTATCAGGCGTGGGCAGTGGCATTGGTCATCCCTGCTGCCCAGCCTCTTCCCTCCACTGAAAAAGAAGGGGCTTGAGAAGAAGTGATGGCTCACCTGGTCTACTCCTAATTACTTTAAAACTGTTATGGGATTAAGCACTTGGTTCTCACCAGCCCCATCTTTAAAAATAAAACATTCCAGCCTCATAAGTAAATGCTTAAAATTTGAACTGCACCTCAAAGCAGGAAAATTCCATTGCCAGCAACAGGGTTTATGTCCAAGAAATATGTACAGAATTGGACAAGTGGAGTTTTTTGGGGGGGAAAGGGCAGAGGAGGGCATTGCCAAAATACTGCTTTGATTTCTGATAATCAAAGTGAAATTTCTTTTAGACTCAATTTTGGAATCCACATAGCAAACAAACAGAAGCTGACATGTTATAATTGAGTTATAACTCATTAATAAACGTTACAGAAAATGAGGAGCAACAATAGAGTAAAGGAAAGAATTTACCAGCAGGGCATCTCTTTCCTGGCAGAGAATTTTTACAGTAACTTTTCCTGGCAGCCATTAAATGGATGTTGGGCAATCATTTTAATTGCAACTGTGAAATATTTCACCTGTTGCAAACACTTAACTTGGCATAAGCTTTTTACTGATGTCTTTAAAGGCTATTTTCAAATCATATATTATTAATATTTTGCTGGGTTGCATTCATTGGTGGGTGTGCACTTGCAGAATGTGCTTCGGATCATACAAGGTTGGGTACCAAATCTCCACTGATCCCCCTTACTGACTGCAGCCCTCTGTGACATGTCCCATTAAGTTCCAGATGAGCTATCAACCCTCAGGAGCTGGTAGGTGGGTAGGGGATCAGAGGGCAAAAGCCACCAGTGGATACAACCCATTAGTTATTATTTGGATCTAGGGATGCTTCCAGATGGGTACTGGATGCTCCTTGTGAATGCACTTTACAGTGGTACCTCTAGTTACGAACTTAATTTGTTCCAGAGGTCTGTTCTTAACCTGAAACTGTTCTTAACCAGAGGCGTACTTTTGCTAATGGGGCCTCTTGCTGTTGCTGCGCCACCAGCACATGATTTCCATTCTCATCCTGGGGCAAAGTTCTCAGCTTGAGGTAACTCGAGGTTACAAACGCTTCAGGATACAAACTCCCGACGCTTCAGGTTACCGACTCCGCTAACCCAGAAATAGTATCTCGGGTTAAGAACTTTACCTCAGGATGAAAACAGGAATCGTGCGCTGGCGGCGCGGCGGCAGTGGGAGGCCCCATTAGCAAAAGTGGTACCTCAGGTTAAGAACAGTTTCAGGTTAAGAACAGACCTCCAGAACGAATTAAGTTCTTAACCGAAGGTACCACTGTATTTTGACTGCATCCACACAATGTTGTTTGCCTTAAAAATGCCAACGTTCATTCCCACGCCCCCAATCTAATCCAGATCTCCCATTTCTAAGAACAAACATGCTCTTGTTGGGGTGTTTCTCCTCCCCCAGCTCTGCCAGCTAAACTGCCCACCCACTGCGAATGGAGTGACAGGAGCATCACTCCATCGGTGCTGCAGCAGAACATCCAAAGTGAGATGTTCCAAGGGCAGGCAGTAGGAGGGACTGAGGCAATTTAGGACTCATTGAATCTCAATTCTCGAGCCAGTTTCACTGCTATCATGTGATGGATTCGGGCTCAATCATTGACCGTCTACAAGCTGACAGAGTGGTTTTCCTTTCTTCTTAGAACCATGTTTGATTTTCTATAAGCATGCTTAAAAAAAACCACACACACAACTTTTTCCAAGCTGGATGGATGTCCTTCTAAAATAGTGTTTTTTTCCTATTGTTAAACTCTTGTATGAACCTTTTTTTACTTCATGTACCTCCCAGAGGCAAAACCATGTGAAGGCGGGGGGTGGGGGATTCCCATTGTCCAAAAAGCGCATATTAAATAGGAAAACATGATTGCAAATGGTAGAAGAAGAGGAAGGAAAGTACCTTCTCCTTAAGAGGGCTCAGCCGCTTCAAGTTAAAGTATGAATGTGATCTTTGTATTCTCCTGAACAATGCTGAGTCATTTCCTCTTCCTTCACCTGCTTCCTTTTGTGTCCATTTACTCTTGGCTGAGTTCCTATTCTGTGGGAGAAGTACTGTAATGGCAAACTGTTTGCAGTTTCTGATGCAAAGGCTTGGAAGCTTAAGTCTGGAGAAATCTCAATCACTAGCCTACTTTGTTGATTATTGACCCAGGAAGAGGGGATTGATAGTGTGAGGGAGACTTCCGCATCTCTATACTAGGTGTAGCGAAAGATAATACAGTTGTACCTTGGAAGTTGAGCAGAATCCATTCTGGAAGTCCGTTCGACTTCCAAAATGTTCAGAAACCAAAGCGCGGCTTCTGATTGGCTGCAGGAAACTCCTGCAGCCAATCAGAAGCCCTATTGGACGTTCAGCTTCCAAAAACAGTTTGCAAACCGGAACAGTCAGTTCCGGGTTTGCGACGTTCAGGAACTAAGCTGTTTGACTTCCAAGGTATGACTGTAGTGGTAAGTAAAGGTAAAGGGACCTCTGACCTTTAAGTCCAGTTGTGACCGACTCTGGGGTTGCGGTGCTCATCTCGCTTTATTGGCCGAGGGAGCTGGTGTACAGCTTCCGGGTCATGTGGCCAGCATGACTAAGCTGCTTCTGGCGAACCAGAGCAGCGCACGGAAACGCCGTTTACCTTCCCGTCACACCGGTACCTATTTGTCTACTTGCACTTTGACATGCTTTCGAACTGCTAGGTTGGCAGGAGCAGGGACCAAGCAACGGGAGCTCACCCCATCGCGGGGATTCGAACCGCCGACCTTCTGATCGGCAAGTCCTAGGCTCTGTGGTTTAACCCACAGCGCCACCCACGTCCCTGACTGTAGTGGTAGGGACATGAAAAATAAAATCAGGTTTGGTGTTTACCAGTATTACTATTCATATGTGGAAGTGGAGCCCATCTACATGCTTTGAAAAAGCCGGCGTCTTGTGCTAGGAGCAGTGGAGATATGTCCATTAGGGCAAAAGGGGCTCTTCCCTACCCAAGTGCCCAGTAATTTATTTATCTTTCCACAATCCATTTCAAGATCCCGGATATTTTCCCTTCAATCTTGTGTTTCGTAGCCAATCCGCGTTCTCACCACGCAGCTAATCTCAATCCAAAAAGATTGCTATGATTAGACGATTCCACCCATCTGTCTTCCTATCATGTCTACCAGCTCTTTGTTCCGGCTGGGCAGTTTTATGATTACCACAGCACTGTGTTGAACTCATCCCAATGAATTTCTTTCTTCAAACGCCATAGAAATGTTTCTAGTTATGCCAAAATCAGTTGCTGCAAAGGATATAGAATGATTTTTGTTCTATATACTAGCCATTACAGATTGCTTAATGAGCCATTGAGTTCACCTACCAATGAAGTCAGAAATGTGAGGAAATAAAGTGGTTGCAAAAATAGAATTCCTTTTCCTCTACTTCCTTATAGAACTTTATAAGTCTTGAAAATATATCCTGTGCCTTGCTAAAAAATCTACTTATACACAAAGCTGCTTTAAAATAGTTCTGGTGAAGGTTAGAAATGGAGATTATTAAATCGTCAGATTGAAAAAGCTGTACTTAAATACATCTCAGAGAGACGATGGTCCTCTGCAGCATCGGTATTGATCCATATACAGTGGTGCCTCGCAAGACGAAATTAATTCGTTCCGCGAGTTTTTTCGTCTAGCGAATTTTTCGTCTTGCAAAGCACGAAATCCCATAGGAATGCATTGAAATTCAATTAATGCGTTCCTATGGTCAAAAAAAGTCCAAACAAAGCCAAATTTGGTACAACAAGAGTTTATTAAGTGCTCTTTAAAGTCACACATACTGTAAAGAGCATTTCAAAAATTGAAGGAACAATAAATTAAGTTTCTAAACATGACAGAAAAACATTTAAAAATCAACAAAGTGTACAGTACATTTTCTAAGACTCCGGGGGACAACTCGAAGAAGGTTGCTCTTCCACTCTTTGCTTCTTGCTGAAGAACCCCCTCCTCAACTGTTCCCCCCGTCACCCACCACACAGAAATTCAAATCCAGAATTTTTTTAAAAAAACAGCAGAGTGGCCCAATGGTCACAGAAAATCATAAAAATGCAGAAAAAAACACACAAGCTTCCAGATTCTTGCAAACCCCTCCCCAACACCAAGTCCTTGAATTCCAAACACCCCAACCCAAAATCCAAAACCCCCCAAAAAAGTTTTAAAAGTTTAACTACCACACCGCGTTCTATGAGTTGCTCCTCGAAGTCAAGTCGCAACTGTATTAACGGTGTTAAGAAAAAGGAAACAAACTTGCAAGACGTTTTCGTTTTTCGTCTTGCGAAGCAAGCCCATAGGGAAATTCGTCTTGCGAAGCAGCTCAAAAAACGGAAAACCCTTTCGTCTAGCGAGTTTTCCGTCTTGCGAGGCATTCGTCTTGCGCGGCACCACTGTATGGCAAGCTGTAGCCTCTTTCTCTTGCCAATTTATGATGTATCTAGTAATGGAAAATACTTTGTTCTCAGCTACAAAAGGCTCGGAAACTGTCCTCCTCCTTAATTTAAAGTTTAAAATTAGTAATGGATGAACTTGTTTTAGAGGTTATATATATTATTTACTGAACAATTTACTGAATTTTTATACTGCCGTTTACCTGGAGGTCTCTGGGTGGTTCACAGAATAAAATCAAAATATAAAACCACAGAATACACAATCAAAACAAAAACAACCCAATAACGCCTCCCCCAAACCCCACAAATTAAAAGGGCATAGAATATATGCATTACAGTGATACCTCGCGTTACATACGCTTCAGGTTACAGACTCCGCTAACCCAGAAATAGTACCTCAGGTTAAGAACTTTGCTTCAGGATGAGAACAGAAATCGTGCGGCGGCAGCAGGAGGCCCCATTAGCTAAAGTGGTGCTTCAGGTTAAGAACAGTTTCAGGTTAAGAACGGACCTCCAGAACAAATTAAGTTCTTAACCCGAGGTACCACTGTACATCTTTAAGCAGAGCAAAGCACACCCAGTGGGGGATTTTTACCACTCTGGGGAACTGTGTGTAGCCCCAGAGAAGCCTTCTAGCCTTGGGAGAGAGGGAGCTGTGGAATCCTTGAGCATATCTCACCAAGCGCTAGGAAACTTCTCCAACAAAAACACCCTGCCATTTTTGCAAAGGCTCCCCCCCCCCTTAATCTTTTAGGTCTATGGTAAGTGCCAAAAAAATTTCCACCTAGAAACCACAGTGTTTTAAAATGCAAATTACAGTTTTCAGACATTTAGGAGGTTTTTCTGTTGCTGAGTGGTTGGTCATCGTCTTCTGCTAACCAAATAGCTATTTTGGGTTTACACATTTAACAAAGCTTTGCCCTTTTTATTTATTATCTATACTTTTTTTTTAAAGTTACAAACCAGCGTATAGTTAAAAGCATCAAGTATGTAATGTGATCTCAATTTATGTTCTTTTTGAAGCCTATAGGGGAGAATGTGCATTTCATTGTGACTGAGTTGTGCACAACATAATGTCCTAAATAGAGTGTCTTGAATGATTATTTTGATGGCGAATCTTTTGGCAATTTAGGTTATGTGCTTCAGTACACTTGTGAAGAATTAAACAGAAGTTAAGCCTGATTTGGGAACATGTGATTATGTCCGCGTATAGCTTCTATTTTAGTCCAGTATCTCATTCACTTGCGTGTACTTTTGCTATAATACATCCATAGAAAAAGGACACGTATCATATTTCATTACAATATTTTTCTATAAAAAAAGAAAAATGGTTTTAGTGCCAATTGGTTAATAGTGAATGTTATTTTTAGTTCAAACTAACAAATATTTATTTTACAGGTGGGAAGGATCGAAGAAGTGGCCTCATTCTGACAATTCCATTATGCCTTGAACAAACAAATATGGATGAGCTGAGTGTTACTTTAGACTACCTGCTAAGCATACCAAGGTGGGCATGCCCTTTAAAGCACCGAATAGTATCATTTTGCTTCTAAACTAAATAGTTTTTTGGATAGATACCACCATATTTTCTTGAGGGGGTGTATCTCATTATGTGATATATGACTTAAATAAAAACTATTTGGAAAGCTCTTGGAAAGAGCAATGAGTGTCTCGCTAAAGCTTAAGCAAGTAAATAGAGGGTGATTTATGTCGTGATAACTGAACTTTGCCTTTTATGTTTTGAATATGTGTCTTTTTTGCAGTGAAAAGTGTAAAGCTAGAGGATTTACCGTTATAGTGGATGGTAGAAAATCTCAGTGGAATGTTGTCAAGACTGTTGTGTTAATGCTACAGGTAAGATGCCTTCATGAATTTGTAGTGAAGAATTGAGTTCTGTGGAGGTTAATCTGTCTGTATTATAAGACATTGTTGTGCTTACTTGCTGGGAAAGTAGACCTTGTGTGATTTTACATGTTAAAAATGTAGAGTCTGATTTTTAAAACATATCAGCAAATCATGGTAGTTTGATACTTTTGAATCTGAAGTGAGTCTTGAGTTCATACGCTGTGCTCTTTGCATGTAAAGGGAAGAGTTGATGACCTTTTCATTTGCAGTTTGCAACGAATCAGTTTCCAAGTGCAGGAAACCATGGTTTGTAGGAACTGTGACAAACCAACGTTTTTAAAATACTGCTTTGTGAACAAACCTTGAGAATAAGCTTCCCATCTCTCACACATAAGGAATTCTGTGATCCTGAGGACGTCCACAGCTTGAAGAAAGAAAAAAAACATGGCTTGTTGCTGCCTTTGAACTGAGTTGTAGTTTGGGAAATTTTTTGAAAGCGTTTTGTTTCCCTGGACTCAATTCTTAGTTTCAGTAAGGCTGCTGCAGGTATAAGTTAGTTTTTACACCATCCCTAGAAATCCTGGAATTGCCTCTAACAGTGCAAACCCATAAAGGAATAGGATTGGGCTTTGACGTTTATTATCTCAACTCCATGTCATTTCTTTTTTCAATTTCTAGAATAACGTGTACAATTCCCCCCCCCCCCCCCGGGTATGGCTAGGTTTTAACAGGGACTGAACTTCATTGTGCCAGGTCCTGCCTTTTGGATCACTTGGCCGATGGCAGTCTTGCTGGAATCATCCCTGGTTCTTTTTAATATGGCCTTTGCAATATGGTGTGTTGTTTTTTATTTTACAAACCAGTTTTTACTGACATGTTATTGGTGCTTTTATTGTTGTTTTCATAGTATTATGTTTTTATGCTGCGTACCACTTTTGTTATATTTTCTGTGAAAGTACATACATAAAATTGGGAAGAGGGAGCAGCAGGTGAGGCTGCATTGGAGATATGACGCAAGAGTTGCTCATTATTATTTATTCTACTTGAATGAACTGTCCTCTACTTGAATGTTGCTATTTCTAAATAGACCTTCGTTAGAAAGCACTTGGCTTTATGAAAATCTTTAACAGATGTTGCCTTAATGAGATTTGACATTTTAACCCCAAACCATTTTTTGTCAAGTGGCAAGACATATTGCTTTCTTCCTTTTTAGTTCTGTATGAATGCACTTTTACAGGATGTGTGCTGTCAAGGTCATTGAATAATAAGCACTTTGTTCCTGCCGTCTGTCTATTTAATAAGTTGTGTGTGTTTCCTCATAGAGAGGCAAAATTATGAAGGAACTTGACAGGCAGAGGAAACAACTGTGAATCACAAGGAATTTTTAACAGTTTTCATTTGTGAAGAAAGGCTATCCTGTTGCTTAAATGGGTGGAATATAAAATCCAAACTGCATAAAGAAGACTGTCCTTACCATATACAGTCGTACCTTGGATCCCAAACGCCTTCGTACTCGGGACGTTTTGCTCCTGAATGCCGCAAACCCGGAAGTGATTGTTCCGGTTTGCAAAAGTTTTTTTGGAACCCAAACGTCTGATGGGGCTTCCACAGCTTCCAATTGGCTGCAGGAGCTTCAGCCAATCAGAAGCCGCACTTTGGTTTCCGAATGTTTTGGAAGTCGAACGGACTTAAGGAACGGATTCCGTTCAGCTTCCAAGGTACGACTGTAATCTGTCATATAGAACAAATCATCTTATAGTTGATACTTAAATGAAATTCATTCAGTTTGAAGGCCTTGGCCTCTTTCAAAAGAGACATTTATCAGACTCTGATATTGAGCGGACTTAGGCTTCACTTACCTGGGAATAAGTCCAGCTGAGCTCAATGAATCTTCCTCCTAGGACAGACATGTATAGGATTGCATTGTTAGTGTATATTTTGGGTTGCTTAAAACTGTCTTTAAGGTACCAACTTATTACCAGTTACTTTCTTAGATGTGTTGAGTGGTCCATGAAGACCATCTAGCTCATTTATGTTGTCCACAGGTTCTGATAAGTGCCAGATTTGCTATCACCACTGTTTCTGTTGCTTGACTGCTAGAAAGTTTCCTGTACATCTAAATGCTATCTGTGCAGGTCTAGGTTACCATACAGTAACTAATGAGTTGTATTTCATTTAAGGTTTTGTATCTTTCATCTTCTTAGAACGTTGTTCCAGCTGAAGTATCACTTGTCTGTGTAGTAAAACCGGATGAATTCTGGGACAAGAAGGTTACACACTTTTGCTTTTGGAAAGAGAAAGATAGACTTGGCTTTGAGGTATGTGTGCCTGCTTTTTCATTTGTCAGATGTGGACACCAAAGTTGCACATGCAACTGAGTAAAAATTGATCGCTTATAATAGCTACTAATCTACAATGCAATTACCGAATGATTCATTTGGCATCGCAATAAAACTCACTACAGTGGGTTTGCAGTACTTTGTTGTATTAGTTAGTAAGTGTAATTAGTCTGATCATTAGTTCAGACATGATCATTAGTTCAGACTTACCACGAGACCTTCAAAACATTTTCAATGATTATAGAACATTATCACTTGAAAGATAATACTTTACTGCCATGAATTTAACTAACTCCTGTTGTTAACCTATATTATAGTTACTCAGAATATTTAAGGTGGATTTTAATTTGTCTCCATTACAGTTTATTGTAACTATTTCTCACTGAACAACTCCTTGTGCCAGCACTTTCTTTTGATATTAAACAAGTGCAAAAGATTTGGACAGATCAAGAATTGAAGCATGTTGGCTTCAGACAGATTCAAGTCTTGTTCAAACCAAAGCAGGACTTCTCTGGCAGACTCCAAACCAAAGCAGGGATTGCCAAAGCGATTTGGGGAGATTCAAATGTGCCTGCTAAAACAAAACTTTTATCTCCAGTCTTCTCTAAAAGGAAAATGCCAGGGTGGGGAGAAGATGAGGGAAAGTTCCTTTTTGACTGACAGGTCTCACATTTAATCAGAGGGAATGGGTTGTGTGTGTTGCTGTGTTGTTGTTTTTTACTAGAGCTGTCCAATCACAGTGCTTTGGGGAAGGGATGCTGAAATAATATATTGCTTGTTCTTGTATGTTCTGTGCTCTTTGCTAGTTTTGTTGGTGGTGCTTGCTTGGCAAATGCTTGGGATTCAAGTCCTTCTGCCTCTGTGCCACATACCTGCACATCTACTCTTGCCAAATCAGCTTTGAACTTTTGTTTCCTTGAGTTTCAGTGGCATTTGGGCAGCATTCAAGGCTGAAGCTTATTTTTTTCATTGATCATACCCCTTAGCCCCGGCACTTAGCCTTCTGAAATTTTGCAAGCTACTTTCCTTGGGGCCCCTAGGATGCAATTTTCATAATAAAATTGGTTCCCACAAAAAACACAGGAAGTAGAGTTCCTTTTTGTTCTCCCTTCACACTCACCCCACCCCTAAAAATCAGTTTTGAAGATGCTAAGCACAAAACCCCATGGAACTATTGGTGCATAACTTCATGGGCTTCTTACTTGGAGAACCTTTCTTATGTACGTTCCCTTCATACAAACAGAACAACAGGAGAGATTCAGTAAATCCTTTATAATTACCCCAGTAGGTTGCAAAGCCCTAAAGTCTATCTCTGCAGAAAAACTGTTGCAACTACCCTTTCGACATGTGACATGATGGATGCTCTTAGAAGATACTAAGAAGCTTGCAAATTTTATCCACTTCTGTCAGAAAAAAGATGTTGGGCTTCCTTTTTAAAGGTGCCTAGTCAAAAAGCCCCGGGACCTCTATCTCTTTAAATTGGCAGGGCTTGTGCACTTGCAAGGGGCTGCTATGCCTGTGAATTTCACCTAATTTCATAAAAAAAGAATAAGAAATACAAACATTAATAATAATGAGGAGGGAAGTCGTAGCATTTTTAAAAAATCAAACTTCCACGTAATAGTGAATGGGGGAAGCACAAAGCTTAATTTATCTGAATCTGGATTCAGACTCAAACCTAATTAGGTTGTTTTCTGAAATGCTGAATTGGGTCTGACAACATCTGGAATGCACCGTGTTGGCTACCCTTGTCAAAGTGAAATACATATTTTGAAGTTGTTTTGTGGAGGTTTATCTAATGTCATCTGGGCCCTTGGTTTGCTTGTAATAATTGTAAAAATGGCAACCTTCTGTAGTTTGAAATTTACTTCTGATAAATGTTTTCCCCTATGACTGATCTGTCTCCTACTATGTCTTGGCCCTGACAATTTTCCAGACATAATTAACAGAATGCTTGAAGTAAAAATCTGATGTACTAATGAGCCTGGGATAATATCCAGATTCTAGCACTTTTAAGAAATGTGGGCAGTTTTTATTATTTGACTTGAAGGTCTAATTCAATATCAGTCACTTAATCATAAAAATGTATTCAATTAAATTTATAATGGAGAGGCTTTTAATTGAGAATTTTCAGTGGCCATGTGGATAATTTCTGCTGCTGTAGCCGAACCTCAATTATGAAGATAAAACCTTGTAAGTTTAAATTATACAAAATGACTGCACTGAAATTTGCATGTGTTGGTTTCAGTAATTGAGTTCCACTATATTCTGTTGAAAATGCAACAGGAAACTAGGGAACTAATTGGTGTGGTCTTTGTCTTCATAAGAATGTTACAAATGGATGTGATATGTTCACAATAAGGGATTTTCATGGCTTGAGTATGAACTTGTGACTGCAGTATAAATAGAAAGAAAAATGCTTTCACCGGACCTACTTTTGTGATGTTTGTGTAGATAAGCTTGCTGAGGTAATGCATTTCATATCATCTAGTACAAAAGTGTATCCAATTGTTTTCTAGTGTAAGAAATGTCTATTCAGAATTAAGTCCCATGTGTATTGTCTTCAACAACATCCATGTCTTATCCGATGATGGCGCAGTCATTAACAAAATAGACAATTGCAGTGATTTTACGAAATTTCCATTTCTTTCAAGGATAAAGAGCTTGCTTGCTATTTCAGCAGAATTTCATTAACATGAGCGGAATTGCAGCTCTCTGTTGATATGAGCTCTTGGTAGAAAGAAGTAAAACCACTGGGGAACTGAATAGAGCAGGGTTAAGCCCTATCACCACCGTTCTTGCTAGCCATGAATAGCACCATAGGGGTGGCCATAGGAAGCCAAAAGGGAAATAAGAGCCCTCAGGCATAAATTATTGATGCTGTTTGTCTGTACCACCATCTGTCCAGTTATATCTTGATTCTCAAAGAAGCTTCATCTTTTCACTATAAATTGATATTGCACCCAAGTCTGTTGCCAAATAAGCCATTTGCACTCAGGTGTTTTTTCTTTTTCTTTTCACGATTCTCCCCGCCCCAAAAATTAATGTAAAAAATGGAAATTGTAGTATCGTATATAGCCTTCCTGTTGTTGACACTAAAGCATCTTCACATCTTGTGAAAGGAAGGTGTAAATTTGCATAAGGAGCAGGAAAAAGCATTTGGTGTGAATGGCTTCCCTTTGGAAAAGATAAGATCTGGTATAATAGCAGTGGTTAATGTGATTTCTGAGAGTAGCTTGAGATGCAGATGCAAAAGATAGATCAAACTAAAAGCTTTTAATGCCTAGGGCATTGTTAACTGAACAGTTTGGAAATTATTTTTAAAAAGCAGCATGGTGTCCAAATTAATTTTTTTACCATGAAGGATATCTACATTAATTAGGGGCGAAGCATACTTTCTGATATGGGACGTGGGTAGTGCTGTGGGTTAAACCACAGAGCCTAGGACTTGCCGATCAGAAGGTCGGTGGTTCGAATCCCCGCAACGGGGTGAGCTCCCGTAGCTCGGTCCCTGCTCCTGCCAACCTAGCATTTCGAAAGCACATCAAAGTGCAAGTAGATAAATAGGTACCGCTCCGGCAGGAAGGTAAACGGCGTTTCTGTGCGCTGCTCTGGTTCACCAGAAGCAGCTTAGTCACGCTGGCCACATGACCTGGAAGCTCTACGGTCAAACGCCGGCTCCCTCGGCCTATAGAGCGAGATGAGCGCGCAACCCCAGAGTCGGTCACGACTGGACCTAATGGTCAGGGGTCCCTTTACCTTTTATACTTTCTGATACAGTCACACCATGGTTGTTGAATGCCTGTACATGTACGTTTTGGCTCCTGAACTCCGTAAACCTGGAAGTAAGTGTTCCGGTTTGCGAACTTGTTTGGAAGCCGAACATCCAACTCAGGTTCCACGGCTTCTGATTGAGTGCAGGCATCGGAAGCCGTGCGTTGGTTTTCAAACTTTTTCGGAAGTCGAACGGACTTCCGGAATGGAATCCGTTCGAGAACCAAGGTATGGCTGTGTATGCAGCCTGGCCATGAAAAAGGTGAGACCATTTGAAATGTGAAACATTTTGCTGATGCAGGTTGTTGTTGTTGTTTAGTCGTTTAGTCGTGTCCTACTCTTCGTGACCCCATGGACCAGAGCACGCCAGGCACTCCTGTCTTCCACTGCCTCCCGAAGTTTGGTCAAACTCATGCTGGTAGCTTCGAGAACACTATCCAACCATCTCGTCCTCTGTCGTCCCCTTCTCCTTGTGCCTTCCATCTTTCCCAGCATCAGGGTCCTTTCCAGGGAGTCTTCTCTTCTCATGAGATGGCCAAAGTATTGGAGCCTCAGCTTCACGATCTGTCCTTCCAGTAAGCACTCAGGGCTGATTTCCTTAAGAATGGATAGGTTTGATCTTCTTGCAGTCCGTGGGACTCTCAAGAGTCTCAAGAGTCTGATGCAGGTTACTTGTAATCATATTTCACAAGAAGGGTTCCACCTTGTTGTGAAGAATTGCTTTCTTTGATCGGGCCAGTTGGTATATACTAGTGCTGGGTCACTTAGTAGATTTTATTTTAAGGAGGCTGCTGAAGAGACCAGAGACCATCTTGGCTGTCTCTTAGGGCAGACCCAGGATCATCGAGCCTCAGCTTCCACTGCTGCCGCCCACCATTAAACCGCCATTGGCAGGATTGGCAGCAACAGCAGCAGATATATTTTATTCTCTTGTTAATTATGCTGTTTTAAATGTGCATTTTACATTTGACATATACATATACAGAGAGAGAGAGAGAGAGAGACTGGAACCTCTGTTGTCGCAGGTAATCTGTTCTGGAAGACCATTTGACTTCCGGAAACGTTCGACAACTGAGGCGCAATTGCCGGTCGTCTTCCGACTTCTGAGGCGCATTTGAAAATGGAAGCATTCACTTCCGGGTTGTCGGTTGTCTGAATTGTTCGGCTTCCGAAGCGTTCGACAACCAAGGTTCCACTGTAGTTAACTTTGCTGCATTGAATGTGCCTTCTGTAGTTGACTTCTTTTGTAATACTTTATTTTGAAACCTTGTAATGTTTTATTTTGAAATTCTCAAGATAATATTTTACTTTCCTGTCAAGTATGTTACTTTGAATGTATACTTTATATTTGACTTTTTTCAGTAATGTTCTATTCTGGATTGTTTTATTTGATGGTTGAATGTATTGTAAACCGCTTTGAGATTTTTTTCTTAAAAATATAAAGTGCCGTAGAAATGAAATCAGTAGTAATAATTACTATAGTAAGCTGCTTTCCTGCTGAATTCATTGAGAGCAAGGAACCAAATGAAGCAGAATCTTTTCTATCACAGAAGTATTTAAAGTGCTTTCAACAGGAACACGCTTCATTAAATTACTTTTTGTTTAAAAAAATCATATATTGTTTGATGATGTTTAATTGCTACTTAGTGCACATAACTAGAAATTATGATAATATAATTTGGGAGCGCAACATATCCACTAGCCATGCATATAGCATGTACTCTCTTTTTATGCAGGGAAAATGCAAATCAGTTGCTACCCTCAAGGTTAGCCTGCATTTTCCCAGGTGGTCCTCTCCTCCTTTGAGTCTAACAAAACTGTAGTGTTGAAACTTAATGAAGATAAAAACTAGGCTAAGTGCAGATTGCTAATGAAGTGTATTTTTAATCATGATCAACAAGTCATTCTGAAATGGCCAGGTGCTCAAATTGGAGTATAACGGGGGCGGCAATATGGTGTCCTCCAGATCTTGTGCGTTACCATATTGGCCTGAATATAAGCCGCACCTTTAAAATTCGGGGGGGGGGGGGAGAAAAAAAGAAAATACCTGAATATAAGCTTCTCCCCTAAAATTCTGCAGGCACTCACACCTGTTCCGTTTTACCGTATGTCTGTTTCAGCAGCGATACCGCAAAAGCCCATGTCTGTAAGGTCGTGAATTTAAGCCGCACTGTAACTTTTCACGGTTGGAATTGGGGGGGGGGGGAGTGCGGCTTATATTCAGGCTAATATGGTACAACTTAAGTCATCTTGGACCATTGGCCATGTGAACTAGGGATGATGGATGTTTGTTTGCACAGCATCTGCAGGACATCCCCTTGACTTTCCCTTGAATACACGGTAGCCCTTTTCCAGGGTTAGATTAAATATGTCTGCATAGCTGCTTTCATTGTTTTCTTTTTTTATTAAAAAGCGACCACAGGGGAGGGGCTGAGCAGAATTGGGACCTGGAAGGGGCACTAACCTTTTGCTCCTGTTGTGGTCCCTATTGGAATTGGGACACCCTCAGTTCCGACTGTTTGCCCATGGGATCTTTCCTTCTGTCGTGAATAGCAAGGATGGAAGGGAGATGGTTTGATTCTATTTCAGAGAGTGGTGGGAGTACCGAATTACAGAGGGGCACATACACTAGTGGCCAAAATTGTGGGGAAAGTTGCATTTCTAAAGTTTGATGGCTCATAACATCAATCTTTTTTAAAAACAATACCATACAATTATATATCATTAGACCGATAATTTAATGCAGAATACAATGCTACAAGGGACGCGGGTGGCGCTGTGGGTTAAACCACAGAGCCTACGACTTGCCGATCAACGGTGTTTCTGTGCGCTGCTCTGGTTCGCCAGAAGCAGCTTAGTCATGCTGGCCACATGACCCGGAAGCTGTACACCGGCTCCCTCGGCCAGTAAAGGGAGATGAGCGCCGCAACCCCAGAGTCGGACTTTAATTGTGGCAAAAGGTTTCTACGCTACTAACAGAAAGGGTGAGAAGTTATGAAAATACCCCTTATCATGGTTTTCTGTGTATAATTTCTGGTTATTTGGCTATAATTTTTGATAGAATAAAGGTAATTCAGCACAGTTTGTTGCAATATATTCTGCATTAAATTGTTTTTCTAATGATATATATATAATCTGTGGTATTCTAAAAAAGAATGATGTTATGAGCCACCAAACCTCAGAAACACAACTTTTTGTAAAGGTTCCCACAATTTTGATCACTTAGTGTGCTGTAGCCTTGGATTTGTCTCAGTCCCCATCCTCGCTATTTTAATGAAAGAAACAGAAAAGCTATGCAGCATCAAACTATGTGATAAATGTCATTTCTTGGTCCTCAGTGTATATATTTGACAGGAAGATTAATTTCAGTAATATTCTAATTGTTGAGTTCTTTGGTCATGCAAGACAAAGGTTAGGTATATCCATCCAATTTCTTGTATAACCTACGGCTCCCTTAGACTGGAGGAATGTTCAGGTTGTCAGAGTGGTTTTCGTACGACACAACTGGGTGAGGAGAGAGAACAATTTCCATTTTTTAATAAGTGAAAGTTGGGATTCTGTCAGAGTCTTGCCGTTGCTGGCGGTGGTTGGGGGGGTAGGGGAATAGGTTTCTCTCTGTTTCAGAAACAGACGCACTTTAAAGCTGTAAAAGCAACGCATTTTGTTAATGTTTGTCTCCAACAAAACTTGTTTCACAATCCATGTATTAACATACTGAAATATTCATACTTAAATTTGCTTATGCTTTAATTGTAAATATTAATAATGAATCATGGGCACGTAACTGAGAGCTAGCAAACAGTAGCTCATAGTTATTTAGTACAAAATGCTTCTTTGTATACCTAACAGTAAATGAATTTAGGGATTGTAACATTTCAGGATGGAGAAAAGGGAAGGTATTGACCAAGGCTGGAACTAAATCAGCCCATAGGTCAGCTTATGTTTTGAAACTTTGGCATATGTTTCTCTGCTGAGCTGAATGGACCGAAGGCATTTTGTAGGGGAAAAGCAGATTATGAGCTTCTTACCTCCCCCTCCATCTCCCCCAAGATCTCCTCCCCATTTCCCCCCCCCCCAGCCACGTATTTTTGATAGGAAATACATGCCTAGAACTGGATGGATGTGGAAGATTCTGAGGCAAAGCAATAAAGACAAGCATCACTACCACCCGTCTGCCACTTCCTCCTGCAGATCGCTACTCCTGATGCTATACTGCATGATTTGTCTGCAAAATCTGTAGTTCCTAACTAAAGTTGCAATCCTAAATGCACTTACTGTTGAATTCAGTGGGAACTCTTTCTGAGTAAACATGCTTTTTGGACCACCAATCAGTAGCCACTGAGTTGATTAAGTGTGTGACGTTGTTGTTGTTGTTAATGCCCATTTCAATTTACTTATACAGGTTATTTTAGTATCTGCCAATAAGCTTACACGATACATAGAGCCATGCCAGCTGACAGAAGATTTTGGAGGGAGTCTTACCTACGATCATATGGACTGGCTGAACAAGAGGCTGGTTAGTTGCTTGGCAATTTTTTGTCTGTTCTTTTTCAGTACACTTTCTATGGGAAAGTGGTGGTTGGAAATATTAATAGCTGTGTTAGGTGTGTCCTAGCGGCATCAAAATGCTGGGGCAAAAAATGAGTCACCTGATATCACTGTGATCCAGTTCCCCACTCCTAGTATACATCAATTTCAGTCTGACTTCAGGCTTGATTTTGGGATGGCAGTTGCTTTGGTTGCCCTAGTTGAATTGCCCTGGGATCTGGATAGGAGGAATACATCCCTGTTGGTTCAGCAGTTTTCAATACCATCAGCTACAGTATCTTTCTGGATTGCCTGGAAAATACGAGACATTTTATTATGGTTCTGGTCCATCTAGGGGAGTTACTTTCTGAAGGTGGCAGTGTTCAATAAGCCCCATTGTACCTGTTTCCGGGAAGGTGTGACCAAAGCACAGCCACTAATGTTTTGTTTAAATCAGTATTGGACTCGTGTACAAAGAGAGAACTGCCTTTGAAGGGTCTTTGGGAGCTAACAGTCCAAAAAGTAGCAGCAACAGTTCTTTGAGAGCATAAGATGTCCATTTTACAACATGTTCTATGTTGTTTGTATGTGCCTTTGTAACTCACTGTTATTAAACTGCTAGGCCTTAGAGATGATTTCCCAGTGTCAGGGTTGGAGCATTCAGACAGGCCATCCGTCTTCAAGCACAAGACTGTAAAAATCAATTGCAGTAATGGTAACTATAAATATTTTACATAGGCATTTGAAAAGTTTACAAAAGAATCTACATCTTTACTGGATGAGCTTGCCTTAATCAACAGTGGAAATGATAAAGGAAACCAACAGGAGAAGGACAGGTAATTATTTTTCTTGTTTCTGTTAACAATTTATTAGTAATTAAATCCTTTGACTATAAACTCTAGCTCACGGAAGGGACATAGGTGCTTTCAAAAGCAACATTGGAATGGGAATAGTTTGTGTAAAAGATCCCTGATGTTTCTGGCTAGGATACTGAACTTTTTTAAAATACAAAAACAAAACACCTCTGTCATACAGAAATCCAAAACACAGCATTCTAACTTATCTTTCATGTGCAGTGCCAGTCTGGAATTGTGGCTATTTATCTCTGGCTTAAAGCTAGCCAGAAAGTAGGGTTGCTTATGTCTACGCTGCAAGGAAAGTGCTTCAGTGCAGCTGTTGCCTTCTCTGCATTTGTGTTCTATTTTCTGCTCTTTCTGGTGTCCCCAAATTTGAATTTCTGTTTGTATCTACAGGTAGTATTTATCATGGAACCATTTGTCACTCCCTAGGAATGTATAGCTGTAGTTTCTAGTTCCCGTTATCTTCCCAGGTCTCCTTAAATTGCATTATTTCGGTCTCTGCCAGGTTGTGAGATGTGTGGATTTTAGGTGGCAATGACACTTGCTTTTTCCATGGAGACTACTGGGGTTCCATTTGTGCAAACTATTATTTATTTCTCCTTGCATAATTGAACACACACACCCCAGCACACCTGCTGCATCTGTTTTGGGAGTCCCCCTGACCCTCCAGGGGTGGTGTAGCGGAAGGAGATGTGGAGAATCTCCTTCAATTAAGCACTAATCCTTGTGCTAATGCAGAAAATGTAGTTGAGTACTGCTATCAGTTGGGTGTGTCTTACTAGTTGTTTTCTTCAAGATTGAGAATGCCTGGGCTATTTTTATCTTGTTGAAAAGTAACTGAAAAGAAAAATAGCATACAGTGTCAAGTATGCCAACATTTCTGAAACTTCGATCCCTCTTTGCCTCTCTTTCTTTTTTGACATTGCCAAATATGGTTTTGACAAAGAAAATGATGCCAGGTAAAGAAAAAATGTGAAATTTTATTAGAATGTTTTAGAGCCAGTGTGGTGTAGTGGTTAAGAGCTGTGGACTCGTAATCTGGTGAACCGGGTTCACATCTCCGCTCCTCCACATGCAGCTGCTGGGTGACCTTGGGCCAGTCACACTTCTCTGAAGTCTCTCAGCCCCACTCACCTCACAGAGTGTTTGTTGTGGGGGAGGAAGGGAAAGGAGAATGTTAGCCGCTTTGAGACTCCTTCGGGTAGTGATAGAGTGGGATATCAAATCCAAACTCCTCCTCTTCTTCTTCTTCTTCTTCTTCTTCTTCTTCTTCTTCTATAAAAGTCAGGAAGCTATGTACTTGTGTTCAATGCTTGAAACTTCAGTTATCAACGTTAAGTAAGTAACAGCCATTTGCCTTTCTATTTCAAGGTCCATAGACTTGAATTTCCTTCCATCTGTTGATCCTGAAACTGTTCTGCAGACAGGTATACCCACTATGGTATCGTTTTTCTTTACTTCATGGATTTTGTGAATTGTTGTGGATATGGGTAGTATATAATGCTAAAGCTTTGTTCTTGGTGTGTTAGACTTGTTCTTGGTGGAGGAGCATTTACTAAATAGAATAATAAGTGTTATGAATATCTTCCTTATCTACTTAAAAGTACATTTCTCTCCCTCCCTCTGCTGTTCTGCTCTTCCATTTCTGGGAACCGCAGCTGTAGAGAAATATTCTGCTCTCCTTTTCTGTTGGAATAACTAATCAAGCTCTGATAATGCCAAGAAGACAATTAACAATTTAAATTATTTTATAAATAATCAAGTGGGAAGCATAATGGGGAGCATATACTTCAACATATGCCTACTTAAATTTTTTATTATGGATATGGAAAAAGAAAATGTAGACTTTGGGCCTACATTAGTTTCCAGTGCAATAATTTTTGGGCTCATCCATTCCTTAGGATCTGGGTACCATTCCTCAAGGAAGTACAGTTGTTTATTTAGGGATTGTTTCATTTTTGCAGCAAAAGTTAAGCATATCTGAAATTGGAGTCAGTGGGAACATTAAACGTTAGCTCTTTATTGTTGTAACTGGTGCTCAGTATCATTTTTTAAAAAATCATATAATCTATATCCCTTGCTTTTACATTAATGGCGTACAAGTTTAAGAAAAGTAAAGAATAAAAACATCGTAACTTGGACTGCTATCTGAAATGCAGCTGTGTGAATGCCCAGGCACCGACTGGATAATGTCTTTGACATCACTGATCAGTGTATCTTCTACCCAGTGTCTCCATATTATACCCTCGCTAAGTTACATCTCTCCGGTGCAAGGGTTACTGCAAATTTGTGAACCGTTCCATATTTTCATACACAGAATATTTTTTTTATCATGCTGTTACTGTCACCCCCGAGGGCAAGTTGCATAGGATCTGAAAGTGATTTATGATAACCCATAATACAAATAACCCCCCTTTCACTTTTAGCCTACCACAAGCCATCTTCCTTTTATCTCAAGTCTTTTACACCCTAGCTCCTTTTTTTAACCTGACTATGCCACATCTGAGGCACCATTTGAATGCTCAATTTTCATTCTTCAACCATTCAAGGTCACGAGCTGTTATCTGAATTGCAACAACGCCGCTTTAATGGTTCGGATGGAGGGGTTTCGTGGTCTCCCATGGATGACGAACTGCTTGCTCAGCCCCAGGTTATGAAGCTGCTAGACTCGCTCAGAGAACAATATACACGGTACCAAGAAGTATGCAGGCAACGGAGCAAGCGCTCTCAGCTAGAGGAGATTCAACAGAAGGTAATGCAGGTAGGTGCCCCAAGCTCCAGTTGGTTTATATCATTTATTGTTAACTGGGCATCCCATTGGCTCGGTCTAGCAGATTATCTTACTCTTCTGCATCTTCTTTTTACTTCATATGTATGAATACAGCCAGATTATAATTATCAGTAGAGTTTCCCCAACCTCACTTAAAAACTCTGGCTGCTCAATACATTCCATTAAATAAGCGGCAGTCTAGCAGTCTATTAAATAAGTGGCAGTCTAGCAGGGATGCGGCTGGCGCTGTGGGTTAAACCACAGAGCCTAGGACTTCCCGATCAGAAGGTTGGTGGTTCGAATCCCCGCAACGGGGTGAGCTCCCGTTGCTCGGTCCCTTCTCCTGCCAACCTAGCAGTTCGAAAGCAAATCAAAGTGCAAATAGATAAATAGGTATCACTCTGGCGGGAAGGTAAACGGAGTTTCCATGCACTGCCCTGGTTTCGCCAGAAGCGGCTTAGTCATGCTGGCCACATGACCTGGAAGCTCCCTTGGCCAATAAAGCGAGATGAGCGCCGCAAGCCCAGAGTCGGTCACTGGACCTAACGGTCAGGGGTCCCTTTACCTTTACCTAGCAGAATTCACTGAGGACTCATGCTACTAGATGTGGTCAGTAGCTTGGAATAAAGGCTTTTAGCTATCCATTGTGTGTGTGTGCGCGCGTATGTGCGCGCTTATACTGCCCATCCATTTCATTATTTAGACAGTCTCCCTCACGACACGAGACCTACAGCTTTGTCGCTATTGGTCTTCCCCACTTCCAGGTGTGACTTTGTTCTGTCATGTGACGAAGCAGGTTACTTATAGCTCAGCATTTGGGCTGGTTTTGAAGCTTTCTTACATTGTTGGGATATTACAGATCAATCTTAATTGCACCCACTTAACTTGTGGTGTTGTCAAAGCAGTTAATAATGCCGATCTGTTTCTGGTAGATTTTGGGTTCAACTACCAATAAAATTGAACAGAAGCAACTACAAGCTAGCAAAGCAAAGGTCGTTGGGTGGCTCTTGCTTCTTCTTTTAAAAAGTGATTTAATATAAACAAGATAATTAGTCTATCTAGTGATTAATAGATAAATAGGATTAGCATATCCATTGATCAAAATCCAAAAGAACAGTTGTCATACAAGGCTCTTCCTGACTAGAATGAGTAAAAACCCGTGTAATGAATTGTATGCTAGAAGGTCATGAAGGGCTGGGCTGGTGCTTTGGAAATCAGTATGTAATTGATGCTTTCAACACTTCTTCAGACAATGTCTCTGTCGAGATAATAAAGGAAATGAAATCAATTCATTTATTTCCCCAGGCCTATTATTTGAAATTGAATGTGTTTATATTTTAGATGCTATGCACATGAACCTTCACCCTTTTAAATACTGGAGAGGCAGGAAATCAAAATATTCCACTTCACAGTATTCTAGAATAATCATTTCTTTCACTTTTAAATCTCTTTTTAAGTTTTTTTTAAAAAACAGTCAGACATGGATATTACATAGGTATAAAAGAAACAAAATATTATTTCTGTGGTAACTTGAGCATTCAAGTCATCTGAGCAAATATGGGCTGATTGGAATGAGGTTTATAACCTAGTTTGGCAAACTGCCATCATTAATGCATTTAAATAGACTTGTTTACTGGGGCATCAACCTCAATTTGCATCATTCTGATTAGAAATTGTCATCCATTTGCTCTGCCTGTGTTACTGAAGCTGCATGGTAAACGAATTGAACTTTTGCAGGCAAAGAAATTGAGCATTCATCTATGTTTTTATTTAGAAGATATCTGCAGAAGATATCTAAATGGGGAGCCAGAAGGAAGACTTTTTTTTTTTTTTTTTTTGGAAAAAAAATATTCTAAAGATCTTTGGAGCAGAAGTGATCAAAAATCATATTGTTAAGCTAGCTGCCCAGGTATATCAGAAGTATATGTCGTCTTGGTGATAAAAAGAAGAAACTGAACTAAGAGAAATAGAAACAGGACGATGCCAAGAGATGATTTGCAGTATCATTTGATAATTACTGCAGTAGGAGTTTTCTTTCTTGCTGTTTAGTAACTGTAAAATAGATAATCACTAGCTTAGACTAACTGTCCACATATCAGGTGTATGGTTGAGGTGTCCTCACATGTATTTTTGTGGTGCAAGCAACAAAAATGCTAGTGGTTGCCTTATTATTATTATTATTACTATTATTTGTACCCTTCCCATCTGATTTGGTTGCCCCAGCCACTGAGAAGCTTCCAACATAATATACCAAAACAACACAACAGAACATCACACATTAAAAGCATCTCAGTACAGGGCTGCCTTCAGATGTCTTCTACAGGTTATATAGTTATTCATCTCCTTGACATCTGATGGGAGGACGTTTCCACAGGGCAGGTGCCACTGCCAAGAAGGCCTTCTGCCCGGTTCCTTGCCATTTAAGGCCTCTGTTAAGCAACCTGCAAATAGCCTGTAATAAAAGAGCAGCAAATAGTGTAGCATATACTGATATTTATCCCTAAACACACAGTCAGGTGATGTAGTTCTGCAAGTTAGAACAATTTAGATTTCAGCAGGGGAACTAAAGAATCCACACACACCCCGGTTTTCTTAAAGAAGCCAGCTTTTCATCTTACCTACTAATACAGATATGAATTGACAAAACAGTGAATGAGCCAGATATCTTCACGCTCTGTTTCTAATGTGAGATGACATATTATTAAGGTTCACAAAGAAGACATTCTTCCCCCGAAAAAGCATTGGGAAATGTTTGATCAGCCTTGCCGGGTCTGTTAGCTTATGCACCTAAAAGGAAGTAAGGACCCCCGCTGCCTTTATTTTATCTTGAGGTAGCGAGCACGTTGCCGTTAAAAGCGAACTTTATTTTGAGCAAAATCTGAATAACCATAATTTCTTTTAAAAATCAGTCTCGACCGTGTGGGTTTAATTATTTGCTGTGGTGAAAATGTTGCTGTTTTGATCAACAGGTAGTGAACTGGCTTGAAGGACCTGGCACAGAACAGCTTAGAACCCAGTGGGGGATAGGTGATTCAATTAGAGCCTCACAAGCTTTGCAGCAGAAACATGAAGAGATTGAAAGTCAACACAGTGTGAGTTTTCATTTTCCCGAGGAAGTTACTGCATGATTGTTCTTATATATAATTCATTATGTGCAACATTTTCCAGTGACATTTTTCTAGCAAATTTTAGACAGTGATTTATGAGCTATATCAAACTGCACCTATTCTTCTGCAACAGACTGTGTTGGTGAGCTTAATCATTGTTAATTAAATTCTAATGTCATGGCAGTATACTAATTTTTATTCCTTTAAAGGAGAGTGATCGTGTTTCTGATGAGATTGAAAACACAAAAAGGAAGCATTGATTTAGGAGTAATATATGTCATCTTTTCTTTCTTTCTGGGAGCCACTTATTGTAATTACTTGAATGCTCAGTTTTAAGATCATACATAATCTCGGAGCATAGATTGTTTGATGATTGGCAAAGGCAGATTTTGTTTTTCCAGGAGTTCAAACACTGGACTATAGAACATATTGGGGTTAATGTGAACTGAATGGAGAATTGGGGGGGGGGAGACTACTCTGACCACTGTCTACATTCAGAAGACATCATTTTCTCTACTAGGAGGATGTAGGGAATGGCATTCATTGTCCAGTCAGGGTGTATCACCTCCATATCATTGTGAATGACAGTAGCATTGCACATACTTACCAGTAAACATGCATCATCTTGCATTGAATTATATGCATAGTGAGTGGACAGTGTGTGATATACCCTGTTAGTATCCAGCGATCTTTATATGTTGTTGTTTTGTTTACTCGTGTCCGACTCTTCGTGACCCCATGGACCAGAGCACGTTAGGCACTCCTGTCTTCCACTGCCTCCTGCAGTTTGGTCAAACTCATGCTGGTAGCTTCGAGAACACTATCCAACCGTCTCGTCCTCTGTCGTCTCCTTCTCCTTGTGCCCTCAATCTTTCCCAACATCAGGGTCTTTTCCAAGAGTCTCCTCCAGCACCATAATTCAAAAGCGATCTTCGTCGATCAGCCTTCTTTATGGTCCAGCTCTCACTTCCATACATCACTACTGGGAAAACCATAGCTTTTACTATACGGACCTTTGTTGGCAAGGTGATGTCTCTGCTTCACATACCCCACATCATTTCACTGAGCAATATAAAAAGTGCCCTACTGGTTCTGTTCATTCTCCACAACATCCAGATCACGTGCCGGTGGTCAGTTCTACCATTTTATTTCCTGTCTTTGGAAGAAAGCTTAAAATTTAATATTGTTAAAGGTTGGTATAAAATGTAAGCTTGTTACTCATTTACTGAAATGATTAAAAAAATATTGCAATGCAGTTAGTTGCTGACCATAGCACCTCACAGTAGCTGAAGCCTTGTGGTCTGCAGCACCAGTTTCACAGTGACTAGAAAACGTTTTGCAATCCACAGCAAGTTAGGTGGTTCATTCTTATTTTGTCACCTGGCTCCTAACTTGCCTGTAGTGGTGTGGGATGAAAAGGAGGTTCATGGCCACAGACTGCAATGAAGCATTATGAATAGGAAGTTTTGTTACTCCTGATATACTATCCCAAGTATCTCCCATTTTTCAGCCTGTATGGCCAGCACTAATTTTTTCTATCTTAACTTGTACCTCGTTTACTCTTCTCTGGAATGAAGTGATCAGACCAGTTCCTGAAATCACAGAGCCAGTTTCTTCTTGGTACTTTGCCATAACAAAGAGAGATTCAAAGGTATCCTTGACCTTTTGAAGTATTAACATTTCATAAAGCCCAATAAATTGCAGGTAGTTTTCTTAGCCAATAATCTTCCTTCTGGGCAGAGGTTCTCCCTCTCTGCTTGTTCAGCAGCAGCCAGAGTTGCTAACCTTTTTTGACACAAGGCTTACATTCACTCTTGGCCACTTACTAGCATGTGTGGTCAAGACACACAGCCCCACCACCTCAGTTGATTGTACAGATCAGATCAGGAGGGTTAGCGCATCCACCCCACTCAACAAATAATCAGCATGACTGGGTCGAGGTAGTTTCATCCTAATCAGAGTGCTCAGCTGAGTCTCCTACTTCTTTTTTTCCTTTGTTATTTCCAGTATTGGTGAGGTCTTAATAGGTAAAATTAAAAAAAATAAAAAAAAAATGGGGTGGGGCTGATCCAGTCCTCATGCCAAGACTTTTTAATTACTCGCTTATTTATTAAATTTGAGTTGTTTCCAACTAACTCATTCCATCAATACAAGGATTTCTGCTTGCACAACAAAACTCTGTGCCATCCAAACCTGTTCTGGGTTTTCCCCCAGCCACATGGAGCAGATTTGGTGAGGGTGCAGCGTACGTGAGGGAAGGGGGAGTTCTGTTATATTTCTGCTGACAGAACATATTGGCTGGATATTGCCCCTTATTTCCCGCCCCTCCTCCCAAAGGGGTTATCCTCTCAACCAATCAGAGTCTGATTTGGACTACATAGTAGATCCAGTTCATTACTTAAAATACTCAAGATGGGTTGAGTGAGGATTAATGTAGACTCCTTTGTTAGCTTGGTCAATAAATTATATTGTTTCTTTAGAAGTTGTGTTGCATCCAGTATCTTGTGTTTTCGTACTTCAATCCACATTAACTGCATTGATTTTTGTAAAGTGAGTTCTTAAGATACTGTCAAGTTCTGGCATTGCATTTCAGCATGACCATTAGTAGTCACAATACTTATGTCATCATGAACTCATCCTGCTGGAGCTGGGCTTCCAAGTTGGATTCTGCTACTAATCTCTTAGTGCCAACACACCGACGGTCATTGATAGCAGTGCACAATGTTCTGCCCTCTTCTTTTTGTTCCTTTTGGGAAAAGGTTATCATGGCTACCAAACTTCACAACAATAAGCAAGGGGGCTTCTTGTTGTGGGTCTACACAAATTAGTGAGAGGAGAGTCCCATGGACTGCAAGAAGATCAAACCTATCCATTCTTAAGGAAATCAGCCCTGAGTGCTCACTGGAAGGACAGATCCTGAAGCTGAGGCTCCAAATCTTTGGCCACCTCATGAAAAGAGAAGACTCCCTGGAAAAGACCCTGATGTTGGGAAAGACGGAGGGCACAAGGAGAAGGGGACGACAGAGGACGAGATGGTTGGACAGTGTTCTCGAAGCTACCAGCATGAGATTGACCAAACTGTGGGAGGCAGTGGAAGACAGGAGTGCCTGGCGTGCTCTGGTCCATGGGGTCATGAAGAGTCGGACTAAACAACAACACTGAGGAGGACAATACTTCATAAAATCATTTGAAATACAAAACACTAAAATAAATCACTTTCACGCACAAGCATAAAAATGCAGCAGATTAAAAGCTGAGTCTTTTCACCTTCTCTTAATTCTTTGCGATGTCAGCAAACACCAAATCTTCTGCAGCCAGGAGATGTCCTAATGGAGGGGAGCATTTTTGTTTTTTGAAAAATCTACTTCCAAAAGTAGTGCACACAGTGTCCAGAGATCATGTCAGTTGTGTCCAAATAATTTTGTGGTGGCCCCAGCAACCTTGATTTATCTCCATCCAGTTATTATAGCAGCCTATTCCTGTCATCCAGTGGCGCTGTGGCTTAAACTACAGAGCCCAGGGCTTGCCGATCAGAAGGTCGGCAGTTCGAATCCCCGCGACGGGGTGAGCTCCCGTTGCTCGGTCCCAGCTCCTGCCAACCTAGCAGTTCGAAAGCACATCAAAGTGCAAGTAGATAAATAGGTACCGCTCCAGCGGGAAGGTAAACAGCGTTTCCGTGTGCTGCTCTGGTTTCACCAGAAGCGGCTTAGTCCTGCTCGCCACATGACCCGGAAGCTGTACGCCGGCTCCCTCGGCCAATAAAGCGAGATGAGCGCCGCAACCCCAGAGTCGGTCACGACAGGACCTAATGGTCAGGGGTCCCTTTACCTTTATTCCTGTCATACCTGCAACAAAGTCCCCCAGAAATGCTGGGAAACTATCTAGATCTGGAAGTCTTCGAGGAGGACCATCGTAACAGGTCCCCTATACCTACAGAGACCTTTACACAGCATATATACTGAAAGTGACAAAAGTTAAAGTTACACGTTAGGTCCATCTGTTACCTTCTCCATTATGGATTTATAATGGCGTTAGAGGACCACCAGTGGAAGTCTTTGGAACCTCATGAATTTCTAATTGTTTCAAAAGATTCCTTAGTAAATAAAGCATTATGGCAGCATCAGTCAATCTGTCTCTTGCTGCCAGATTTTGGAAATTGACACCAAGGCTGTACAAGGCAGCAATTAGAAGTTACTGCCTTTATATACATAAAAGCTTTTTAAATAACTCAAGTGTTTCTTTAATCTGCTGTCTCATTGATTTACTAGCTAATTACTTTTTAACTGTGTTTACTAAAAAGGATTCTGACTTTATTGCAGGCAATAGTCTTACTACAGATGCCATATATTCCACTGGCACTGCAAAATAGTTTAAATATTCATTTAACACTGAGTCATTGCCTTCCCTTCCACCTTTTAAAGGCCTGAGTCATAGTCCGTTTCGAAAAGTGACATTATTGCTATTTACTGCCTAGCAATTTTCAGACAGTGATTAGGTTCAAACCATGATAGATAATGAGTGCATATATAAGACAGACTTTCCCCCCAAAAGATTTGTCACTAGAATATGTGACTAGACAAAACAAAGTAGAAAAGTGACTAAGAACGCACACAGAAGTGGTGAAATTATACCACTCTAGCTGGAAAGGGAAGTCAAGGCACAACAGCCTTTTGTTTGTTTGTTTGTTTGTTTGTTTTCTTGATAATACTGCATTTCCATTAAATTATTGGGGCAGGTAACAAAACAACAACAACAACAACATGAAATTATAAAAATATACAATAAAACCTAAGCTTGCCTGAAATAAAATAGTTTTTAGGTTGCTCATTTAAATGCAGGATAGAGAGCTTTGGTAGGCTATTGCAGGGACAGGGCCAGCTCACACATGAGGTCAGGTCAGAAGACCGCCTCAGGCGGCAGGATCCACAGGGGCCACAGATCTCAGTATAGATCTTTATCCCTCCCTTGTTCCTGATGTAGACCTTGACTCACTCCTTCTTCCCTGGCAGGGGTGGGGCACCATTTGGTGGTTCGCTTCAGGTGCTGAGATGTCTTGGGCCAGCCCTGTGCAGGGAGGTGGCTACCCATCAACCAACTTTTCATGATCAGACCTCTGAGGCACGTCCTAAGCTGGCAGGTTCATATGGGAAGGGGTGGCTCTCAAGATATCAGGTTCATCCATTAAGAGGTGTTCAAGTTAAACTCCTAAATTGGGTGCTAGCAGCATAGCTGCATGTAGTAAAAAGTGCAACAGGTGTGTGTATGGGAGCCTGTATGGCCTAATGGTTTGAGGATATCAACCTAGAAATTCCACCTTGGGTAGAGGCTGTTGGAAGAAGAGGAGCTTTAGAATAAGGCAACACCAAGAAGAGGATGTTCTTTTGTGTTTATTGCATGTTCACAGATCTCACGCAGGGTAGACGTTCAAAAGTTGTATGCGCCATACATTCGCACTGGCGCGCAAGGGTTATTAGAGCAGAAGTGTGGAGGCGCTTGCCCATCTGCTTGTCTGCTTTTGTCCTGTGTATCCTGTTGCTTCTGTTGGCCCTTGGTTGCATCAGCAAGTTATCCGTGAGCTAAATGTGATCAGTGGTGCACAGTGTGCTGAACTATAGAAATGCCTTATAAATAATAAACTAGTAAGATAACTGATGTGCACTCCTGATAATACTGAAGGAAAAGAGGCTGCTGAAACTCTATGAAGCTGCAGAGGCAATGGAAAGGAAAGCTGCAGCCAGGAGGGAGGGAAGAGGGATGTGATCAAGGGAACAAGAGAAGACGATCAGTTGAAAACATGTTGCTGTGTGCTAAATATTTTTATTTTTTTGAAGTTTTATTATTTTCACATAACAAATTATTTCAACAATTATATGTGTGCTAAATAGATACAAGTTTGTTTTTAAAAAGCCTACTGGGCTAAAGAACAGGATATTGCAGAAGGGGACAAATTAAAGAGACCGGATAAGAGCATAAGCTTACAAAATGAATGAGAGGCTAGATTTTGGCAAGGCGGCAGGGGAACACCCAGAAATCCTAAGATGATGAGAAAAAGAGGACTTCCTGAAAATGGTTCCAAGGGTCCACCACTGATTTTCTAAATGACAGAATTGCTCAGTTGAAAAAGACATGACATTTTTTACTTGATATGGATGGAGACTTGAGCAGGTCTGTGTGCTGCTGGTTTTAATGCATTACTGTTAGACAGAATCATATGTCAACCTGTGTAGTAAGTTGGTTGAATGTTTGTGTGTGTGCGCACACACGGTCTTAAAAAGAACATCAAAAAGCATTGCCGTTCTGATATACTATCTGCTTTTCTGTTTTTGCAGGAGTGGTTTGCAGTGTATGTGGAACTTAATCAACAGATTGCAGCTTTGTTAAATGCCGGGGATGAAGAAGACCTTGTGGAACTGAAAGCATTACAGCAGCAGTTAAGTGATGTTTGTTACCGGCAAGCCAGTCAGCTGGAGTTCAGGCAGAATCTGTTGCAAGCAGCACTTGATTTCCATGGTGTTGCCCAAGAAGTAAGTCAGTATACATTCTTACTCACTGTACAGTTTTGCTGTGTGACGATTACTACAGATGGACAACAGTTCCAACTGGTTTTTAGGAATGAACAAATTCCAAAATATACCAATCCATTTCTGAGGACGTTCAGTAGCTAAAGCCTTCTGTTTTATAAGGATTTTTTTTTGAATGAATGAATGAGTCTTTATTTGCATCAGCCATTGCATCAGCAATAAAAGAACAATACGATATACAAAGAATAGAAATACAGTGATACCTCTGGTTACGTACTTAATTTGTTCCGGAGGTCCGTTCTTAACCTGAAACTGTTCTGAACCTGAAGCACCACTTTAGCTAATGGGGCCTCCTGCTGCTGCCGCACCACTGGAGCACGATTTCTGTTCTCATCCTGAAGCAAAGTTCTTAACCCAAGGTACTATTTCTGGGTTAGCGGAGTCTGTAACCTGAAGTATGTAACCTGAAGCGTCTGTAACCCGAGGTACCACTGTAAAAAAGTCAGTTATATAGGGTTTTGAATCAGTAGTCAAATAGTGGATCTTACTCTGATTGCCCCAACTAAAATTTATTGCAATGCTGTAGAAAGATTCTGATGTGTCTATTACTTACGCAAAATTGAATTTATAGTCATTGAGGGGGACTTATTTTTATTGCTCTTGAGAGAAGACATTGGGCATTGACTACTGTAGAATGTTGTGACCACGGTGCTTAGTGTCTGTGCTTATCTGACAGTTTAAAGCACATCCTGCTTCTCCTCCGTTTTGTATAAGCTCCTGTTTTGTAATGCCCAGAAGTGATGACTTTTCTTCATCTAAAACTATTGGCCCTCTTCCACTCTGTACCTGGGGCCCTTATCGATGTCTGCACACACACAAAAAGAGGCATATCAGGTCTTGTTGGGAGTCCACATCTTGATCATTGGAGATTGGTAGAAAGTGTGGCAGCAGCATTCTTGATGAAGGGTGTTTGGTGAGGAGTGTCTGCTGTTCAGGTCATCTGCCTGTGAGCTTCCCTATCTCCTAGGTTTATCTCCCTTTACAGCTCGTGTGTGTGTGTGTGTGTGTGTGTGTGTGTGTGTCTCAGTGTCACAGCACACCCGGCCATTGCAGCATATCCTTGGTGGAAGCATGAGAAACACAGGTTTTTGAAGTAATATGATACCTGGGGTTTTTCTTGCTGTCTTTTTCAGTTGTCTCAGCAACTAGACGGCCTACTAGGGATGTTGTGTGTCGATGTTGCACCAGCAGACGGGACGTCAATTCAGCAAACTCTAAAGCTACTGGAAGAGAAACTGAAAAGTGTTGGTAAGCCCATACATTGTAGAAACCTCAAAATCTATAAAACAGTGAACAATTGGGGAAAAATAAATTTTAAAGTATACATTGATTTTTCTCTCACGTTCGTAACTAAGCATAGAGGGGGAAACGGACCTTTCTGGCCACAATTCAGCAATTCATGCAGAAGAGATTGGGTGAGCATGGCAGGCCTTTTCTCAGATGCGCACCCCCCTCCCATCCCTTTCGTTCTCTGGGGGATAATTACAATTCCCTTTCTTTTAAAAAACAACAACAGTGCAATGGGGGAGGCACAAGCCTAATTGAATAATTGGATTTGCTTTACAGGTGTTTGGATTTTGGATGCAAACTCTTGGCTTCCTTTTGCAGTTGGCTCAAATACTGTTGGGACGTAAAAGTCTTAACAGTACATTTAAATTCATTTGTATTGCAGCAAGGAAACATCATAAACAGTGTACGTGAATCCCTGAAAAGCCACCTGCTTCCAAGGCTGAAAACTTACGAAGCTGCTTTCGTGTATTAAATTGCATGTAGAGGGAGTCCATGTGTTGAGACTGGACATTGCAGATGGGCAGCCTCTATGCACAGACCTCTTTACATTTTGGACCTCCATGCAGTTGGGGTTCCAGCTCTCTTGGAAGTTGTGCATGTAAAGGTCTGTGCATTTAGGCTTCCCTCTTTCAGACACAAGTGTTCAGTGTTTGAACATTACAGTGAGGGTGGAAAAAAACACACCGCATGTCTTCAGCCTGCTGCCCCTTGTGATCATATGGATCCCCTTAGCTTAATTAACAGTTATCATGTTAACAGTTATCATGTGGAGGACGCTTATGATTAAGCTGTCCTCCACATGATATGTCCAAATCCTTGGAAGACTTGTGCCAGTATTTACAAAGCTTTAAGAAGAAAACTAGGGATGTGGATGGCGCTGTGGTCTAAACCACTGAGCCTCTTGGGCTTGCTGATCAGAAAGTTGGTGGTTCGAATCCCCATGACAGGGTGAGCTCCCGTTGCTCGGTCCCAGCTCCTGACAACCTAGCAGTTCGAAAGCATGCCATTGCAAGTAGATAAACAGGTACTGCTGCGGCAGGAAGGTAAACGGCGTTTCCGTGCGCTGCTCTGGTTTCGGTGTTCTGTTGCGCCAGAAGTGGCTTAGTTATGCTGGCCTCATGACCTGGAAAAATTGTCTGCGGACAAATGCCGGCTCCCTTGGCCTGTAAAGCGAGATGAGTCCTGCAACCCCAGAGTCATTTGTGACTGGACTTAACTGTCAGGGTTCCTTTACCTTTACCTTTCAAGAAGAAAACTAATCTCTTTCATTTCGAAAAACACCTGTTAAACGTAAACTGAGATAATGCATACAATAGTCAAATTAAGAAAGGGGGCAAACTTCAAAATCCCTGCTGTGTGATAGCAGTTCATAAGAATGGAAGGGACACAAATAATTAACATATAAAGCTTCCTTATACTGAGTCAGACAATCGGTCACTGTCTTCCACTGTGTTTCAGTCCTTCTTAGCCCTTAGTATTTCTTTTTTAACTGGTGACACCAGTGTTTCAACCTGGGTCGTTCAGCATGCAAGTCGTACGTTTTGCTAGTAAGCTGTGACCTCTCCCCATAATAAATACTAACTTTGTGACTGTAAGAAATTGTACTTAAAAAAAGAAGAAGATGCAATAGGAAACTTAAACACTAGGCTATCTATATGTTTACGCAGTTAGGGTTGACTGGCAGCTTTTGATTGCCAAACGTGCTGATTTTGAAGTCTAGTAAGTTACGTGATGTATCATTTATTGATTGAAATCACTGCAACTAAACTTGCACATGGATGGAGAGAGAATTGGACAGAAATTAATGAGTAGAGAGAATATGTCATTTGTTCACATTTGCACCTGTTTGAGGGTGGGAAATGTACTAGTTCTATGAAACAAAGAATTTGGGTTTTTTGTACCTTAGACTTAGGTCTGCAAGGTTTGCGTGAAAAAGGTCAAAGTCTTCTTGATCAAATATCTAACCAGGCATCTTGGGCTTATGGAAAAGATGTAACCACGGAAAACAAAGAGAATGTTGATCACATCCAGGGAGTGATGGAAGACATGCAGCTCAGGAAGCAAAGGTAATAATTATGCTGCCTAGCAGCCCTGAAAAGTTCCCTCTAGCTCAGAAGTTCTCTTAACTGTGCCATTTTGTGTGAAAATTCTGTATGACTTTAAAATTGCTTTAGTTCACTTGATGCCTTTTGATAACTCAGCAACTGCAGTTGTGGTATTCTTTTTAAAGAGAACATTAAGATGTCATAATGTGCCATATAGTACTGCACAAAAGACCAAAGGATCAGGCTGAAAACGAATAGAGTTAATCATGAAAGAGAATAACTTAATAATGAACAAAACCCTGATCTGCTTATATCTGAAAACTGAAAAAATGTATTCTTTACAAGTTATGACAAAGAAAATTAACTGAAACCAGTCTTGAAAGTCCTTAGGATTTATCTATCAGATGATTATCTTGTAGTGTTTAAATATTAAATCTTTCTCCCCTGATATTAAGACTCGGAGGCTGCCGATCTCAGTCTCCATTTCCTGCTTCTCTATGAGCAAAACAGGCTCTGCTGCTGCTTCTTTGTCTAAACCCCAAGAAATGTCCACTGCAAAAGCCACACAGAGATGGAGGTTGGCTCCCAGCAGAAAATTAAAAGCACAAGAAAATGTCAAACATTAAAAACTTCTCTAAACTGGGCTGCCTTCAGATGTCTTCTAAAAGTCAGATAGTTGTTTATTTCCTTGACATCTGATGGGAGGGAGTTCCACAGGGTGCATAGCTGTCAACTTACAGATTTGAAAATAAGGGACCAGCAGCCTTGAAAATAAGGGACCTGCAGCCTCACCTGTTCCAGGCACTCCAGTCTTCCTGTCCTCCTGCAGTCTGGTCAAACTCATGCTGGTAGCTTCGAGAACACTGTCCAACCAACTTTGTAACCAGAGGTTCAACTGAATAGAATCTGAATCACATGCACCACAATGCCTATGCAGCCTCAACTTAAGATGGCTCCCCGGCCTGGCTTTGCACTGCAAAGTTTGCAGCAGCACGTGCAACAAAATGGCGTCCAGCATTCAAAAACCTCCTCAGCTTGCATTAACTACCCACACACAAGGCATGCAAGCTCCACCCCCCAGTCGTTCTTAGACTTCTTATTGGGTGAGCAACACAGCCAAGCAACACAGTTGGAGCCTCCCTCCTCCCTGGCCGGCAGGGAGGGAGGGAGAGGAGCTGCTTCCTTTGAAATTTAAGGGACATCATTTAAGGGACATTTAAGGGACATCCATCAATAAGGGACAGCAGCGGGACATGGCGCTGGAATAAGGGACTGTCCCTTCAAATAAGGGACACTTGACAGCTATGACAGGGTGGGTGCCACCACTGAGAAGGCCCTTTGCCTGGTTCCCTGTAACTTGGCTTCTCGCAGTGAGGGAACTGCCAGAAGGCCCTTGGAGCTGGACCTCAGAGTCTGGGCAGAACGATGGGGGTGGAGATGCTCCTTCAGGTATACTGGGCCGAGGCCGTTTAGGGCTTTAAAGGTCAGCACCAACACTTTGAATTGTGCTTGGAAACGTACTGGGAGCCAATGTAGCTTTTTCAGTACTCATATATTATATGAGAATAAAAGAAATTATATCCCTTCACAAGGCAATGGTTTAGGCTTTCCCTCCACCTGCCCTGGATTGTGTGCTATTAATTCATGATAAGTATTTAAGTGACCAAAACAGGATATGACAATTTTTAAAAGGTCAGGGTTTTTTTGGGGGGGGGGATGCAGTGTTTTTGTTGGGCCAGAAACCTCAGTTAAACTAGCAGTACAAAATACAATACGATAACAGTACTTACATAGGTATATCAGGTGATACCTAATATTAGTCATAGTAAGAACAGACCCATTGGAACCAGTGGACTTATTCAACTATATTGTAACCCCAGACTATTGCCTATCATGTATGAAGTTGGAGAACTATGTTGGGCAAGAAATAATAGTGCTTATCAAAATTTTGCTGATTTTTCAAACAATTCTTTTCATATATTTATATATTTTCATGGTATGTTGTAGTAATGTTTTTACCCAACCTTAGGGTTGCCATATGTCCAGATTTTCCCAGACATAGCCAGGATTTTCAGCCATTGGAAAAATTGTCCGGGTGGAAAATTGCTAGATGTGCAGGAAAATCTGGATGAATGGCATGTTGGAAGTGTAGCTTTTGGCAAATTTCCTTAAAAATAACTCAACAAGTTTGCCCCAAAAAAGCTCAACTTTTTCACTTTCTGAAATATGGCAACCCTACCCAATCTTTAGTGGCACATGAAAGAAAGAAAGAGGAATTGTTCATGTGTTGCATCTACGATGGGAGTGATGGGTTGAGTGCTAGGCAATAGTGTTTAGCTTTCTGATCTGATGTGGTTGCTTATCATTCCGGCTTTCACAGATGTGAAGACATGGTAGATGTCAGACGATTGAAGATGCTTCAAATGGTTCAGCTCTTTAAATGTGAAGAGGATGCTGCGCAGGTGAGATTGAGCTGCATATTTATTGTGGCCAGTGTTGTTCATATAAACTTGCTTCAAAAGAGAGACACACACACACAGAGAGAGAGAGAGAGCCTAGTCAAACAAGTTTTGGAAATTTAATTTTACAGGGCACCCCTGTAAAATACACTTCTTATTACTTCTTGAGCACATCTGTGACAGATGGATTGTGTTAGTTTAAATGTTTTCTGTTTTACAGTCTGTTTCTACTCTTCCCTCTAGGCAGTAGAATGGTTAAGTGAATTACTCGATGCTCTACTGAAGACCCATACCCGCCTGGGGGACGATGCTCAAGAAACCAAAATTTTGTTGGAAAAGCATCGGAAATTTGTTGATGTAGCACAGGTATATGAAGGATTTCTTTCACTCTGTAATCAGGCTAGGTGGGTCACTAGAAAGCTGCCTCTAAGCCTTCTCATTGATATTTAAAATTAGCATTTTCATTTAGACTATTTGCTGAGCTTGTTTTCTGAGTACAGTTCTGATTGCCAGAAACCTTGGCTAGATCTGACAAGATTATTCTATTGGAACATCCCCTTGGGGACAACCACAGTTCCCCCCCCTAAAGTGTTTTCATGCGTCATAAAATGTACAAGATTGATTTTGAAATGCTTGAATTCACTTCATATCTGACAAATGTGGAGTGGTTACTCCATGTACCCTGGGCAATGCTCTGCGTTATTTCTTTTTAGAAGTTACTTGCCCCAGATCAGCTATTTGATTAGATAAAGGAACTAGTGTGTTCAGATAAGTAAATGGTAAACAATAGGACTACTGTGCCCAAAAGCAAGGGACCAAACATTTTGGCACGGTTTTACTAAGCAGATGTTAATTGCTGTGCAGATCCAGAGAAGGGTGTTCCTCTGTTGTTACTCAGGGCTTTTCGGGGGGAGGGGGCACTCTCAGCACCTTAATGACCTTCTGGAAAGGCCCAGCAGGAAGAACAGCCATAGGGTCCTTTTTTCATGAAAAACAGAACGGGGACAAGAAGTGAAGATGTTTACCCTGTCACTCTGCTCCTTGACTCCTTTATAGTTCACAGAGAACACGAAGGTGGCAGAATATGGGATCTTTGTGCTGAATATTTGAGACCTAGGCAGGGGTGCAGGCCAGAGAGTCTGGTACAGTGGTACCTCGGGTTACATACGCTTCAGGTTAGATACGCTTCAGGTTACAGACTCCGCTAAGCCAGAAATAGTAGCTCGGGTTAAGAACTTTGCTTCAGGATGAAGCAGCAGCAGGAGGCCCCATTAGCTAAAGTGGTACCTCAGGTTAAGAACAGTTTCAGGTTAAGAACGGACCTCCGGAACGAATTAAGTCCTTAACCCGAGGTATCGCTGTACTTGCTGTTGTTGTGCAGGCGAGTGGGTTTTTTAAAAAAACAAGGTGGGCTTAGTGAGGGGAGAACGTTCTCTGTTCTCAAAGCACCTGTATGGGTTTGTGCAGCAGGTCTCCATCCATAAAAGTGTGTGCATCCCCTACCTGCCAAGTCAGTTGTTCAGACCAAGCAAACAAACCCCCAAAGGGTTAGCTTTCTCTTTCCCTCGCCTTTCATCATTCAGCTGGATTTCCCAAGCAAGGCCATTGCAATTCGTTCCTGCGTTTGGAAAAGTAGGCCGATGTGTTAATAGTCAAATGAAGTGCAAGAACGCCTTGTGACTTACATTTGAGATATTTTGTTTCTTGCCGATGTGTCGCTCTTTTGTAGTTAGATCTGTCCAAGGATTTGAGATTGAAATTTTACATCTTTCTTATTTTTCCTTTTTATAGAGTACTTATGATTATGGAAGGCAGTTACTACAGGCTACCGTCGTTTTGTGTCAGTCTCTGCGATGCACTTCTAGGTCCTCAGGAGACACACTTCCAAAGCTGAACAGAGTCTGGAAACAATTCACCATCACTTCCGAAGAGCGAGTAACAAGGCTGGAGATGGCTGTCGCTTTCCATTCAAATGCTGAAAAAGTTAGTTGCTACCAACATACGGATGTTGCTCTGTTGTTTTAAGTGAACTCTGGAAGCAATTTTCTTTTTCTTAATACCACTTTGTTACAGGTTTTGCAAGAATGCCCAGACCAGCCTGAATCTATAAATGACCAGGAACAATTTGATGAGATTGAAGCTGTTGGAAAATCACTTCTGGATAGATTAACAGTACCTGTTGTTTATCCTGATGGGTATGTAGCTTGTCCTTAGAATATGATTATTCTAAAATGTTTTAGTTTGCAATACAAGTCAAACAGATTTTACATGAGGGAGACATACAAATACTGTAGCTGAAATATTCAGTTTGGAAAAAGAACAAGTAGTCAGATGCTATAGCAAAAAGTTAAATATTTAAATAAAATTTATTTCTTTACAATGTTCTCAAAAGGTATCTTTAATCGAGATGCACGCCCATCAATTGCTTCACAGAGTAGAATTAAATGAACGAATGCAATGTTTATTGCTCATAAATTGAAGCCGCCCCAAACAAATCACATTAGTTCAAATATGTACTATCAAAGTTTTGAGTCTGGTGTAAAAATAATGGTGGCATAACATCCATATTCATCAGTCAGGTCTGGGACCTCATCCTAAGACAATTCAGTACTATACTAGCCAGGTGTAGTGTAAAGCAATTGTGCGTGTGTTTTTTAATCAAATTGGTATGCACTGAGAACAAATCCCATGTGCCTTGCTTGTTTTTTCTTTGTTTTAGTACTGAACAGTACTTTGGGAGCCCGAGTGATATGGCTTCTACAGCTGAACACATTAGAGAGAAGATAAAGCTGGTTTGTTTGAAAAAACAGCAGCTGAGACAACCAGACGTCTGTACAACAGAGAGCTAATAGTGTCCATTTGCCAGTTCATAAGATGTCTCTACGTTACCCAGCATGTCATCTGCATTCTGCGCCTGCCATAATACATTAAAACGCATTTCTACAGCTGTTATGAAAGAATCCCGTCCTTCTTGAAGTAAAAACTTACTCTACATCTTAACAGTGTATTTCTACCAAGCCATAATTATTTAACATGCTATGAAACCATAGACTTTAAATATTATCAAAAGGAACTGAAAATATTGCACTGAACCCTTCTTTCTCTGAAGCTCGGGTGCTTCTTTGCCTAAGCAGCTGATGCAAGCTTTGAATGGTGCTAATAAGTACAGTGGTGCCTCGCAAGACGAAAAGAATTCGTTCCGCGAGTCTCTTCGTCTAGCGAGTTTTTCGTCTTGCGAGGCATTCGTCTTGCGGGGCACCACTGTACAAGTTCCGTACAGAATAGTAATTCTCTTTATTCTTCAGATGATGTAGTATTTTTAGGCTGTAGGCAAGCTATCTGTTGTTTAGACAGTGGTGACCCTATAGTTATAATTTGTATTACTTTTCAAATGGTCCCTTTTATTGTGCCAATATACATCCTGCCCATCAAATCTTTGAAATTCATTATAGTTGGTTTCCCCCCACCCTCTTCCAATTTGTATGGATAATGTATTGAAAGCTGTTTTGTGCTTAATAAAATCCATCTTTTTAAAATCTTACCATCTTTTATGCAAGCCTGTGTTTCCTAATGTGTAGCAGACCTCCATCTGTAGCAGTGGGAAGGGCAGCCCCTTCCTTTGCCTTCCAACTTCGGAACAAACATTCCTCCAGTCTGCTTCTCTCTTACAACGTGAAATGAATGTATAGTCTGGATCAGGGGTGGAAAAAAACATCTTAATAGATGAGTCCAGAAGGAAGGAAGCCTCACATTTCTTCTGTTGACTAAATTCAAAAGATCTGAGCCAAGCAGAAAAGAGAAGGGAGGCGCTTATCAGCAATATTGGTGCTCAATTTCCTCCTGCCTTCGTGAGAGGTGTGGCAGAGAATGTACATCTTTCCTATGTACAGCTCTCTGCAGAAAGGGCAGAAGATTTGAATTTTCTAAAAAGAAAAGCTCAAGAGATATAAGGAAGCAAGTGAAACAATTCAGATAATGAATGATGAGAGGGTTTGTTGGGGTGAGTTTCCCCTCCAACATGTCATTCTTTTTTCCCCCATCTCCCCCCCCCCCCCACCTTCTGTACTAGTGAACATTGCAAGTACGTTCTTTTAGTTAACGTGCTCTTTCCTGAACAAGCTCGTGTTAAATAGGTAGTTGGTATGCAGTTTCCCAAATCGATAAATGCTACATATTGTAATAAAAGTTTATTACACATAAGGCATAAGATTAAAGCTAATTATGTGTATTTGCTCTTTCAATCTGCAAAAGCCAAATAAAAAAAATATTTTATATTTATGCAGTGTGGGATTTTCAGTGTTTTTTAAAACTCGTAGAAAGACAAGATTATAGCAGGATGCAGTTTTACATGCCACTGTGTTTTTTTTAGCTACCCTGTGTATAAGATGCTCAAAGTGCTCTATCACCTTGGCTCTTAAAAGGAGCAAAGTTTTATACTAATGCTGCTGCTTTGAAAAGCAGGCTTCAATTTGGGCATTAGGAATGTAGCTCGCATGTAGCTTCCTCTCATGTAGTCAAAGTCTGTGGGGGCTACCAAACTGGCTTGGACATGGGAATAGTATTTAGAGGCTCCTTTCCGAAGACACATGGCCTGATAAGATGTATAGCAATCTGCTCTGAGTGATTTTACACATACATATTATAGGTGGGGGGCGAGGAGAGTGGGCAGTTCCACACGTAAACATGAATTATTGCACTGATGAAACTAGTTACTTAAAGCTGCACTGGATGCAACCCTTGGTTAAACAATCTCTGTTTAGTCCAAAGTGTGCTGAATTGTACCACTGGCATTATGGAAATTCACTGGTAGTTTCTTGCTTCCCATATTTTTTTTTTCCAAGAAAATGGGGAGGGCGCAGATATATGTTGGAAGGTCGCAATCCTTCCCCTTAACAGCTCACGCACAAACACAGACACACCACATCCCTCACCTTACGCAGATGCCATTGGAGACGTCACAAGAAATTGGTCAGGAGAGCTTGCAAATGTGAATTTTCCCGCTTGTCTTGATCCTTTGTGGGAAATCAGAAACATCCCCGATGGTAGCCTGCTGAGAGAAGGGAGCTCAGGGTTATGCCTGTCAAAGCTGCCACATCCTCATCCTCCTGTTGCCTCGGGAAACTTTCCTAGGGCTGCAGGGGCAAAAGACATTCTGCACCCCCAGCCTACAGGCTGTCTCATTGGTGGGAGAAAATGCTTTGTACTCCAGGAATGCTGGGCAGAAGGTTCCTGGGGGCCTTCACAGCTTCAACATCATTTGGAGAGTCTTCTCTCATCGGGGATGTGTAGCCTCACCTGCTCCCTGGTGAGAGAGGAGTTGTGACAGAAGGATGCTAAAAGGGGTTCCTTTTGAGTGTTGCTAGGGCACAGAGCATATCTCCTTGGAGACTGGGCTACAGGAGTAAGCTCCAGCCTGATCTGCAAAAACAGATGTTCTACTTTCTCCTTGCCCTAGGTATGCCTTTGTAGAGGAGGGTTATCGAGTAGGGAGAGAAGGCAGAGTTGAGCATCTTGCATACGTTCAGAGTGAATGCACGGAAAGGTCGCAATCCATTGTGAGTAATAGCTTTGGCCACTTGTGAAGGATCTCACCCTTTCATGGCAAAGAGTGAGAAGCTCATGCATCCCTAAATGTCATTAGACATTTCCCACATACTTCCAGTGAAGCTGTTACCATCATAGGTGCTAGAAATAGTCTTTTTTAAAAAAAAGTCATATGGAATAATAGATCTGGAGCCCTGTGTTTAATTGCTTGCATTGGTTGGAAAGCAGAACAGGTTAATGGTCTCCTGATTTTTTGTTTTCTAGAAAACCTTCATGCATATGTCCATAATCTGTAAGTGATTTCTTCTCTCTCTCTCTCTCTCTGCTGTACTCAACTAAGCTGCTTACGCATAATTGAAATTGTCAAATCTGTAATGATTCTAGTACAGTCATTGCAGACATAATCTCTCAATGCTCTTTGGCAAGAAAACTATAATTACATTTAACGTGCATTAATAAATGTAATAAACCGCTACATTTCACTTACTTTTACAGTACATTTATGTAATTGAAAATAAGGTTTACAGTACATTGCAATGGATTGATCTTTCTCCGCTCCCTGTAGAAATTTGTAGAAACTCTACAAATTTGAAGTAGAGTTTAGAAGTTAAAGTTCTTCTTTTAACTCCTTTGGATCAGATTATTGTACTCAAAAGGAAGAATGGTTTTGAGCATGCGGTAACAAGAAACAGCAGCTGCTGTGCCACCTAGCAGGGCTCAGCCCCAAGCAACAGAGGACAAAAACATGACTTTGAAGGCTAATGAATGCACTAAGTTCAAGCTACACAGTTCACTGGGGGTTAGGCACAGAAGCGTGGCAAGGCACTATCTGCTGAGTTTGCCCAGTGCGCACATCTCTGACCTAGCCTAGTTTCATCTCTCTTGAAAGAGAGGAGTCCAGAGTAACATTTGAACCACTGTGGTAAGACATTTCAGGGGCAATTATTAGTCTGCTGTAACAAGAACAAAGACATCTATTTAAGTTGCTTTGGGTTACCTTAGTAAAAGAAGACCAATGCATTTTTAAAGTCCTGTGGCATTTGTCTTTGAGTGTGAGGCACAGAGTAGAATCTCACCCCCCCCCCATTTGTGGGAGGGAATATGTATTTGAGTCATCTGTGCCTGCAACCCTCCTACCAGTAGCTCAGATGTAAAAGGATGCTGTGAGTGGTGGCTAGCTCTTCTATGTGGGGGAAGCTTATGGCTTCATCTTGAACATGTATTAGGGGTTTAACCTGTCCGGCCTACTTTAAAAGAGACGCCAAATCAAAACACCAAATCAAAAGACTGGTGGGGTGAGCACACACAGAAATACTGAAGGCAAACATCATTTAATAACATTAAAAAAGCCCAGGAGGACTTTTGCTCTTGCCAAATGCCATTTCCATTTCAAGCGCTAGAATAGAAAACATTTGGGAGGCACTTACGTCTAACTTCCAGGGGGTGGTACTGCTCTGGAAGGAAGAAGGCAGAAGCAGGCATTGGGTCACTTTTGTCCTTGGCCCTTATTGGCTTATTTAGCTATGACTCCCTTCTGCAAAACAATAAAACTTCAATAGTATTTATCCGATTGCTAGCCTTTCCTTACATCAACAATTAAGTATATAGATGTGACGGTCCTGTAGCAGTGCTTATTTGTAAATTTATAAACGACAGGTACCAGAGACTTATTTCCAGATGTTAAACAACCATTTACTCCGTCACAACTAGAGAAGCCATGTAGAGGCAAGTTGCTGCTGTCATTCACAAAACTCTACTGCTGTAGCCCAGAGTGTGTGGAAGCAATGGAGGAATAGTGTCTCTCCTTTGATCTCTCTTTTAAATGCTATATTTTATTTTGTGTATGTGCCTAGAAGGACACATTTCTAAACATCTTAATACACAAGTCAATCTTTTTTAAAAAGAGCACTTAAGTGTCTCCCCCCCCCCCCCCGCTCTTAAATCTAGCCATAGGGCCAGTACTTTTTTCCTGGGGTTATGCTAAACATTTTGTGAATCTTGGTACTTTTGTCCATTTACTGTATTTATTTCCCCCAATGTGAACTATAAAATGGGTGATTTTCTTGAATCAAAATGAGAGTACCCCTAAACATTTTTTTAGAAAGCACTGCATATGACTAATATATCAAAGTTTCCAGTCCAGCCATCCTTTAAGATAATAGAATCATATAGCTGGAGGCATCCTGAGAATGATCTAGTCAACCCCGCTGCAACCTTGACATTATCAGCATCGCGCTCTAACCAACCGAGTTATCATGCTTTATTGTCCAGTGCTTTATTAAAAATTAAAAACCATATAAACACTGGCATAACAACCCATTATAGAATCACAGAATTATAGAGTTGGAAGGGACCACAAGGGCCATCTAGTTCAACCCCCTGCAATGCAGGAATCTCTTGCCTAATGTGGGGCTCACACCCATGACCCTGAGATGAAGAGTCTTATGCTCTACTAATTGACCTTTCCCAGGTCTAGTATGGACCACAGTACTGGAGTGTGTGTGTGTAGGGTTGGCCATACAGTTATTTTACAGATTAGACTGTGCTTGATCTTTCTTTTTATGCCCACAGACATGCGATTTCCCAATTTCAATGCCTTGCCCATTATTTGAATATTACACCCCAACAATGCTTTTTGCTACAGTCAGTTAATGGTCTGTTTCGTTCTAAATTGGGGGTTGGCTACTTGGCTATCCACACGTTGACTCGGCCATCTGGTCCCCACGCCACCAACCCTCCTGTTTCAAGCTTCCTTAAAACACCTTGGAGGGAGGGATGGAAGGCTGTGCAAATGATGAGCGGGTAAATTATCCTCCCACTGCTATGTGCTGGTCTTTTTCTTCATGCCTAGGATGCAGTCAACCAGCACTCTCCATGTCCCACCTTCTATAGCAGCATGCCCACGTACACCCACCTGGACGGTCCTAAAAAAGATTGTTAAGCATCTAAGCTTACCACCCAGAACTACAGCATCCGGGTCCACCTCACCATTCAGAAAGGCAGTTTCGTGCATTAAAATTTTGTAGCTAAGAACGGATGTCTGAACAAGAGAAAACACAGAAATGCAGTTCACTTATGGAAATTATGTATATAAATTGCGGGTTTTGCCAGCCAGAACAAATTATGATTAATGTATGTCCAAATGACAAGTGATTGTGGTGTCTGCACACGGCCCCGAACCCAGAAGTGACCCAGAAATGTCATGAAATGCGTCACAAAAATGGTGGAATAGGAGTAGGGCAGAATGGGGTGCTCGTACACACGCCACCGATGCACATGGGTTGGGAAGGGAATCCCTGTGCAAAATGGTCATTGACTGTATATAAACACAAGGGACATCCATCTTTTCATGTTTACTGTTCCTGTATACAGTTTTGTAGGCAAACATATAAAGATATAAAACATATGTGAAGAATCCTTCAGCAGTTGAATGCACAGCATTCTAGATCCCAAGGTGCATAGTGAAAATATATAGACCCTCAACAGATAGACAACACTTGTCGGTCTGAATTTATTTTCCAGGGTCCTCTGGTGGTGAAAATACCAAATGTCATGAGCTTGTGGGGATTAGCGTCTTGCAGTGGAGACTTACAGTCTCCGGAAATGTGTGTAAAAATAAGTAATGTACAAAAATAAAAGCAAGGAGCCTTAATCCCTTCTTTCCCTATTTCTGGCATTGCTGGGAGTTTGGGTTCTATGTTGCCGACTTGACATTCTGTCTTGGACGCAATCTTTTGCAGGTAAGAAACCTTTCATTTTGTGCTACCTCCCACTGTCCCAGTGATGTAATGTATTCCAAAACGTGAACACTGCAAGATGGGCAGCACAGTATGTTCTCTCAGCAGTAAATCTCAGGGAGTGCAATTGGGCTTGCTCTCAGGTAAGTGGCTATAGCATTGCAACCTTAAACCAATTTATGTGGCTGAAAAATGCATTTATTTTTGTGCAATTCAAGCATGTTTATGTGCAAAATATATATTCTACATTACCAAGAGATAAAGTTGTGGAAACTGCCAAAATGCAACCACAACAATTTAACCATAGTGGAAAATTCAGACTTTTACAAATGGAAGTTATGCCCCATAAACTTTTACTGAGTGACTTCTTAGCAGTCTGGGGAGAATTTGGTATTGAGAGTTATTTTCAGTGTAAGTCAGAAGAAAGCAGTAAAAAAGCAGCCCTTCCAGCGTGCTGAAAGCAAAAATCACCAGAATTTGTGTGCTTTTAATGCCATGCTTTCCTTTATTCATATTCCCTCTGCTACAGCAGTCCTAAAAATATCTTTGGGGGGGAAAACCACAAAAACGTATGATGTGAAATTCAGGGATTTTTAAAACACCAATTTCTTGCTGTATGCAGCCTAAGCACTTAAGTTTGTTGATTTCACATTCTCTCTGTCTTGGCAAGGGTTATAAATACTGGATCTGTGACAACATATCCTGAGTATCGCTGATGACTTTCCAAGCATGCACGGATTGCAGTTGATCCTCATTCCAAACTGGACAGAGCTGGGCAGTATGGAAAATCCTTGCATTTGTCATTCATGTTTCATAACAAATGCAGAGAGGAATTAATCCACAGAATGCAAGTTTCATTTCTGCCCACTCATTCTATTTGTGGCAATTAAGGGTAACGAGTGGGTGGGTGGGCTTAGGATCCTGCTGCCTCCAGAGACGGGTTGAGTCAGCAGCAGTGGCCAACACAAGCAGCCGCTACTGACATTTTTGTTTTGTTTCCCTCAGAATGCCTAACCACAGAGTAAGTCCAGGCACCTGCATGGAAATGACAGCTGCTGGACACACAAAAAAGTTAGCCACTACGGGGGGGGGGGGGGAGTTTTTGAAACGGGCAAGGAGAAAAATAGACCAGAAGAAAAAACATAAGAAACCAAAATACCTATAGTATACCCACCAAAATACCTATAGTCATAAAAATGCAAAACATACATAAATATGTAAATACATAAAAATGTAAAAATATCTTTTTAGTCAGACCCAGGGCCGGATTTAGGTTTGATGAGGCCCTAAGCTACTGAAGGTAATGGGGCCCTTTGTATGTCCAGCTGTCCTTTGTCAACAACAAATTGTCACTGTTTTTTTTGTGTTGAATATATGCTATATGGTCATTTATGGACCTAATAGGTATCTAAAGCCATTTGCACATGCAGAATGTAGGCACCCTATATATAGAAATGAGCAAACTAGTGATAGTTTAGGGAGCAGGCTAGCAGGCGGGGCCCATGACTTACATCACAGGAGCCTGCACAACACAAAACACACTTGCTGTATGTAGGTTTTATTTTATTTGTTTTTTTATCTTATATTTTGGAAATGTACATCCAGTTTTTCCCCCCTTTAAATTTTTTGGGGGGGCCCTAAGCTATAGCTTGTTTAGCTTATACGTAAATCCGGCACTGGTCAGACCATTGGGCTCAATACTGCCAACACTGACTTAGCAGCAAATCACCTGGATAATAACCTAAAATGGGCCTGCTGGATCAGACCAAAGGCCCATCTTAGTCCAGCATCTTGTTCTTGCAGTGGTCGACTAGATGCCTATGGGAAGCCTGCAGCACAGGATTTGAGGGGGGGAAACTGAGGGGAAGCGTTGGGCTCGCCTCAATTTATTCCTCATGGGGTGCGGGAAACGCTCCTGGGGGATCCCTGGAACCAGGCCTGCCTGCCAAAGGCCAATCTGCAGGCAGGCCTGCAGACCTCGCCAACCTGCTGCTGGATGGCCCGTGGCCTGGCTGCAATGCCACCTGACCGTTTAAGGTAAGCGCACTTGAGCAGCATTTTCTGTCCACCTGAGATTCCCAGCAACAGGTATCCAGAGGTCTTTCCCAGTCCTGGCTGGAGTGGCTCATGTTCTCTTGTCCTGTCCCCTTTATAAAGATCTGAGGAATGAGATCATCACCCCACTCTTACTTACCATCCCAGGCCGCCCATCTGTGGCCACATTGTTCTTTCTTTTATCAGACCAAAATGATCAGACAACAGCAAAGGTTGCTAGGTTTATCGAGGGTGCAATGAGATGAAGGGCCACTATGTGAATGATAATCTTGGTCATTTGAATGCCCTTTTTACCCATTGTTGTCTTTTTAATTGTATATATTGCTTGTTTTATGTTGCTATGTTGGCTAATGCGAATAACGTTTATCTATCTACCCTAGCTGGAGCTGCTGGGATTGAATCTGGGATGTTTCTGCATACTAAGCAGAAGTTCTACCCCTGAGCTACAGCCCTTGCCCTACTCGGATCAGGCCCGTCTACTCCTGCAGCCTGTTCTTGCAGCAGCCAGTCGGGTGCCTGGGGGGAGCTAACAAGGAGGGGCTGAAGGCAAATGTCACCCCCTTTCTCGCACAGGGTAGTCACTGCAGCCCCTCAAACATTTCATTTGCTCTTTTCTGAACCATCTCCGGCTCTAAAATACGCCTTTCTGAGGTGAGGCGCCCAGCACACCACACCACACAATATGGCAGTCCCGGTTGCACCATGGATTTGTATAACGATATTGGCAGTTTTATTTTGAATTCTTAATGGTGCTTAATATGGAATTCGCCTTTTTCACAGCTGCTGCACGTATTTAAGTAGGGCCCCAAGCTGGGGGGGAGGGAGTGCATACCCTTATTGCTTGCTAGAAATCCTTTGCAAAATATTGCTTATCTTTTAAGAGAAGGAGGTAGGGAGAGTGGGAGGGGGAAAACCCTGCTCATACACTTGTAGTCAACTTCACACACTGAAGTTTTTTAGTTCTGTTTGATGTCCTCATATTTTTGGCGTGCCGCAAATCCCTGTGCGCTACTTGCCTTTATCCTCTGCTCCATAGGAAGCTGCCTTATCAAACCATTGGCCCATATAGCTCAGCAGAAGCTACATGGACTAGTGGCAGCAGCTGTCCAGAGTTTTGGGCAGGGGTTTTTCTTAATCTTATATCTGGAGATGTTGGGGACTGAACCTGGGCCACGTCCACATTAGAGCAAAAGGAAAAAGAGGAAACGCCTCTCCAAAAAGAGAGAGAGTACAATAAAGCAGCAAAAGGAAGAGAATTTTCACAAGGATTTTGGGATGGGTTTCTGGAACCGTGTGCAGAATAATTTATGAGCCCCAATGAGACACATCACATAGAATGGAATTCTTATTTTTTCCTCTTTCTTTTCCCCTCTCATTTGCTTTATCATATTGGGATCTGTTTAAGTATTTATAATTGGGGAAGGGTAGTATCTTTAGCTGGGCAGAGCGAGAGAGATTTGTACAGCACTTTCTTTCTTTCTTTCTTTCTTTCTTTCTTTCTTTCTTTTTTTCTTTGCAATCCATTAGAGCACAATTTTATTAATTTAAAGACTACCAGCTTTTAGTACATTTCCATCCGGTAGGTTCAATCCATGTGCACAGCAACAGATAATCACTGTCATAAATAAAGAACAAAAGTTTAGGCAGTTAAAGGGAAAGATTGCATTGGAGAGTTCTGCAGAAGCAGAAAGCAGGAGATAAAACTAAGATGACCTAGGTAATGTATTAAGTCTGAGTTCCCCAAAGCTTGTTTAAACAAAATGGTTTATGTTAGGGGAAAACACTATGGAAAACACTTGTTGAGAATTCAGACTGGAAAGTACAGCACTTTCTTCATATGCAGAATAGGGTGGTCCTACATCCTATGTTACAGAGGACATTCCCCTTTTGAAAGCATCCTCTATTTGAAGGGCTATCTGGTCCAGAGATAAAACCACCAGCATCCCCTCTCAACTCACAAATAGTGAGAGTGTCAGAAGCCAGAGTTTAAAGTTTAATGTGACCGAGAAATACGAGCTGCAGGATGGAAAGCAAAGCACGATACTTGGTTTCTGCTTAAATCCAAGGCTGCAGCTATGGTAGAAGCAAGACCCTTTTGGGGTGTCAGTGCTGTGACACACACACACACACATATCCCGGTCATAGTCTCGGGTGTATATATGTGTAAATAAACCATATATCCTAAAGACGCTGCAGTCTCAACTGTGCAACATCATTTATTTCTACAGGGCAGCAAGGAGATATTCCTACACCAGGGGTGGAGAACCTCAGGTATGGGGGGGGAGCATATGTGGCCCTCCAACTCTTTGTATCTGGCCCTAGGTCACAGCTCCTCACCTAGCCACATCCCTGGCTGTCCCTGTACTGTGCTTCTGACTGCCTTGCATGTGTTCTAGAACTGCAATGCTGCCTCTTGTTTATGTGGATGGAGAGGTCTGAGTGTGTTGAAACCACAGACGTTGGCATGGCATAGCCTATGTACAAAGTTAATAATCACACTTGCATACGAATGTAAGAATTACTTCTGGGCCTGTCAACCACCGGGTATACTGTAATGAGGGAATGTGGCCACAGGGCAGAAAAAGAGCCTGAGATTCTTAATCTCAAGGTCATGGGTTCAAGCCCCACCCTGGGTGAAAGATTCCTGCATTGTGGGGGTTGGACTAGATGATCCTCGTGCTCCCTTCCAACGCTACAATTCTATGATTCGACCTCTGTTCTAGAAGTACCAACTAAAAATGTGGCTTAGCATTTGAGTCTCTGACTTGGAATATGCTATGAGCATAAGGACCTGAAGCTTTTTTTAATATATTAGCTTGCCACTGCCAGAAAGCTTGGATGTGTTTACCCAATCCTTTAAAAATCCTCCATCTTGAAGCATTATAATGTGATATAGTCCCTCACCCACCAAATCTCCATTCTGTGTCATTGGCTAACTTTATTATTTGCCTTCTAGGCGTGCGATCACCCAAAGAAAGTCCAAAATGGATGGAATCCGAAATAAGAGTAGCTAGAATAATTAGCAAGCTCGAGTGGCTTGAATTTTGAGCAAGGAAACAAAATAGTTCTGGTCTGACTCAGAAGCTAATATATAGCCTGGAGTGGAGAGATAAGGAAGCAAATATTTCAAGGGTGTAAACACTCAATATGGAGAGGAACCGTACAACATGGTACAATAAGGCATCGTAAGTTTTTGAAAAATGTGTGGAGTCCATTTCTAAGGAAAGGAATGCAAATTGTTTGCTTGAAAAATATATGATTCCACTTGTGTGGGGAGAGGTGTCAAATCTGAAAAGATATCATAGGAATCAATTATTTACTGGCAAAATAACAGCGGGGAATGGGGATAACCCTACTCGGATTTTCAAAAGTCATACACTTGACAAAGGTTCATAGCACAGAAGGAGGAGTTGGGGTCAAATAACTTGCATTAATTGGATTGAAATCAAATACTCCAGTGAAGGGTGTTCTTCAACCTTTTAGCAACCCAAACAATTAAAGGGTTGGAACAACTCCCCTGTGATGAAAGGTGACAACATTTTTTCATTTGGAGGAAAGGCAAGTTATTTTGTACATTCTAGAGATGTATAAAATTATCTGTGGTGTGAAGAGAGTGGATGGGAGAAGTCTTTCCACCCCATACTACAAGAACTCGGTGGCATCTCATGAAGCTGAACTTTAGAAGATTCCTGACAGACAAAAGAAAGTACTTTCGCACAGCACTTAGCTAAACTATGAAATTTGCTCCCAGAAGATGTGGCGATGGCTACTGAGTTGGATGTCTTTAAAAGGGGGCGAGTTCATGGACAGCATCAATGGCTACTAGCCTGAGGAGCCAGTGTGGTGTAGTGGTTAAGAGCAGTAGACTCGTAATCTGGTGAACTGGGTTCGCGTCTCCGCTCCTCCACATGCAGCTGCTGGGTGACCTTGGGCCAGTCACACTTCTCTGAAGTCTCTCAGCCTCACTCACCTCACAGAGTGTTTGTTGTGGGGGAGGAAGGGAAAGGAGATTGTTAGCCGCTTTGAAACTCCTTCGGGTAGTGATAAAGCGGGATATCAAATCCAAACTCCTCTTCTTCTTCTTCTTCTTCTTCTTCTTCTTCTTCTTCTTCTTCTTCCAAAGAGCATTGAGGGGGCCCGATGCAATGTCTTGATGTCACTCTGTGCCCAGTTCCGCACTGGGCCTCAACAATCGGGGGGGGGGGGGAGCTCAGAAAAGAAAAAAGATTGCGGGGGCCCTAAAGTGCCTCAGCCTCCTGGAGCTAGCACCTATGCTACTAGCCATAACAGCCTTCACCACTGGAGGAAGTGTGTGTGTGAATTACAGGTTGGTAGGAATTACAAGAGGGACGCGGGTGGCACTGTGGGTTAAACCACAGAGCCTAGGACTTGCCGATCAGAAGGTCGGCGGTTCAATTCCCCACAACGGGGTGAGCTCCCGTTGCTCGGTCCCTGCTCCTGCCAACCTTGCAGTTCGAAAGCATGTCAAAGTGCAAGTAGATAAATAGGTACCGCTCTGGCGGGAAGGTAAACGGTGTTTCCGTGTGCTGCTCTGGTTCGCCAGAAGCGGCTTAGTCATGCTGGCCACATGACCCGGAAGCTGTACGCCCGCTCCCTCGGCCAATAAAGCGAGATGAGAGCCGCAACCCCAGAGTCGGCCACGACTGGACCTAATGGTCAGGGGTCCCTTTACCTTTACCTTTTAGGAATTACAAGTGCGCAGAATGCTGCCACATGCATATCCTGCATTTCGCCTTCTGACGGACCTCTGGTTGGTCAATGTGAGAACAGGATGCTGCCCTGGACGGACCATTGGCTTGATCCAGCAGGGCTCTCCTTGTGCTATTAGACACATTTGTCCCTGGGTTGCGAATGATAATGGCATTTTTTTTTTAACGAGCAGCCGCCAGCATATTCTATGATACTTAAGCCCCATGCATTTTATTTGGTTAAAAGACCAGAAGGCGTCAAAACCTGCAATAGCTATAACAATCTTGGCTGAACAACTCGTGCGCCTTTAAAAATAATAAAATAATAATAATCTGAATGATTATAAGTAGCCTGTTCAGAATAATGAAAGTATCACAGCACGGTAGGCTTCAAGAGAATTTGTACTGTCTATTGATGCAAATTGTTAAGAAAAAGCACAAAGTGGTAAGATTTAATGTGTGCTTAATGATCCTTGTTAGCTTGATCAAAACAGAATAGTCTAGGGAGAGTTTTCAAAACCTAACTGCAGATTTACAAAAAACACACAATCGTGCTGGCTTTTAACGTAGGATATTAGTATTACAAATGATTTTCTCTTGCATAGGATTTCTGGGCCAGGGAGCCACAGTCTAGAACTGAATACATTGCTACGCATTAAAAAACCCACATAGAAAATTGCTGCCCATTGTGGCACTGACTGTAACCCGAATTTCGGTATAAAATTTGGATTTCAGTGGGGCAGC